CCCCCCCCCGCCGGGCCAATTGTCGCAAAATTATTATGCTGGAGCTGGAGGTGCCTCCTTCAACTCCTCAGCCAACGCTTCCTTGTACTTCGCCAGCGCCGTTTCCAATGCGCGGATCGTCGGCCCCAGTAAGCGGGTTACGGCCTGCTCGCCGCCAACGACGTTCGCGAGGTTGATCCGCAATTTCTTTCCCGTTGCTTCGAGCACTTCTCGTGCGTGTCGTCTCAGTCGGTCCACCTCCACCTGTCGCTCCGCTTCTGCGTCTTGCTGAACGGCTTTGATGCGGTCCATGGCCCGGTTGAGCGATTCCACCAAAGACGCCAACTCGCCCGCACGGTCGGGATTTCCCGATAAGAATGCCTGCCAGAATTGGTGCAGGAATTCTGTGGTGGTGGCGTGCGTGAGCGTTAGCCGGTCGTACAACGCACTCGACAGGCCGAATGTACCAGTGATCGCCGACACCTCGGTCTGGGTGCGGCGATCCCGGATGGCTTCGAGGATCTGACTTGATGCACGCTTCAGGTTGGCCCGAGAGCCCACCTGATTAGCTTGTTTCGTCTCGTCATCTTCGTCCTCTTCTGGCTCGACTAATCTCCCCAGAGGCGCTATCCCACCCTCCGGGAGATTCCGGTCGACGTCACCACGTAAGTCCGTCAGGATACGATTCGGATCTTGCTGGGCAAATAGTCGACTCTCTTCATCCTCGTCCGTCTTAGATTGCGAGGAGAAGAACCGACTCTGGTCCTTGACATTGAGCAGGATACGGCGCTGTTCCTCGTCCCCGCGCAGATCCCGCAGCTGCAGCTCATTGTACGTATCATCCTCTACGTCGCCGTTCGCTTGCGGAATTGCGTCCGCCGGCGCGACGTTGGCCATAATCTTCTCGCTGAGGTTGTTCAGCGTCCGGATGATAGGGACCTTCTCGACCGACGACGGTCGCATATCGAGATCGGGGCGATTTCCCCGTCGCTGACTGTGGTTGACTTCGTTGCCCGCCAGATTTAAGAAATGCGGTACTTGCGCATCTCGCAAGTTACCATGTTCATCCGCTTTCAAGTATTTATCCAGGATGGCATCCGTCGCATCTGTCTCGGAGATCCGCTCGCCGCGCAGTTTCTTGAAGAGGCGGCTCTGGAAGAATCGCGACCAGAACTGCGTCTCGTTCAGCTTGGGCACAACCTCGTCGTAGACCTGCTTCACGAGCGGGTGCTGGTTAAAGATCAACTGGATCTGCTCCTTGCTGATGTTGAGCTTCGTCACGCTGTCTTCCACCCGCGGCTTCAGCGTCGACAGCACATTGTAGGATCCGCGCGTCTGCGCCCGCTCGATCGCATGGGCGCGCAGGAGGTGCAGCCGCGTCGACCAGAACTGCTTCATGAACTGCCCTGCGGACAGGGTCTCGGGTTTCGTGCCCATCGATTCCATGAACATGCGCTGGAGCTGGGGATCCGATTTGAGTAACGACTGCTGCAGCTCCATGTCGCCCTGAAGCCGTTTGTCGTCGTCCCACGGTTTCTCGTTCCGGCCGCCTGCCGTGATCGCATTCGCCATCGCCATCGCCGCCGAGACGCCTTCGCTCGATCCTCCGCCGCTGGCAGCGGCAGCAGCAGCAGGAGGGGTGGGCGCGGCCTGGGCGGCTTTGGCGGCCTGGATGGCCGCGCTGAGCGCATCTTTGATGGCGTCCGCCTCGGCTCGCGCGTTCGCGCCGGCCGTGAAGTTGAAGACGTATTGTTCGGGGGTGTTATCCGGTGCGTTGGGAGGGAGGACGTGGATTTTCAACATCACTTTCGGATTTGTCGCGGGTGTCTGTTGTAAATCTATTTTGGTTCATCTTCTTGTCAGTTTTTTCTTCCGTGTGAAGCTCGAGCGAGCTTCTGCGAGCTAAGCTAGGTGGATTTGGGGCGGAACAGAAATAGAACGTACTCGTGATCTGAGCCACGGAGATCGTGATCGTCCCCGTCGCACCGCCAGCCGCCGGAATCCAAGAGACCGACTGCTGGTCCGGCGACATGGTCAGGGTGCCATCTTTCTTCTTGTACACTGCCGACCCGCTCGGAGGGGCCATCGTCATCGAGCTCGACAGCGTCCACTGTCCTGGGCAGCGTCGAGAGATCCACCCATCGGGAGTAGACAGTCCCACGGGAGAATCAGAAGGACAAGAGCCTTCGAGGTCAAGACGAGGTTGTCTTTCGTGCGGAGAGAGCTCGGAGGGAAACCGGGTGCGAAGGTGAAAGACCTACGATGCGTTCCGCAATGGATCGGCTGCTGATAGATGCACGTGATGATGAAATTGAGCGCCATGTGACTTTGCTTAGTCATCTCAGCCCTAACTGGCTGGCTTTGAACTGGTGGCTCAATATCGTTTAGGTTAAGAATAATCTGGAAAGCTCTGAATGATTCTTGTCTTGATCATCTTTTGGTGAAGCTAGATTGTGAAGTACCAGTATGGTTGCAATTAGAGTTGGATTGCAAAGGTATCCCTTCGAGGTGGGAGCCAAATACTGGATATATTTTGCGGACCCCATGATGACTTTGAAGTTGGAAAAAAGGTTAAGGCGCAAAACCTGGAGACAGCGACAAATAGGTTTGTCACGACTTCAGTCAGCTTTTCCAAATCAAAGCAAAAGTACTCTAGATGTGATATCAGAACGCATACAATCAAGATACTCGCCCTGGAAGCCTCAATCCACACGACGAGATAGACAATCTCCTCATATAAAGGTTTGTAGTATTACGGTATACATTAACGCTTGCATCACTTCTGGTCCCCACAATGATAAGAAAGTCCATGGCCCTAAGCGATGATTGAGTGTGGTGCCACCCAGTTCTGTCCAGAACGATGATCTCCGTAGCAGGGATTGTATACTAGCTCGCTTATATAGCTCGCATCTTATTGGCCGACTTTCCGAATAAGGTAGGGAGTCATGTGACCGCGCGGTTTGCGGGGACGCGTTGCAGTCTCGACTGTCCAGTGCAACCGTCCGCAAGTGAGCAGCCGATAGCGGGTGAAAGAGAAATCGCTAGTGGTCCGACTGACGACGAGATGTCGTACTATGATATTGATGCGATATTAACAGATGCGCAGGTATGTCCGTGGAAATGTGTGGTCGAGTCTCCGACACTGACGAGACATCGACATCTTCTGTAGAAACTGCCGTGCACATTTGAGCTCGACGTGCCGGGGCTTGGCATTTTAGAAGGCAATCCCGGAGAGAATGTATGTCGTCCTCGTCGAGCATAGCCTGCTCCCTCTGATACTGGCTTCGACTGACGACCGTTCAGATTAAAGCCGGTACTCGCATCGATCTACCGCTCTGGTTGGGAGAGATGCTGTCCATCGGGTAAGCTTTCCGAAGTTCCACTGCGACATCTATGACGCTGTTGTCTGATGGTGGTTAGTGCTCGACTGGGTACCTCGCGATTAGTGACGCTGGATCTCCCGTATGCGTTATCGGATCGGGTTCTGAATGCGCTGAAGGCTGATCCGCGCACGGTGGATCTGCGCTCGCTGGCGCCGCACTTCTACAGCCTGAGCGAGCGGGTGCTCGAGCTGTTCGAGGAAGAGGAGATGGTAGAAGTTCTGAGTAATGTATGAATGTCTTCATTGGACCTCAGAGAAGAACGGACGTCGCTCATCTTACGCACAGACATTCAAGAAGCGTGCAGCGCAGATTGCCGACCATGCGCACAATCCGCAGGGCGCATTGGGCCAGGGGGCGGATTTCCTGCGTGGCCTGGACGAGACGGAAAGACAATGTATGTTGCTGAAGAAGACGGTCTACTATGTCTGGGTGCCTCTTACTGACATCGATCTCTTCAGTGTTCCGAGCCACGCATGACAGTGCCAAGGAGATCCGGGTATGGGCTGGTGAGTCGAAGAAGAAATGAGGACGGGTATGTAGATACTCTTCAAACGGCTGAGCTGTGCTCGCCATCATGATAGAAAGCGAACTATTTGTGTTTATTGAGTATTATGATCCGTTATACCAAGGAAGTTGTTGAGTTTAGTTATCAAAAGATACGGAGTTCTAGTTGGTATATCACAGGAGAATATATGATTTACGCTCCGTACAGGGTTGATCGATAGTATGATATGGGTTCAGGACACGAAAAGGGGTGGGAAAGCTTGCGCATAGGGCGATGATTGGATCTTGTCGGAGAACGATTTTCCAGAGGGGAGCTGCTACTTCATGACCAAAGGGAACCGAGTTGGTAGGATCTATAGAGGATTTAAGCGAGACCCCGGAAGTGCAACTATGCAGATCCTCGCGATAATCTCAACGCTCTGGAGGCGAATAGGTCAAGATGATCTGTTGAGTTGGACGAGTCAGCTAGACAGGTAAATGCTAATAAGAGCGCAAAAAAAGAGCCTCTTGTGCACTGAAACTCTTAGGAAATTGAGAAGTGTGCCGGAAGACTGGGAACCGAGTCCCAAAGATAGCGAAGGGTAAACCACGTTCAGGCCAACCGTGGCATGAACGATGGGCCCAAGCCAGTCTACAGCACTGATTGCTGGTGTCGCACCACCGACCACGGCACCATCGATGGGGCTTTGCTTCAACGTGGGGCAAACCGAAGATGAAGATGATGCATCAGATTCCTCGAGACAAACCGGATTCGAACGGGGGATACTGTAATCGAATATTAGATAGTAGATCGGAGAATTGAGGGGAAGGGGGTGAGATTTTAGTGGCAAACCGGGAGAACTAACTGATAGTGAGAGCCGAGTAGAACTGTAGAAGATTCGCTTCTACTGTGTAGTTACAGTATTTACAGTACTGTAAGCTTGGAGTAAATAATTCAATTCCGCTGCTTTCGTCCGCCCAGCCTTCCATTTAGCACTTTGGCCAACCTCTCCCCGAAGACGTAGGGACCAGCAGCCCCTTCTCTACTTATTATTAGTAGTAACAGACGGACTGGATGTTCAGTCCAGACTCGAAAGAGGGGAAAGAAGGAACCGCGGATCTAAATTAGTCTCCCTCACTAGTCAATCCACTCTCCACTGGAGCATTGGCAGTGGGCAGTGGGCACTGGGCACTCTTTCATCAATGCCAGTTCCCCTCTTCTCTTATTCAATGATCCATTACATTCCTTGACGACTTCATCGGCAACATCTACACCATAACAGCACTCACTCTCCGGTTGTGACTCGATCCGGAATTCATCCGAAAGCGTCGCATGGCAACCACACCCCATTCCATTCCCTACCCAATGTATACACATACCACTGAACTACTGAGTACAAACTACACTTCGGCAGAACCGTAACAACGATCTAACTATAAGGCCACTACCACTACTACTTTAGCGCTCATCCTCGACCATCGTGCAGTGTGGGGATCCCTTCCTGTCACTCTTTCTCTCCTGTCTTGGCTGTGTGTGATCTGAAGATCCACGCTCGACTCATCACAATCCTTCCTGGCGCCTTTTCTCCTCTCTCTCCTCTCTGGCCCCTCCCTCACTTTAGTTCGCAGCCCAGCTGCTGCTTCTAACCTCTTCCCCCCTTAGACGGTCGCAATCGCGATCCTTCCATCTATCTCTGGCTGTGACAAGTGTGTCCTCCTCGCTGGCCCAGCCAGCCAGATTGTCTGAGGCGGTGGGCCTGTCCTGTCGTCACCCAACGCCGCGCCAGCCCGATTTCCTATCCTTAGGACAAGACATTGCTTTTTCTCCTTACGCTATCGGTCGAATTATAGCCCCTCTCTCCATTCGACCTGCATCTTCGGTGGATACAACCCTGCGTTTTACTGCAGTGAGACTGGTGTCCGGCCTCTTGTCAGTGATGCGCATTGAGTAGTGGGATTCCTGTCGCGCTTTTTTTCGTCTGTGACGGTGCCCACAATCCATCGAAATGGACACAAAACTACAGAGACGGAGCACCATCTCGGTGCATTCACCCACCCCGTCTTCTCTGCGACACTGCTACTACCCATCTCCAGCTACTTCGCCTCCCAAGGATTCGTTGTCTTTATCCCTGTCCCACGAACACAGTTCGCGACGCAAGAGTGAGTTCTCGTCATCGGATCATCCCTTGATTCACTCAAGGGATACGAGCCACTGCAAGAAAGTGTGGAAACTGACGTTTCAGCGTACTGCGCAGACACATCTATCCCTCCGAAACCTCCTGCCCTAGCCCGGGTCAAGGGGTCTGTCGCCATGGACTCGTCGCAAATGAGTTCAGGTACGATCTTATATACCCCAGCTGGCTCCACACCGACTCCCGCGAACTGACCACTCCGCAGAAATGTCATGGTTGAACGACGCATCACCCATGTCGATGACGCCAAGAACAGCAACACCTAGAACGCCTCAGCGATCGAGAGCCGGTGGGACGCCATATTGTTCCTTCACAGTACTTGGAGAGGTCAATGGCTGACGATCTATGGATCTTATAGGTACCCCGGAACCCGAGCCTACTACTGCGACGCTGGTCAATCCGTCCTCAGCCTTGCTACAAGATTTATTGAAAGAACAACGCGCAACTAGAACCACGAAGGGAGGATCAGACGAACAAAAACAAGGCAATCCTCGAACACCCGAGCGGTCTCTTCCGCAGACTCAGCCCCCCTCCCAGTCACCAGCGCAATCACAGGCACAATCACAAACGCAGTCTCGAACCCAATCATGGGAAGAGGTTGGCTCCGACAAGCAGCGCAGGGTTCATAGTGTGGCCTCCTCAGGGACCAGACAGCCAAATGATATGGGTGTAAGAGAGATGGGCGAGGTATGTAGCATTGGATATCTGTAGGAGACGTGCTTTTGCTGATCTTTCACTCCAGTATGTGTCAAAATTAAACAAGCAGAACTTCGACTTGAAGCTCGAGATCTTCCATCGTGTACAGCAGATGACGGCATTGGAGAAGAAGCTACAAAGAATGGAAGGATTGGAGGAAGAACTCGGGCGCCTGCGCTCTTTGGAAGAGGAAGTGCAGGAACTCCGAGAAGCGGAAGCTGCTAACCAGCGGTTGCGGGACTCGAATGAGCAATTGAGACACGAAATCGACAGGCGAGACCACGCGATCACGGAAGCGGTCAGTATGATCTGCCTTCTCGAAAACAAGGTCATAGAACTGCAAGCTGGCGAAGACCTATCCAGACCCTCGACGGCTCGGCCGGATGAGGAGGGGGATGCCGCAACCCCCAAGCAAAAAAGTCCTGTTCGTATTCCGGAGAGGATATCGTCGAGACGGGGTACTACCTTCCTGGAGGCTTGCCAAGGCTCCACTGCATCTCATTTACTCAAAAGACCACCGTCATTCTTGGATAATGAAAATAAAAGCACAGCAGCGCTCCGCAGCTTGTACACTACGTCTGAGGATCAGTCCCATGCTGCGATGAGTGAGATCACGAAATCGGAAAGTTTACAGTCATTGACCGACACGCTCGACCCGGCATCACCAAGGCTTAGTGCCCTCAGTGAATGCAGCGAACTCTTCGCCCTTGGTCCTGATGGTGATGATGGGTTCAACCGGCTGGAGATACCTGTCATCAGAACGGAGCCGCCAGCGAATGAATCGGTACTATCTGGCCTTGCTGTTTCCGAAAGTAGAGACCATATGCGTATCGAGTCATGGGTTCAACCACCACACGATGTCTTCGTGGATCCTATCTCGCCCCACGATATGCGATCGAACGTTTCGAAGGGGCCTAAGAAGACAAGTTTTGACACTGATTCTCACAGTTCCAGTCAAAAGACGCGCGTTGAGAGCGTGTTCGGAACATCAAAATTACCACCCACACCTGATACAATGAGTACTGCATATGTTCCCGGTCCCAGCCGCTCTAACGGGAGCATTGTCGCCGAGAAGAGCCGTTACGATCAGGGGGCCGCGTTGGGGTACAGGATCCGACGCCCACGTTCTGCTGATCAATTAACGACAAGAAGGAGCTCGTGTCATAGTGCTGGAAGTGAGGACCTGGCACCGAATGTGAGTGATATTACACTGCCACGACAAAGCACGGATGGAGGAGATGTGACGCCGTCAATATTTCCTTTGAACTGCATCACGTCCAGACATGATCGACTATTCAATCACGAATCCCTAGACAAGCCCAATTTTGGCTATTACGGCGGCAGTGCGCTGTACAATGAAGATAGCTTGGAAAGAGTCCTTTCCAAGATCGATAACAGTCATTATCAAAGGAGGCCGTCCAGATCAATTGAAGAACTATCGGCCACGCTGTCATCCTCGCCGCCATTGACTCCTCAAGAATGGGTTGAAGCCGCTAAGCCCACTTGTCAAGATGAGAAAGAGCAGCCTGACTTGCCGCATCTGGGTCCTATAGCTTTCGATTCTGGGTTGCTGGTTGCGCGCGCACCCAGCCAGGCCTCTTTCCTCGGCCGTAGACATAGCATTGATTCAGGCTTCAGAGAATCTGATGTTCCTCGAATTCCCACTCTCGACTTGCAGTCGCTAGACCTGGGACCACAACCTGAGCCAGACACGGAGCGTCGTAAGCGGATCAGTTTGCGACCTCTATTCGGGCGTTCAGGGAATGCTCGTCGCCTTCAGACATCACCATTTTACGATCAAACGGATAGCGATGATGGAGCACCTGCGCCTATCATTCGTAAAACCCGCAACGTACCGCCAAACAAGCTGTCTAAACCGAATCATTCCTTGGAGGGCCATCGTGATTTCTCTGCTTCGATGCCGACATACGCCGATGGAATGGTGAATGAGATCCACAGGACTCTCCCTCACTCTCGCACCGAGTCATCATTCACGACCAACCCCGCGCTCAAGCCGTCGGCTGCTGGCGTCAAGGACCACAAAAGACGAAGTTCCCTTGGAATCTTCGGCTGGATGAAAGGAGCCAGCAAGAAGCCGGAGCCACATTCACCTGTTAAGCATGCCATGCCCACCAGTGGGATCTTGAAAGATAGACCGACTCGCATGGCTCAGGAGTTTACGAATCACGGCCATGAGCCCGCCAAAAATGCCAACATGCCCACAGTGAGCTTTGCCCTGGATGCGAAATCCAGAGGTGCCGTTCGTTCTGACGAAGAGGACCCAGCACGGCGGCCGCGATATATGGACAGACGATCTCGTCGAGCTTGAGGGGGGCGGCCCTGTTCCGTTCGCAGTATGGGTGCCTCCTTTTAGTGTCCTTTTCTTCTCTTTTCTTTTTCCTTTTCTTCTACTAATGCGTTTCCATCTACTGATTCTATGTCATGATACCCCTTGAGTTACCTGTGATGTTAGGGTTTTATTGGTGTTGCGGACATCTAAAGGACTTCCCTTTTTCTTTTGCCCTTCCAAGATGAGATGAGATCCCTACTATCATGCATGCTTTTTATTTGCGACAACCATGGTATCTGGCTGGCACACGATATCAGTTATACATACACTTCTGTTCATGTTGATGCTATGAAACGACAACGTTCTTTTCACTGATGCTTTTCCTTATGTCTGTATGATGCTGTTTCCTTATGTTTCTACCCTTGTTATGTGTTGATGTCTTTCCTTTTCCGTAGTCTTATTCGATGAGTTAGATTCTGTTTAATAGTGATGATGGAATAGAATTTATGATTTAGAGTTCTATGTATCCGGTCAGGACGATATCCTTGTGTTCATTTACCAGTTATCATAGGTTGCCTGGCTGTGCTCTGAAAATTTGTAGGTCAACTATTACTCCATAGCGCAGACTATGCCTGTGGCAGGGGAGTGCTGCACCGTACAGACCTCGCTCTATCCACAACGTTTCCATACCTCGACGGCGAAGGGGACAATAGAAAGCGAAGAGACCCGAAAACAAGATGGTATCATGACACAAAAATCATCTCCTTGCTTCTACACGCTATTTCTCCACGCTATGAATCCTAAAGATAAAGTCGATCCACATCTATAGAAACAGCCATAAACTCGACGGGTGAGCTCATGAGAAAGAGACACAGGGAGTAGAGAAAATCACTTCCCCTCCGCCCGCTCTACCAACGCATCCTCCAACCCCATAGGCTCCCACACCTCCTTGGCCTTCTTGTTCTGCACCCAGACCACATCGCCCTGCAGGAAGACCACGACGCCGCCCCGCCCCGTCGCGCTGGCCGTGATGCGGAACAGCGGGTGGCCGTTCTGCGGGTGCGCCTCGCGGAGCGGCAGCATGATGAGTCCCTGCTCCATGCACCATCCTTCCAAGATATCCTTGAAGGCGACTTCTTCGATGACCTTGGGTTTGGAGGGGCGGGATGGTGGTGGTTGGGGCGCTGCGTGTTTGAGGGTGGGATCTTCTTCGTCTTCGTGGTCCACGAACCGGACCTGTTGTTTCGTGGGTTGTTTTTCGGTTGTTCTTGTTGTAGTTTTTGATGTCGGGGGTGGCAGTTCCGCGCCGGCGCGGTCGCCGAGTTGCGAGGCGAGGTCCATCGTTTGTAGGGCCTTGTTCCATTCGTCGTCGACGATGGTGAGTTCGTTGAGTGCGGCGGGGATCTGTGCGCGCCACCATGTGAACCACTCTGCGACTTCTTCGTAGTTCGGGTCGTTGGTCAGCCAGATGTAGAGGATTTGGTGGAACTTCGGGAAGAACTCCGCTGTTAGGAGGAGGGCCATCACGTTCGGCCGGAAGAAGGGCTGCCAGCGGAGGACGTCCTCCAGCGGCGTTAGGTCCTGGTCTTGCGGGTTGACCTGGAAGTCCTCGCGGAGGTGGCGGCCCAGCCGTGGCAGGAGGTGGTTGCGCAGGCAGACGTCGAATTCCGAGCCGAGGGCGTCGCGCCACAGCTCGACCCCGCTGATCAGCCCGCGCCGCAGGTCCCATGTGTCGAGCACGACGCGGAATTTGCGCTTCGCGTCGGAGAGGAGCCCCGTGGCTTGTTTGGGGTTCGTGTGCCGGTCGTCCAGGTATTGGAGCCATGTGAAGAGCCACCAGGGGAAGCGGGAGGAGTGTGAGGATGAGGTGGATGAGCCGTGGCGCCGGCTGCTGCTGCTTCGGGGTTTCCATTCTTTGAGACCGGCAGTGAGTTTGGGAATCACGAGTTGGTCGAGGACATTGGAGTAGATGAAGGGGGGCAGGAGTTCTTTCCAGGCCACAATTAGGGATGTTGCTGGCGCGGGCTCGAAGACGTCCCAGTCGTTGAGCAGCGCGGAGCGGACGCGCGGCAGCCACAGCGTATAGATCATGGTCTCGTAGGGGGAGGTGGATGAGCGCTGGGTGTTTTCGCCCCGGATGTCGCGGAGGAGTAAAGGTTGGAGACGGCGGAGGTTGGGTACGAGGAACGTCGGCTCCTTGAGCGGTTCCCATTCCTCCATGGCTTGACGGAAGAGAGGGTGTATCGCAGCTACTGCGGTCTCGGGCAGTCGGTACTCGTCGATCTCGTTGCGGAACTTCATCTCTATCGACTCGAGTTTGTCGGTCAATTCGTCGAACCTGGCCCGCGTCTCTTCCCTCTCGGATACCTCCAGGGCGCCGATGGCCGCGACCAACTCGGTGAGCTGATCCGCCTTGAGCTGATTCGTGTCCAACTGCTCCACGATCTGTGACTCTTCCATCTCGATATACTTCTTCCGCTCTGACAGTCCTTTCCACTCATCTGCGAAAGCCTCGAGGTCGTTGCGCGCCCTTTGTGCGATCTTCCAGGCCTCCCCTTCGCCCTGGTTGACGAACGCTTGCGGTGTCATCAAACCGGCGGTTGAGGTGATCACGCGCTGCTCCTTCCCAGTCGCATCGATCAAAGACTTCAGCACATTGGGAACCTCCAGACCTTCCATGTCCTGCTCGATTTCGCGTGCAGTTCGGAATTTGGGCTTCGCCCGAGCGACCGGTGTACTCGTTCCGCTGCGGCCATCGCGTTTGCGCTCTTCTTTCTTCTTCCTCTGCCGTCGCTTACGCTCCTCATCGGAGCTCTCTTCGACCGCTTCACCTCGTAGTGTCGCCGCGCGTTTTTCCTCCTCCCGAGCTTGCTTGGTCTTCTCGCGGACCGCTCCCAGACCTGCGCCCGTGGGACGAGCCTGCGCCTCGATCGGGTTGATGATACCCTGGCCGGAAGAACCCAGACCTTGTCCTTCCTTGTAGCCCATCTTGGCCATCATGCGCGCGGCGAAGGAGTTGCCCGCCGCCATGCCTCTGCCGCCATTGTTGCCGCCCCCGCCCCTCATCGCAGCCTGCGCAGGGGTGTTGTTGTTCCAGGGGTTGTTGCGACGAGCGCTGCCTAGCCCACCGTGGGCAGGAGGAGATTCGGAGCGAGAAGCTGCTCGGTTGAAGCCCCTGAATCCCATGGTCGGGCGGTAGTTTTCCTCCTCGTCGGAACTCATGTCGGCAACTTTGCGTTTTTGGCCGGCAACGGGGGAAGATTCGGAGGAAGACATGGCCGGAAATTGGACAAGAAAAAGGTCCAAGTAGGTGGACTAAGTCTAGTCCGAGGTTACGACCTGTGTGTTGTAAGTAAAAGACATCCCCGAGGGGGAATTTGGGCCAAAGACGCGATGGACGGCGACGAGCTGATATCACAGGAAGCAAGCAAGCAAGCAAGCAACAACTCCGGCCGGAAAGAAGAGCGACGGGTGAGTTGGTGGATCCCCAATCGGGCCAGGTCGGGGCGGGGAAATGCCTCCTCCGAAGAGCAACAATGACGTTAGAACTTCTTCCGCGCTTCTCCTAGGCCGGCTGTCGGACCTTTCTCTCTCCTTCTTCTCCTTCTTCCTCTTTCTCCTCTTCATTGTCTGCCTTAATTCTCCTCTCCCCTGTGTGATTGGATCTTCAATTCACTCGTATAATCCATAATCAATCATGGCTGCTTCTCTCGTCCGCAACACTGCCCGCTCTGCTCTCCGCAACGGAGCTTCGGCTACCAGAGCTGCCGGCAGCTTGACCTTTGCCCGCGGCAAGGCTACTCTGCCTGACTTGTCTTGTAAGGACTCCCTTTGACCGTCTGCTTACCCGGATAAAGCTAGGAAGCTTCACATTCTCAGAAGACACACCCCGAATGCGCCCAAACTAACCCTCGCGCAGACGATTATGGAGCCCTCGAGCCCTCCATCTCCGGCAAGATCATGGAGCTTCACCACAAGAACCACCACCAGACCTACGTCAACGGCTACAACACCGCCCTCGAGCAGCTGCAGGAGGCTCAGCACAAGGGCGACATCGCCGCCCAGATCGCCCTCAAGCCGCTGATCAACTTCCACGGCGGTGGTCACATCAACCACACCCTCTTCTGGGAGAACCTGGCTCCGAAGAGCGCCGGCGGCGGCGAGCCTCCTTCCGGCGCCCTGTCTACCGCCATCAACGACAGCTTCGGCAGCCTGGACGAGTTCAAGACCAAGATGAACGGCGCCCTCGCCGGCATCCAGGGCAGCGGCTGGGCCTGGCTTGTCAAGGACAAGCAGACCGGCAGCATCGGCATCAAGACCTATGCTGTAAGATCCATCCACTACCCTTCCGGACTATGGTCTCGTGGGAACCAGATATGGCTGACAGCATTTTTAGAACCAGGACCCCGTCGTTGGTCAGTTCCAGCCCCTGCTGGGTATCGACGCCTGGGAGCACGCCTACTAGTAAGTTTGCACTTGGATTAGTAACCCATGAGGAAAAGAGCTAACTCGCCTTACAGCCTCCAGTACCAGAACCGCAAGGCCGAGTACTTCTCGGCCGTCTGGGACGTCATCAACTGGAAGGCCGTTGAGAAGCGCTTCTCCGCGTAAAGTGGATAGTCAAGAAGTGATTGTAATCTAGCGCGGCTTGATGAGCGTTCTTACGATCTGTTTTGTATAACGTAATCTGGATGTTCAGGATTTATCAGGCTGTTTATCTACGGTTCTAATGCACGAAGCTATTTTAAATCTTGTGTGTGTAACTGGATGCTTGTCCGCTTGCATGATACGGTGCCCTCTGTGGACACTCCCTTTTAGACTTGTACTGATTGCACGAACCCTGATGCAACTCCAGGAGAGAGGAGTAGAGAGAGGAGTATACCGTTGGTGCGTTTGAGCGGTTTGCAGCCCTTTACATATTGAATGTGCGTGCCGCTTACTGAGGCCGCAATCCCGCAAAACCGATTATCTTCAGAAACCCAGATATTTTCGTCAAGTTTGGTATCCACATTACTGTCGCAGAAGCTCAGTGTCTTTGAATGCCCCAGCGGGCATTTCAAGGCACTGTGCCGGTCCCCGAACTTTTTGGATGGCGGGTAGACGACCAGGGCTATTTATTCATTTATATGCAGCCCATCAAAGGACAGACGTTACTTGATGGATGGGATGATCTTCAAAGCACAGACAAAGAAGTGATATGCAATCAGTTATGTGAGATCAAGAGATCGCTACGTCAACTTAGCCAAGGATCCAACAAGTATATCGGTACACCTAAGCTTTCGTGGAACGCAAACTCCCCTGCTGGCACTACTTTGCCCTCTTTAGGATCTATCAACCGCGGAAAAGTTCCCAATCGCGTCTTCTTCCGTCAGACTGAAGCCGGACCTTTCTCAAGCATAAAGGAAATTAATGATTGGTTCTCTTTCATGCCCCAAGAGCGGCTGCCGGCGTCGCTGAGATTCAAAGATCTCTATAGAGACTACTTGCCTGGTACCGGCGACATATGATATCCTTGACTGCGCCCTTTCGAGTCGTTGCCATCGTCGATTGGGGCCTGTCAGGCTGGTGTCCGGATTATTGGGAGTATTGCAAAGCTCCTTACACCTGCCGGTACGAGAGTGAATGGTGCCAGGACTGGGTTGACAAGTTTCTATATCCGCAAATGCAAGAGTCTGCCGTCTTCTCAGAAAACACCATGATGATCAGTGCTGTATAGAGTAGCCTCATCCCGGACACAAATGTCTTTGCTTTCTACAATAGGCGCCTGCCAAGGGCTTTCGAAGGATGCATAGCTCTAATTAGAGGGTTTCATAAGAGAGGACCCAGAATACTAAGACTGAGCTCTGTCTAAGTGTAGCTAAGTGACAAGACCACCACGACAGGTAGTCAAATGAGCCAGAATAAAACAAGCCGCATAAAAGTTTGCGCTTCTCACAGATCACAGACAATATGCTTGCCCTTTTATCGCGGACCCTGTGTTTCCAATGCTCCACGTTGTCCAACAGACTGCAGACCGATTCCATGGGTTGGAGAGTCACGCTTTGACTGGACAATTTCAATGGCATCTGCCGCGATCAGACCTTTCGAGACGAGGTGACAGACAATTCCATGGTCCACTCCTGGCATCTCTTGTTGGTGGTCTAAAGGAGAATCATGTAAGTCATCGTCCATGAATGATGGATCGTAGAACAAATCTCTCCCCTCGTTGACGGGTGCCATAAAGTTCTCACTGATCCGGGGAGGCTGCACCTCACTGGCAGCCACTTCAATGTTGCCGTGGGGTGTGTTGTCGATGGACGGCTTGGTGGTCGTGGAGTCAACGATGTTGGTAGAATCGACTTGGCCAATTGCATACATCTCGTGCTTCGGGCCCGCGAGAACAGGGTCATAGTTGCGATCGAACTCGAGGTTGGAGCCTACCATGGGTGCACCGACAACGCGGATAAGGGTGCCGGTGTCCTCTCTTGGTTTGCCTCCTTGGGGACGAAGACGGCAAAGTGAGCGCGCTGAGAGAGCGCTTGACGGGATGTGATGAGATAGACAGTTCGAGGTGCCATTTTGGTGAGCATCTGTGTGCTTTTGCCTTCGCTATGTAAATTGGCTTGTATGCTCAGGCAAAGAGGATGAAATTCAGACTCAGCTTCTTATGGCTTCGTATCGAATTCAAAGAGGAAGGTACGTTCTTCTACCAGTACAGCCCAAACTAGGCATACACGTTCCTGAACTGAGTCACTTGCTAGGCCTCGCGAATCTCAGTATGTCACTACAATTTAATACAATAGGCCCCCACTTTTGCTTCGCTTCGTGTTACTGAATCTCAGTCAAGCAGTGAAGCCATTCTCCCACTATCATCCCACAAGTAAAGTCAGGTCATCAGTGCCTCTCTATGTAATTCTCCAAGCCTGGATTGCCACATTCTCGTCTTTCCAAGGCAGGGGTTTTGAGTGGGAGGATTCGATATGATATATCACATTGCTCCTCGGAGCCACAGCCAAGTACGCGTCAAGAGTTCAATATGTTCTTCAATCGCTTTTGTACTAGCTAGTGTGTGTGCATGTCCGCCAATTGATCATGGTCTTTTCGACGGACCGCCTAGCATGCTTGAAAATCATCATGGATTTGACTCAGTGGCTCTATTTTCGTCGAGCCCGTGTCAGCACTAGCACTTTGAGAAAGACGGGCTACAGGGTTACACTACTGATCGAATTTGGCTTAATTCTTCCAAGACTAATTCCACTACCGTGAGTCCAGCTGAGTTCTCACGTACAAGTGGTTAAGTCATTAGACCCCTGGCTCTTGATTATGGGATTCATAGGCTCATCTCCCATACCGCCGGTGTGGGGTTGGTCAGAGACGACGAGTATATACCACGTAGTACTGTATAAGTAACAGCCACAGTGGCTCAAGGGTCCGGCAGCGGGCGGAAGGCAGCGCCGCAGCTTCCGGGCCCAGCACGTCTATGTCTAATCTTATCGTGCCCGCCTCGTTTCATCTCACTATATCTGCATCTCTCCTTTACCCCCTTGTCTCTTTCTCCTCTCACCAGCTGCCAATTGCATTGACAATGTCAGCCGCGAGCCCCGGGGAGAAGAAAAGCGGCTTTCGAGCCTTTTTCGCTCACGCTCTTCGGCCCAAGAAATCCCGCCAAGTCCTTCGCAAGGGCTCTAGCGCATCCACGCCGGACCTGCGAGCCGCAGCAAGCTTGCACCGACCCAGCACCACGAGCGAAGATGTGCCTCCACTGCCCTCTTTGGCACCATTGGAAGCTCACCGGCTGAAATATCGCGAACTCAACGCCAACAAAGACTCGCAGCTCGGCGAGAGCCAAGACCACACCGCCATCCTCCACACCATCGGCGACCAGGACTTCAACCGATATGACCCCAATGGCCCCGACAGCGAGTACGACACTCGACCCCCCGGCGAGCCGCAGATCGCCAGCCTGCCCTCGCAGCTTTGGGTTCATATCGCAACCGGCTACCTTACCCCCGCCGACACAGCCAGCCTCGCCTTCTCAAACAAAACCCTCCACCTCCGCCTCCAACCCCTCGACCCATTCCACGCCCTCTCCCTCCCCGAAAACCACACCCAGCGCATCAACTTCCTGACCACCCAAGACCGCCACCTGCCCTACCACCTCCTCTGCATTCCCTGCGCACGCTTCCACCTCCGCACGCAACCAGGCCACGAGAAGCTCCAACCCGCCGACACGCTCAACCCGCTCTTCAACTGCCCGGAAGCTCGCAACCCGTCCAACCCCCCACCACGCCACCGCATCACCCACAACCGCGCCCTCCCCTACACCTTCGTCCAACTCGCACTGCGCGCGCACCGCTTCACCCCGCAGCACGGCATCCCGTACACGACGCTCTCGCGCCGCTGGCGCCGCACGGACTGGTCGCACCAAACCCGCTTCCAGATCCACAACAACCACCTCCTGATGCGGGTGACGTCCACGCGCTTCGCAGACCCAGGACTCCCGCCGTCCTCCGTGCGCCTCCTCCTCTACAGCCGCGAAGACTACGTGCCCTACTTCTCGGTCTGCGCACACTGGCGCGACGGCAACCTAATGGCCGCCTGCAAATGCGCCCTCACCCACATCCCCGTGCCCCGCGAGACCACCGCCCTGCAAGGGCTCGAGCACCGCGCCAAGGACGTCCTTCACCGCCGCGCCTACAACCCCAACGCCCTGACCACCCTGTGCGGCAAGTGCCGCCCCATGCGCCGCTGCCCCGAGTGCCCATCCGAGTACCTCATCGAGGTCAAGCTGACCGAGGACCGCTCCGACGGCCTGCAGAATATGCGCTTCCGGCATGCGATCGTGGTCACCCGCTGGTGTGATCTCGGTAATGGTACCGCGCCGTCCGTGTCGCCTGAGTGGGCGGCTTGCTGTGGGCTCGAGGGGTCTCAGTACGATTCCTTCGAGGAGATGGGCAAGCGCTCTATCTCGGGCGTCTTTGAGAGTATGATTACGGATGATACGTTGCCTGGGCAGCGGGTTGTGTCGATGAATCCCTCCGGCAAGAAGGAGGGCGAGGAAGGGAATTCGTGGTATTGATTTTGAGCTTTGTTCGGGGTGTTGGCTGTCGGAGGCCATTGTCTCGATCCGGTCGGTGTTGTTGGCTTCTCTGTCTGGTCTAGGTTGGGCATGTTTGGAGTATTAATGGTGGCTATGGAGTTGGTCTGGGGTGGTTCGGTTGGGTTGATTTATACGGACGGCAAGGTTATATTATATAGTTTGCAGATCTGATCTAGGTCTAAGTAAAATTGATAATCCCATAGCAAGAGCCAATATAGTCAAAACCATCTATTTAATCTTTAAGCGTTGCATTCGCAGGAGCAGCTAAGTCATACTAATGCAGGGTCCCATCCGTCATCTCAGTTCTACACAACACCAAAAACCGTATCATGAGTCATCAAGACGTCATACCTATTAGAATCTATCTGGCAAAAAAAGTGCTATCAATGACATGGAATATGTATAGATACCAAAAAGGGGTAATGGTGGTGGTGGTCATCATCAAGCCAAAAGAATTTGTATATACCAACCATGTGGTGTATGAGAGCGTATGATGTGAGAGAGTAATCGGTATGGAAGATCGGGTATCCCCAGCAGAAGCAAAAGTGGAAAAACCTCCGCCATCCAAGGAAAAAAGAGAAAAGGTGGCCGGCCCCCCCCCGCCTTTGCAAACCCAGAACCTAAGTAGCCCGTGAACCCCGAAGCACTAAACAAGAAAGAAGAAAAAACGCTGAAACGCATATACACACCCGGAGACTGAGGAATCACATATCATGGGACGGACAAAAACGCTTTGGTTCTTTGTTTCAAAGAGGAAAAGAAAATCAGTGGACAAAGTAGGAGTTCTGAAGTTGTTGTCGTTGCTGCTGCTGCAGCTGCAGCTGCTCTTGTTGCTTCTTGTCCTCTTCTTCCTCCTCGTCGTTGTCCTCGTTCGTGTCCAGCCAGCCGCGAGACATCTCGACGGCCTTGGTCCATTGGCGGTACATCTTGCGGCTGTGGGCGGGGGTAACGTGCGGCACGAAGGTGGTGCGGTTGGCCCGGTCCATGTCCTTCAGCTCGCTGAAGTCCTTCCACACATCGATGGCGAAGCCGGCGGCGATGGCGGCGCCCAGCGCCGTGGTTTCGTGCATCGCCGGTCGTTCAAGGGGGATTTGGATGATGTCGGCTTGGGTCTAATTTGAGCCAGTTAGTGACCGGTTCTCAATTCGAGAGATCGATTCCAAGAAGGGGGGGGGGGGCGGGGGCAAGGATCAACGTACCTGCATGCAAATGTCGGAGTTACTCATACCACCGTCAACAGCCAGCTCGGTCAGTTTGTGTCCACTGTCCAACTCCATAGCATCCAGAATAGCCTTAGTCTGGAAGCAGGCGGCCTCCATGGTCGCGCGGGCAATGTGCCCACGTTGAGTGTGCTGCGTGATACCGACTGAGAACCGGTCAGTAACGTGACGTCATCGCCGGGATTGGCGAAGGTGAGAGAAGAACAAAGTCAAACTTACAGATAGTACCCTTGGCATCGTCAATCCAGTAGGGGGCAAACAGACCACTGAAGGCGGTCACGAAGACACAGCCACCGCTGTCGGGCACACTGGCCGCGACCTCACTGACTTTGCGCGAATCACGGAAGAAACCCATGTTGTTCATCAGGAAGGAGATACCACTTCCGGCGACAGCCACACTACCCTCCAAGGCGTAGACCGGCTTCCGGTTCTTACCGAGCTGGAAGCCCACAGTGGCCAGCAAACCGTGTTTCGAGATGACGGGCTTCTCGCCCACGTTGTAGAGGAGGAAACATCCAGTGCCATAAGTGTTCTTGGCGGAACCGGGAGTGAACGCGCAGTGACCGACCAGAGCGGACGATTGATCACCGAGACAGCTGGTGATGGGAACACCGTCGAGCGGGCCCGACCGGACCCATCCAAATCCTTCGGGATCGGCAGAGGGGATAATCTTGGGGAGATGGATTTTATTCCGATCCAACTCGAAGAACTCCAGCAAGCGATCGTCATAATCGAGGGTCTCGAGGTTCATGAACATGGTTCGCGAGGCGTTGGAGACATCAGTCACCAGGCGGTCACCTTCGGGTCCGCCGTTCAGGTTGTACAAGAGCCATGTGTCAACGGTACCGAATGCGAGGCGACCCTCATCGTAGGCCTTCTTCACCTCGGGCAGGTTGCGGAGCATCCACATCAGAGTGACGGAGGAGGGGTAAGTGGACAGTGGGAGACCACAAATCTTCGACAGATCCTCGGCCCCCTTCTTGCCCTTGAGTTCGCGGACCAAGCCCGTGGTCCGGGTATCCGGCCAAGCGATCGCATTGTGCAGCGGCTCGCCCGTCTGTCGATCCCAGCACACTGCTGTCTCACGTTGACTCGTGATACCGATCGCCTCGATTTGATCCCGGGAGTGGCCCAGGGCCAAGAAGGTCTTCATTGCTTCTTCGATACAGGTGTAGACCGAATCGACCAGCTCGAAAGGATCTTGTTCGTGCCATCTGCAACAGTGAGGGTGATCCGTTAGCCCGGTGGTGCACAGCGAAGGTAACCGACGGAAGTATTTAGAAACTCACCCTGAGCGCTCGTGGATTTGACGGAATTCCATCTGATACTTAGCCACGGGAACACCAGTGCAGTCGAAGATGATAAAGCGGGAACTCGTAGTACCCTGGTCGATGGCGCCGATAAAGCGGTCCTTGAGGTTATCGCCGCGACGGCTCTCGTCCTGCAGGAGAGAGCGATTGCCATCATGCGACTGGTGAGTGTGCAGGTCCGCATGATTCTGCTGATGATCTTGTTGTTCCTCGACGAGTGCGTCAAGGTCTGACATGTCAAAGGGGTTCCTCATCTTGGATTTGCGGGGTTTGGTCGTGGGTGGTGGTTGTGCTGGTTTAGGGATATCTCTAGTGATAGGAGTGGTGGTAATGGTGGCGGTAGTGACGGTAGGAGGATGAGGAGGGGAGCGATGATGAGGCGGAGGCGGAAGAGGAGGATTGGTGGTAAAATCCCCGTCGGGTTTCCGAAAGTAGGAGAAAAGTGACCAGGTAGGCAGAGCCTGGAGAAGAGAGGAAGTGATTGGAGAAATTGTGGCGGTATTGAAAGTAGAATCGAGGGAAAACAGGATTACGTCCCTAGTCCGCTTCTTAAGACAGACGAGGGGGAAAGACCCAGTGGAGCTGGGGGCGTTTGAAAAGCGTTAGGGCTGGAACTACGACAAGAGAGAGAGAGAGACCGGCGCCAGGCAGTTCCAAGCAAGCAAGTGGCGGGCTGGCTGTTGTACGGGAATTGCGCACTGAGCGGCGAGCGGATTTTGGTGACGTAGAAGTGATTAAGGGTGAAATCGGGTGGGGGAGCCGGAGCACAGGATCTGGAGAAGACCAAGAGGGAAAAAAAATGGAGGAGAAGCTGGGTAGTCCCTAACAATTGGAGGGAGACTGCGCAAGCTGAGAGAGCAGAGAGCGCAAGAGAGGCCCAGAGAGACTTGGTTTGGTTCGGGGAGAGACCGGGGGGCTATGATATCACTCGTTATGGAGGGTGGAGGGAGCAGCACAAAAAAACTGGGTGTGCTTTAGATGGGGGGGTACGTAGTGGCAAGGCGGACTTTTATCAAGTATGAGTAAGAGTCAAGTTATCCAGCGATGAGAGAGGAGAGTGAGAGTGAACACCAAAAAAAAGAGAGGAGAGGGCAAAAAATAAATCTGGTCCAGAGACAGAGATGCTGGATAAGACTCTCTCTTTATCCAGGAGGGTGGAACCTTTACTTGTTGTTGTACAGTAAATTTCTTTTCTTATTTTCTAAATTATTATTATTTTTCAAAAAAAGAAAGACAATAAATCAATAAATCCATCAAGTAGATAGCACATAGTAGTAGGAGTAATAGTGGTAGTAGTAGAGGAGGGGGGAGAGTGGTGGCAGTGGTAGTAGTAACAACTAGTAGTAACAACTGTATCGCCCTCTTCCCCCCCTGGCTGCTCTAGACTATCTACCGACTGCTCCTCCATCCTGCCTGCCTGCTGCATCCCGTTGGGAGCTTGTGTTCCGGGGGAATCTCCTGGGCCCATCTGGTCTTGTCCGGAGTGGCAGACTGCAACTCTTCTACACTAGTTCCAGAGTCTAGTCCCGCGAGGACTCAGTCCGAAGTTCAGAAACAGCCATTGCCAAACCCCAATCTAGCAATCTGCTGAATCCCCGTTCGTTCTATCCATGGCGGAGAAGTGGGGGCGTGGGGGAGATGGGAGGGCAATCCCTTCCACCCTTTCCACCCTTCCACTCTCTTCCTTCTGGGCCTTCTATTTTTTTTTCTGATCAGACGACCATCTGTCCGTCGTCAGCATTGACATCCGCCCCTCTTTTCCAATCGAAAAAGGGTCGAACAACTGTGCTTCCATTCCCTCCGGCCTTTCAACCCCCCTCCTCTCCCCCCCCTTACACCCATGGCAAAATGTTCCTCAGGTGTGGTGAAATCGGGAAGGTTAACCCCTGCTCATTCTTATCGCCGGTATATCAAGTTTAACCATGTAGATGGTACCTTCTGTCTAGAACCTTTACCGGCGACATACGGGCGGACTACTGACTGTCGCGTCACCGTCTCGTTAAATCCGGTTTCCATTGGAGCCGAGGCCACTCGAAAGACGTTCAGCGCTGAGTCGTGAGTGTCTGCATATTGCCATATACCTCCCGACATTTGACCCGTAGAATTTCCCCTTCCCCCATCGGCAAGATATCCGAGCTTCCCAGACCGAGCTGCGACGCTCATTCTTGTCTTGTCCCTACTAACTAATAACCTGGACTACCGCATTGGGAGGCAGTCCAGCCAGAAGAATCACTAAGAATAGTCGTCAGATTTCCACATGACATCCCAAGAGACCCATAAGAATTCCATGGTTTTCTCTTCGCTCCACCCGCATGGATTAGCTGGCGTCTGTGCCTATCGCCTACGGTAGTTTACTGTATCTAGAACACCCCAAGCGCCCATGCAAGAACCACCTGAAATCTCAACAATCCATCAATGACCGATTCTTCCAGTGAAACAAGCAATTCGCGACGAGATGGGGAGATACGGATGCCACCAGTCACGGCATTAATATAGATTGACTATTTCACGCGGAAAAATTGTCAACGCAAGGACCAGCCAGGCAGGGCCCGGCGTTGATGGGAGCGATCGGTCATCGAAGGATGAACCCGACTAGGTTATGCATCGTGCAGCCACATGCCTACCTGACTTGACATCCATACCTCAGATGTATATGTAGGTGTAGTTGCAGATGTACTACTAACTGAGCAGCTCTGGAGATCTGCGATTTGCATCCATCCTTTGAGGCCCAATTGTTCTTCACCTCCATTCATCCCCGGTCATCAGGAATGAAGACCCCTTGATCTATACATGGAAGGTGTCAATCTATCCGTCCGATCTCCCCCCTTCACGATGAAAGAGATGTACTCGTTATGGTCCCATGGCAAGCAAGCACGCAAAAAGAGGGGCTCTGCGGGTGTCCCTCCGGCACCGCCGTGGAAGTCCTTCGGTTTGACTAGATTCCTGTCGATCGAGCACATGACAATGTCCAATTTTCTCCTACTAGCAACTAGTTTATTTTTCACGCACGCGTTGGCCAAACCCGGATTCTAGACCGGGTCTTTTTTACCCCTGGCTCAACTTTTTAATATTTTTTTCTTGATCACTTGAACGCCTCGAGGATTATCTCCGGTTTCTTGGGGTTCTCTGCTGTTTCCCTTTACGGTCAATATCAATTGTTCCATAGGGGCGTGTGTATTGACACTGTGGTACAGCACTGTTTAGCGGTAGTTCGTTTGATACATCTGCACATAAAGAATTGATGAATGCGCATAGAACAATACCATGTTGAGCTTGAATGGCTTTTAGTCAACTTACTTGTCGGCCCTGACTAGAAAGCGTCGACCGGTATACTTCCTGGCTTAGGTGCTTTAGCGTGTTACTCTGGTGCCCATCTAAGCTATGGAGATAAACAGATGAAGACGAGCTCGTTCGGCCTTCTGATTTACGGAGAAATTGTTGCAAACCGGAAATCGGTTCGGCGTGGCTTAAGGGGGCGGCTAGCTGTCTTGGGGGAAGCCACGGAAGCCACGGGATCGAATTGTCCCGGCCACTGGCACTGGCTTGCCCTCCGGCTAGCCTCCATCCTCCGGAGTCGAGAATTGCATTTCTTGATAAGCACTCAAGTCTTCAACATCGTGTGTTTTTGGGAAACGACTACTCATTTGACAGTACCAGTCGTTGGCCGTTTGTTTCGCATCTGCCCTACCAGTGCCTGCGCAGTTTTCTGCAGCCCTTCTCATCCACAATGATGTATGTAGTTGGCTCCACGGCCCCAGCCCAACAACGGGTGGTGACGTCTTCGACCAGAACTTCACCAGAACACACCCCCAAATGGATGGCACCCAATTGATTCATGCAACAAGCAGACACGACCCTGTGTGAGTGAGGGAGTGAAGCAAGAACTGATCTGGCACCTTCAATGAACGAACGACACCTGCTCCAAGGCCCACGACGATTGATCGGCCCCAGTCCCCTCCCCTTCTATCCCTGATCCGGTATACGAACACCCGCCAGGGACCGTTGTGGCTCCCCCGAAGGGAAGATCAACAGGTTCGAGACGGGAATGATAGCATTCCCAACTCGGTATGACCTCAATCACTCGGGTCATTTAGTCAGGCCCCCCAAACGTGTGCCAAGCGTAAGATCTCCAATGATGCAAAGGAGTTGTATAGGGACACAACCACTTGTGCTTATGTGCATAGTGATGATGACTGACAGAGGCTGCTGCATCGACATACCTGTCCTACTATGCCAGATCCAAGTACCTCAACTCCTCTATAAGTATCACATTGACTCAGGCTTTACCCCGGAACCACTACCACCAATCAAGTGAAATGCTCTGTTGAATGCTACCATAATCCCCAGACTAAGCCTCTACCTCGTTGTCGTCGCCGTCGAGAAATCGAACTCGGAAACCTGTTTCACCCGAATTCGTCATTGAAGAGGGACTGGTCTGGATCTGCAGAAAGCACCACCATGTGCAGGTAGACTAAAATTGTTTGTTTCTACATAGTACTCGTATCAGCTATCGAATTCTCCTTCGACCTCCAATAGTCATTAGTGATCACCATCTCCCACCCAATCCTCTGTATCGGGGAAGGAGTGGAGGATGTAGTGGTGGTTGACAACGCACGCACATGCTCTCATCCATCGGCGCAGCGATAACGACATGGGCCAGACAAAAGCAAAGCAAACCCTGAAAACCCCCCGGGGTGTTGCCCCCCGGCTAACCTTCCCTCTTTTCTCCCCCCAGCCCTCTCCGGACCTGGGAATTCTTCAATCTTCACCCGCCATTCCACACATCCAATCCCCTTGCCGGGAAGAAGGCGGCGGCAGCGGCGATGCACCTGTGGTTTTTGCTTCTGTGGTTGGGCCCCACAACTTTCCCGTTCTCAGTTTCTGAGTTCTCAAGCCTAATTCTATTTATGCATATGCTGCTGTAGCCTGTGGCTGCCGGTGTCCGTCACCTGACGACTTGCGTTTACTTTTACTCATGCCTATCGGTAGGTCGACTAAACCGGGTATTCGGGTGTCCTGGGCTGGGACTTACCTAGGTTTCCAGGCGAGGGGCGAGATCTTAGACCTTACGTATTGTATAGTATATATTGGGGCGGTCACCAGTTTTTCTGGGGGTTGCTGGTTTCTGGTATACGTTCGGCGGTTCTTGTCTGTCGTCCATTGAGAACGGGGGTCAGATGACCGTGGTTCCGCCGGTCTGGTTTCCGATGGGTGCGTTCGTTGAAGAGCTTCGCTTTGGTTTTTACCTCAAGGGAAGCGGTAGAGGCTCTTCGGGCGGTGAATTGCTTCGTTGGCGTTCTCTACCTAGTACCTACGCCTTTTGCGCCGACACGTAGTGCAGGACAGGACCTACTACACTATACTATGTGCTCTTTGACTGGAGGCTGGGGTCATTTGGTTTGATGACAAATGTAAAAAACCCCCAGCATCCTCCTGCTGGGAAGGGGATGGTGGAAATCTCGCATTGTAATCTACAACAAACGACAGAGTCGACCAAGATGTGGACAATATCAAAATCGAAGATCAATACATCACCCCAACACTACTGTCACAAGCTCCTGCTACCGGGCTTTCTCTTTTGTTTCGTTCGGGAAAGTCAAACACCAGGCTTGAGAAAAACAACGCGCCCTCACTCGGCCTTTAGGGAGCTAGGTTATACATTTGAGAGGAAATTATTTACTCAGCGTCCTCGAGCTCGGCACGCTTGCGGGCCTCGGCCTCCTCCTTCTCCTTCTTCTGCAGGAAGATCAGGGCGTTGATCTTGTCCTTGATGGTGTGCTCGCCGGTGAGGGTACCGGAGATCTGCTCGCGGCCGATCAGGCTGGCGACGATGCTGGCTCCGACGATGAAGGTCAGCACGAAGCGGTACATGCCGTACCAGGCCGGGGCGCGGCCGGCGGCGGCGGCACGGGCGTCGTTGTAGTACAGGAAGGTGAAGGCGAGGAATTGCGAGATCAGAGCGTACTCCACGGGGAGCAGCAGAGTCGGCCAGGCCACGGCCGGCGCGACAATACCCGCCGCGTAGCGTCTGTAGCCGTACTTGCCGCCGTAACCGGCCCACTCGAGACCCCAGTGCACGGCGCCGAGGAAGGAGAGGATCTAGTGGGATTCAACGGGTTTTAGCTTGGTGCTTGTCTGATAGAAGGCTGAAGAGGAACGAGAAGGAGGGGGGGAGGGATTAAGTTCATGTGTATCGGGTTTGGGTTTACTTACGACAGCTCCGTAGCCGACCTGGACGGGCTCGAGCAAGTGCAACAGCAACTCGGCGCTCTGGCCAGAGAAGAGCAGACCATCACCGGCAACGGCGGCGGTCTTGATCTCCCAGGAGAGGTAGACGGTCTCAAGGGAGGTAGCAAGGTAGGGGATGACACCGGCCATTCCGAGGTAGAGAGCCTCCTTGGGGACGGACGCCAGGCTGAAGGTGTCCTTGATCACTTTCTGTGCGTAGGCAATGGCAATTGAGGTTAGCGCGCTGTGAGCCCGATATGTTCGGCCCCGCGGAGGAGCTCGGATTGGATGCAAATGGGGATATATGGGGGAAGCAACATACAGCCTCGGCCTTCATACCGGCCATCATGTCGGTGTCCTCCTCACCCTCCTGTAGAGCCCAGTCAGCAATTGAACGGCATTCGTGTCGGCTCGTTCAACAAGTCTCTCACCTTGTGGGCGGTGGAAGCATGGCGGACAAGGGCGGTGGTGACAGGCTTGCGAATAGCCAGAGCGAGGTTGGGGGTGGTGGTCGGGCGAACGGGGAAACGAGCGGAAGAGGTCAACGGAGCCTTGAAGACATTGTTGGACAGGGCCGAGCGAGCGACCGAGGCGTTGGAGCTCTGGAGAGCTCTGAGCACAGAGCGGGCAGCAGTAGTTCTGTACAGCATTGTCGTTGCGAGACAGCTAAATTTTTCCCGATATCCGCCGGTTAGCAAAAGTGGAGGTTGGAAAGCTCGGATAGACAGGTATCCAGCACGGGGTAGAAGCTCACGCACCCAATTGAGCTAGAAGAAGAAGGGAAAAGAAGTGTATGAGCGGAGAAGAGGGTGTTCACCCGGATTTTGGTTCGAGATTAACTCGTGAGAGTGGAGTGGAATGGCCGGAGGGGAGCAATTGAGCCTGGAGATCACGAATGAATGAGGTGATATTAGACTGAGGTGCGGTAACGTCGAAGTTCGGGTGTACCATAGACTCCAACCCCGCAGGATGTCATATTCTTTGCCTCAGGCACGATTGGACCAGCGGGCCACGAGGCTGATTCAGCAGCAGGGCTGTAGCCCTAGAACGCTAGACCGGATTCGATCAGTTCTTTTTCCCAATCATGGATCATGGATGGATGCTGGGCTGGGCTGGGGCGGTACGGGCCAGAAACGATGGCCGGGAAAAGACAGAGCACCGACGTCACTTGCTGTGCCCGCGCGTCACAACTACTCAACGCAAGTTCCCCCTCCCCCTATTATTATTATTATTATCGTTGGTCTGGTTCATGCTTTCCCCAGGTACAGCCAGTACACTCCAGTCTGCGACGACTGCCTTATTGCTCTACCAGTCCTGGCAATCCATCCTCTCATTCAATCAGTCGCAATTGGTAAGTCGCTTCTGGTAAGTTGATACCCAACCTTGAGCTTCCCCTCTATTCACTGCCTCTTTCCCCTGTCCCTCTACTTTGCTCAAAGGGCACCGATCTTTGGTGGTCTGCGCCCGGTTTCCCTAGTCCTCTCCGCACCCGTCCCTCTACGCACGTTCCGGCGAACTTATCTTTTATCTTCTTCTTAGCTCACCGGCAACGGTATCGTGTGCACCTCCAGCTTCGACCTGCATGGCTCTATCCTCAACAGCTAGCGAGTGCAACTAAAGCTCGCGCTCTAAAGTAAGCTCACTGCTCCTCGATGTTTTCGAACGTTCCCTACTGCCCCTCCATGATACCGATAATCTTATCTGATGGTTCCGTCACTCTACTGACCGGTGGGATACATTTTCAGGCCGTTTTCACCCACCGTTTCCACCTTATCTCCCATCCTCCATAGCTGCCAGTAACTCCTCCCCAGGCCCGGGTCACGGCCATACCCCGCGATCATGTTGGAGGGACTGGTTGCCAACCTACTCAACCGCTTTCTGGGGATCTACGTCAAAAACTTTGATGCTAAGCAACTCAACATCGGTATCTGGTCTGGCGACGTGAAACTCCATAATCTAGAACTCCGACGGGAAGCTCTCGATCAATTACACCTCCCCCTCAACGTCGTCGAAGGCCATGTCGGACAGCTCACGTTATCCATCCCCTGGTCGAATCTCCGAGGCAAACCCGTCCGGGTCGACATCCAGGATGTTTTCCTCCTCGCAGCTCCCAAGGAGGACGCAGACTACGACCCAGAGGAGGAAGAGAGGCGAGCGCATGCTCTCAAAATGGACAAGATTGAGAGTGCGGAAATGCTGAAAGAACGCAACATCGAAGGAATGAGCCAGGAGGAGCAGCGCCGGAACCAGAGTTTCACCCAGAGTCTGGTGACCGCTGTCGTCGACAACCTCCAGATTTCTATCAAGAACGTCCACTTCCGCTACGAGGACTCGATCGCTTCGCCGTCCCACCCTTTTGCTGTTGGCGTGACACTGAAGGAATTAAGTGCCGTCAGTACCGACTCCGAGTGGAACCCTACCTTCATCCAGTCCACTTCCGGCACCACGCACAAACTGGCCATCTTGGGCGCTCTGGCTGTCTATTGGAATACCGATGCAGAACTCTTGGGCACAGGACGGGGTTCGGACGTGGGCGCAGAAGCTCAAGGCATTGGGCATGCGGAGCTGCTTGACAAGTTAAGGGCTGGTATCGATAATCAAGACAGTGCCCAGTTCATGCTGCGCCCAGTCAGTGGCCGTGCAGGTTTGGAGCTGGACAAATCGGGCAAGCATGACCGGCCGTCTCTCAAGGCTAGGCTTCTATTCGATGAGCTCAGCTTCGTCCTGGACGACCATCAATACCGTGATGGTCTGATGCTTGTGGATTTGTTCCATTACTTCATCCGCCATCAAGAATACAAGAAATTGCAGCCCAAGTGTCGGCCCAAGGAGGACCCCAGGGCATGGCTGAGATTTGCTGGAGAGGCCGTACTCAGCAAGATCCATGATCGTAATAGGCGATGGACTTGGGCTTATCAAAAGGAGCGAAGGGACGATCGCATCGCCTACATCGACCTGTTCAAGAAACAGAAGCGAGAAGGAACGCTCACCGGATTCGACGAAGAGAAGTTCGATCACCTTCAGCGCAAGCTGAGTTACGAGGACATCCGCTTCTGGCGGTCACTAGCAAGGAACCAGCTGCGGAAAGAGAACGTCGGCGTCAAGAAACCGGCGCAACAACAGACCTGGGGTGAATGGTTCTGGGGTACAAAGAAGGAAGAGTCGGAGGAAACTGCCATGACTGAAGAGCAACGGCAGGAGCTGTACAATGCTATTGACTGGGACGAGAAGAAGGCGATTGCGGAAAGTGTCGATGTCCCGCGAGAATGGGTCAAGCTCCAGGTCAACGCCGGCCTGAAAGCTGGAAGCTTCACAATGAAGCGCGATCCTCACGGGAGGGCGGATGAAGTCATGAAAATGGTGTTTGACAATTTCCGAGCCAAGGCTCTACAACGTCCTGACTCTTTCTTCATTGATGTCAACCTCGGTGGACTGAGGGTGTATGACGGGACGACTCCAGGGAGTCTTTTCCCGCAAATCGTTAAGGTCAAGGACTCCCTCCCCGAACCCAAGCACCGTCTGTCCCAAGCCTCAGGCGATGAGGAGCTCGACTCTGAGGCCGACGACGACATCTCTGCATACCAGGACAGCTTGTTCCATCTGCAGCTTGAGAAGAATCCTCTCGAGAGTGACGCAGACTCAGTGGTCAAAGTCAAGATGAAGAGTATCGAAGTCATCTACAATCCTACGTTCATCGTTGAAATAGTCAAGTTCTTCGAGCCGCCAGAGCGACATATGGAGTCCATCGGGGCTCTTCTCGACACCGCAGGTGCTACCGTCGAGGGGATTCGGCAGCAAACGCGAGCCGGCCTTGAATTTGCCTTGGAGGAGCACAAGAAAGTCGACGCACAGTTCGATATTCATGCGCCTTTGATCATCGTCCCGGAAAGTATCACACAAGAGAGCTCACTTTGTCTGATTCTGGACGCCGGTCATATCAGTGTCAATAGCGAGTTAGTCGACAGACAGACTATGAAAGACCTTCAATCGAAACAAAAACGGCAGTATGAGGAGGGCGACTACAAGGAGCTCGAGCATCTGCTCTATGACCGATTCTTGCTCAAGCTTGATTCAACTCAGGTCCTCATCGGTCCCGGTATCGAGATCACAAAGTCACAGCTTAGCTCTGATGTCGAGTCGCGCAATTTACACATTATTGACCGCATCAATGTAGACTTCGTTCTGGAGATGTGCATTGTACCCAAGGTCACTGAACTCACGAGGACTCGTATATCTGGTCATCTCCCCGAGCTACACGCTTCGATGTCGGACAAGAAATATAAGGGCTTGATGAAACTCATTGATATCGCCATTCCACGCTTCAGTGATGGCAGTGACTCGAAGAAGCCGGAAGAGAGAGCAACAGAGGCGCCTGCGACTGCCGACAGGCCTAGGTCGGCTTCTTTCCAGCCGTCCAACCTTAGGGAGCTTCCCGTCGTTGATGAGTCGGACGATGAGTCGGATGACGAAAACATGCAGAAGAGCATCGATAAGCCCATGAATATCCATCGACGCGATTTTGAATTCAAGTTCACTGTAGGCTGTTTACGAGGCTCATTATTCCGCTCCGACCCGAATGATCAGCTTCGTGACCACCTGCTCGTTGAACTGGTAGCCGAAGGCTTTGCTCTGGATTTCTACATGAGACCTTTCGATATGGTCGCAGAGGTTGTTTTGAAGTCCTTGAGTGTAGACGACTACATTGAAGAGAATCCAGTACCGGAGTTTAAGAGAATAATATCTTCCAAGGGCTTCGATGCCGACGAGAACAAAGATCTCTTCCACCTCAAGTTCGTCAAAGTGAATCCTGACTCTCCCGAGTTTCATTCCACATATGAAGGCGTGGCAATGAACCTTGACACATCCGTATCGACCATCAATCTCATCGTGACTAGGAAGACGCTCCTGACGCTCCTGGACTTTATCCTCCTCACTTTCACAAGTCCGGACCAAGCAAACAACCAGGTAACCCAGGCGGATGATAGTAATCAAGACGCCATAGCCGCAAACGAGCAATCTCAACAGACTGGCAAGATTCGCATCAAAGCCAATATGAAGAGTATTGCCCTTATTCTCAACAACGATGGCGTCAGGCTTGCTACGCTCAGTCTCAATACAGCCGATGTCGGAATCAATCTTGTGGGTCGCGCGATGTTGATCCAGTCGCGAATTGGAAGCCTGACTCTCATCGACGATGTCAACACAGGTGCATCAGAGAGCTCAGATCTTCGCAGACTTCTCACCATTGAGGGTGACAATTTTGCCGACTTCAAATACGAGACGTTTGATCCAGGAAGTGCAGATTATCCCGGTTATGATTCTGAGGTTTTCCTGAGGTCAGGCTCGATGAAGATCAATTTCGTAGAAGAGCCCTACCGCAAAATCATCAACTTCCTCGTGAAGTTTGGCAAGATGCAGGCCATCTTCAATGCCGCCCGGCAAGCTGCAGCGAATCAGGCTAACCAGCTTCAAGAGAATGCCTCCCGGATGCGATTCGATGTGGTTGTTATGACGCCCATTCTGGTCTTCCCAAGCTCTCTGACAGAAAGTGGTGTGCATGACACGATTACAGCTCACCTGGGTGAAATATACGCCAAAAACACTTTCGTTCCTCTTGATGACGCTAAGGACAGCCCTGCTGTAAATCTGATCTCTTCTGGTATTCGCAACATCCGTTTGACTTCCAAGTTCCATTACGATGCAGATACTGTAGAGGAGCTTGAGATGATACAGAAAGTCAATCTTGATTTCAGTATTTGCTATCTCGAACATCAGCAAGATAACCCGCGTCCAGATATCGAGGTAGAAGGGTCCATGTCCCCGATTAATCTTCGAATTTCGCAGAAGCAATTCAAGTTCTTGTTGGATTTGTCCAAGACGGTTCCCAATGCCTTCGCTACCGATAGTGAACAACAAGAGCTCGAAGCCCTGGAAGCTCTTCCTTCGTCAGTAACAGAGCCCTCCAGGGAGGCCGAGTCCAAGGCGATTGAGCGAAGTCTTTCACGGGAGCGAACATCCTTGGAAGATGTCAAGCAAGAAACATGGGTTCGACTGGACATGGTCTTCAAGGTGGACAGTGTTGGGCTCGAGCTTATCTTAGCTGCCGATGATGCGCCAGTCGGTCGCTTGGAGGACTCTAGCCTATCCAAGTTCTCACTCAATGACACGAAAGTCAAAATGCGTATGCTGACGGATGGCTCCTTGGAGTCCGAGCTTCTGATTCACTCCCTCTCCATCCGGGATAGCCGCAACCAGGACACGAATAAATTCAGGAAGATCATGTCCTTGATCAACAACGACGTTCAGCAGCAATTTATGGCCAGCGTCTCCATGTCTCCGGGCCCGCAGAAGCACCTCATTGCCATGCTTACAATTGACAGCCCGCGTATCATACTGGCTTTGGACTACCTATCTGCTTTACAGTCGTTCGCAAATTCAGCTTTTGCCTCGGAAGAACCAGTGGTTGAAGAAGAGAGCGACGAGACTCTTGAAGAGTCAGAGCCTCGGTCCAGCACTGCCGAAAGTGACGATGCTTCGTTGAATGCCCTGTCAAATGAAGACGCGCCACCTGCTGCTTCTGCAGAACAAATGACTGTATCTTTTAGGGTGAATCTGGTTGATGCTCAAGTGATTACGATTGCTAATCCCGCTATCGCACATACTGAAGCTATTGTCTTGGGGACTAAGCAGCTATTGTTCTCTCATCAGAACGTTTCGACACTGCAGATTAGCAAAGTTGGCATGTTCCTCTGTCGCATGGACAAATTCGAAACTAGTAGGCTTCGGATCCTGGACGATTTCACTTTAGAGGTGTCAGTGGACAGTCGTGGGCAAGAGAAGGGCTCCTCCCTCACCTCCATCAATGCCCACATAGAACCTCTGGTTCTGCGTCTTTCTCTTCGAGACATCTTGATGGCGATCCAAATTGTGAACAAGGCTTCTGAAATGAGGGCTCAAAGGACACAACCAGTTGAGACCGGCGAAGTGAAGAGCTTACCAGAAGCGAAGAGTATTAAGCCGAAGTCATCTAGGCGGCAATCGACTGGCAGACAATCCTCGTCAGCTATGGCCCCGAGAACCCGACGCCAATCGAGTGCGGCTGCAGAACAATCAGCTCGGATTTCAAGCCTAGGACGCTCGGCTATTCTCAAGCGTGAAGAGTTGAATGCTCAGGTCGATGGGCTGAGAGTTATTCTTATCGGCGATCTTCATGATCTTCCATTGCTCGATTGGAGTGTTAAGAAGTTCAATGTCGATGTCCGCGACTGGTCTACGACGCTGAATGCCGATACTAGCTTTGAAACTTTCGTCAATGTGTACAACTTCTCAAAGTCTGCATGGGAGCCTCTTATTGAACCATGGCAACTGGGATTCCACGTGGCTAGGGAGGTCGATCCGGAGATCTTCTCTATAGACGCCTATTCTCACAAGACGATGGAGCTCACTCTGACATCCGCCACGATTGCGCTGGCCTCGAAGTCTTTCCAGTTCCTGTCCACGGACGAGGATGTTCTTTCCAAGCCAAGAGGGGCAGATGCACCTTACCGAATCCGCAACTACACGGGTTTCGACCTGCACGTCTGGGCCGATATCGGTGCAGATGAAGATGGACCGGCTGCCAGACTAGCCGACGGCGAGGAGTACCCTTGGCGATTCGAGGACTCGACTTCGATGCGTGAGACACTCGCACCCGAGGGACATGCCGGGCTTGTCGGCATCAAGCTCGAAGGGAGTGGCTTCGACAGCGTGAACCGGATCCCAGTTGTCAGAGAAGGTGAAATTCTGTACAGTCTGAAACCCAAGAAGGACGGCATTCTTCATCGACTTCTGGTCGAGGTCAAATTAGGTGCGGACAATGTGAAGTATATCACCTTCCGCTCGCCGCTGGTAGTCGAGAACAGCACGCAGATTCCTGTGGAATTGGGCGTTTTCAATCCTCAAGAAGGTCACTTGCTGAAGATCGAGAAGATCCTTCCCGGAGAATCACGGCCTGCACCTGTTGGAGCAGCTTACATGCACTCCCTCGTCATCCGTCCTGACCAAGGATTCGGGTACGATTGGTCTAATGAGCAACTGCACTGGAAAGACATGCTACGTCGCCCCACTCGGACAATCAAGTGCCTAAGTGAAGGCGGGCAACAGTCCCCTCCCTTCTATTTCCAGATGCACGCCAGTTACAACGAGCGGGACTCTCTCACGGGCGTCTATCCTTACATGAGGATCAAGATCTTTGCGCCTGTTGAGATCCAGAATCTTCTTCCGTATGATTTCAAGTATCGGATTTACGACAAGAACACAAGAAAGGACTGGACGAACTTCCTGCGCAAGGGAGGTGTCAGCCCGGTCCACGTTGTTGAACTTTCCCACCTGTTGCTACTCAGCGTGGACCTGGAGGACACGGTATTCAAGCAGAGTGACTTTGCGATCATCAATGGTAATTCTCAAGATTTCAAGAGAGAGCATACCTTGTCTCTGAAGGATGAGCGAGGCATTCAGTTGCGATTGAAACTCCACTACTTCAGAGTCCCTGACAGTGGTGGGGCCTTTAAGGTCTCTGTCTACAGCCCATACCTCATTCTGAACAAGACTGGTCTGCCCATGGAGATCCAAAGCAAGGCCTTCCTACAATCAGCCCGCTCGGCTGCGGGGCAAGGATTGAGGGCTGATCCCCGGAATGGGGGGCGTACGCTCCCATACATGTATTCCTACCATACTGATGATCAGAAGAACCGGTCTATGCTGAGAATAGGAGACTCTGCTTGGAGTAAGCCCCAGAGTTTCGAGGCCATTGGAAGCACTTTTGAGGTTATTCTCCCAGATCAGCAGGGCAGAAGTGAGTTCCATTCGGGTGTCTCCGTTGCTGAGGGCGAGGGCAAATACAAGATGACCAAAGTCGTGACTATCGCACCTCGATTCGTTCTGAAGAACAAGTTGAGCGAGGACATCTTGGTCCGAGAGCCCGGTTCTTCCAGTGTGCTCAACATCAAGAGTGGCGAGCTTGTACCTCTCCATTTCTTACGCCAAGTCGCTGAGAAACAGCTTTGCCTGTGCTTCCCTGGCGTTAATAACCAGTGGTCTTCTCCGTTCAACATCGCAGATATTGGGACGGTGCATGTCAAATTGGCCAAAGCGCAACAACGTCAGAGACTCATCAAAGTTGATGTGGTCATGGAAGGCGCAACGCTCTTCCTCCATTTTAGCTTCGAAACTCGGAACTGGCCGTTCTCCATGCGGAATGAGAGTGATATGGAATTTATTTTCTACCAAGCTGTGAGTACTTTCGCCAAGATGTGAAGAAGTCGTTGACTGATTACTTTTTAGAATCCGAACGTCGAAGAGGATGAGGAAGACAGAACAAATGGCTGGCGACCGATCCGCTATCGACTTCCCCCCCGAAGTATCATGCCTTACGCTTGGGATTACCCAGCCACTAAGAACAAATCTCTTGTTCTGGCATGCAAGGGCAAAGAAAGACATGTCAGGCTTGCAGAGATTGGCAATTTGATACCTATGAGAATCCCGCCTACTCAGTACGGTGAGACCCAGAAAATTGTTGATATCAATATCGTTGCCGATGGGCCGACTCAAACCTTGATGTTGTCCAACTTCAAGCAATCCAAGAGTATGTACAAGCAGAAAGACAGGGGACAAGCCTCGCAGAGCAGCTTAAGCGCTGGTTTCGAGGTCAAAGAGCTTGATTCGGATGTCAACTTTAAGGCTCAGCTCCGCCTTGGAGGAATCGGCATCTCTCTGATCAATCAAAATCTCAAGGAGTTGCTATATCTGACATTCCGTGAGATTGACATCAAATTCAGGGAATCAAGAATCTACCAGACCTTGAATACCACCATCAAATGGATACAGATTGACAACCAATTATATGGCGGCATCTTCCCAATCTTGCTCTACCCCAGTGTGGTTCCAAAGACTGGCAAGGAAATGGAAGCACATCCAATCTTCCACACAATGGTGACTCGGGTGAAGGACGATTCTTATGGTGTTCTCTACATCAAGTACGCCACAGTTCTCTTACAGCAGATGACACTGGAGCTTGACGAGGACTTCATTTTTGCGATGTTGGACTTCGTCAAGGTACCCGGTGCATCGTGGTCTGAGGAACACGAGGGAAAGCTCTGTGACGAGGATTTGAATATCCCAGAACCGCAGACTGAGGGTACTGTCTCAGACGTCTACTTTGAGCTACTTCACCTGCAGCCCATGCAACTCGATATCTCCTTTATGCGTACCGAGCGTGTGAATGCGGAGGACACCTTGCAGCCGTCGAACCCCCTGATGTTCTTCGTTCATGTCATGACCATGTCGATGGGCAATGTGAACGATGCACCCATTCGGCTCAATGCGCTCATGCTAGAGAACGCTCGTGTCTCTCTTGATGTTCTTGTCAGCAATATCCAGAGACATTACACCCAGGAGTTCTTGCGACAAGTGCACGTTGTCTTGGGGTCGGCTGATTTCTTGGGTAATCCTGTCGGTTTGTTCAACAACGTCAGCTCCGGTGTCGCTGCTATCTTCTATGAGCCTTACCAGGGTCTTGTCATGACTGATCGGCCACAAGAGCTTGGTATCGGCATCGCGAAGGGGGCGACCAGTTTCGTGAAAAAGTCCGTTTTTGGATTCTCTGACAGCATGGCCAAGCTCACCGGAAGTATGTCCAAGGGTCTGGCCGCTGCCACCCTAGACAAAGAGTTCCAAGACCAGCGACGAATGTCCAAGTCGCGGAACCGACCGAAGCACGCTCTGTATGGCATCACTGCTGGGGGAAATGCCTTCGCAACTAGTCTCGCAAGTGGCATCGGAGGACTCGCCCGCCACCCCCTCCAGGGTGCTGAAAAGGAAGGCATCCAAGGCTTTTTCAAAGGTGTCGGAAAGGGTGTCCTGGGTCTTGCGACGAAACCCGCCATTGGCGCCTTCGATCTTGCCTCAAGTGCGTATGCCCTTCAGCCAAATATGAATTTACACTGACCGTTATCTAGATCTCGCTGAAGGCGTGCGTAACACCACCACTGTTTTCGACGCGGAGGGCCTCGATCGTGTACGTCTGACCCGCTTCATCGGCACCGACGGTATCGTTCGGCCGTACTCGCAACGCGAAGCACTCGGACAATTCTGGCTCAAGACGGCCGATGACGGCAAATATTTTAACGAGGACTACATTGCGCATCTTGAGCTCCCGGGTCGAGACATGCTGGTCATGTTGACCTACGATCGAATCATCCTCGTGCGCACGAAGAAGCTTCGCACAGAATGGGACATGCGCTTGAAGGACATCCAGACCATATCTAAGGAGCGAACGGGAATGAGCATCACTCTCAAGGGGGGTGCTAATGGGCCATTCATCCCAGTGCAGGATGAGAGCTCGAGGAATTGGTTGTACCGACAGATTGCTGTTGGTGAGTATTCTTCTTATTCCATTTGTTGTATACAAGACTGATTGTGCCATTTAGCTGTTAATGCTTTTAATGAGAAGTATAATGCACGTGCCTAGGACCAACCACCCTCGGAAGCCTTAATGAGATATCCTACTGAAGGGCAGGGGTAGTGTTTTGGAGGCAATGATTGTACAACATGTATGCATGGATCGTTTCAGCAAAGAATGCTTATGAGGCTTCCAAGCTAGCTACGCCAAGCTGGACCTGAACAGGATGGATTTTGGCGGAGGTACAGACGGAGCGACATGATGCAATTGGAAGCTGGTTTGGATGATTGTTGTTTCCGTGTTCCTGCAGATTCAGCGAGTATATATATCATTTTTCCCCTAATGTTATGCTGTTGTAACTATGACTGCGACTGGTCATCTTACCCCTGGCACTCCAATGTTCTTCTAATGCAGGTGTATACTATACCCTCATGATTCACTCTCCCTGCTTTACCAATTGGGATGGCGGGGTGTGAATGTCTCACCTCCCCACCTCTTCTACTGACAGAAACTCTGTTCTGTGGATCCTTGGACTCCACTGTGGTAAATTGATACAGACTCCTAGTCAACGAGAGCTACCCCAACATCGGCGTCTAGCTACTAACCGCCTGTAGTCTTTTCTCGTTAGAAATTGCCTCAAGGGGTTAAGATTTTCCCTGGATGCGCGACAACACGAAGGGTGAGTTCGGTAGCGAGCCAGCAGGATCCATCTAGACTGATACCTGACAGATACGTAGCCTGTCATATACTTCCGGTGTCTTTACCAGTAGTTACCAGTACCTGCTGTTCTTCCATTCCGTCATGTCGTACAGGGTCTGGCCTTGTGTGACGCTGTCTGACTGGCTTCAACTGGGTCAAGCCTGGAGATACTCCTAGACCTACGCGATCAAGCTCGTTATTGTCGAGCGCCGCAGTATGTGATGGCGACAACAAAGTTCTCGCTCTTTTTTCTCTGGCTTGGGTAAGTCCTGGGAGGGGGACATCTTTCTGGCATCAAATTGCCCTCGAAACCGATATTATAGCAGTGCTAATCGTGTCTGGACTGACAGTCTGGTCCATCTCACTGGTCTCTACTTTTTCACCCAAGGCTTTCTTCTGACTCGCCAGATCCTCGAGTCGAGGAGCACCTGCGACGAACCCCCGCGAGAGATCTGGGCCAGCACCGCACCTCACGCAGATGATGGATGCTGCTGGCTCCGGCCCACCTTCAAGAAAGCCATCATCCTGATTATCGACGCCCTCCGCTACGACTTCACCACCCCTATTCCTCCCTCCCAAGCAGACAAGCCATACCACAATGCCCTCACCGTCCTGCACACCCTCGCACACGAGCGACCCCGCAACGCCCTCCTCCTTCCCTTCCTCGCCGACCCCCCGACCACGACCCTCCAACGCCTCAAGGCTCTCACCACCGGCACGCTCCCAACCTTCATCGAGGCCGGCTCCAACTTCGCCGGCTCCGCCCTCACCGAAGACAACCTCATCGACCAGCTGCTCCTCTCCTGCCCCGCCCCGTCCTTGAAAGCCAGTTCCAATCCCAGCGCCAACTCCAGCTTCCCCCACCCCCCACCACAACGCCGCCTCGTCCACCTGGGCGACGACACCTGGCTCAAACTCTATCCAGCCCACTTCCTCCCGCACCTCTCCCATCCGTTCTCCTCCTTCGTCGTCGAAGACCTCCACACCGTCGACACAGGCGTCACCACCCACCTCCTCCCCCTCCTGCGCAATGACACCCTCCAGCACGAATGGGACGTGATCGTCGGCCATTTCCTGGGCGTGGACCACGTCGGCCACCGCTTCGGCGCCGCGCATCCGCTCATGCGGGCCAAGCTACGGCAGATCGATGCCGTCGTGCGCGAGGTGGTCGCTGCCCTCGATGAGGATACCGTGCTGGTCGTCATGGGCGACCATGGCATGGATGAGCATGGGAATCATGGTGGGGAGACGCTGGAGGAGGTTCTAGCTGCCTTGTGGTTGTATTCGCCGCGGGAGTTTGTCGGGGGGAGAGATGCTGGGACTGCTGATGTTGGGAATGTTGATTGGGAGTGGGAGAGGGGTGGGAAAGAGGACCTGCTGAGTGCGGCAGTGCCGCAGGTTGATATCGTTTCGACGCTGGCGCTACTGCTCGGCGTGCCCATCCCGTTCAATAATCTGGGTAGGCCGATCGAGGAGGTCTTTGCGTTTAGTACCGATGGTATGGAGACAATCGATTGGGGGAGGTTGGTGCGGGTGAATGCTTTGGCTGCGGCGCAGATGGAGCGGTTTCATGCGGAGTATACTAGGTTGTATGGGGGTATGAAGGGTGGTATTGAGGTTTGGATTGCAGATTTTGTGCAGAGTGAGGTGGATTTTGGGGATGATGATTCGTTGAGGCGCGCTTATGCGGGTTTAAGGGAGTATCAGGCGGAGTTGTTGACGGGGTATCGACGGGTTTGGGCGCAGTTTAATGTCTTGTATATGGTTGAGGGGGTTATGGTGCTCTTGTTGAGTGTTCTTGCGATGGTCTGCGCGCTTATTGATGGGTCTTGCTTCGAGGGGCCGTGGTTTATATCCAGGGCGGCGGTGGCAGGTGGTTTGATGGGTGTTGAGGTCGCTGGTGCTCATGTTGTCTATGCGGACTCTGCATATCGCTTGGTGGAGAGCCTGGTGCTGGGCACTGTGATAGCCAGTTTGACAAGCGTGATCGCTAGGGTTCATTGTGGTGCTGTGCGACGCTGCTGGCAGTCCGGGTTCAGCATTGCCAATTGGCAGGCCATCTTGTTTCCTCTTGCTCTTTCGCTGGGCTTCGCGTCAAACTCCTACACCATCTGGGAAGATGAGATCCTGTTGTTCTTTCTCTCCAGCTTCGGGCTCTGCATGCTCGTCTCGTCCACCCACAAGATATCTCCCGTTTTGTTCCTGCTACTGACGCGCCTCGCCTCCTTTAGTCGACTGTGTCGTGAAGAACAACTCCCGACTTGCCAGACCACCTTCTACCGACTCGAGAACTACCTCCCCTGGCGCGTCGTCGCGCCATTCCTGACTGCTGTTCTGATACTGTCTACGTTGCAAGCCGTTAGCCTACGGTCTATACAAGCATGGTTCACGCTCTGTATCCCCGCTGCGCTCGTCCTCAACGCTCTTTTCTGGACACTCGAAACAGCCACCGAGCAGAACTGGCTCGCAAGCATCGCCACAGACGACACCTCCAAGACTCTCCGTGTGATCATCGCTCGAATCGTGCTGTCTATCAGTCTCTCCGGACTCGGCTCTGCCTTTCTGTCTTCGAAGCGTTTCCTCAACGACAAACCAGACATCCTCACCACTGCTGTGCTCCTGGTCTGTATCCTGGTGAGTCCCCCAACCAGCGGCCTCTTACTCGCAGCCCTCTACTCCCAGCTTCTCCTCCTCCCCTACAGTACTACAACCCACAGAAGCGGTCCAATCGTCACCGCCCTCCTAGGAACCTTCTACTTCTTCACCACCGGCCACAACGCCACCTTTGCCTCAATCCGGTGGAAAGCCGCGCACATCGGATTCCGCGACGTGGTCTACCCATGGTCGCCACTGCTGGTGGGGATAAACACATTTGCTGGGCCCATTCTCGCTGCGTGTGCCGTCCCTTTATTCTACCGGGTTTCTACACCACGGGAGAGGAGACTGGAGGTCCAAGCCCAGATGATCCTCGCGCATAGCACCGTGTACGCCCTCTGGGCCGTCTCCACGGCGGTGTGGGCGTGCATCCTCCGCCGCCATTTGATGCTATTCGCCATCTTCTGTCCGCGGTTCCTGATGGCGGCGGTGGTGTTGGGAGTGGTGGATGTGGTTGGTTTGGTCAATGTGCTTGTAATGTAGATATGCCCTGGGCTATTTGTATATACTGCACCTAGATTGTAAGGGTGTACTGTTGTGTTGTGGAAGGTAGAAGTTGTGAGAGTACGGTACTTTCTTGATTGCGAGGTTATAGATCATACACAAATGAATGACAATAGTTGGAGTTGTTGACGTCAACGATACTAGGAAATGATTTCCACGGCGACCACTGCCTTTCCTTCCTTGTCAGTTCCCAGAGACACACTCAGACTGACTTCCTCAACCACCCACTCACACAATCATTCAATCACTCAATCACAATCACTCAACCACTGATCACTCGCCCGCTCACTCAATCCCCGCAAGAGTCATCCCCACGACAGACTCACAACCCATCTCACTTGCAATAATGCACCCAGCAAGCCTACACACACCAGATTAGCGACCATATCACCAACCCCTTTTCCCCCAAATCCCCATCCCAACCAACCTAATCCCCAGAAAAAGAAAAAAAAAAAAACATACGTTACGACACTTCTCCCCCCCATGATTATGGCGACAATGGTCCAAACACTTATTATACCCCTTCACATTCCGACAAAACTGGACGTCCGCCTCGGAGTCCACCCCCTCGGGAGCAGGGGCAGCAGCAGCAGCAGCAGCGATAGCCTCCGCACCGGCGTCAGCTTCAGCCTCAGCGGCAGGGACAGCGACAGCCAGGGAGGCGAGAAGGAGAGCGAGGGGGATGAGGAAGCGCATTTTCAATTCTATTCTTCAATCGGTTTGCGTTGTGGAACTGAGCTTTGAATGATGGTTCGTTGTTTTGATAGCTGTGTATTCTTCACCTAGGGCGAGAGCGAAGGTGTCTTTATAGCTTCATGATCTGATGTTTTCTGCGTAGCAGGTCGAGGGTTAAAGGGTGAGGATGAGAACAACCATCTCGTCCAATTTTCCCCCGAGTCTCTTTCTTCCCTTTGGGGTCTGGTACTGAATGCATGGATGGCCGTGAATACGTTCCGATGGTGGTACAGTTGAGGCGATGAGGTCGTGAGACGGGTGAGAATTCTGGACGAGGAGAGAATGTGGTATACAGGGTCTTTCGGCGTTGGTTGGGATGGTTTGTGTTTCTTGTGAGAGGGTGAAGGTGGTGGATTTGTTGTCTTCATCAGCTGCTCTTCTCAGCTGGATCTTGGTTGTTTGTCTGTCTGTCTGTCTGTCTGTCTGTCTGTTGACTGGTTAGTGGTTATTGAGCTGAGGGTGAGCTGGCTGCGAGCTTACTGCTTTTTGGATCTGTGGATCTCTGTTGTTCATGGGTCTGTGTATATATCTCCGTCCGTCATGGACGGACGGCGTGCTTCGATTCGTACCAGTAAGTAGGTGTAGACAGGAAAAGGTCACTGTACAATGGTAGTAAATAGCGAAGATAATCTATACTCCCGTCTAATGTGAGTACTACCCCATCTCCATCTACGATCTATACTACCATCCATCCATCCCAATCACTGATCGGAACCCTCACACAACTCAAAACAAATCCGGAGGATATTCGCACCACACAATCCCCTTCCCTTCCCCCTCCCCGTCAACCCTCAACTCAAACCACGAGGCTCGTGAAACAGTCAAAAACAAATTGCCCTGCCCTGGCATTTCACCCAGGGTCTCAGGGGCTGTTTGTTTTGCTCCTCACACATATTACCCCAGGTCTGGGTAACCCGAGAAACCGTCCTGTGGAACAGTAAGCGGGATTGCGAAGCCGAAAATGGGGGGTGAGGGGGTAAGCAGTTTTCTGGAAGAAAAGAAAGTCATGAGGGAGTTGGATTTGAAGACAAATCTAAACTCTGATCTAGACTAACTTATCTCCGGTCAGGGTTTCATCGGGTTGGAATTGAGTTTGTCTATTCGGGGGTTGTGGGGTGGTGGTGAGATTACCTGCCCCCCGCCGGCATCGAATCACTGTTCGTACGGACGGATAGATGGAAGCTGATGTTGTGATGATAATGATGAGGAGGAGGATTGATTCGATAGAATGAATGTCACCTCAGCTCGGTGTGGGCCGGAGAAGATTCACCCGTCTTCTTTTGGGAAAGGCAGCTTTTTCCGCGGAGAAATAGAGCGAGTAGTCTCACCCCTATGTAAACCGAGGATAATACTCCGTACTAGATAGTTTCTTGTCAACACTGCTAGGACAGATCAGATGGGACTTGCGTCATAGGTGCACGGTTGGGGTTCCGAATCCCGGGGATGGAAGTTAAGTAGGTATGTAATAGGATGAAGATGGCGCAGTTTAAGCGTTAAACAGCTTGCTTTGTTTCTGTGGCTGGGAAAGGACAATGCCATGCAGCGGAATGGGGTGAGCGTGAGTCATTGGTATCTTGTAGAGAATTTCTGTGCCGTCTGTCGGTTTCATTGCAGTCTCTATTCAAGGCTACAATAGCCCAACGCTCGCGAAAAGAAACCAAACTCGCCGGTCAGGATGGTATGAGTGAGGGCTGGGATTCGTGAATCTGGTTTCATCGAGGCTCATCTGCAGCGCGATCTGAAACCTTTCCCCCTCTCCTCTCCCTCGGTCTCCATTTCTGTATTACTTGGCAGCGTTGGCTAAGGAAGTCCCCGGTACTGACAGCAGGAAATCGAACCGGGGTGAGTGAAGTACTCCGTACTTTTCTGGTGAACCAGACGAAGGCAAAGGTAAGCGTCACACAACAGCTGTTCGCAGAAGATGAGCTCATTAGTCCAACGGGACAAGCGCAGACGGGAATGCGTGGATGCATGGTACTTTTCTCGCCCTCCCTCTCTCTCTCTCTCTCGCTCTCCCTCGACGCCATAGCATCAAATATTAAATAGCTCAGAGCAAGACACATCCCCGGATCTCATCATGGAGGTCTTCAGGCAGCTATAGACTGCCTACCTCGTCAGTCGTTTCGAGAAGTTAGGCAAACATGATCCCCTCAAGTATCGGATGGTGGGTAGCAGGAGCCAAGCAGATCAGAACACACGGCAGCAATTGGAGTAGAGTTCGAGATCGGATGTCTCCAATATACCCTGCCCACTCGGGAGATGATGCTGGGAGGGACGAGGGGGGGCAAAAGCCTTGTGAGATGATGCATGCACGCACAAGGTTGAGGAGGCGAAGGAAGAGAAACGAGGCAACAAAGAGAGAGGGGCAAAGAAGGAACATCAGTGAGACCTTGACATGAGATACGTAACATACCCATACCAGAAGATAGATGTACATGTACCATATATTGTAGGTATACCATTTTCAGAGTAATATGCTGCTCGATCATGCCTGACCGATCTTATTGCCTTCTGTACTTCCTATCTTGCCTCTCGCTTCTTCCTCGGTCTAACAGTCCTCCAAGACCAACAGCGGCAAGAAGCCCAGGGGAGCCCATCACTCAAACAAACATCTGCACTCAAATCCAATTCTCATCACCCCATCACACTTGACTCCCGCAGAGTCAACTATGAGATGCCGTGCCGCTCTCTCTTGCTATCTCTGGAATGGGAAACCTAAGGCCGAGTCCATGGCTGATTATTGATCCCCACTCGGTGAGGAAACCAAACGAAAAAAAGGGCGAGGCAGCAAACACGGCAGAGAAAAGAGGAAGAGGGTTTGATATTTAGTGATAGATCCCGTCCTTTCCAATGTCTCCCTGGCCGATAATGATGTTGATGCTGATGAGGGTGGCATCAATAGAACGCCCTTTATCACTTTTCTCTTCCAAGCAAACAACCGCCTGGAGCCTGGGTGGTGATAGTGGTTCGGCCAGAATCACAATCCAGGTGTGATACTTGTGCCACAATCTCCTCCATCAGTACCCCATAGCTTCGTCTGAATTTAGATTGACTGAAAGGAGGGAACTGCGAGCACCGTTTCTGCATTACATTATCTCGACAGCAGCGGACAGCTGACCATAAAGCCTTATGGTAGGAAGTTATTCGTTGTTCCTTAGGCATCAAGGAAACCCGGCCATAAGGCATCAACCGCCAACTCAATCACAGCAGTCCTTCCATAGTAGATACCATGCAGAAATCAACGATCTAACTAACCCCCAGCCAGTTGTATCCAAGTCAATGACCACGAAATAAAAGAGAAGAATTGATTTACACGGGAAACGGGGCGGTAAAAAGCAGCCAAAGAACGAAAGAAAAGAAAGATCACATCGCATCGCATCGCATCGCATCCATCATCGTCATCATCATCAAACCCTCGCTCCCCCGCATCTCCCTCTTCTTCCCCTCCTCCAACCCCAGGCGGATTGCCAACTACAGGTTGAACACGAGGAAAATCAATCAATTCAATGCTCGGCTCACCGAGGTATCGACCTACGTACATACATACAGTACCTACTTGCATCTATCCAGTCCCACGAAGACCAGACTAACTCCCTCCCTCTGATTCCCTCCATCATCGGTCTAGATTCAACCCACACCTAGATTATAGACGTGGAATTTCAAGAAAAAAAAGTCGGAACTAGTATTTATGCATATCACCAATCTCGAAACCTATACCCAAGGAAAGATATAGGGGTCTAGACGGGACTGAGTCTTCTGGTTTCTTGTTTTTTTAGCTTTGGGGGTAAGTGTGTATCTGTCAACTTTGTTGGTTTCTCGATGACATATGGGGTTCATCTCCTAGCCGGTGGGATGGGGAGAAACACGGGTGACTAGTACAGTTGATGTACATACAGTAAGTAACAGTAATCTAGGCACACCGCATTACTGCTACGCTAAGGATGGTCGGCGATGTCAGTTGCAGATAACTTTATGATGGCAAGACAGACAATCAGTCAGTCAGAAGTTGCAGCAGGCAGCGCTGCATCCGGGGCTGCCGCCGCTGTACTGCGCGTTAGTCTGGGAAGGAAGGGAGGTGAAGTGCTGCTGATGGGGGATGCACCACTAATTAACTAACTCACGAGCTAATATTCAGCTAGTTAGTTAGTTAGCCAGCCAGTTAGTAATATCAAGGACGGGAAGGCGTAATAGTAATAATCCCTGTCCATGGACTGCATACGCAGAATACATTCTCTCTCTCTCTTTCTCTCTCTCCAACGTCATCGTCATCACCGTCACCACCATTTTCACTGTCCCAGCTTTACTTCCTTCCCTTCATTCCCTTTTTTTTTTTTTTTTTTTTCCGAGTATCTAACTCGCTTCAGACTCTATCGCAGACATACCGTAGATACAATCCCATAAACTCAAATACGATACATCCACCCTCCCCAAATCACCACCTCAAAAATAACCGAATCCGAGATGAACCCTGCCTAGTTCAATCCACCCAATAGTTTCGGTCCGGCCCCTGCCCTCTCCAACCATAGCACCGATCAAAGATCAACAACCTTACCTTCCCTTCCAAGTTTTTTGTTGGTGACTGCGGAGACTACTGTACATCCTACTGGAATCTGACGAATTCAGGATTCTGTTTCCAACACTCCTCATTTCCATCCGTCCTTCGGCCCCCACTCCACGAATCCAATGACGGGGTCGTATGCTGGCTCGGATTTAGTTTCCAGGACTCTTGCTATAGGGCGAATGATCGGGTATGAACATCGTGGGAGGGAGATCTGCGATAGATAGATAGATACTCTGCCACTAAGTATGTAGGTAAGGTAAGTTATAGGTGAGTCTTTTGGCGCTACTCGCTCGGTTATTGGATCGGGTCTAGTCTACGTTGCTCGATTGGTCGCTTTCACATGTAATGCTATTGCCTTAGTCTCGAGGCGTGAGTGGTTCTGGTGAGTTTTAAGGTAATAATATTGAGGTGTCCATTTATCATGAATAGGACGGCGGAGGGGGTTGTAGAAATGACTATCAGATAGTCACCACAGGTAACTGATATAGTGGTGTGATGCATAAGAGGTGCTAGGTAGTCCATCTGTAAGGTTCGATCGATCGGGGAAGAGGCGTCGTCTCCGGCGGTCCCCCACGACGGTGGCGTGCATCTATTGTCCAAATACTACTTCGACGATATGCAGTTAAAGAAAGAACCGCTGAGGCTGGTATCTACTGGGCTTCCATACATTTGGCACTAAGGTTGTTTAGGGCGTGAAGGTGAGGGGGTAGTGGTGTGGTGCTTGCCGCGGAGGGAGCTGTTTCTTGTCGCGGCTGTTGGTATAATTCAAATTCATGTGAGTTGAATTCAGAGAGAGGAGGGGGAACAATTTCCCTCCCCCCAAAAGAATAAGGAAGGGGGGGGGGGGGGGGGGGGAAAAAAAAAAAAAAAAACACAAAAAAAAAAAAAAAAAAAAAAAAAAAAAAAAAAAAAAAAAAAAAAAAAAAAAAAAAAAAAAAAAAAAAAAAAAAAATCACGGCTATCATGGGCCTATCTCTGTCCCGAAATCGACCCATCTCTATCCCGAATCACCGATCCTATCTATCCCCAATCCCCATTTTCCCTCTTCCCCGTCCGCCTGCCGGACGCCATTCGGTGGAGCCCCGAAAAGCCCGCGCGCCAGCCGTTTCACCCTCCCCCCGTCGATCCTTGGCTGACGTGGGTTGCACATGCGAAGGGATAGAGCCCTTCTAGACGGTAAAGCTGTGACCACTCAAACCAGGGGTATCGTGCAGCCTGACCGGCCTTCCGAGCTATCTATCTACAGGCTGTATCAATACTATCGACTGTCTACTCACTTACTGGTTCACGGTGCAAGACACCTGGCAGTCAATCCTTCCCCACCTAATCAAGCTACCGGCATCGGCCGAGACTTCTGCCACTCGACGTCGTGCGCCGCCTCGTCACCACTTTAGCTTGCTGTGCAGGTAGCTTGAAGAGACAGACCATGTGGGTATTAAGCAATTCTTCCAAAATAAGTACACGCAGCCACCTTTTTCAAATGTGTGGCAATGTGCCGCAATCCACCCCTCCGTCGGCGGCACTGCTCGCCATTGGGCATCAGGGCAGAAGCAGGATATGCGCAGATGACAGCAAATGACAGCAAATGACAGTATTTCATGATTCGCACCAAATGTATCAAGGGGGAAAAAAGTACGAGAGAACGCCTCCTCCAAGCCGGTTGGACTGCAAACTCCTTCCAATCGTGCGCAAAACTCAGTTTGCTGTTTGCGGCAAAATGGGTCAAGACAAGCAATAGTCTGTAACATGCTAAGATACCGGACCAAATCAAGAAATCAAAATAGGAATTCGTAACAACAGTAGTGGGCTTCCTCGAACGAGGCGTAGCCTGATATCTGGCAAGTCTCGGGAGTCGGACCCTAACAACCCCCAAAAATTGTTCATGTGTCATATGGCTCATAGCGCCAGGCCCAGCCAGCCCCCTTCACCTCGGATCCTGAATAGCTATTCCAATCTGTGCTAGAACTCTTAGCCAACGCCGAGAAATCCCCAGTCGGTTCCTTCGGGTTGATTCAGAATACGAACAGGCTTGTACTCAGAATTCGCTTGCTGCTGGAAAGTACCCATCACAGGGGTGGACCCAACGACTGGGGCCTGGCTATAGGGATGTTGATACTCCGGTTGTATGTAGCTCTGTCGGGGGTAGTCATATCGTTGCTGATGGTGGTGATGGTGTTGCTGTGAGTGGGGGTGTTGCTGTTGGACGTAGTGCATGTATGGTTGCTGTACATGAGGAATGTCAGCCGACAACGTGACCGGCACGCTGGGAGCTACCACCGGGGACTGCTCATGAATGGGCACCGACGTAATCTGCACATTTTGCGGCGGGTAGTAGTTGTGATGCGTTGGTAGCGTAGCAGTGAAGCTAAAGGGCCCCTGTGGGAGAATGTATTGTTCGTGTTGCGGCATGGAGACGGGAACTGGAGGATGATACTCCTGGTCAGAAACAGGATCCTCCGACGATGTGCGGCTGGCGGCTTGGAGATGCGTTTTCAATTGGTGCTTGGTCAAGGTAGTCTTACGACAGAAACTATCGGATGTCAGACATTCGTCTTTGATGTCGGAAATTTGTACCTACCTCCTTTCGCAGGTGGGTTCTTGGCAGATATAGGGCCGTTTTCCGGTGTGGATTCTTCGATGACGAGCCAGACTCGATGACTGGAATGATCAGCTTGAATGCCAGGTGGAGGGACAGGTAGCAAACACGCACGTCCGAAAAAGCTTTCCCGCATCCTTCATGATCGCAGGAATGCGGCTTTTCTCCAGTATGTGTCCGTACATGTACTGTCAGAGCACTCCGCTGGATGAAACTCTTGTTGCAGTTGAGCATGGTGCACTGGTAAGGTCGCTCGTTGGTGTGGATGCGGTAGTGTCTGCAGAGATCTGACTTGCGGTTGAAGGACTAGAGATGATCGTCAACATAGTTCTCTGACCCGGTTGGCTCCTGAGATAGCAGATTGTGCATATGAGCCACAGGCGGAATCAAATATCTACCTTATTGCATTCTGGCCAAGAGCAGTTAAAGTCGCGTCCACTGCCGGGTGCCATGGTTGCTGCAGGATGAATGTTGGCCGCAGCGTCAAATGTCACGGGAAGTGTGGGCCGCAATAAGGTATGTGACAGCGGAAAGTGATCGACGGGAGGATGAACAAGAGACACGAAGGAACTAAGTTGACGACGGTAAGGCAAAACTGGCTGAATGCAAATGCAAGACGAATCTAGGTAGCTCGCGATTCGTATTTCTGGCGAGCTTGGATGATAGAGACGAAGAAAGAAAAAGCGAAAAAGGAGGGCGAGTGAAAGAAGTGAGGAGGAAGGTTGAGGAGGCGAATATAGCAGGAATGTCGCGGCGAATTAAGTATGAAAGGCTGCAGGGTTGCTAGCAGGTCATTGGCGGCGGGGGCAGCCAGTCATTCAACAGCCAAGGCGCTGGCTGAATGACGAATCAAATGGGTAAGCGCAGCGAATAGTTGAGGCTGCCCTATAATGAGCTGAAAGAGGAGAGAGGAGATGAGGAAGACGAGGTCGTGGTGGTGGCCGAGTCCAGAGTAGCCGATAAGAGTACGAGCCGTGTTCCTACCGTATTGGAAAGAACGGATCTATTGATAATTATATCGCTGATGACAACTGTGACAACGATCTCCTCGATGGGAGAGCTCCAGGGAAGCTGTTCGGTCCAGGCGAGGTTGCAACACAACGGTGGTACAAGGGCAGCTGCTGCAATTCTTAAGGTCTGTTCTCGCCAGGTACAAGCGGACCGGCCCAGGGTGGATGGAGTGGGGATGGATTGAAAGGCAAGATGTGTAGATCGGGGGGAAGGAAGAAATTAAAGGTGGAGGAAGAGATCTGAGGGTGGGAATCAAGAGCTAGAAATACTCTAGAGAAAAGAAGCTGCACGAGAGAGGAGAAAAGAAAAAGAGCCGACAGTCCTGTCTGTCTGTCACTTCAAGACAAGTTGAACAACAACAAGAACTTTAGAGAGAGCTTGTCCTAGTAGTTGTAGTAGTCGTAACAGCAGTAGTAGAGTAGTAGTAGTAGTAGGAGTAGTAGTAGTAGTAGTAGTAGTCTGCTTAATATTTTATTTTTCTCCACCTCATTTATTTATCTATTCTTATTATTATCATCTAGTCCCATCCGATTTTCTTTTTAATTTATTTTTTCTTCCCTACTGCATTCAGTCTAGTTCGAGATATTTTTTACTTTTTTTTTTTTCGAAATTCTCATGTTTTGCCTCCCCATCTCTCTCCTTTGGCGCCGCGTATTTAACGCCGCATATCTCACTGTACCTGGGAAGCACCTAGCCTAGTCACTAGGTAAGTAGTTGATTACATATCCAGTTCCCACAGTGAACCCAGTGAGTAACTCAGAATAGTTAGCTTCGACTAGATCGTCTTGTTCATACTTCCACCCGAGCTCCAATGAAGAAGATCATGAGATAGGTTCAAGGGGACGGGAAGGGAATCTGCAGAGGGCGATAGCAAAGAAACCTCATCCCAACGAATGCCTTCAACCACCGAGGTCAACCTGGTAATTCTGAAAAACCCATACCTCATGATCGAGGTACCGAGTACAACCGTATATACATACAGAGAGACACACGCCGAACAATGCAGGTAAGCCGTGGGCTGCCTCCTAACACTTACCAAGCAGCGGCACTTAATTTAGGACGCCCCCTCCCCTAGAATGACAGGCCAAGGAGGTCTCTGGGTCCCGCTGTCGCGATGCCTGGGGTAGATCACTTGCCTAAGCTGAGGTCGCTGAGAGACCGAACCTTGAGACTAGGGGCAGCCTGAGGTCCGCATTCAACTCCCTTCCTGTACAGAGTTTCGGTGACATCGTCGGTTGATTGGGTGCTACGGGGACAGTAGGACTGACTGTCCGGGCCAATCTAGCTGTGGAGTATGGAGTATGGACTAAGCTCCGCAAGAACCAGAGGTGTCTAGTTTATTACTCATGGTTGAATGCTTTCTCTCTTTCTACCATTCATCCTACAGAATGGTCTTCCCGGTTAGACTAGGTTGATTACGAAGGGTGAGTGGAGGAGAGGAAGGAGGGACTCAGAAAGAGAACCTTGAAAGTGAGAAAGAGAAAGAGAGGACGGAGTGCAGTGGGGGGAGCAACACATCCCACCGGATACGCTTGTGCCTTAAAATGCTGAAAGGCTAGTATATAGACTCGACCAATGAAGATTCCCGAGACCGCAGGCTGGCCTTGGAACAAAGTCGCTAGTCTGCAGATGGCTTAGTTGCCTGCATTCGTTGGATGCAATCTGGAATCCAGCACTAGTAATCCGTACCAGATACTTTGTATTTCGATACCAGGAATTGGAGTAAACCGCGTGCTAGTGCGTATCATTACCCATCGGTATCAGGGTGTGATATGGCATCCATCCCAATAATTGCTTGCTACACACGTTGTACTTAGTTGGTTATGAACACGCTACTCACTTCAATAGACCACTTAAGATCGCAGGCCTTCATTTACTTGGTCAAACGTGCCATTGCCAATCTCGGTGGATCCCTGCACAGATCAATGAAGAGGTGAATGACAATGTCACCATTTTCAATAGAACTGAGAATATCATCGTATAACTGCAGACAATAAATGGGGAACAGGGAAGTATCACAGCAGAACTCACTCCAATACAGCCAGCAGGAGTCGGGGTACAGACTGCTCCGTACCACATCGTTATGCTTAGGGTGCGGACTAGAGGGAAGCTAGGCAGGCGAAGGTTGTGTCTGGAAATGTAGAGTATGTACATACATACATACACTGTACAGTAAAGACCTAGTAGTATAGTTACCGCTTGTACCCGACACCCGACATAGTTACCACTTTTCACCCCCGTTTGATATCTCTCTCTCTCTCTGCCCTCCCGTCAATCCTGGCGGTAATTGAGCTAAACCCGCCGCCAGACAATTCAAAACAAGGTCCAACGCCTCTCTGCCAATCTCCCCTCGCGGTCGAGCTGGAAAACAATCCCATGAATCTCGAGTGAGCTTTCGGCAACCTGACTTCAAGCGGAACAAACCGCTAGCAGCAGCCGCGAGACGGGAGAGAAAGGCGACACGGGCGAACAGCCCCGAAAGAGAGAAACAGCCATAAATGACAGACCAGGCAGCACAGGCCGGAAATTATCAGCAAGGGATAGCAGGCGATGCAACGACTCCTGATCTGTGGCTTTTCCCCTCCCTTCTAGCCAAGCATGGAGGACAGTGAAGCTAGTCCAGAGCAGCCCTCCTTGAGGATTGGTAAGGTATCATCTCAACCTCACCCACTCACGCTCCCCCTCCCCCCAGTATCCATTCCATCGGATGAAAAAGCCGGGGGGTGGGCGGCTGTGGAGGTGGTGATGGCTCCTACCATGCCGCCCGGCTTCCTCGGTCCGGATCACTATCATCATGGATCCAGATTACCTTGCCCAAACAGGCAGTAAATGTCTTGGGCTCTGGGGTCGTTTAAAGTCAACAGATGATATCTGGGGTCGTTGTTATTGGTTGAAGGTAGAGTCGAGGCATCTAGGTCTTTCTATACTAGGAAATAGGGAAACAAGAGCCTGGAGCAAAAAAACGCCACGGCTGGCCGCTGCGGCTATACTGTGGTGATTGGTGATTCAAGTCCATTGAGGTGAAACCTGACTTGGCGGTTTCTCAGGGTCAGCCCTCTATCAGGACCTTATTATCGCATCATCAACTTTAGTAGGACTTTATCGGTTAGAGGAGGGTCCGGAGAGTCCATCCCCTTCCCACCTCCCACGTGGCGGGCTTTCAAACACATCTGTGATTACCGGGTACTGGGAAGAAGCAGTTTTTTGATAGCTCCCTCCTCGCCCCCTCTTTTCATGAGTCAGTCGATAGCTTGACTACTAACTACATTACTACTACAACCTTAGTTGACCCCAACAAGGGGGTAGACCAGCAGCGGGTCGGGACCAGGACGGTCCCATCATCCCTTTCTCCCTTCCTTCCGAGCCGTTCACCGCGACTATTCATAAAGCTCATTGTGATAAGCGGAGGTAAGCTATACTTACCTCCGAGCTGTCATTCCAGTCTAGCCCATTGAAGATACTGCCATTTGCAGCAAAGCGTCCAGCAGAAGGCGTCCGTTGTGGCTTGCCGGCGCGTAGCTCTTTCGTTCTGTGGAGCTTGCGTGTTCTCGCCAACCTGGGATGACAGTCGAGTTAGTGAACTGAACCGCATGGCCAGATCAGACAACCTGCGTTATCCACATTGATGGCGAGACGAAAGAATTGACAAGTGCGACTGCGTGAGGTGACGAAAGTTCAAGGTAGCTCAGTTCCCACCGATCTAGTGGATCCTTCGTCCTCTCTCTACTCTCTGCGCCCCCAATAATGACAACGGGTTATATATCATGGGATGATGGGCCGACGATGAAATAAAGGCCGGTCATCACCGTTTGCCATTCTTGAGGTGCAAACCGCCCACTTTTCAACTTAAGGTTTGACCATTCATGGGCAGGGGTGGGGGGCGGCAGACGAGATGGAGACCAGCCCGCTATCGAAGCCTGTCGTCTGAAGAGCTGATACTAATGGAGATCCTCGATAATCGCTCCCTGAACCGAGTTACGTCGGGTAACTAGTATCTACTGCAGTGCATGCACAGTACTGTACAGCAACACCACACCACAACGCACACCATCTGCAACACGCTGGATAGATCGTCGTCGCTGGACAGATAAAGTTTCCTCTGCTTCGTGGGCCAGCAAATAATGGGCTTTCCTCCTGCGGTTTCCGATCTCTATCCCCTTATTGAATTGTATACTCATCGGTCTCTCCGTCCGCGCCTTGCGGGGTTGGCATGACGGCAACGGACCTGCCAATTGCCCACGGAGTCTGATACCACAGCCTACTAAGCCGCTCCAAACTACCTTGGGAGCGAGTTGGCGTGGGAAGCGTGACCTGAAGAGGTCTTCTGGGTAAGATGCATCCGACAGCGGGTGACTCTATGCCAATAACTTACTTCACTTGGACTATAACTGCCCGCCCTGGGCAGGGTTACTAATAATATCACGGAGCCAGCTACCCGGCATGGATGGAGAGAGGGATCACGGAGGACACCACCATCTACTCTTTCTCTTTGGTTGGACTGGTCTGGTGAGAGACGGTGGTCGACTATTATCCTCGTATTGCTTTTTCCCCCCTAGCCCTGATGGCGGCATCGCAGGGTTTCGATTGGATGCTCGGAGAGCTCGATGGGTAGATTACCACATGGATACACTTCCACAGACTGGACTTAGCGACCTAGACCACCGTGACGGTCGCCTAGGATCATCCAGAGTCATCTGAGTGTATCCGATTTTTATTTCTTTGGATTCATTTATCAGCGAGTAAGTCCGACGAGACATGGATTCATGTAAGACAACCGAACCCAAGCCCACAGAGTTGTGGCGGTCATCGGCTCTGATGGGAGCAGATAGGCAGGGCACGCCAGAAGGCTTGGCCGGCCCATCGATGGCCAACGCCACGAACATGAGGATGACTAGTATGCGGTTTATGGCCCCAGATTCTCCCAACTTTGATGGATTCATAATCGCCAAACCTCGGGTATGAGCTTAATGCAATTGAACTAGGTAAGGACCCTGTAAACAACCGTAGTAGAGAGGGCTCTTGGCAATCAAACGGGAGGGACGCAGGCGTGCCCAGCGGAATGACTACTATTATCACGGGGTTGTATTATTGCTTGCAACATGCTAGTAGTACCGACTACCTCCCCCCTTTTACCTAGGTCGAGCGAGGTGGAAAAAAACACTCAGCATGTGCTTATGAATATGCAACCTTTCTATCCAAGACCGCACAATTACAACCCGCGCCGAATCATCCCACACGGAAGAGATGGGTGATAGATACCTTACACCTAAGCCTCTAGCTTATACAAGGTACATATGTATACAAGAGGAGAAGTGTGGCTCCGCAATTGGAGAAATTTGCGAGGGCCACTAGAGGTTGTTTTGAGGACGTCCCCCCGCCCCCCGCCAAGTTTCTTTTCTTACATAGGGTTTATTAACTAGAGAAAGTAGTTGGGGTGCCACAGTGTGCATACGTGCAGTGGCAGCTCCTCAGTCCCCCCAAACCTTAGTGGGAGTTCCCGTCAATGAGATTGCGGGACTGATACGCCGGCTGCAAATTATGGTGACGCCGGGCCCGCCGATCGTCGAGCGATGGCAGGAGAATGGCAAAGGGCCTCCGAATAATTATCTACCTACATACATACATCAGACGTAGGACCTTAAAGAGGTTGAGATATTCGAAATCGTTGTTTTTGTTGTTGCCTTGGGAAAGGAAAAAGAAAGAGAGACTGAGGAGAGGGGCAATGAAAATCCCTCTTATCACTTACTGTACAGTACTTGGCCAGGTCGTTATGTCTGCACTGGACCTAAAGAAAACTATCCTAAGGAGAAGGGAGTGGGGGGACAATGACCCCTGTACAGTACATCTACTCCGTACTCGTAAAAAGAAAACATTCACTCAACGGCCGATCTCTGAGATTGGGTACTAGGTACGGAGTAGACAAAGGTAAAATCCTAGAATAGAAAGGATAACAAGGAGCTGAGCGCAACGGAAACGGCAACCAAAACGAATCACTTGCACAAAAAAAAAAAAAAATACGAAAGGCGGAGAATTTCCAATATGACAGTTGATGGATCTAATTTCATTATCGGCGCCGGGCAGGTCGGAGGTTTCATACTCATCTCGCCAACTGGCACGATGGCTAGCTAGAATTGCAGGGATCACAGAAACGACAGCATGGTTCGATGACCTCGATGAGTTGGGAGGATGACAGCAGGGGCGTTCGTTAGGTCGCGAGAGCAGAGAGCTTTAGGTTCCTTAGGCTCACACAGAAAACAAGCCACAGGCAGGGCAGACTGATCGAACTATTGTATACTGAGACTTCTTGTCCGCCATGATGTCCAAGGAAAAAGGATGACGTCTTTCAGCTGACAGCTAAAGTATATACTAGTATCTCACTAACTAACCCAGTAGTAGCTACTTAGTAGCTAGCTAGCAGGTACTTAGGTAGGTAGTACCACAAGCTAGCTATCGATAGATAGGATAGGTTGGGAAGACCAGCACCAGCGCTTCCGGCACTAAACCCAGGTACCTGGTCGCTGGTTCCAATCTGTGCTCAGTCTCCCGTCGCAGGCGGTAGACATCATGTGTGTGGTGTGGGTTGTGCGCATATCGCCGCTGCTCTCTTTCTGACTTACCAGTCACCACTAACAACTCACATCTCCCCCTTTCGGGAGCTTTCGAAAATATTCCGGGAGGAGAAGGCCGAAGGTAAGTCATGTCAGTTGGCTTGAGTGGACGTGACCGTGACGTGACTCCACCCTCCTCGCTCTTCCTTACCCAAAATCCTTTGTCTTTCCCTCGAGATGCGTGCGTTAGCCGAAGCCAAGGGGCAAAGAAAAGGGGAGTGGTGCCAAATCCCCGTAAGATTCGTGATCTTACTAGCCAGATCAGGGAATTGGGAGGTTCGGATGGAGAGAAGGGGAGGGAGGTGGTGAGAGCCCAGGATGGATGATGGATGCAGGACCAGATAACGGCGGTCGCGGCAAAGCGGGAAATGACTGGTTTCCCCCGGCCGGATTGGCACTAAACTGACTCGAGTAATTTTCATGGTTGCGCAAACTAGTTCGGGCTAGTTGAGCGAGTCGTCGTCGTTAGATATGATCCTGGATCCCAGCCTCGTCGTTATGTGGCCGAGAGAGAGTTCAGCGGGTGAGACCGTGAGGGTTTAGGGCCGGAGATAAAACAAGAGACCTCATTCTATTATTATTATTATCATAATGGCGGGGATGGGGGATTATGCACAACTTCTCTGGTATTAGGATTGATATCAACTAGCTTATGAGTCTACCTTAGTTCTTGGCTGACTAGTGCTTGTTCACTCTCTGTTCATTCTTCCTTCGCTTCCCACCGCTGGTCAGTTGGTCTCTTTTCTTATCAGCACATGTCAAAAATCATTGGCTGGATAACTTTCAATGCATGACGGCTCAACACCCCCGCATTCCCGGAAGATTCACTTTTCACCGAAGCGCGTCAAGGACGAGGGAATTGGGAGGATTGATTAATTGAAGTAGTAGAAACTTAGAAAAAGAGAGAGAAAACATAAGGACAAAGAAAAGGAGAAGGGATGTGCAGCCATGAATGAAGAATGCAAGTGCATCAGTCAAAGAGAGGAGGGAGACTGCTGGCCTGAGGCTAGACGAAACATGCTGACTGGCTGGCTTTGCAGCACTCACTGCTGCCCATCAGCTCCAATTCAAGCCAAGGCGTCGAGACGCTATGCGTCTCATGATATTGACCTTTCCTATTCTCCGTACACTTCAACTCCACTCCCCATTGCGCCTAGCCACTGTACAGCTAAACCTATGTATCCGCTGCTGTCCCCACTGCCTGACTAGTAGTCATTCCCTCACATGTCAGTTATCGTTTATTGGACACGTACATATGACTCGCAGCAGTCTCCAGCAAAAGTGTTTCCAGATGCTCCTCGGAACCAAATTCCAGCCCATAGTAGCGATGCTTTCGCCTACCTCGGGCTGAACGTTCGATCATACAACTTCCTCCGCCCTTCTTTTCCACCCAAAATGGATCTCGGTCCTGCACCAAAGACTAGTGGGAGACAGATGCATGAGCTATCTCTCCGCTTTTTCACCTGCGACCTGGAAGATCTCAAGACTCACTAAAGGAGTCAAGACTATTACAATTGTGTCAGTCAACCTGCATGGGCACACGAAGCCGCGTTAGACTAAGCAACCGCGGTCGCCTTTCTGATGCTGCTCGACATGCAGTACATGCGTTTGGCGCATCATCAGACGAGTGGCACCTAGTGCCCAGAAAAATCTCCGATTTGCATGTCGTATGAAACGCCCTACCAATGCGAGCTATGGCCACGCACGCTTCTTTGCCTAAACGGCTGCTCTCGGCCCGGGGGTCAGGGAAGAGTAAGCTGAGGAGCATTCGAATAGCGGCAGCAAAAGCAACATCGATCGAATGCGAATAGCCCCGATGCGATGATGAATTGAATGCATAACATGACCATGGGTAGACTAACTAACAGGAAGGTAGCCTTATGGTGGCCAAGAGCGGGCCCCTCGACATGATTCGCCTCCTTTGGCCATCCAGAACATTTTTTTCTAGCGGTCCTCTCCACCATCGCGATGGCGCTATCACTAATGGACTAGGGGAACTGACATTCATCGTCGCGGCTCGGAAAGTTATCCTGGGTTCATCCGAAATCATTCCTAAGTGTCGGTGAGTCGTCCGCATCAATGACACGGGGCCGTTTTCCTTCGGTGTGGGCTATCTGCGATACCCAAATCCCATCTCGCCCCAAGGATCACTCCCGTTCGGCGTTAGCGACTTTTAGCAGACCCCGGATAAGCGTGGGGATGGAAGGAATTAGATTTTTTTTTTAATTCTCGTTTCTCTTAGCAGCCTCCACCCCCCGCCCCCTTGCAGGCGCGGGTCCCGATACGGTCTGGAATAGGTGATTGCGGATATCGTCGTGGATGGATAGAAGGATGGACGAGAATATCATGAGCAACCCGTCAATTGGAGCGTCTCCGTCGGCTTCTCTTGCAATGAACCGGCTCAGAAGGCAGCAGCAGATACTTACTAACTACAGTATCTACAGTACCCAGTAATAATCATCATCATCCACCGACGATTCTCAGAGTCTCCTTCCTTGATGGGCGTTTGCCGCTGTCGCGAGCGCAGCTCGATTCGCAGATAGCGCTGGTTGGAAGCTGGCTGTCGCGATACGATCTGATTGATCTCTCTACAAACTCTAACAAACAATTGATGCGACAACCGAAAGCCACCAGTTTCCCCCAGAGTGGCTGTGTCTTACTCCTGTCTGGGCCTCGTTTCCACCTGGCCGGGCTTACTGGAGCCCGCAAGGATCTCAAACCTCAACCACTGAGAGTCGGCCGTTGGATTGTACACTACACTACACACCCGCTGCCAACCCAAACCGATCAGCTATAGTCCTGTGATACGCTGTGTATGGTCATCTCATTCAATCTGGCGAGGATGCCCCATTTGTTCCCTGCAGACGTACACACTCAGATAGATTAAAGAGGATTGTACGATGTGAGGGTGAGGGACTTAGTGGAAGCCATACAGTCAACCACTTCTTGGCCTCTGAGACATTGATTGTCACTCATTCTCATTCCAGGTCAGCAATCATATCTTACGAAGCATCAACCTTGACATGGTGATATGTCGCGTAACGTGGTATCCGAACCTCAAGTATACGCAGCTAACGATCAGGGACTGTGCTCACAATGCCCGAGTTGAGCCTCCTGTCACCTGTTCTCCAGTCAATGAGAGATTCTTTACCCTTTCTCTGCATCACCGCCTGCAACATTCGCTCGCAACGACGAACCTTACGGATCCCGGTCTGAGAGATCATATGCGAAGAGAATTAAACGAGAGGCTCTTTAAAGTTTCAGGAGCCGACTATAGCCGTGCTCAACGGCCATCCAGGACTCGGCCATCATCAGCCATCATTTGCGACCCAACAGGATGGAGGCAGCAGGAGGAGGTAAGACCAACGATCTCTCGATTCCATAGTCATCACAGGTTTTAACTTCCCAGGAAGGATGCTGCTGCTGCTGCTGCTGCTGCTGCTGCCGCCGCCCGATTTCCTGCCTTGGAAAACACCGCCCGTCGACTGCGTTATACTTTTTATCACCGCATGAATCCTTCAGGCTGACAGATCATGGGCAGGGAAGGAGCCAGTCCGTCACAATAGCCTCATGGCCATGGCGTCGCCATGCCATGCCCCCGTCGCGCGCGGCTCCATCGTCGCATGCACTTAGGTTTAGCGGGCGCTTTGGCCACTCTAGAAGGATGAATACGACCCAGCCCCGGACTAGATAGGCTCATCTGCTCGATTTGTTCTCGACTATCCTCATTAACGAGTGCTCTAAAGCAGTTGGATTGTCAGTAGATCGAACTTTACCGACTGGTAACTAGCACTGGTGCCGTGTTGGTTTCCGTCTGTATGACTCCTGTCTTTTTGGAGCTCGCGTGTGGTGGGAGTGATCTTACGACTCAACGCATGTCTTGTCGCATGCTGTATCTGTCAGCATATCTCCACCTGCGATCCTGAATTCTGGAGGTGGCTGCGGTTCTCGATGCCTAACTGGGCGCAGTCAGGAGTGAGTTCTGTCTAAAGTGTCAGGTTTCGATAGATGCAAGCGAGCCGCCTTGGATCAGACACAGCCCACTTGTTGGCAATCTACCCATTCTGATTTAATAATGTCATCCTCGAGAAGATTGCTACCGCCCAAGGCAGCGAGTGTTCCGTAGCCGAGGCCGACGATAACAGGATGATGTCCATAGAAAATGTGATACCTCAGGCACCCGCTACTGCTCCGGATAATATCACATGACCCTCTGATAAGCAATATTAGCTAAGCAGGGAGCTTATCGGCCAGCCTCCTGCGCAATGCGGGCAAAATGGTCGGACCTCGTCTTCCAGCATCCAAAGGGCCCGGGAGTTGAGGATTTGGAGTCCTTCAAACCAGAATAAGCTGTCATCATGGCCAATCACACTCACGAGGAAGACGAAGGTCTAGCGAACCGATCCATCATTCTGGTAACCGGAACAAACAGGTAAGCCTGCGCAATGGAGATGGTCCAATCATCGAGACCCCTGCAAATCATCCATCCTTTCAAGCTGAGCTCCAAGCTGTCACTTCCTGAACCCCTTATCCCCCTCCCCGGCCAACACAAACGAAAAGAAAAACAAACAAACAACAAAACCACAACACCACTAACACAATATCAACCCAACCCAGCGGCCTCGGCTTCTCAATATGTTGCCGTCTCGTCGACGACTTCCTCAAAAACCCAACCAACAACCACCGCACCCTAACAGTGATCTTCACCACGCGCAGCGCGCAAAAGGGCCATGAAACCCTGCACCGACTCCAGCAGCACCTGCACAGCACCACGGCCACAAACCCCAAGCAAGCCCGCCGAATAACCTTCACCCCCGAGACCGTCGACCTCTCGAACCTAGCCTCAACACGCACCTGCGCCCGCCGGATAGACCGCACATTCCCGAAACTCGATGCCGTGATCCTCAACGCCGGGATAGGCGGATGGACGGGGCTGAACTGGCCGCAGGCGATCTGGGGCGTGTTAACGGACCTGGTGCACACGGTGTCGTGGCCGGCGTTCAAGATCGCGCCCGTGGGGCAGCTCACCGCGCGGCAGACGAGTACTTTACCGGTGGGAGAGGAACCGCCGCTGGGGAATGTCTTTTGCGCGAATGTCTTCGGCCACTACATGCTGGCGCACCATTTGATGCCGTTGCTCCAGCGGTGCTCCTCGCCCAGCAGCAGCAGCAGCAGCAGCAGCGACAGTGGCGGTAGCAGTCAAAGCAGGATAATCTGGGTCTCAAGCATAGAAGCCACGCTCCGCCACTTCTCGGTCACCGATCTCCAGGGCCTGCGCACAAAGGTCCCCTATGAATCCTCGAAAGCACTCACCGATATCCTAGCACTGACCGCCGACCTCCCCGCAACGAAACCCTGGACGAGTCGGTTCTATTCTTTCTCCCCATCGCCCCACAACCTCGAAGAAAGCGAAGAACGCGACGCACTTCCTCCCAATGACACGCATAACAGCAACAAACCCAACATCTACGTCGCCCACCCCGGCGTCTGCGGCACCGCCATCCTCCCGCTAGCATTACCGCTCATCTGGGCAATGCAAGTGGCATTCTGGCTAGCGCGCCTGCTGGGCTCGCCCTGGCACACGATGTGGACGTACATGGGCGCCAGCGCGCCCGTGTGGCTGGCGCTGAGCAGCCAAACCGAGCTGGACGCTGCCGAGGCGCCGTACCGTGCGCGCGGCGGCGGTCGCGTGAAGTGGGGGTCGTCGTGCGACCGGCTCGGGCGCGATAGTGTGCTCTCTACGGAGATGGATGGCTGGGGCCACGGCGGTGTTGTTGGCCCTGCGGTCGTGGAGGCGGATCGCCGCCGGCGGAGGAAGCGCGGGGCTCGCGATCTTACGGCTGAGGAGCGCGTTGCGTTTGAGGAGCTCGGTCGGCGGTGCTGGCGTGAGATGGAGGAGTTGCGCGTGCAGTGGGAGCGAATTTTGGATCGGGAGGAGCTCGAGAAGAAGCAGGGGCTGGAGGCCCCGGTCAAGGCCTGATGGTTCTTGACGCAGGGGTGGAATGCTCGGGCGATGTCTACAGAATATCTCTACTGATGTATTAATACTTCTTCGAAGCTTATAGTTGATATACGATAATGGAAACAGTCCTTGAACTAATTCAGCAAAGCATCACTTTTCTTTTCTGGATTCCTGCCTCTCTGTATTTACATTCCTTTGCACCCATGTCCACATACGTCATTAAAATCAGATAGAGTATTAGTCCATGTGCTCACCGCTCCCCTCCCAAGAAACAAAACAAAAGAGGTTAAACGGACAAAGGCGGAGAAAAGACCAGGGTCCTAACAAGGAAGAACTGACTGGCTGGAAGTAACAGCAACGTCGAGAAAGAGTTGGAAGAGAAAAAAAAAAATCGAGTAAAAAGGAGATCGGGTCCAGGGGCGGGTCGGCGACCGCAAATTGAGATTAGAAGGTTTTACATAAGAACAGACCCGAATCAGACACGCTTCCACCATCAAGGCCTCTAGCATGCGGAGTCGGTCAAGCACAAGACAAAGGAGTAAGCGCGAGAAGGGAGATAGTTCAGAGGGTCGGAAAGCATTGTATCGAGCAGAGCCAGGGGTGGATTGGGCTCAAGGAGAGGTAGGGCGCTTAGTACGCGAGTCAAAGTTCTATGCGTCTGAGCAGTTTGGGGATATAGGCGAGTTTATCGAGGTGTATAAAGGCATGGCGACGTGAGGAGGTTTTACATGATAATCGCGGGGACTAGGAGAAAGACGTTGTTAGTAACCTGGTCCCGAGTTTGACAATTGACACTCAAATCTCACCATCAATGTTCTGCTTGATGCTCTTGTGAGGCAGGATGGAGCCACCGTTGACGTAGACTTCATCAGCAATGGTGACATCGTCACCAAGGACAGTGACGTTTTCCAAACGAGCCCACCGACCAACGGAGCTGTTCCAACCAACAATAGTAGACTTGACCCAGGCGTGATCCTTCACCTTGCTGTTCTCCATCAGAACACAGCGCTGCAGGCGAACACCGTCACCGACCACAACGTTGGGGCCAATGACAACGTTGGGGCCAATGCGACAGTTCTTGCCGATCTTGGCAGAAGGGTCAACCATGACGTTTCCACCGTACACATAGGGCTCACTGTTGGGAGCAAGCAGCTTGGAATTGCGCTTCGCCAGGGAGGTGAGGTAAAGGCAGGTTCCACTAAGGAAATCCTTGGGCTGACCAACATCCATCCAGAAACCCTCCAGGTCAAAGGAGTGAAGCTGGCCATCCTTCACAATGGCGGGGAATGTCTCTTGTTCAATGGAGGTTGGGCGGAGCTCGATGCGGTTGAGTACGCTGGGGTTGAGGATGTAGATACCAGCGTTGATGCGGTTGCCGACGAACTCGACGGGCTTCTCGACGAAGCGGTCGATCCGGCTGGGGTGGTTCGGCTTGTGAACAACGACACCGTACTTGGAGGGCTCGTCAACCTTGGTGACGACGATGGTACCCTCGTTCCCGTGGCTCTTGTGGAAATCGGCAAGCTCCTTGAACGGAAAGTCGCAAATGATATCGGAGTTCAGGACGAAGAAGGGAGAGTCGTCTTTGCCCAAGATCTTTTCTGCCAGCTTCAGGGGACCAGCCGTGCCAAGAGGCTCGGATTCGACGGAGAACTCGATTCGGACATTGTATTGTTCCTCATACTAATTGAATGGGTTTGTGTGAGCTTGCGATCTACCAGCTGTGTCTCGGGGATGACTGTTACTTTTTTGAGGGCAGCAACCATGACATCGGGGCGGTAGTTGACAGCCAGGACAATGTCCGTCACACCTGCAGCAGCCAAGCTCTCGACCTGGTGCAAGATCATGGGCCGATTGGCGAACTCCACCAAAGGCTTAGGAAGCGTCAAAGTCTAGGGAGAGGAAGGAGTTCAGCATGTGCATTCTCGACGAATTCCGATCTCATCGGTATGTTCAACGTCACGATCGTCATCGGGGAGACGGGAGGGGAGGGGGGGGAGGGGGAGCTACTCACCAAAGGACGCAGACGGGTACCGAACCCTCCGACCAAAATAAGAGCTATGGAATGTGATCAGTCAGATGAAACGGCCGAAGTATAGATCTATAAAACTATACATACCCTTCATGGTTATTGGGTGTAGTCGGTATGGAAGCGAAAAGGCGAGATAGGGATTATTCGGAGGGGGGACTTGCTCCAAACGAGTGACCGGAGCAGAGTAGATAGTATGAGCGAGGTACAAAGAATTAAAAGTGAAACCCACACAAGGGGGTGGGAAACTAGAAGAAGTGTTTCTAGGTTGGTTCACAGTGAGACCCTACAATCCAAGATGGACGAAGGGGAGCGATAAGATGGAATTGAATCAGAAGGGAGAAGGGAATGAATGAATGGGGGGAAAGGGGGGGAGATGGATGAAAAGGAGAGGAAATTGAGTTATAAGAGAAAGCGCGACAGTAGGCAAAGAAAGAGAGAGAGAGAAAGAGCAGGAGAACACCTGGCTACTGTGACTTACGTTGATGGAGGGGGCGAGGCTTGTAAGTGGTGGTAAGTTGTAACGCAAGCGTACGTATGGAGATTGTATGGGAGAAACGTCCCCCCCTTAATAAAGAAGTGGCTGAAGTGAACAGGCAGCCTTATGCCCCCGGTTCCCCCCCCCCTCCTCCCCTTAGACTGAGGATCTGCCCACTAACCCAGGCACCAAATCTCCTTCTCTCCCCTCCCGGACGGACCACTGGCTGGCTGGCGTTTCAACACAGGCACCGCCGCACGTTTGCGGCAGTGTTCCTCCCCTCCCCCATCATCCAAAACCACAGTCGTACCGACACGGTATGGTTTCAGGTCTACTAGAGCCAAGTTGAACGAAAACTAGTGCCGGCCGGATCAGGTGCTTCGTGGGGCAATTCATTATTATTCGTCCTTCCTTGTTCTTTTGCCCCTGGATCGATGGATCCAAGCCTGTCGGCGAACTTTCTTACTTCTTACGCATTACAAGGCTTGCTTACTGCTGAAGATGTGTATGATGAGGGTTCTCTGTTCTTTATGAGCAAATATCGTATCATACTTGCATACAATCACTGCACAAAGAGGTCACTTGAAGAGGTCACTATGATGATCTACAGCGAAAGTCGTCATAATTCCCAACCGCTTGTGTTCACTTCATTATCTCGGCATGTGGATGCTGCTCAACCCTCCTCGGGTTGCATTCCCCTATTCACACGCCATGGACAACCTTTTATGGTAGTGCATCTCGAAGCTTGTTACTCGAGCGTCGCAGTGAACTCATTAGTGTATGCAAGAGGCATAATCGCCTCCCTCCGTCCCCCCCCCCCAAGATCTGTAACTTACCCTAAGCTTCAAGATCTTCTGATCGTCCATGTATGATCTCTTTTCCGGTTGCTCCCTGCTTGGGAAGGCAGGCAATGGATATCCTGTTCTTCCCGCCTTCTTTCGCGTTGGTGTTACCAGCCATGCGAGTCATGTGCATGATCAGGAGAGTGACAATGAAAGAGCTTCGCAGCTCTCTATACCCTTACTTGCCGGCCCGTTGTCTATGTTCTAATTATACTCTTGCGTATCCGGAGGCAGTGCGTTAACACCACCATTAGTAGCAGTTCCAGCCAGCCCACGTGTTGGGCGTCCCTTACTACCATCACCGCCTGCCGCATCCGGCGCAAATCGTCTGATCCACTCGCGCACCTCGTTCACTTTCACCACCAGCAGATCCTCTTCGTTCTTGGCTGCAGGACCCTGCTGCTGCTGCTGCTGCTGCTGCTGCTGGAATTCTCGTAGCCTCTTCGCGCTGTAGACACCGCCTGCATCGTTTGCGTCGACCCGCTGTCGATGCAGAAGGTCGACTTTAGTGACTCCCTTCCTCAGGCTTTGGCCATACACCCGTTCCCGGAAGGAACTAAGTCCTACCGTGCGCATCAGAATAATATCTCGGGGTCGCAGTGTCGCGAGCGACTTTCCAAGTTCGTCCTCAGTGTGTGCTTGGTCTGCAGCAGGAAGCCAGAAGGTTACTCCAAATCCGCTTCGTGTGTCATCGCCCACTACAACCTCGACCAAGTCCAATTCCTTTTTCCATTGCCGTGTCACAATCCGGCGTGGAGGATGGATGGTCATGATTGACACAACCAGATTCACAGTCATCGTCTGCGGCACAATTGAGTTCAAGTACGCTGCTGTAGGAATATCCTGGAGATTGGTAACGGATCCGTGGAAGAGAATCCCTGGGCTCGGCGCTTCTTTCTCGCTCACTGTTGCGATTGAGCTTCCGATGCTATCGGCCCATAAACTGCTACCTTGAAAGGAATCACCGGAGCGAACACCAGCGGTTGATATCTCAGACACCTCATGCACGGTGAAGGAATGCTCGTAGAACCGGGAGAGCGCCGAACCCTCTGATTCATTCGCCGAGATGCCACCAGAGACGGTGAGATCGCTGGTCGTCAAAAAGCAGGCCAATCTCCGTGGCCTCAGGTCGGAGTTCCCTTGCAGCAACTCAGATGTCCGCAGGTCCTGCAAAAGCCTCCACTTAACAGGTTGTGCGTCTGTCAGGCGCCATGACTCTCCGTCATGAAGATGTGGGTCCTTGAACGGAAAGATGGGTTCTTTGAGTAGTTGCTCCTCATCCCACTGGAGGCCAGTTTGGGTGGGTGCTCCCAACAGGAAGATGAGTTTTTTAGGCATTGCCTTTGTTGGTATGCGCCGAAGCGGCCATGAGGCTTGTCGAAACAGTACGACTGATCTGCCACGCCCTGGAAACTGATCCTGGTGTAGGGCACGGAGAATATAATGTCACTGATATATTATTCCAAGGCTCGGCCATGGGACATCGGACGCAGAGAAACTACGTGGCTAGCGGCGGGGGTATGGGTCGATAGTCCCGAATCATCGAGCCAGTTATATAACCAGACACCAGGATGAGGTTCTGGCGATGAACGAGCTGGAGGTCGACGAAGACCCCGTCCCCGTGTCCGGGGCTGAACCACGGATTGCGGGCAAATAGCATCGTCCACCGTATGGTACATCAAATACAATACCATACCTTCTGTCCGGAGATGCTGATATCCGGAGGGCTGGCGTATGCAGCATTATAACTTCATAACCTGTGTTGAGAGCATCTCTGTGCCAGAGCAAAGGCAAGATGATGGACAATGACCGACAATGCTGGCGATTGCGACGACAATTGCGACGGTCAACAAACAGACATGCGAACCTCGCTCTATTCAACGCAGCATCACGTGGACGGTGTGACCGACTACGGAACTCCATTGAAGCCGCGGTGGCAATGTTCGGCAGATGACTTTCGCCGCCCGCCGAATATCAGCCAGACCCGACATCGTCATCCCCGGCACTCTTCTACCTTCGCCGATTCATCATCTCGAAGTGGAAGGGGATGGCTCTTGTCTTCATTGAACATTGACCGGCTCATACCTTGCTGTCTTCTTCTCACTTCTTCACCGAAGGGTAATCCTGGTTATCAGCGGCCACGTGCCGCCATTTTCTAACCATGGCGTTCCACGTCTCGATTCCTAGGCCGGTAAGGACCATCTGGTCTCTCTTCCAATAACTTCCTATAAAGGAGTTATCCACTAATGACCTTGCTTCGCTCTAGAACTTGGCCGCTGTGACATCGGACGTCTGGCCTTCTATCTCGAATTCATTAAATGCGCCCTGGAAGAAGTTCGAGAACTCCGCCTCCGGTCCTCAACCGCAACGCACTGCTCGGGAAACGAATCCGATTGTATGCTTTGTCCGCGCCACTGCTTGATGTATAGCTTTCGCAGAATGTGTGCTCATGGTGTTTTGCCTCTTCTAGGGATCCCCCCGACTCGCGTTACCGGAATGCTTGACGATGGTATCTTCCGAGGCCCTCAAATCGGCTATTATTCACAGGCCGATGAACTCTGGGTTCGCCCGCTCTCTGCTCGGTGGTATTTCATCTCCTCTCTCCTAGATATCGCTATATTCAACCGAATCCTAATGCCATCTTCATTCTCTAGGGGCGACATTCGGGAGTTCACCATTTACTATCAGCCGTCGTCTCGCCACACCCGCACCTCGTCTTTTCTCTACGCTGACCGCAAGTACCGCAAATCCGAACCTCATCCGCCACGCCCCGCAACTACACGGTCTGTCACGTCTGCAACAACAGCGCTACCTTTTTGGGGGTCCCTCCCAGGCCCTATTGGCCCAGAGGGAGAAAACAGCGAACAACAACCCCAGCAGCGCAAACGCCCAAAATGCATTCTATCAGGCTCTCCTACGTGCGAACCACCCTGCGATCATCCTCGAACGTTACAGGTCTGGGTACTTTGCTAGCAATGCGGCTACTGAAGCGATCTATCACAAGGCATTGCAACGGGTCAGCGGCGCAGACGGCTCAGTACCTTTCTTAGGCGGCAACCCACAGTCCGCTCCTGGTCATTTCCAGCAACCACAACTCAGGGCCGATCAACTACAAGCTATTGGTCAGGCCGTCCTCTCTACGGGTTCTCATGGTAAAGTACACGCGGTACCCAACCAGACCGGCACCGGAGCCAAAGAGGCACCTTTGCACGTTGTCGTGGAGGAGACCTTCACAGGTCATCTCTTCCGCTGGCTCAGGTTTATTATCCTTTTGGTAGCCATCACTTATATTGCTTACATCGTTATTGCACTTCTGTTTGAAACTTCCGGCCTGTTGAGGAACGTTAAAAACAGTCAGCCCAACGAAGCCCAGCCGGAACATCAGACCGTGCGCTTCAGCGATGTTCATGGCTGTGACGAGGCTAAGGATGAGCTGCAGGAGCTTGTTGAATTTCTGGTAAACCCAGAACGGTTCAACTCGCTCGGTGGCAAGTTGCCGAAGGGTGTTCTCTTGGTTGGTCCTCCTGGTACTGGTAAAACTCTCCTCGCACGTGCTGTCGCAGGCGAGGCCGGTGTTCCGTTCTTCTTCATGTCTGGCTCGGAATTCGACGAAGTCTACGTTGGTGTCGGTGCCAAGCGTGTCCGGGAACTCTTCAATTCGGCCCGTGCAAAATCCCCTGCCATCATATTCATTGATGAGCTGGATGCTATTGGTGCGAAAAGAAACGATAGGGACGCTGCCTATGTGAAGCAAACCCTAAACCAGTTGCTCACTGAACTCGATGGATTCTCACAGAGCAGTGGTGTCATCATCATCGCAGCAACCAACTACCCTCAGCTGCTTGATAAGGCTCTCACGCGTCCCGGTCGTTTCGATCGGAAGGTGACCGTCGGGCTGCCAGACGTTCGCGGCCGCATGGAAATTCTCAAGCATAAGATGAAGAACGTACAGATTGGCACAGATGTTGATGTGGCTGTTATTGCCCGTGGCACTCCTGGGTTCTCCGGTGCTGACCTGGAGAACCTGGTCAACCAGGCCGCTATATATGCTAGCAGGAACAAGAAGGCCAAGGTCGGCCCCAAGGACTTTGACTATGCTAAGGACAAGATTATGATGGGAGCAGAGGCTCGCAGTCGCGTCATTCAAGACAAGGACAAGCTTCTTACTGCTTATCACGAAGCGGGTCATGCTCTCGTCGCCTACTTCTCGGAATCTTCCATGCCTCTTTATAAGATCACCATTGTTCCCCGGGGTATGGCGCTGGGTATTACGCACTTCTTGCCTGAGATGGATATGGTGTCCAAGAACTACACCCAGTATCTGTCTGATATAGATGTGTCCATGGGTGGTAAGGCTGCCGAGGAGCTCGTCTTCGGTCCCGACAAAGTCACCAGCGGGATCTCACACGTATGTTTGGTCTTGCATCCCCTTTTTGAAATGCCTTGTTTGCTGACAGACTGCAGGATATCCAATCGGCTACTGAAACTGCCTTCACCCTCGTCACCCGATTTGGCTACTCTAAGAAACTCGGAAATGTCGACTTGGGCTCCAACTATAGCAGCCTGTCGTCCGAAACCAAGCAAGAAATTGAAGCCGAAGTCCGACGTATCGTCGAGGAGGCTCGCGTCCGCGCCACCAACATCTTGACTGAGAAGCGCAACGAGCTTGAGCTGCTGACCAAGGCTCTGATCGAGTACGAAACATTGACCAAGGAGGAGATGGAGAAGGTTCTTCGGGGAGAAAAGCTCGAGAAGTTAGAATCGTCCGCAGCCGCGCCCCTTAAGTTGCCCGATGTTTTCTCTACAGGAAACTTGACGTCGCCACAGACGACCGATACGTCGTCCGCTGCCAATTCCGCTGAGGAATAAGTGCAAGTACTACTTCAACTCTTCTCCCTTGACCTATAAAATTCCTTTTTCTCTTCCCACGACTCCGCTCTCCAAACCTCATGTCTCTTTATTCCTCCTTCATCATGCCCCATGTTCCGTCAAATTTGGCCTACCACGACGCGATCAATTTTCAACCGGTTGATCTTTTCAATATCAAATCATCTTATACTGTTCTACACTGTGCATCCCTCCGCGGTTTTTCTTTTCTGTCTTGTATTGTTCACAATTGGCTTTTTACATTTCTTCTTCTACTGGTCAATTTGCATCCCGGATCGTCCTATGACGTTTACATATGTATGTATCAAGCTGGGTACCTCGAGAAATGGGAGGACCCTTGTCTTTCCATGGGAATCGGTTGTGTTGAATGATATGCGTGTACATATATGTACCCAATAAGCATAAGTCGAGTTCGCAGGCATGAGCTTGTGGATGGATTAAATACAGATTCATAATCCAGAGACTGCGAACATTGACACGTACTCCACCATAGTAAGCTACCTTAATTGGTGAGTCAGTTATTGTACTCTGTAAGTGTCTTTGACACGCCGTTCATTAAAAGCCGCCCTTCCTTTCAGCTTCCTGGTAATTGCAATCCTAATAATTACTAGAATATAAGCGTCCCGGGGGAGAACCCCCGGACCCCCCTTCTTTACAGCTCCCTGGCGCGCTCAACCCATTACAAGAACATAAACATAAGACCAAATTATACCCAAACATCCCTGACTTAAACAGACAAACAGTAACGGAAACATAACCCATCTCAACTCTATGAATTGTTCTCCTTCTGTCTTGAGTAGAACTCTTGATAAACACAAGTATAACCGAGTCCGAATATATATAAATGCCACACCAACCCAACCGACCAATCCCCTACACCCAAGGCCAAAAAGAAAAGAAAGAAGATTACCAACTAGTCAACCCCCTCTGTCGATCAAACCCACCCCGCAACTGCACCGAAGGCTTAACCACCTTCCCCTGCAAAACCGTATACCGGATAATATTCTCACAATCCTGCGGCCTTACCCTGGCCAACCAGATTCCCTGGGCTGCGCCTTCACCCCCAGTAACACCACCATCCCCAGACAAATCCCCAGACTCCTTAGTATACGAATCCATATCCCTCTTCCGATAGACAATCACATTAGCCGCATACTTATGCCCCCCGACATGGTTAATGAAATAGATCCCCACGCCGCCGGGCCGCTCGTCGTCCAGGTCCCGGTACAGGTGCAGGTGGCGCAGGTGGCGCTCGAATTCCTTGCGCAGGAGCGGGGCGGATTGGCCGCAGCGGGCGTCGCGGGTGCGGTGCGAGCAGAGGAGGATGATGGCTGAGTGGGGGGAGGGGCGGGCGCGGAGGGGTGTGCTTATTTGAGTGTCTGGTTGTTCTTGGTCTGCTTCTTGCGAGGGATCAGGGCTGGAGGTCACGCTCAAAGGCGTGGTGGTCGTGGGCGCGCGGTTGACGAAGTACTTGATTAGATCTGGTGCCAGAGCCGGCGTGACGTGGTCGACGATGGTGAAGCTTGGAAGGAGGAGGACGGTCGTGGGTTGGTGGCCTTGTTCGTGGTAGTGGTATTCGTCGGGCACGGGCATGTTGGAGGCCGAGAGTTTGAGCTTCTGCAGCAATGCAATAGCGGTGTCAGTAACTTTAGAGAAAAGGGAGGGCGGGGGTTGGGAGGTACAGTCTGGGAAGTAGGAGTAAAAGTAGTAGCGTACCCCATTACTAGGAACAAGCCCCCCCTTCTCTATCGCCTCCATCACACTGCCCGCCTCGTCCGCCACGTCGCGCACCCAGTCCGTCTTCCCCGTCGCGACCAGTAGGTGCGTCGCCCACTCGTCGATGTTGCCGTACATGTTGTCCTCCTGGTCCACGTCGAACTTGGCCGGGTATTTCACCGTGCACGAGGCGCAGTCCTGCAGGCAGTCTTCTCCGTCTACGGCTGGGTCGACCTTCGGGAATAGCGTGTCGGCGTCGGGCGCCTGCTTGAAGTCTTCGGTCGCGGTGACGACGGCATCGTCGCTGGCCTGGGGTCTATTGTTGTCTTTCGGGGTGACCGATCGACTGGGTGTAAAGAAGGCGGCGCCGCGCTGGATGAATGATTGCATGGCTTTTATGTCTTTGTGGAACAGGAAGAAGGAGGGGTACACGGAGGAGGGAGGGAGGGAGGGGTAGGACCAAAAACTCCGGAGGGGAAGGGAAACGTCAGATCTTATCAATCACTACCAAGACAACACAATAATGATGGAATGTTTGGCTAAGAACTTCTCCGACCGGAAGCCATCACATCACGTGCGTCGGGTTTGTCGCCGACCCGGTTATCTTGCTCGGAAATGTGGGGGAGCAATAAAAAGGGGCCAATAAAGGGATGACATTACTAACGGGAATTGCGTTCCTCATCGGACTTAATTATCACATTAAAACTAGCACATTCGTACCTCGGGATTAAAGGCGTTCGACGCTCCCCCCAAAATTGAAAGCATACGGTAGATCCGTCGGTCCCCGCGCTTCCACCAAATGAATGACGCTGCCGCCCGAGCTCCCCGACACATTAGATGGTAGTCGGCGAAGGGAGCGCATGGACGGCGTCCGGGGCGGCTCCACTGCGCGATGGTGCGCATCCGACCGTCTCGACCAAACCGGCGACCAGCGACCGTGTCTAGCGGAATGGGCATCCCAAGAGGACGACGCGTTCGAAGGCCGGAGGCTATTACTGCGGCCCCGGGAGAGTGCATCGCTGTCCTGGAATGAGTCTATGGTCTCCGTCTCGCCTTCCTCGTCTGAAGGCCCGATGACGGACTCACTCTCCGTATGACTGCTCCTGCCATCCTGCAGCTCAGCCAGCACCTGCGGATCCAGCCCCTTCATCCCTCGCAACAGCTCCGCAAAGACATGCATCAACTCCCTGAATTGGTCCTCATGTAGATCCCGCGACGAGAAGCGCGCCCGTTCGTAGAGCGCGATGAACTCCGCGCCCACCTCCGGCGGATGGATAACATCCAGGCCAGCGAGATGCTGCAGGTATTCGCGCAGGCCCATCGAGACCGGCCGCCGTAGCACTTCCACCACCCGGGTATCTGGGAACGACTCGTCGGTATCAGAGAACGGCGCGCGAAGCGACCGATGCACCCCCGCGAAGATCGGATCGGGAGGCGCGAGGGAAACGGCTTTGGCCTCAATCAGATGAGGCAGTTCTTGGATCACGGTCCGGTACGGGAGATCCGGTAAGTCCGCGCATGAAGGAGAGGACCACCCGGGATGCTCGATCTGGCCCCAGGGCGGGTGCTCGCGGTCGATCAGCAGCGACTCGTAGTTGGCAAAGCTATCCCCGTCGGCAGCGAGGTCGCGCGGGCGGGCTTGGTAGGCAATGATCGCGCTGTGGGCCAGCCCTTCCTTCACCAGTCGTCGCACGCTCTTGCCCACATCTTCCTTCTCCACGGGGATCCAAGCCTTGGGGATTCCAGAGAGAACGGTACGGTTGGTGTACAGGCGTGTTGCATAGATGAGGATTGTGAGAATGAAGGTGACCACGTAGCCGCCCGTGATAATGAAGATGTTCGTGAGGCGTCGGGTGATGTAGCACTGGTAGATCGCGTCGGCCGGGGTAAGGATAATGAGGAGGAAGAGGACCACCGAAAGAAAGGTAAAGAATGTCAAGTTAAGAAAGCGCTGGAGGTTGAGGGCCATAATCGCACACACATCATATTGCACATCGTCAACCTCTGCGCCGCTCTAGTTAACAAGCACGAGCTGGCTGGAAGATGTCAGGGATGCGGATTCCGGGAGGGATGCCCGACCGGTTAAAGGAGAGAGTAGGTCACGTGATATATAGTATACCTTGCCGATAAGTGCTCTAATGGCAGTGGGCAAGTCTGCGTGATTTGGGGGGGCAAATTAAAAATGTGTATATATTCATCTACGTCCCGTACTATCTACTGCACTACAAATCACAATAACGCTGAAAGGCGGAAATGTATGCAAGCCCTTCAATCGTCCTCAACGGCAACCTCATCCTCCGGCTTGGGCTCGAACTGGGCGCGAGCGCGGCGGATCACCCTCTCGATACCGTCCAGACCCATCTTCAGGACATCCATCTTAGGCCCGTAGCTCAGACGAACGAAGTGGTGGCAAGGACTGTCGAAGAGATCACGTCTCTTAGCGGGGTTCAAATCGAAGAAGATACCCGGCACCACAATGACCTTCTCGGTCAAGAGCGCGTTGAAGAAGTTCAATCCGTCGGAAATGTTAGCCTCCTTAGGGAGGGGAGGCTCCAGAGAGGTGAGATCAAGCCAGATGTAGAAGGTGGCCTGCGGGACATCCTTTACGCGGAAACCGATCTCGTGCAGGCGTTGAAGAACAAAGTCTCTCTTCTCACGGAAGTGAGTCTGCAACGCCTTCATCTCAGCTCTCACGAGGGAAGGCTCAAGCATAGGGATGGCGGCCTCCTGGAAGGGCACGTTGGCGCCACCGTCCAGGTACGAGCCAGCAGAACCCAGGGCATCAACGAACTCCTTGGGACCGACAACCCAGGCGATACGCCATCCCGGGAGACGGAAACGCTTCGTGAGACCGTCAATCAACAAGACATCTGTAATAGTCAGCATGGCATGAAACCAAAGGAAGCATATCCAGAATTCATAGCGAACCATCTTGGTTGACATCCACCACGTGCTCAGCACCGCTGATGGTGGATCCGTCACAGTCGGTGGTATAGTTGTAACCACCGTAGAACTCGTCGAGAATCAGCGTCGCGCGATCTCTGCAGATATCCTGAATGCGAGCGAGCTCCTCGTGGGAGACGAAGTGGCCGGTCGGGTTACGAGGGTTGGAGGTCAACAGGACAGAGGTACCGCGGGCGATTTCCTCCGCGATCTTATCGGGATGGATGTGGTAGTGGTCATCCTGGGCAAGAGGGATGGGAATGGGCGCAATCTAAGCAGCACGTAAGTGAGTATACAAACACAGCACGGACGACCTGTGGGACCACCTACGTTCTTAAACAATGTCAACATCTCCGAGTAGGCGGAGTAATCGGGAATCGGGAAAGACAGGTACGAGTTGCCCAGGATGGCAGCGATACGGATCAATCCAGCACGACCACCGGGGACAATGCAGACATTCTCCCAGGTATACTGGCTCTCCTTGCCCTGACGGTAATGTTCGTTGTACAAGCGGGCGACGGCGGCGCGCAGAGGCTTGATACCGGCGGTCGGGCCGTACTCGCGAGCGGCGGAGGTGATGGGAATGCTGGTGGGACGGGGGAAACTGCCATCGATCTCATCGTCGGCTTCGGGGGCACCCTGGCCAAGGTTGGCCCAGCTCGAGGGATCCTCTGCGTAGCCGTGTTCGCTCGCGCGCTCTGTACACCAGACGACACCCGTGGAGGCACGAGAGGCATCGAGACCGGCATGGGGACGGTGACCCTCATGGGCGCTGCGGAATTGACGGTGAGTTTCCGATCGGAGTTCTGCAAGGGCGAGATCCGTCAGATGACATGCACGTAATAAATAGTTTTATGGTCTATTGTTCCTAGCAAAAGGCTTGTATGTATGCTGAGAGATTGCCCCGCTAATATTTTCTTTTCGAATTCCGAGCTGCGGTGCTCTCGCTCTGCCCCCCAAAGACCCCATGGAACGACACAGGAACAGAAACCGGAATTTGACGTACCGTTCTCGGACAGTTCCTTGCCCAGCGAAAACCGACGGTTTCCGGGACGCAGGATGCTCACACGACGGCCGGAGAAAGACATGATGGACTGCTTGGCAAGAGAGGGGCCTAGCGTTATATATGGACGGACTATATATACAAGGGTCGATAGACAGAATCGGTGGCGCTTTCTCAACCTGTGTATTTAGAAAGAGGCACGGAAGTAGGAGGCAATGAAATTGAGACCAAAGTACCAGTCTGGGGTTTCCCTAGGATCCCTAGACGGTGTGGAGATGATGGGTAGGAGAATGAAGAAGAAAAGGAAAGAGAGGAAAGAGGGGTGTAGCGAAGGAGGGAGGGAATAATAGTATAATATAAGAAATAATTTGTTCACAGAAATACAGTAGACGATGAGAGCGAAGAGAAAAAAATAAAAAATAGAAAAGGCGGCCTGAACCTGAATTGCCTCCAACTCAGTTGGGATCCAATTGAGGGATGGGATCTTCCTGATTGTTTCCAACTGGTCCTCTTCAACAACTGCCCTTCTCCAACTTTGTCTCTCCCCCTCTCTGGTCCCCACCCACCAACCATCGACATCATCATCAAAGCCATAAGCAGTGACTACTAGTGACTAGTCCACCGCCCATCTTGACCCAGCGTGTTGGTCTACTCAGCGTCCTCCACATCATCCTTTCCGACCTCGGATGCCGTCATACTATTGGCAGCCCGACCTCCCCCTGAATCAATACAAATTTCCAAATAATAATCCCGCATGGTCAGAACTCACTCAGGAGTCGGGCGCCTGCTGCATTTCGAGGACTTCGAAACATGTTAAATGCCTCACTTGTCACCGTCTATGCCCATCGATGCATAGCAGCACGCAGTCCTCCCTTTTCGAGCCCGCCTGTCCAGACCGCATCGATTCCTTCGATTCCCGCCCCGATCGACGGCTTCGGTGGATGATTTGAGTGGAATAAAAAGTGGACCACTCGGATGGGACCCGAATTCCCGGTTCTTGTCTACTCCTCAGCCCTGGTATATTAAATATCAGTGTGAATAACTAACGAACGGAGATCTCAGGAGGAAGGCGTTCGGCTCTGGACGAGTCTCATGCATCTGTTGTTTGCCCCTCTCCCCCTCCCTGAAAGACATTGCCCTCCCTGCCCGATCCTTAGGTCAAACCCGAGAATGCGCCACGTCCAGCTCGACAACCCGCAGAACCAGACAGACACCTACGCGCTTCTTGAGGAACAAAGGGAATTAAAAAGAGAGTGAAACACAAATCTATTTTCATTACGGTTCAGGCTCTCTGGCTCTCTGGCCGTATTTCCCAACCGTCGTTTCTGACCGCGGTCAGGTACGACCCAACGCAACCAACATAGCCGACAGATAAAACATAACAGGCAAGGTGCAAGGAAAATGCAGGAACACTGTACAACTCGACTCTCAACCCGCAATCCGGTATGCGTGAAAAGCAATAGCAGTATACATACATCATGCAGTCATGTAGATCAGATCAAACGCAGTCATCAACATTGCCACAGAAAAAGGCATTCCCAATAAATCAGTATGATCCAGCACAATTCCCAAGACCCGACTCCATGCAATGGGACAAGCAGAGTAGCAGTCTGGCCAAGGGCTTAGTCACTCCTAAAATTCATGGCATGCAAGAATCAAAGGATGGCCAGAGCCTCAGAGCCAAATCTAGCAAAAGATGAGTAAGAGCGCAACCAGGAGACAGCGCCGGCGAATGATGGGGTTATCGGTGTCTCTTCGCTTTCCAGCTCATAGAAAATAGATGATATTGGCAGTAATCGAGAAACACAACAGGAACAGATGCGAAGAGGGGAATAAATGGACGATGAAAGCAAGAAAGACAAAGAGGGTGGGAGGAGAAGGAGGTCATGCCAAAACATGTGACAATGCTGCGGCTCTAGTTCAGCTCTATCACACTTAGGTCTCGACTGCCTGGCAGTACAGTTGGATCTCCCCCACTTGGCCCCGAGCAAGCATATCGCGCTGCTGCTCCCGCCATTCCAGAAAGGCCAATTGAACGGCTTCATCACTGTCGATAGTCACGAAATCCCCGTCTTCATCGCGGTATCGGAGACGGACTGATTTGCTGCCGATCGACTTGCTCGTGAATCGAGCCAGCTTGGCGTCCACTCGGTCGATCAGGGAGCGGAACATGATGTTACTTGCAATAACCAATGTAACGTAGTTGTCATCGAAATTGACCTTCACCTTGAGTTGCGTGGGCATGAGGGGCTCCTCATCGGGTTCATGGCTCAAAGGCGAAGTTGGCTGATCGGTAGCCGAGGTGTTGGGCCGGTAGTCGCCGTATTGCGGCTCGTGGAAATGCGGGTTAGAAAGATGGTTGGCGTTTCGGATAGGGAGCTGGGAGTTGGTGGGGGAGTTGTTTTGGCTTCGGTTGATTGGTGCCTTCATGCTGGCCATATGAGCAGGGATAGGCGGGACCGGGACATTGTCGATCGTTTGCATGTACCGACGGACCTCGGGGTTGTGCTGGTGAATATCAGGACTGCTAGCGGACCGCATCCGCTGTGCCATGCCATTAGCTGCCTGCGCAGACGGTCCCGACATGGGGGGTAATGAGGGACGCTGGGCAGATCGTCCATTAGGAGCCCCATTGAAGTAGGGGTTGGAGTTAGGGCCGTCCCTGGATGTAGCACGAGATAAGGCAGGTGCCGTATAGCGAGGATGATCTTCGTTCCAGTTGTTTGTGGGCGTGGCTTGCCGGCTGCCAAAGTATCCGGTAGACTGCGAACTGGACCTTGTAGATGGGGTTTCGGCAACCGGAGAGAAATAAGAGTTAGCGTTCCTTTCAGCCGGCGACATTTGGCCACCGGGGAACTGTGTATGTACGGACAAGTTGGGGTCAGGCACAGGGAAGCGAGGCGGACGACCGACCGGACCCGAGCTGCCGCTGCCTCCGGTCGCTGAACGAGTCCGGAGACTAGTACTGGAGGCGTTGCGACTCATGGGAAATTCGGAGAAAAACGCGGCCTCCTTGGTCGCAGCCTGTTCCTCGTCATATTCCTGCTGGTACGGGTTGGGCATGTTGGCCATGGCCTTCATATACATGAATTCGGTTTCCGACGTGCCGGTGTTACGTGCGCTGCGCTGCTCCGCCTGTATGGCTCGCTGTGCTTCGATGTCCCTGCTCCATTTACGCATGGTATCTTCATTCTGGTAGCGAATAATGAAGTTGTCGACGACGCCTGGGTCGCCTTTCCAGAAGATCTGAATGCGATAGGCTCCTGTAGAGGTCGGAATCAGATACCGAGCCACTTGTGCGAATTCGTTTATGCAGTAGGGTATTCTTACCTGGTTTTGGCATACAGAGCACATCGGTCACATTTGCCATATAGATGCGGCCCTTGAGCTGAAGGCGTGCTTTGCCCTTGGCAGTTATGGCAGGCTTGTCCTTTCCAACCATCAACTTTGTCTTCTGCTTGTTAGGGTTGATATCCTTGCAGCACAGAAGAATTCGTTCGAACAGGTAGATGTGATACTGCACGGGAGGAGAGGTTCCTCAAGTCAGCCACGGGTTCTTAACGCTTCTGAGTGGGTTGACATGTTATGAACAAATCATTGCCCGCAATGGGACCCCGATGGGGACTGACCTCTCTCTCGGAATCCTTTCCATTGTCGCCTTTAATGACAGAGAACGTGCCAAACCGAAGGAGGTCCCCAAAAGCCTCTATCTTCAAAGCTTTCCAGTCGTCTACACGGTCGTCTAGGTCCTTCACCGCCGTCTGCAGATGTTCTTGATCGATGGCGTCGTTTGCCGAGTCTAAGACCGATTGAATCGCATCGATTGCGCGCTGGATATCGTTCTGGAGATCTGGATCTTCCATTTGCTTGCCGAGTTCCTGTGCAACCGTTAGCGACGAGTGATGAAACACGGCAAGGGCGATTCACGACTGAATTGACCAATTCTTACCTTAAGCATTAACGGGTATTTGGTCAAACGCTGGAAGGGCTTCACGAAGAAACCGTTCAGAGTCGCGGGTTGGGCCACCATCTGTTGTAAATCAAGGGATCGCGGGGCCACTCGGATCTTATCCCATTCTCTCAGACAGACCTCGTCACACCGCAACTGGTTCGCAATGAAGGGTTCATATTGTTTGAAGGCTTCCTCGTGTTGTATGAAGAGTTCACCCCAGTTCTGTCTCTCCTCCGGCAAAGCGTAGTGCTGCTCAATCCGAATCAAGAACCGTTGCGCAAAATCGAGAAGGTTGTTCAAGTTCAGGAAGATTTGATGGCTATGATCTCCAGTCAGGGCTCCCGTTTCCTCCAGTTCCTTCTTCAGCGCTTGCAGATTTTGCAGGTGGTGGACATAGTCGCGCTCGGTTTCCAACAGCTCCTTGAGGATGTGCTCTCGCTTGGTGAGTTTGACGGCGCCTTTTACCGGAGCGCGTGCTGGATCACCGGACGGTCGCTTCAACTGTCCCTGCATCTCCAGGATGTCTAGAACACGATTCACCATCTTGATCACTTTGAGGAATCCGGTGGTATTCTCCCCGTACAGATCGGTGATCAGGAAGCAATCTTGCTGGGGAAAAGCTAGTTCCTGCAGGGAGGCTTGCAGGAATTTGAAAGTGGCGGCCTTGGGACGTTTGGCCTCGGGGACTTTGGCGGGATCGATCTCGAGATTCTCGTCGGGCCCCGAAGCGTTGTAGATGGCCAAGAGGGGGTAACCATTTCGCAAACAGTTCCAAAGCGAGGCGACCGGATCGGTATTCCCTTGCACGAGGTCCGCCTCCTCCATCTCCTGCATATGGGGTTCGAAGTTGGGCACCTCTGCTAAGCGCTTCTTCAGATTAACGCAGCTTTGGTAGATGGACTCGCCGCCGCGGCGATTGATGATGTTGTCCTCAGCGATAGGACCGCCATTTGAGATGGCGGTGTCGGCCATCGCGTGTTGAGGCCGACTGGGACCGTATCGGGAGGAATGTGAGGGAAGGTGAATCTGCGCAGCAGATCAAAGGTAGATGGACGTGGGCGTGGACGGGAAGAACGGTCGTAGTTGCACAGGGAACAGCAAGTCGAGCATGGATCAATGAATGCGAGCCGGTGGACCGATGCGGGATGAATGGGAACAAGCGAGCAGCTAGGGAAACTTAGAGTGGAGATAGTGGTACGGTTCACTATCCCTAAAGTGAGTCAGTCCGATAACCGCAAGCTGGTCTTCCGTGTCTCGACCCTTCGACTCTGGCAAGAGAGTCGCCAGGGAGCCGATCGGGAATGGGGATAAATACCTTGGCCTTGGGAAAGTTGCGCGGGGAGGGGATCGCGACAGAGAATAAAAATCTCTCCTTGTGATCTTTTAATAGCTTGGGGGGGTTTTCTTCCTTTAGCGCGGGCGAAGGGTGCCAGGTTTAAATCTCCGACCCTTGCTGGCGACAGCGCCCCTCTTTCTATTTTGTTTATTCTTTTCCTTTTCTCTCTTGTTCAAGTGTATGCAGATTAGAAATGAGTGATGGCCAAAACGGTAAGCCAAGGGAGAGAATAATATTGTTGGAGGAACAATCCAAAAAGAAAGAGGGTGGATGTGGGGTTTGCCGCTGCAGCCAGGCAAGCGGCAAGATAAATGGGGGGAAAAAGGGAAAGGGAAGGGAAGGGAAGGGAAGGGAGGGGAGGCGACGTGATTATGGAATTGTTCGGTGGGTGGTTCTGATGGGGGAGGGAGAGGAGGGGGAAAGAAGAAGAAGAAGAGGAAGAAGAATTGAATACGGAGAAGGGAAAGGCGGGATGAAGTTCCAGTTCCAGTTCCAGTTCCAGTTGTTCAGCAGGTGCTTTGGTTCGAGTCGGATTTTGCCCCTCAACCAAGCGAGCTGAAGAAGTTGTAGTAGTCGGTGGTTACAGCCGCGGCGGGAGGCAAAGCAACACAAGGTTCAAATCACAGGAGACTCGATGCACGAGGTCAATGACAAATTCAAATCAAGAGAAAGGAAGGGAAAGAAGCAGATGAGAAAGAGAAAGAGAAAGAGAAAGAGTGAGAGAAAGGGGAGAGAGAGAGGGGGGTGGAAAAATATCCCGCGGAGGAGGATTGGAAAAAGGAGGGAGGGAGAGCGATAGAGAGAGAGGCAAAAGGAGAGGAAACACTCGGCTCCAGGACTCAAGACAAAGTGAAGAAGGGAGAGAGAGTTCCACCACTCGGTGGAAATAGCGCGCGTCAGCTTCCCCCGAAGCAGGAAATCCAGTCGATCGGTAGTCAGTCAGTTACCTAACAGAAGGGGATTAAAGGGGGAAGAAAGAGTAAAGACAGAGAGGAGGGAGAGAGAATTAGATTGATATGTAGACAAGAGAGAGAGAGAGAGAGAGAGAGAGAGATGTAGATAAAGACAGAGAGAGTAAAGAAGAAGAGGGGGGCAAAATACCTCAAGGAGGAAGGAGAAGTTAGTTATGTTCGTATCTTCGAATGAATGAATTAACTACCATCTGGGAGACTACAACAATCAATCACTACATGGATGAATAGATGATCTCCACAGGGAATAATCCTACGCGCCTCGCTCTTGTCTTCATACCTATTCTAGGCATAGACGATCTCCTGATCGTTCCATCCAGGCGGATTTGAAAAGCATGAGAGGCCAAAAAATGGATTGCTGCATGCTGCAGGAAGCAAAAAAAAAAAGAAAAAAAGAAAAAAGAAAAACCCCTTCTCTCAGACACCAACAGTTTGGGATTGAACAAGGGTAGGGACGAGAAAGTCCATGGTATCATCATCACATACTCGAGCATGGCTCTATGATCCCACCCAAGACATACCAATATTATTATTGGTTGTGAGAGAATGAAGTCAGCAACAGAGGCTGTTAAGCTATCCAGTCTCCTTGCTGGAAACAGACAAACAAGCACTTAACCTCTATCTTCCATCTTCATAGAATTGAAAGGATGGATGTATGTACTAAGTACTTCCAAGCCAGCCAATGCACAGTAAACAAGGAGTGGATCTTCGGCAACCCGCACCGTAACCCAATCGAGGCAATCTGACGTGACGAGTCATTGACCGTTGACTGACTGACTGTCTGACTGACTGCCTGACCAACTCTTGCTCTCTCTCTCTCTGTCCTTCTCCCACGTCCAGGTCAACAACAATCAAGCTCGTCATCATCCTCAAATCTATTCCACCCTGCTCCCCCCTTCCCTTCCTCCCCGATTCACCTTCTCCAATCTCAGGGGTTTCTCTCCTCCCATACAGTCTCTCCTCTATCCCGATCTTTCCCCTCTCTCCCCCGCCCCCCCCTTCCCTTCCCATGTGGTGTTTGCAATACGCGTTCTAGCTCCTTTCGCGACACCCAGCTGGCTCCCAGCCCAGCAATTAACCTGAAACCATTTTGGATGCAGACTCTTCTGCTGCAACCGAAGAAGGGTAACTGGACGCTGTGAGGGATCCCTGCAACAAAGTGTCCTCATGGCTCGAGAGTCCTCCGAGCCCGCTCCTGTCCCTCGTCTTCCTCCGCTCCAGACCACCGTCAACTACTCCTCCGACTTCGCCGCCGCCCCCTCGCTGTCGGCATCCTTCAAGCTCGACGAGGGCTACTCTGATGAGACGCGAAGTCAACCCGAGAAGGACTTGGTGATTCCCACCCTGGATGAGGGGATGACCCTCGAGGAGTGGATTCTCACACACAGTGAAACGGAAAGAGCTGGTAAGTTTAGTCGCTGGCCTTCCCGGTTCCCCGACCCGCAAGGTGTCTTACCTCTCGACTGGGGCCGTGGCGATCACCTTCCATGCTGATCAACCAACCGTGACATCGGGATACAGAACTAGCCTATAAACTTCTCCGATCCTTGCGCACTTCCACCGTCGCCACCGTAATCGAGCGATTGGCACCCCTCCTGCACATGGATCCGGTCCTGAAGCTTCCGCCCGAGATCACATTTGAAATCTTCTCCTACCTTGACCCACAAACACTGCTGACAGCTTCTCTGGCCTCCCGCGCCTGGCGCAATCGCATTTCCGACTCGCGCCTGTGGAAGGACCTCTATATCAATGAAGGCTGGCGGGTGGACATCGACGCGGTGCGCCGGTTCGAACAGGAACACTCTGGGCTTTCATCCCCGCAACTGCGAAAATCCCGCTCAAGGCATACAGACCCGGATAGTGGCGAGCCGAAGCAGAAGAAACGGGTACCGCCCAGCTGGTTGGACTCGCGAGCGACCGGATCTCTCGAGCAGGGAGCAAGGCAAGGAAACGGGCAGCAACATGTTGAGAAGGAAGCAGATAAAGAAGGTGACCATCCCATGGGCGATGTATCAACTGAGAGGGGCGCTTTATTCTCTCCGGAACAGCAAATAAGCCCGAGTAGACGGCGCGAATCTCTCTCAGGGTCGACTCACTCCAAGTCAAGTGGTCAGGGATCGTCCACAGCTACGCGCCGGTCTAACTCATCGCTTCTGATCCGGATGCCCAATGGTGCAGCCAAGGTCAACTGGCCGCATCTGTACAGGCAACGAAGGAAGTTGGAGGAGAACTGGGCCAAAGGCCGTTTCACAAACTTCCAACTTCCTCACCCATCTCACATGGAAGAGGCCCATCAAGAGTGTGTCTACGCGATACAATTTACGGGCAAATGGTTGGTCAGTGGCAGTCGAGACAGAACTGTAAGGGTCTGGGATTTAGACACGAAGCGCCTGTGGCACCCACCACTACAGGGCCACTCAAAGTCAGTACTTTGCCTCCAGTTTGATCCTCGTCCGTCAGAGGATATCATCATCTCGGGCAGCAGCGATAAAAGTGTCATTATCTGGCGATTCTCCACGGGCGAGAAGCTCCACGAAATCTCCTGCGCCCACGATGACTCTGTCTTAAATCTTCGGTTCGACGAGCGGTACATCGTAACTTGCTCCAAGGACAAGCTCATCAAGGTGTGGAGTCGGCGACAGCTCTCCCCAGCTGACAAGGACTATCCCAGCATGTTCTTTGGCTCCGGCGTAACCTATCCATCCTACATAGTCGATACCGCTGAATTGCCCTCCCCAGTCCTGGAAGCCGAACTCGCCAACGGTCACTTCCAGAGTCTAGCCCCGTACTCCCTTTTAATGACCCTGGACGGACATACAGCCGCAGTAAATGCCATTCAACTCAACGAGGACGAGATTGTCTCTGCCTCAGGTGACCGGCTGATTAAGATCTGGAACCTCCGCAACGGCGCTTGCAAGAAGACTGTAATCGGCCACGAGAAGGGCATTGCGTGCGTTCAGTTCGACAACCGTCGGATCATCAGCGGCAGCAACGACGACACGGTCCGAATCTTCGATCACGCCTCCGGCGCAGAAGTAGCCTGCCTTCACGGACACGGCAACCTGGTCCGGACCGTGCAAGCCGGCTTCGGTGACCCTCCGGGCGCCGAAGAGACGCTGAGACTCGAAGCTCTCGCCGTTGACAACGCCTTCCGCGACGCTCAACGCAACGGCGCCTACGTCGATCTCGGTCCCAGGGCCCTCCGCCGCGCAGGTTACCATCAAAACACCACCGGCTCGCGGGACCCCCGCGACATCAAAGCGTTGGGCGCTAGTATCCCTCCCGGCGGAGGCGGCAGCAGGTGGGCTCGCATTGTCTCCGGCTCCTACGATGAGTCCATCATCATTTGGAAAAAGTGCAAGGAAGGCCGCTGGATTGTCGGCCAGCGACTCCGACAAGCAGATGCCGCCGCCAGCGCCGCTTACGTAGCCTCCGATCCAGCCGCCCGTGCTGCCATCGCGCGATCAAACGCTTTCGCTCAGCAGAATCTCCAAGCGGCCGTTGCAGCAGCACAGGGCCAACAAGCACCGGCCCCAGTCCCAGCCACACCAGCAACCGGAGGCGGAGGCCCTTTACAATCCCTCCAAGCCCTAACAGCGCGCTTAGCCGGACAAGCCACCAGTCAACCAGGAACCGCCCAGCCTCAACCCCAACCCCAACCCCCCATGAACGGCACAGGAGCCAACCCAGCCCTCCACCCCCACCAACCACCACAGCAACAACAACAACAACAACAACAGCAACAGCAAGCCCAACCGCTACCCCCTCAACCCCACCCCCGCCACCAGCAGCGCATGAACCGCGTCCCAGGCCCGGCCCCGACCTCGCGCATCTTCAAGCTCCAATTCGACGCCCAGAAGATCATCTGCTCAAGCCAGGACCCGCGCATCGTAGGATGGGACTTCGTCTGCGACGACGAGGACCTGCGGGAAGCATGCCAGTTCTTCACGGGTCTCTGACATCGCCAACGGGGTTCTACTTTTTAGCGCGTCTCAAACATGCGTCGGAGCAACACAGGCCGTGTGCTCGAGCGAGGAGGTAAACAGGCTATCTATCTATTGAACCGGCCTTCCGACCTTACCTTTCTGATGGTCACTTGCACTCATCACCATCAATGCTTTATTTAGCACATTGTCAGCCTAGCTTTATCGTATGCATGCGCTACCGTCTATAGTTAGCTCACACCCCTCACTTCATTTCTTCGCTGCTTTGATCTTCAACATACCGGAGATTTCATCGACTTCTTCGGATCACATCTTGAATTCTAGTCTCGGAAGGAAGGAATCATGACGAGGAAGTTACATTGTTCAATTTCGGCAAGTGTTGCACTCATAGCATGGACGCTTTAGTCTTTTTGTCATCCCTTTTCACAGCATCATGGGCATTATTGGAGCGATGGAGTCGGACTTAGGGACTCTTTTTCATGTTGAGGCGTATACATCAAATACTTGGCTCTGAACATTACATATTACTTTCCTGGACGGACATTTCATGGCAATGGCGGTTAATGATAAGCGATTGGTAATTGCGCTTTCTAGGGATATGTATGTTATCACACCTGCATCGCATTGGAACTAGCCTGGACAAAACCATTTGACTACTCTATTCTCCACAAGCGGCCCTGCTGTTCAATCAGAACAAACAACCTCAGTGAATATAGCATGTATCTGCTCTTCTCCTTTGGGATTGGACGATTCGCAGCCCTTGCAGCGAAGGAACCGAACGTAGCACCCTCGTCCTAAGGAATTAGACATCAATTCAGCATCCGGCCCATGGTACCGACATTCCGAGCAGCAAACCCATGAACGGACTTCCAAGCTTCTGAGATCCATTGCGCAGGGTGCTGAGTTGACTCTGAGGCTTCTTCGTCATCGCCTGGTGAACCAGGTAAGTTATCGTTTGACGGATGACTTCTCGCAGTCTCATACGTCTCACGCGAAGAGGTATTGGAGTAGACGACAGTGTCCGGATCGTCCCTGCCGCCCAAGCAACAGAAGAAACAGGAACTACCTCTTGGGAGACATTGAAGCCACGAACCCAATTGTCCGTGTGCGAAAGCGCAGGGATCCGGTCTGGTAGAGGTTGTCGTGGGCGATTCCGTTGGAACAAGAGAGCATGCGGGGAGCTCGTGTGTGATCTCGGGCCCCTGTCCGTCTACGAAACTCATTTGTTGCCTCAAGAGCGCAGGATTGAACAGCTGAGACGCGCAAGTATGGAACGAATCCACTCTGGTCGTTGTAAGGGCCGTATTTGCCGAGATGGGCCTCTGTAGACTGTCATGTGCATGGATGTGAGCGACTGAGGAAAAGTGGCCGCGTGCCGAATGATGACTGGTCCTAACGACTGGGCCTATACGTGCCGGGGTCAGACGCCAAGGTGTATCTCGTTGTGGGCTGCTAGGCTCTCTATCGGGTTTTCTGTGATGCGTGGAGTCTCCGTGTTCGTTGGTGCTTTCCTCCGGGGCGGGCGAGAGCGCCCTCTGGGGAAAGGTGTGATCTTCCATTCGTCTTACCACGCCAACTCCATGCCCGCTTTGCCTGTAAGGGAAACGACCTTGTACCGCCGTACCATCTTCTGCCCTTGCAACAGTAGGTACTTGTCGTGGCGCTTGGGGTGGGATGGAGGAGGAGAAGCTGAGTATTCTCCGGATTCTGTCGCCGTAAGATGCTGTTCGAGTGCTCTCAGAAGCACCACCACCATAGAACCTACTCGATGAGCTCGCAGTCGCTTGTTGGTTCTGATTGTTGACAGTGGCAGAGCGGACATGGAACCGAGAAGAATAATTCACAGCTTCGGGGGTGCCAAATGTCGGCAGCCCAGGGGGAGTGGGCGACCTTACTGGGGGCGGATATGCAGGGTAGATTGGATTCGCTGGAAAGTCGTGCTCGAACCATTGAGATGACTTGGAAGCATCGTTGGGATCATTGAGGCTAATGGTGGGATTTTGGAAATGCAGGACGTCCAAGAGGTTCCGTTTCAGCGACTCGTCCTGGGTCGATGGCACTATTGCTCTACCCTCATCAATGGATAAGAGGCGACTGTTACCCGGAGCAGAAGGGTGCCAACCAGGAGACGCACTCTCTTTTTCCGTGAAATAACGAGGTTCCCGATGTGGTAGCCGTGGGAGCCCTGCTGCGTCTCGCGCCGTTGGAGGAGAGAATGTAGCTGCGTTGGCTGCGACTCTGGAATCCAGATCTCGTTGTATCTGCCTCGCTGGGTTATGTCGCTGCGTGAGCTCGTCCGAGCTAGAATATGCCCTTATCGCGTCGAAAATGTAGCTTTCCTCGCTAGGAATGGATTCAGCGAAAACCAAGTGAGAGTAACGCGTCATGCTATCAGCAGTTGCTCGTCCAGTCGAGGAATCTTCATCATTCCCAGGCAAGCCACTTCGAGCAGGAATCTGCTCCTGATCCTGAAGAACCATAGTTCTGAGCAGTCGATCAGGGGCCGTCTCATCATTCTGGTGAAAGGAAAAGAGCAGTGTCGAAGTTGGTTGAAACGGGAATACACGCAAAGCTCATTCAGAGTGCCACCTCGTGTTGCGCCTTCCTTCTGTGTTAAAACCAGAGCAGAAGGAGCGGGCAAGTATGACAAGAAGAATTCACATTTGACCGTCACAGTCGAGAGAGAAAAACCATGTATGCAAGGGCTCGCTGATAGACTCTATCTATGTACACAGGCAGATCAAGTACCGAGAAAGGGCCCAGGATTAGTACACCAAGATGGGATATACAGGCAGAGATTAGGGGGCATTAATATGTACGGAGAAAAGAATATTAATAACAAGCCGATTCGCTGGGAGCGATCGGCGAGAAAGCAAAGAGAGATAGACATGAAGAAGGATCGTGATCATCAGGCTGTGACGGTCTGACCCAACTGAGGCTTGCCGGTCAAGCTGGCAACCTGGTTGTTCAAATTGCGGATCGTAGTCTCCAGCCGACGGCGTTCATCGTAATCCGCCTGTGGTGACTGATTAGCTATGAGGCATATCACGAAGGAAAGTCGAAATACGTACCTTGCGGATCTTCAGGTTTTCGGACCGCGTGTCTCGCATCATCTTCTTGAACTCATTCTTGAGTACCATGGTGGACGTAGTCTCATGGCCATCGCGTCCGCTGCCCATCCAGTTGATTCGTTCCTCATTGAGTTGCGTCTCCAGCTGCTCACAACGGTCGCGCAGCGTGTCAATGACTCCCTCGAACTGTTCGCGCTCCTTCTCGAATTCGATGCTGGCCTTGGTCATCACTTCGTAATCGTCCACAGTATCCCGGAGCTCTCGCTCCAGCAAGTCCACCCGATGCTGCAGATCACTACTGCCAGGCTTTCCGGCCTTGAGAGCGGCGAGCTCTTCAGCTAGCTCCAGGTTTCGAGTGTTCAACTCATCGAACTCCCTCTGGATGGCAGGGTTTGCTGCGATGTCGGCCGCCCGCTGGGCTCGCGATCCGTATGCACCATCCAGCTCCGCCTTGGCCATCGTCAGCTCGGTCTGGGCCCGCACCACTTCGCCTTCCATTTCCCTCAATTCGGCCTGCAGACGCGAGGAGTTGTTCTCTGCTTCGGCGCGTGCCTCGGTCACTTCCTTGACTCGAGACTCCAGAGCTTCGACGTCGACGCGGAGCTGGCCCAGAACGGTCTCCAGTCGGGCAACTTCGTTTTCGGCGTTGGTGCGTGCATCCGTGGCCTCCTTCAATTGAGTTTCCACACTGGCGCGGAATTGACTCATTGATTCTTCCAGTCGCGCAACCTCGCTCTCAGCTTGTGCTCGCGCATCGACGGCCTCTTTGACTTGAGCGTCTGCCTCAGTGCGGGTATGCTGCAGTGTCTTTTGTAGTTCCAAGATCTGTTGCTCGGCATGCTCACGGGCTTCCGTTGCCTCCGCTCCGCTGTTCGCCGTACTCTGAAGCTCGTCAATCATTCCTTGAAGACGAGCAATTTCGCCATCTGCCTTTGCGCGTAATGCGGTCAACTCCTCCGTGTGAGCGTCAGCTTGGGATTGGAGCTGTCCATGATGGGCCTCTGTAAGCGCTTTGCTTTTGGCTTCAGCTTCATTCTCGTGGGAGTCTACCACCGCTTGTAACCGCACTGCTTCGCTCTGATGCTGCTCGAGCAGTGTCTGCAAGCGGGTAGCTTCGCTTTGGTGTTCGCCAAGTGCCGCCTGCAAGCGTGTCACTTCACTCTCTGTTGCTGAACGTGCAGTGGTAAGCTCCTCAAGGCGAGTGTCGTGGTGCGATTGAAGCTCTCCGATGTGGGCTTCCAGACGGGCAACCTCACTCTCGGCGTGAGCGCGTGCTTCGTGAGCCTGAGCCTGGGCATCTTTCTCCTGTTTGAGATCTTCCATTACACTTTCCAAACGTTTCACCTCGGCTTCGGCGCGCGCACGGGCTTCTTTCTCAGTGGTCAACTCCTTCGACGTGTCCTCCATAACATGCTGTTCTTGATGGCTCGCCAGCTCCTGGCGCAGGGCTTTCACTTGTTCCATCGCGTCTTCCAGGTCTTCTCTCGTCCGCTGGCCTTCGTTCTCAGAGAATTCGAGGTCTTTACGAGCATGGGCCAGTTGCTGCATCAGGTCCGCGATATGTGCGTCTCGCTCCGCATCAGATTTGGAGTTCAATTCACGCTGCTGTTGAATCTGTGTCGTGAGTATGCTCTTCTGCTCGAGGAGCTTGTCAATGCGGTCCTCAAGACCACTGATACCTGCATGAAGGTAGGAAAGATGCTCAGCGTGATTGGCACTAGAAGAGTCGGGCGGCGGAGGGAGAGTCTGGACCCCCGGCATGCCCGATTGCTGAACGATTTGGTGTAGTCGTGCATTGACTTCGCCCAACGGCTGCTCCGAGTCATCATCCAGGGACCGTGCTTGCGACTGGCCGCCCGAAGGGTGCGCACTGAGATGTCCCAGGCTATTCTCGATATAGGCCAGATAAGCTTCCAACGCTGCCGTCGGACTGGCCTCCGGGGATGGTTGTGGGACTGGTTCGAGATGCTCAGCGGGATTCGACTGTGCGAGCATATCATACACCTTCCCACTCAGGTACTCCAATCGCTTTTCGGTATCCTGGACAGCCTCCAGCCCAAGCCCGTGCCATGCTTGTCCAGATGTGACGTGCTCTTCCACATGGCCAGAGGGTTTGTAGAAGCTCCGATCATCAAACCCGTCGATACTGTCGCGAGGGTTATGGCTGGATAGGCTCTCGGGGGTGTGCGGCACATTGTTCTTGAGATTCTTCTTCAGACCCTTGTGCGTCATCTGCAGAATACCCGCCGTGTGCTCCAACAGTTTGCTGTTGACCTGCTGCACTCTGCGCTCCAAGTCCCAGATCTCCTGCGAGAGCTCTTCGCACTTGCGGGTGCTCAGCGCCAGCTCCTCATCGGTCTTGTCCATTGTCGTCCCATTATGTTCCAGCAAGCTTCGTTGCGACCGCGGGGAGGCTTCGGGATCATTGCTGCCGTTGAAGGAGGGGCTCTTGGGGGTATACAAGCGACTCAGCGACATGGCGGCATCGCGCAACTTCATTTCCAGGGCCAATTTGCGCTTCGCGGCGTTCATCCGAGTGGTCAGGAACTTTTGCTCTTTCTTCAACCCGTCCACTTCCTCCAACGACAGGATCTCGTAGTGTGTGCTATCGCTCATGGCGGTCTCCGTGAGCAGGTACATGGCGACGGGATCATGGGTCTGGAGCAGGGCGGAGTTTCGGGGGAGATTCGTATTCAGCTGCAGGAACGTATGGAAAATAAGTATGCGACCGGGGTCGATGTCAGAAATTAGGGAGTCACTAACGGGATTGACTTGCGACTTTCCCACTAGCTGGGGGTCGGAAGTATCGCGGTAACCGTTCATCAGCACCTTGGTTGGGGGCGGTTGCGAAGCGCCATAGGAGGCTGAGTGCCTGGGGTCGCCGTACGATGACAGGCTGGACCGAACTTCAAGGCCGTTCATGGTGATAGATGTTGCGAGTGATAGAGAACTGAGGGGAGCGGAGAGTTCCAGGCAGCAGGTCGGACAGTCGGTTTTATCTGAGGGCTGGCGGATCAACAGGCAAGGCCCATCCTCCTCGGTGGCAGCCGTAGACACCGTCCACCCGATCAGAGGAAGGAGGGGGGCTCTTTTGGGATAAGAGAATGAAGCGACGATTAGAGGATAAGAATGTAAGGGAGAAAAGAGAGCTCAAATTGGGTACAAGGGACACGAAGGGAGGGGGGGGAGGAAGAAGGGAGAGAAAGGGAAGAAAGAAGGAAGATGGATAATAGGTTAGGATGTTGGATCTACGCCAAAAAGGACCCAACTTAGACCTCGAATTGACCTTTGACCGGACACAGCCGACCGGAGCATAAAAGCAAGATTGGCTCTGAACGAACCTCCACAGAAGCGGGACTGCGCCTAATTTAAACTACAGATTTGAACAACAACACGACTACAACGACTACGAGTACAGTACCATCAGCTCCTCCTGGCTGTGATGGATCAGGGAGGTGGAAGATCCATCACACAGCTATCTCCCTGCACACGACAGACATCCTGCCATGGCTCCGATTCGATTGCTCTTTTCGCAATATTATCGACAGCTCTCATTCCTTTATCCCCTTGGAGATCCCTTCCTGTCCCCTTTGCAGCAAGACACCAGCCGCTGTCATGGGTCCGATGGCAGGATCTTGACAGGCAGAACCGAAGTGGAATGAATGTCCGTGAAGAAACATCCACTGTTGATTTTCTTTCTATTAATCAAAACCCCGGAATTTCCCCTGAAACAACGGATTCGCTGGTTGAGCTCCACTGCCCGGCTGAGGTTCCAGTCCTTATTCTCAACCACACGGAAAGGTGCGAGAGAAAATAGATTGCAGCAGGTCGGGGAAATGACGCAGCTGAACGATGATCCTCCAGACTTTTCGGGAGTTTCGGGGGAAATGCCGCAGTTGTGATGTGATGCACCTCACAGCCAGCTGGATATCTGAGGAGAAAGAAGTGGAAGCCAATTCCTTGGCAGCCACTTTGGTCACTTGCGCAACTTGTGTATCGCGACCACTGGGATCGTGGATAGAATAAACTCAGTCCTTTATCGTCGAGATCTATGGTTCAACCAACCGAGGCTGCAGTGTGTCCTCCGTCAACTGCCCAATTCAGATTCTGTGACCGACAGAGCCTGAGACCCAAGCTGGTTTCTCAAAAATGGGATGTAACCTCCATGCATTCCCCTCCTCCCCTCCTCTCTGAGGTCACTGACCCCAGATGTAACCGCAATCAACCTAACTTCCGGCTCAATTCAAAACGGTTCATGCTTTCATGCTTCATCTGTGCTCGGTTGCGCCCACAATGGAGACTGCGCAAATCACAAGCAGCCGAGCATGAGATTAATATACAGTGACTGCGTTGCATCACCACCAACGAGCCTATCAGCCCTTTATCTATGTGGTTTCCCCTCTCTTTCCCCGGATCTCCTTCCCCTCATTTCCCTCATTCCGTTCCCAGGTCCACGAGATCATGGCCACGAGGAATGTTGAGTCTGGGTTGGATGTGCTCCCTCCATCGGGGCCAGTGTACAAGGTCTACAAGCGTCGATTCTGGGGGTTGACACAGCTGGTGCTGTTGAACATCGTCGTCAGTTGGGACGTAAGTGCAACCTGCAAGTCCGCGTTCAATGAACTTCACTCTCTGACCTCACGCAACAGTGGCTCACCTTCTCGTCGATATCTACCACCGCCGCGGAGCACTTCAATGTATCCGAAAGCGCCATCAACTGGATGAGCACCGGCTATCTCTTCGCCTTCTGCGTCGCCAGTCCGTGAGTCCGCCCGGTTTCTATAGTTCATCAGTAGTTAGCAACACACCTGACTAAACCCTCACCAGCATTGTCATCCTCACCCTCAACAAGGGCGGCCCCAAGCCCGCCATCATCGTCACCTCCTCTTTGCTGCTGGCCGGCAACTGGATCCGATATGCCGGCACGCGAGCACGCGGCGGAATCTTCGGGGTGGCCATGTTCGGGCAGATCCTGATCGGGTTGGCGCAACCGTTCTGTCTCAGCGCACCGACACGATACAGCGACCTCTGGTTCTCGGACCAGGGCCGCACGAGCGCGACAGCGGTGGCGACGCTGGCCAACCCGCTGGGCGCGGCGCTGGGCCAACTCATCGACTCGTTCTGGGCGACGGAGCCGGACGACGTCCCCAACATGGTGCTATACATCTCGATCATCGTAAGCATCACTCCTCCAACACATCAACAACAACTTCGACCCCCCAACTAACCACCAGAAAAGGCAACAATCGCAGCTCTCCCTTCATTCATCCTCCCCTCCCACCCCCCAACCCCACCGAGCGCCTCCTCCGCCAGCCATCACCACCACAACAACACTACCACCACCACCACCACCACCACGCCAACACCAACGACCCCGCTCCTCCCAACAGTCACGCAACTCCTCCGCACCCTCGAATTCTACCTAATCCTAATCCCCTTCTCAATCTACGTAGGCTTCTTCAACAGCGTCTCCTCCCTCCTGAACCAAATCCTCTCGCCCTACGGCGCCAGCGAAACCGAAGCGGGGATCGCAGGCGGGATCCTGATCGTGGTAGGGCTGGTAGTATCAGCGGTGATCGCGCCGCTGACAGACCGGTACAAGCAGTACCTAACGACGATCCGGATCCTGGTGCCCATCGTGGCGGCGTCCTACATCGGCTTGATCTTCGCACCAGCCAGCGGGCTGGGCATCGGGCCGACGTACGCCGTGTGCGCGCTGCTGGGCGCGTCGTCGTTCGGCTTGCTGCCCGTCGTGCTGGAGTTCCTGGTTGAGATCACGTATCCGTTCTCCCCCGAGATCGGCAGCACCCTCTGCTGGACGGGCGGGCAGCTGCTCGGCGCCGTGTTTATTCTCGTGCAGGACGCGCTGAAGGCGAGCGATGACGACGGTGGCGGCGGCGCGACTCCGCCGGGCAATATGCGGCGGTCGTTGGTCTTCTCAGCTGTTGTGGCTGCGGTTGCTGCGCCGTTGCCGTTGTGTATTGGGTTGTTTGGGAGGGATGTGCGTCGCAGGCGGTTGGATGTGGATCGTGGGGTGGATTTGGGGGAGGCGGTTGGTGAGGATGAGGAGGAGGAGGAAGGTCGTCGTGAGGACGGATCGGGGAGTCCGGGCGACGAGGAGAAAGGGAAGTCCTGGCTGAAGTGGTCGGTCTCCTCGAGGCAGTAGTTGGATGGATGCAAAACTCGCCGAGATAATTCGGGTTTGTCGGCGGTGTCCGATACTGACCCTGCGCTAGACGACTGAAGCCAGCAGTGAATGACTGCTATGACTGGAAATGACTGATGATATGATTGCTGATGCCCGTATGCTGAAACGAGCCTAGTGCATGAACGCTCGCCAGTGTAGATATGGTGCTTCTTATCTACAATGCAACAAGCCAATACCTGATAAATATCAAAATAGCCTCTACCCCGATAGATAACACTAACCCACCTGATCATCATGTAACACAGGAACCCGAAATTCAAAACAATCACATTCATCTTAACAAAAGAGATAGTAAAAATAAATAAAAGCACAGTTCAAACAGGCAGAAACCAGCTATCTGTACATACACAGTGAAGAGATTCCGCTTCGAATCCCTTTTCCTCCCATCTCCGAAACCCACGAAAAGACGAAAACAACCAAGAAAAAGAAAAAAAGAGGGGGAAAGGCCCTTCTTTCTATTTCCCGTTCATCTATTCACGTAAAGAACAAGAAATCCAACCTTCTCTTTGCGACAGGTTGACAGACACCAAAAAAAAACAGGATATCTGCAGCCATCATACAAAACACTCTAGACATGGAAACGGTCGTCTTGTTTTTTGGGTACGAGAACCCTCCTCGTCTTTTCCTTCCGGCGCGAATGTATCTTTCTCGTTGTCTGTTATACATTCGAAAAAGTGGGCTGAATGGTATTCGATACTTTTTGTCTCAGAAAGACACACCACACGGTGAGGAGACGAGAAGGGTCATCGTTCGCAAAGTCGAAACCCGCTTATTTGAGCTGCTTCCAGAGCTTGGGGGCGGCGCACTGGGTAGCGCAGTGCGTGAGGTGGAAGACTGTTTTGGGGGAACAGAGGAAAAATGATTAGTCACACGGACAACCATCGGACAACAAGACAATTGATCGGAGGGAAATCTGATAACTTACACTCCTCAACGCAATCCTCCTTGGGACCCTTGTAGTCCTCATCCTCCTCCTGCTTGGTTACGCGCTCAATGCACTCATCGAAGTGGTGCTTGTAGGGGGCGCACTGGGCGGAGTTGGCGCACTCTGTTGGACGACAAACGTCAGCAAACTGTCCATGGAGGCTGAAGACATGACTATATGGGCTGGCGCCACGTCAATGCCGCAAAGGTGTTCTCATTGATTGACTGTTTGAGTTCGGGCAGGCGGATGTCCAGTTTGATAGCGGCCTTTGAGTCGAGGACGAGCCATTGCCGCGGCGAAACCCAGTTGAACCCGATGTCGGCAGAATGGCGACAAAAAGCATTTCAGAGAATCGTAAGAGAGATTGACTCACCCTCCTCGAGCTTGGGCTTGACATCCTCGGGCTCCTCCTCCTCCTCTTCCTCCTCTTCTTCCTCCTCCTCTTCCTCCTCCTGCGGCGCCTCCTCCTCGGCGGACTCCTCAGCGGGGGTCTCCTCAGCAGACTCCTCGGTGGACTCTTCGCTGGAAGCAGCAGCCTCCTCAGCGGGCTTCTCCTCGGACTCGGCCTCCTGGCTGCTGGTCTGCTCGACGGACTCGGCGGGAGCCTCAGCCTGAGCCTCGGGGAAGCCGAAGGAGGAGATGACGTCGGAGAAAAAGTCGGCGAGACCCATTGTGTCGTATGTGGAGGGAGGAAATTGGTCAATTGATGACTTCCGGGGAGGACCTAGGATTGGCGAAGGTGTGGGGGTGGTGGTGGTGGTGCGGTGGGCAGCAACGAGCGAGTTTGGATGAGGTTGGCGGTTTTGAGCTTTGGCACTTCTTGCCGTCTGGGAAAATCGGAACGCCCCGGCCGCCGGCGAAAGGCCAATTATCGCACACGTGATTGGCCAATCCGTTCGGCAGGGGACTTGACTAATACGACCACTGCGAGTTAACTAAGTAACAACTACAAGAATGCAGGATTTACCACATGTCCAAAAGATAATATACAAGTCATTTGAGATTGTTTTTCCTGTTCTCGTAAACACGGTCTCAGTGCCTTCCACCCCTGATCAACTGGCACGACGCAGTCTCGCCTCCAGCTCATCTGCCACACTCTGCTGCTGGACCGTCTCATAGTCCGGCGGTGGTTCCACCAGGCTGGAGTCCGTCTCTGGGCTATGGTGATGGCTCTGTGGACTCATGGGTTGGTCTCTGTGGGCTTGTTCAGCCCCAGCACTGCCGTTTGAGGGGCCAGAATAGGCTGGCAGCTCGTCGAGATGGATCGTGGAGAGGTCGACGTTCTGGACTCCACGACTGCTTGCTTGCGAGTTCTCGACCGCCTGCTGTAAACGCTCCTTGATCCGCTCGAAATGATTATGAAAGTCGAATGCGCCTCCCTCCTTGAAAGTCACTTTCACCTGCACGGCAGGCAGAGACGGAGGGATGCCGCCTCCAGATACCGGTTGGATTAATGATATCCATGCATTCGGCCCAAAGAACGGAGCAGTGACGTGGGTGTCATGGATATTCAGTAGTGGCGCAGAGAATGACTGGAAGGTCTGCGATTTCTGCGCTGGGATATACACAACCTGCCAACAACATGTCAACGATGACTCCCCGCCAATAGCTAAGTAATTGGTAATACCCGCTGGTTTGTCAAATAGATTTGTCCGGCGCTGCTTTGGATGGAAAACGAGTTTTTGCCACCGGATGAGCCCAGTGGCTGTAAAGAGAGACTAGTACGAGGCGGTGATGTATAGACCAGTTGTTCATGCGGCAGGCGGACAAAGCCATCCTGGTCGTGAAGCATCACCCAGCTGTGCAATCACAGGTCAGCTCCGGGTACATCATAAGATTAGACGTGTTGATAGTTTGGCGCAGCAGTCTTAGGATCTTGGCTTTTTTGGAGACATGCAAGGGTAGAGCTAAAGACAGACGGTACTGGAGCTGCTTATACACTAGCAGCATAGACGGATTCAAGCAGGTTTGTCGCACCGGATGTATAGACGGGCAACACCCAGGAAAGCACAGAAGAAGGGGTTTTATACATACTTGATCGACATATTGGCAAGTTATCAAGGCTGAGAAGTAACGAATTTGATCCTGCTAGGTGAAATGCCGCCTTTGGGGCACAGACTGGGGAGGGTGGCAGGCTGCGTAACGAAGATTGCCAGCGACGATGAGGAAGAGGACTGGGGATGAAAGCCAGCTCCAGGGCAACTCAGGCTGAAACAATCGACAGACGGGAAGTCACAGGGGCGAACGGTTGATCCTGAGACTGCAGTTTCGGGCACGAGATTCGTGAATATCAGCCTGGAGTGGTTGGTGGCGCCAAGTAGTGATTCACGAGTCTACCAGCAGGATATCAGATCCAAAATCTGAAAGGTCCGATCGAATCGGATTGACCGCAACACAGTGACCGCAATAGCAACCAGGCAGCTACTAGCGGAAGGATGTGCACGGCTAGGCAGCAAGCCTATCCACACCAGTATGTATTGTGAGAAGTTTCCCTGGGTTGGCTGGAAGCCTGGGAATGGGATTAAGTGCAGTATAGATCGAGGATGGAGATTGATTGATTGATTGATAAGGATGGAGTGCAGTGAGAGCACCGGCTCTATAAGATGGGAAGGCGGGAACAATTAACACTGGGTCCGCGGGGCCGTCAGGCGGGGAAACTCCCAATCTCTGCAGTGTTCAGGTAAAGAGAAAACAGGTGAAAAATGATTCAGGTATTCAGGTGGTGAGTGTCTACTGTTACTAACTACTTACTACTACTACTTCTACTACCCTGTCCCACACATAATATATCACATCAACCAACATATCCCTCCCTAACTTTGCAAGGTTGCCTGTGACCTGCACCTAGCATTTTAGTCACATTCAAACGCCGTCTGGGCCTATGAATTTCTGCGTAGAATGTTCGACGGCGCCTGGTCCTCCGAAACAGTATCCTGGAATGACAACTGACTATCATACAGAACAGTTAGCTGCTACGTATAAGCATACTATCTAATAGACCTTGCTATTTCCTGGAAGTTCCTCAATCCAGATTGTGCCGGGTTGCCGGTTCACTGTAGATAGACAGATAGATGTCTGGTGAAGCTTTGCAGCCACCCCGACAACCCACCAGCATTTAGCAATAACAGACCGGCTTCAATAGTCACACCGTCCCTGCTCCAATCACCAAATGTCAACCCTTCTACTGATCGCTTGTCATCCTGCTCAGGGAGTGGGCAGACTCACTCTGGACGTGTCCGGGGCCGAAAGCAGGAAGGGCGATTTACACGTGGAGAAAGCCGTCCGATGCTCACTCATTGCCGACCCACACTCTCTCTACTCTCTCTTCCGGCCATAGAGGTTACGTTTCCCCTTCGGCGTTCGCTCTCTGTTGATTCATCCTCGCCGTGGTCAGCCTTATTATTTGCTCTCGGAATTCCGGTCTGGCTTGGCTCCAGCTCTGACGTTCACTTTCCCTCAATTGAGTGTGCTGCGTGGCCTGGTGACCGCCTACCTTGCCACCAAAAATTTCGCACTCTAAAAAGAACAGTGTAGCCTGATGGGCACGGTCCTATCGGTCAGGACCACATTGTAATACTTTCTCACTCTCTCCACTGTACTGCGGATTGACATCTACATCCGATCTTCCCATCGCCTGCTCCGACTTTGATCCTCGTGTACCTCAATTGTGGTGACTCCGACCGTCGCCGCCAGTGCCGACCCGGTCATCCCCTTTCTCCGTCGGTGTCGCGAAATTCCCGAGGCCTCCTCCTTGGTCATACCCTCGCGCGTGTGGCTCGCAATCCAGAAACCAAGACACCATGTCGACATCGATACACCTGTCGCGGTTCCGGAAATGGCTGTTGTCCTCTCCGCCAATGGAGTTCGTCATTGCGCAACTCCGAGAGTTGTTGGTCGGGGCAATCAAGCAGGGTCCAGTTCCACAGCATATCGCGTTTGTCATGGACGGGAACCGGAGATTTGCACGATCACATGGTATCGAGACCGTGGAGGGACACAATATGGGCTTCGAGGCTCTGGCAAGAGTGAGTTTTGGGCTTTCGATGAGACGGCTAAGACGCGCTTCTATGCGCCACGCTCTCCTCCGTGCCATTGAAACTCTATCGCTGACGTCTTTTTTTTTTGCTTCCCTTAGATTCTCGAAGTGTGCTACAAAAGCGGCGTCAAGGTGGTTACAATATACGCTTTCAGTATCGAGAACTTCAAGCGGTCGAAGTTTGAGGTCGATGCTCTGATGGAGATGGCTAGGGTCAAGCTTTCGCAGATGGCGCAACACGGGGAGATTCTGGATCGGTACGGGGCCAAAGTGCGGGTGCTGGGTCGATTGGACATGCTGAAGCCCGACGTCCTGGCTGCCGTCAACCGGGCGGTTGATATGACGAGCGGGAACGGCGAGCGCATCCTCAACATTTGCTTTCCGTACACATCGCGCGATGAGATCACGGGGGCCATCCGGGACACTGTATCGGCATACAGCCAGCCTCTTCCGGCAAACCGTCCTTCGAACGCGTGCCAGCGAACGCCCTTCTCCGAGACGCACATTACGCAGAACATTCGAGCCCAGGCACAGCACACGAAGGCCGACGATCTCCCGAGTGACGTCGAGACTGCCTCGGAGTCGTCCGGCGACGACGGTACGCAAAGAAATAATCGGCCCAATCAGGTCTACGAGTCTGGGTCGTCTTTCTCATCTTCCTCCACGCTGCATCTCGGCGGGCAAACGGATGGAGCCAGCGGCAGGGAAAACTCACCTAGGAAGGAGAAAGCCGTGTACATGTCCCCCGAGACAATCACCCGCCAGACACTAACGGAACACCTGTTCACGGGGGATAATCCGCCCTTGGATCTCCTAGTCCGCACGTCCGGGGTCGAGCGTCTCAGCGACTTCATGCTCTGGCAATGCCACGAGGAGACGGAGATTGTCTTCCTGGACGTGCTCTGGCCCGAGTTCGACCTCTGGCATTTCCTGCCGGTGTTGCTGGGGTGGCAGCGACGGATCTCCAAGGCGAAGAAGAACCCCGACGCAGAGGGGGACTTCGACGGGGCGAGCTCCGAGGCAGCTGCAGAGAGCAATGGCAAGATCAAGGGGCTGTAGTCGGGGAACCGGCAGGTCTGCACATATATCATGGCACACCCAGGCGTTTGGAGTTGCAATTTTGCGGCAGCACTTGGAACTCATATTCCCCTGTTTTTTTTCATTTTTTTTTTGCTTTTTCGTGTTTACTCATTTATAGCGCAGTGATAGAAAAGTGAACCATGGGCGTGTATATACTCATGCATGCATGGACGCATACATGCATGCATACATACAATGATACACAGATACACCAAGTTGGGATTGATTCGATTTTTGTGGATTCGCTCATGGTAAGGCGTATGAAGACAAGTAAGGCGTACATGTAAAAAGCAGGCGGGTCTTATGTTGTGCCACAGTCAGTGGTCGCAGCTAATAGGATCCCGCCAATGAGTCAAGCTCCGATACCGCAAGTGGGTAGATTCTCACGTGACTATCTATGGCGGGGAACGCATGCAGCCAGCGACAGCAACCAGAGGTCACTGACTAACTCCTAACTAGCTATCGACGTCTACTTTTTCTCTTCTTCTTCTTCTTCTTCTTTCCTTCTTCCCTGTCGTAAATCATCTTAAACTCTCCATCAATCATCAGTTTTTTCCAACATGGCTATCGCTGGCTCCAAGGTTCTTCTTCTCGGCTCCGGCTTCGGTATGCAAGCTATGCTCCTCTTGTCCCGCAATTGCGGGGGAGTGACTCACTCACTCACCCTCCTCGACCGACACTGACACTGCTACGGGGAATAGTAACCAAGCCGACCGTCGAGGTCCTGAGCAAGGCCGACGTGCACGTCACAGTCGGTACGTAGCTGCCCCCTCATTGCCTGCTCCTCTCAAAATGCGCAATACGATTGCCATTTCCTTCCCCCCCCCCCCCCCAAAGAAACACACCAGGACCCCGAACTAACCAGCAGAACCCCACAATCAGCCTGCCGCACGCTCGAAAGCGCCCAGAAGCTAAGCGCAGGGTTCAAGAACACCAGCGCGATCTCGCTGGACGTGAATGACGATGCGGCGCTGGACAAGGCGATGGAGCAGGTGGACGTGGTGATCTCGCTGATTCCGTACACGTTCCACGCGCAGGTGATCAAGGCGGCGATCCGAACGAAGAAGCACGTGGTGACGACCTCGTACGTGTCGCCGGCGATGATGGAGCTGGATGCGGAGGCCAAGAAGGCGGGTATCACGGTTATGAATGAGATTGGGCTTGATCCTGTGCGTTGACCCTTTCTCCGATCCAAATACAAGATGGAGGAAAGCCCCGCTTCCACCGGACCAAAACTGATTGAAACAAATAATAAAGGGAATCGATCACCTGTACGCCGTCAAGACGATCTCCGAAGTCCACGCAGAAGGGGGCAAGATCACGTCATTTCTGAGCTACTGCGGCGGACTCCCGGCGCCGGAATGCTCGAACAACCCGCTGGGGTACAAGTTCTCATGGTCGTCGCGCGGAGTGCTACTAGCGCTGCGGAACGCGGCCAAGTTCTACCGGGACGGAGAGGAGTACAGCGTGGCGGGCCCGGATCTGATGGCGACGGCAAAGCCGTACTTCATCTACCCGGGGTTCGCGTTCGTGGCGTACCCGAACCGGGACTCGACGCCGTACCGGGAGCGGTACGACATCCCGGAGGCGCAGACGGTGATCCGCGGCACGCTGCGGTACCAGGGATTCCCGGAGATGATCAAGACGCTGGTCGACATCGGATTCCTGGATGACACGGCGCAGGAGTACCTGCAGCCCGGCAGCAAGATCGCCTGGAAGGACGCCACCCAGAAGATCCTGGGCGCGACCTCCAACGCGGAGAAGGATCTCGAGTGGGCGATCGCCTCCAAGACCCAGTTCGCTAACAATGATGAGCGCAATCGCATCATCTCCGGTCTGCGTTGGATCGGTCTGTTCTCCGACGAGTTGACCCAGCCCCGTGGCAACCCGCTCGATACCCTGTGCGCTACCCTCGAGCAGAAGATGCAGTACGCCCCCGACGAGCGCGACCTCGTCATGCTGCAGCACCGCTTCGAGATCGAACACAAGGACGGCCAGAAGGAGACCCGCACCAGTACCCTGTGCGAGTACGGCGTTCCCGGCGGTTACTCCGCTATGGCTAAGACCGTCGGTGTTCCCTGCGGTGTGGCCGTCAAGTTGGTCCTCGATGGCACCATTAACCAGAAGGTATGTTTCTACTATTAATCCCCCCTCCGTTCTTTTGTGGAGATAAGCAGCTAACCAATAATGCCTTCATAGGGTGTCATCGCTCCCATGACCATGGACATCTGCACTCCGCTCATCAAGGCCCTCAAAGATGACTACGGTATCGAGATGATCGAGAAGACTCTGTAAATAGGCGGAGTCTGGTGTGCTACGAACTCAATTTATGATGAAAAGGCCCCGGAGGCTTAGATAAAGAATGCTAGGTAGAGAAAATCAACGTTTTGGATCTATGACATACATCAAAGTAGCAGAAATCCGAATCATACCTGCCAAGTAGAAGCAGACCTATTTGTGAGAACATAATCCTTCTATAGAACAAACATAGTCGGGATGAGGTAGGTGCAAGTAGACAAGATTACAACAAATTAAAAAAATCAAATTATGTATTGTTCATTGTCTGTCTATCATGGATTCATCCGACACAAGCGCCCCAGAAGGGTGCGTGTGCATATATCATTGCAGGTATATGGTGCGCGCAGCAGCACAAGAATGCCTGCTTGCTTTGTGCCCCAGAAACCAAAACGCCTCAACTGGCGGCGCGCCCTTAAAACTAGGAGAGAGAAAAAAAAATAAGGACGACGTGTTGATATGGACAGGTTTAATATCACTTAGCCACCCCTCTCTCAACCCAATATAAGTTTAGTGTATCAAGTCGAAATATTTGTCTTCACATATTCATGAATGCGTTCATAGAATAGTGCCAAACCTATAGCCAGCAAGAGAACAACCAATGCAATCAGTAAATGTTTTCCGGAGTATGATGATGGTGATGAAACTGGAGAGGACCTGGGCACACAGGACCTGTGAGGAAAGCAGATTGGGGATTTGAAATGGGCGGATTTATGAAACTTACCCGAAAGTCTGCTTAATGCTGCGGACGTAGTAGACGTCCCAGTTCTGCTTAGTGACGTCCTCCTGGCCAACGGGAACACCGGTCCAGGACACACGCATCTGGGTCACACCATCGACGTCGTTCTGGTCGAGCTTGATCTCAAGGGTACTGTAGTGACCCTGGGGCCATTGAGCCAGACGCCACTTCTGCGCGATCACGGTGGGCTCGAGCTTGACGAACTCGCCGCTGACATTGCCGTCGAAGATGGCGAACTTGCCGCCGACGTGGGCACCCTCGAACTGACGGGGCGCGCCACGGGTGAAAGCAGCAATGCGCTGGGGATCCGTGAAAGTGTTGTAGAGTTCTTCGGCGGTGGTGCGGAACTCATCGGAAGCAGTCACGGTGGTTGTGTTGACGGAGACCTTGTTGCTCGTGGTGGTGGTCGTGGTGACGGGGGCGGAGTTCTCCTTTGAAGTCTGGGGGTGGTACTTGGGCGCAGCGAAACCGCTGGAAGGGTTGACACCGGGGGCATGCTGGAGATCCTTGCCGTGCTCGGTGATCAAAGCCGGAGCGAGCTTGGCCAGTTCTTGCCGGAGCTGAGGGACGAGCTTGGAGCGCACAATGTCCTTCACGGCCTGCTTGGAGGGGGAATCGGAATAGTTCTCGATTTCAAACTGGGCAGCCCAGACGGTCAGTCAACCCCTCAGGAAGACAATGGGGTGGCCAGTAGGGAACATACGACGTACTCATCTTCCTCGGTATCATGGGCTACCTCAGGAATGGTGATGGTACCACTAACAGCCTCCTCGTCCTTGGTCTTACCTGTCAAAGGTCTTAGTCGCGCCTCGGAAAGAAAGCACTCTTGTTGTCATTTACGAACCTTCATACTCCAGCTGTACTTTGACGTCGAACAAGGTGATGACCTTGCCCTTTCTCTGACTGACGTCTACATCGCCATCCATCGACAGCAGGTTGGAAATCTTGGCGGAGGCGCCATTGTCCTCTGCGGAGAGGACCACGAGCTTCTCCTTAAGGTAGTTCTTGGCCCAGCCCGAGGCGTCCTTGTTCACCCAGTGCCAGTTGTTGGGGTTGTGCAGAACCATGTTGATTGTTTAATTTTATTTATGAATTGGTCTAATGACTGGTTGTGCAGAGGGGAGCTGCTTCTATTGCGGGGCAAAACTTCGCTAGTGTGAAGGTTTAGCGAGTCCTAAACTGCTTGGGTCCTGGGTTCCACTGAGATGGATAGGCTAGGTTCTGAAGAGGGCACACAATGATTAGCATAAATCCTCAACCGGTATGGCAGAACAGCATAAAAAATGTGAAAGAATGTCAGGATCCAGATAGCGTTTCCGGATCGCAAGCTAATCAGCATGGAGGATAGAGTAAATATCCCCGTCTGACTGGTGCCAGCTATGATGTCTCATCATGTAAACGTTGTCCCTCGGCCACACAGAAGGTCAAAGACCCAAGGTGAGAGAGGAGGGGAGGAGGGGCTGTGAGGGAAGAAAACTCAGTGCGACTCACAGTTCAGAGCAGACGTCCACAATTAAGACGCTGTAGAAATGATAGATCAATCAAGTCCACTGGAGCAATGGTAGGCGAGAGAGAAAGAAAAGGTACCGTAGGAGAGGGAAACGGTTGGAGGTTGAGGGGGGGCAGGAAGTGTTAAATAATAAATAACACCGACCTGGAATCTACGGAGGAGTGGTTGAGGATTCGGAAGGAAAGCTCTAGAAGATTTAATTTCAACTCCCGCGCGTCGCTAGTCGAGGTCACGTGCAAAGGCGGTCTGCCCTATCGCCTCATCGTTTCGAGCCATAAGCACTGCAGAGATAGCTAGATAGCATATAGATCGATTCTTTGATTCAGTAACGAACGAATGTGGGTATCTCGTGGGAACAGAAAACAGAAAACAGAAAACAGTCCGAGGCAATCTCCCTTGGACCCATCCTACCCAATGTATGAGCCATCAACTCGTCACTTGTCATCTGAAACAACTCGCTCTCATGCCTGCTCCAATTGCTCGATATCATCCCAGCCATTCTCTGCAATGAGTTGTTCCTTAACCCGCTCTCGCAATCCCTGGATCTGACTGCCCAGTGCTTCGGCCCACTGACCTTCTACCGTAGCGACCTTGTCCTTCAGGTCACCGGTCAACGTGCGCTCCTCGTCAGCTCTAGACTCTTGAAGCGCTTGTAGGACCTTGTCCTCAGCCTCTCCCTGGCAGATACGCTCGGCCTCCACAAGACTGCAACTCGCTTTCATGACTGCCGACTTGACCTCATGCAACAGGCAAAACAGGTTGATCTGGGACTCGATATATTGGTAGCTGGACTTCTCGGCGTGCGAGACCAGCGTGTAGAGATATTGCAATGGATGTTGGTGGTAACTCGGGTTCTCCTCATATTCATTGCCAGGGATCTGGACAAGAAAGCCACGGACATCGTCTGGGATCTGCTGGACCAGGGCGAGTAGAGGCGGCGCAATGTCCCAAAAAGCAGACAGTTGTATTTCCACCCCACGGGCCACATTCTCCTCAATCACATCCAAGAACGATTCCAGGCGAGCCAAAGCACTTGCTTCGTGGTTGACACGGCGGTCCAATGCATCCTTCAAGAAGAATTCATTGGTCTCAAGCACCTTCTCGTCATTTCCTGCTTGTTTATATGGCAGTAGAACCACGGCTTTGTACTTCTCATCCCGATCGCTTATCAATTCAAAGACTTCGCGGTGTAGGGTTTCCCTAGCCTCAAAGAGCCACTTGAGCTGGGTGAGCTTCTCCAGAAGCTCCGGTTTTTCGTCACCTTCCTCCTGTGTTTGGTCAGGTGTCCCACATCGAGCGTCATCGAACAGCTTGCTGCGTAACTCGTCGATGCAAGACGTCGCCCGTTCAATCCGGTCTCTCAAAATGGCGCGCATCGGCTTGAAAACCATTTCTTGGAAATCATCAAGCTGCCTCTGCATCAGCTCTCTCTCGATTGAGTCTTCTTCCGCTATCAGTGCTGCTTCCGCTTCTGCAGCCTCTGCAAACGTGATACTGCCTTGTTGGATCTCACTCTGGATATTGGCCTTGAACTGCCGGCGGCCCTCCTTGACTCTGTTTTGATGATTCTGGAATAGGACGGCCATATCTGTTTCATGGCGTTGCCGGGTAGCTTTGATTTCGGTTATGTCGGTGATTGATCGGACCAAGGTCCGATACGTGACGAGTTCAGGATGGCTGTTGTTGACGGCAGGATAATGTCTGGGATAAGGTGGCGGCAGGGTGATGAGCCTTGAAACATCCATCTTCGATCTTTCGTACCGATCAGGGCGACTGCTACTTTTCCTACTCGAATAACCCGACATTTCTGGCTCCTCGTGCCACCCGACTTTCTCAGGAGGATACTCGTCTGGACCGTATGCCATACGTTGGCCCGTGGAATCTTGATCACCGCCAATTCCACTTCCAGAAAGACTCTGGCTTTCCTCAAGAAGCAGGGCCTCACGTGGCAGACCCATGTACTTGCTCTCCCTTTTAGACCGTTGAACTCTTCTCTCGCCTCCTTCACTACTAGAGCCAGTCTTCGACTCCCACCATCGGCTAGGAGCACGTCCTCTGGAACTCATTTCGTCATTGCTGAGACCCAGGCTTGCAATTGGCGAGAGACAAGGCTGATAACTGTTCCACCAAGCAGAGTCAGGCCGAGATTGGGGAATATCCAGCTTAGGTTTAGGTATGGGTCCGTTGGGAGTTTTCCGGGCAGCCATTGTAGGAGCCATCGCAGGCGCCAGCGCAGGAGCCATTTGAGTAGTCTGCGGTGTCTTCGGCGGCAATTCGAACAGTTGGCGGACCACCTCATTCATATCAAACGACCCTGCGTCCCAAACTTTAGCATATCTCTCGCGTCGAATCTGAGATTCAGCGATGACGAATTCGGTGAACAACTGAAGCGCTTCCTTCTCATCCACAGCATCAGCCTCTTTTTCTATGAAGATCCGATGCCTTTGAGAGGCGTTCCGAAGGAACTCATCATCGCGCTTGACAACAGAATCTAGCGAGGGTCCTTGCTGGCCTGAGAGGCGGCGCGGGGCTAGAGGCGACACTGCAGGATCACTCTCATTTGGCAAGTGCAGAATATGGGATACAGGCCGCTCCTCTTTGATTCTCGACTGAGAGGGTGATCTTTCCTGTTGCGGTTGAAGTGGGGGTGTTGGAAGGGCTTTTGACGTGAGAGCAGGCGAGGTCCGCTTCGATCGTTCTGTACCTGGTGAGAATGGCGGCGTTTGCGCATACCCGGCTGGTGCGCCCAGCGGACTCGGTTCGGCTTTAGGCGTCGAGAACGGGGAGCGATTCGAGAACAAGCCTCCAGAAGACGCCCGGGATCTTGACGGAACTTGTTGCTGCACTTCAGAGCCGACACTACGCGTACTGCGAGGCGTGATTTTGGCCGAAACCTGATGTGGTGTCTTCTCCGTTTCCGCGGTTGTGTCTTCCAAGACCAAGTTGGACGGTTTTATCTTCTCTAGTGCTTCCGCCCAGGGGTTACTGCTCATGGACACAGCACTGAGATCGTCCATAACCTGACTCTGCCGGTTTCTGCGTTCGATCCGCCTCTCACGAATGCCCTTGGCGTTGGGATCTTTGATAGCTGGACTTCGGAAAAGACCGCCACTGACGGAGCTTTGCGATGTCTGAGACGTGTCATGGGATGTTGAACTGCTTCCTGATGCTGTGTTTGTAGTATCTATACTCAGAGGCAATCTCTCGTTCTTCGGTCTGACGACTGAAATTGTTTCATCCACCCAGCCAGCAGGAGTTGGTGGTATGCTATCGAGCGTGGTTCCTAGGGGCGGAGGCGCCCGTGCTTTACCGGCTCTTGTAGAGATTTGTTGTTTGCGAACGAACGATGCATCAGAAAGCCCGTTCACACTCTGTGACCTCGTGCTTGGCGGGGGACCTGGAGGTGGTGGTGGCAGGGGCATTCCTGGCTCCCAGCCTTGTGCTGGAGGTGATCGACTTCGGGCTTGGCTGTGCGCCCGAGATGAACTCGTGCTATTTACCACAGGCCCGGCCGAGACGGCTCTTCGCGAAGCAGGAGGACGACCAGTGTCGTCCATGCTGTCAGCACTTGATAGGATGCTACCGTTGTTCGACTGTGAGGCCCGCATATTGTCTGGCGAGACGACGATGTATGGTCTCGATCCTAATGGCACAGCAGCCTGATCCCGATAAGATTCTCCCCTGCTACGAGAAGAAGATCTAGATCCCGAAAGACTTTGCGGTAACGGGGGTGGAGGAGGTAACGAAACCCGTCTATTGCGGCCGGGTTCAGTCCCCACGAACATAGATAGCGGGCGTGTCCGTGGGAGACGACGTTGTTGGTAATCCGAAGCTTGGTCCACACTCGAACGCATTGCTCCTGTGTAAGAGGATGTGGCACTCGGGGATGTCGAGCTCAAGGATGGATTGTTGTGGCTGACATGATCTCTGGGTTGCTGCTGGTGTTGCTGACTTGGGGGCGAGTAGGGAGGAGGCGGTGGTGAGAGCGACACATCTACAGCAACCACGTTAGGTCCTGCTTGCAGCATTGGACTGGCAACGCCGACAGCATGCCATGACTACGAGTTGGAGGGAAGATGAAATAGGGATCAGACCTGAATGAGGCCCCGATGAGCGTGGCTGAGGTACAATCCTCAGCATATTATTTGCTTGCGGATAGGTCTGTTGCCCCGTATTGATTGAAGTGTTTCCCACCGGGCCCCAATCCTGAGGGTTATAAGGAACGGTATACTGTCGGGACGACATGGGCGAAGATCCGATGGCAACTCCCCCCGGAGAAGCCACAACAGGAGACTGGCCGTGAGTGAACGGGCTTGATAGAGAGGTGGTCGACAGAGGCGTAGGAGAGTATCCAGCTCCTAAACCAAGTCCAAGGCCTTGGAACTGACTATTATTCAAGGCTGTTGTCAGAGGAGGAGGTTGCACAGCATGCTCGCGACGACGGGGTGAGATTTGGTTGCCGGTGCTGGGATAGGGACTCGGCCAGCTGCTGAGAGGATATGCACCAGCCGGCAGCTCGTCACCAGCATTGCCTGAAGACTGCCAACTATTGGGGAGGCTGTGATCAGCACCCTCGGACCCTCGCAGCAGGACAGCGAACAGGAGGAAATCGCGGGGGTGGTGAGTAAGGAGAGTGGGAGAAGCCAAGCGCACCTATTCATACTCGTAACCGGTCAAGAACGCGAGAGCCATGGCTGAAAGCTGCGTGCTGCGGGCAGAGACAAGATTACGGTCAAGCGGCGACACGAAGATGGCGAACTGACCAGGCAATACGATAGGTGGTGTAGAGAAAGCCAAAGAGCTGAAGGGCCGAAGGATATTCTATTCTTTGCAACAACCCCCAAGGCCAACCGCGGCGCCTCCCAGCAGGGATCCATTCGACCGTTCCAGTTTTTTGGCAGCCACCATAGTTTTGGAGCCCGCCGATAGACGACAAAAATAGAACATCAGGAGAGGCATCGGCCGAGGGTTGGTTAACTTGGGTTGAGACCAGGGACGAGCTTGAATGTGACGGGAGATGCAGATGCAGGTGAAGCGGGTTGAATCACAGGCGGCGTCATGACCGGCGCTTGACCCTCGCTCCCTCGCAACCACTCAGAGACGGAGACAACGTGCCAAGGGTCTGCGGGCTGGCCAATTTCAACTCTCCGTCCGACCCCAGAGCGCTACAGAGGAACAGAATAGGTATGGTGAGCATCAACATCAGTTCTATTTTAATCTTCATAATAAGCTTCGACTAATGCACTCTAGATAAATCTGACACTGGGTACGTCCCCCATGTGGCAGCTACTATCCTGACCCTGGAGCCAGAGGCCAATGCCTCTCTACTTCTCAAGCCGCAAGTTCGTTTGTTCTAGAGGTAGCTGGAAGCAATATTAGCTATTGGTCATGACTCGTATGCAGGATACATCAAGGTAACAAGTCTTTTCCATTTCAGATCAATGCCCTGTCACAGGCGGTGGTCATCAAGGTATTTCTTTATGTTGACCGTCGTGATAAATAAAGAATAAATCATCATTGGAAAAGAAAAGCAATACAAGAAAAAGAAAGCAGGTTCAACTCACTTGACCATGTGGAAGGTTGGGGCCTGACCTCGGTAAGCACGAGGCCGGGCTCCAACTGACTATCCTGAGTTGAGCACGGATGCAGTGATACCTGCTCAGCCTATTAGTACTGAGGCTGATACGTGAATGAGATGATCGAGAAGCGTGGCGACGAGTCAGTCATGACAGGTGTCGTCTCGGCCAGCAGAGCTGGCTTGGACATATGCTTGTCTTTTGTTTTATGTCGTATCATCATACAAGAAAGCCAGGCAAAGGAAAGAGGCAGTAACATACTTAGACCTCTTTCTCCGAGTCAGGGCAAACTCAGACATATTGAAAATGACAGATCTGGAAGAATGCGAGTTAGCCGAGGCCCATGGAATTCTTTTGAGAATATGCTTCTCGCAACAAGCATGTCAGAAATGCATGAATGGTTAAATAAAAGATGTTGTCTGCATGGATAACTCCAATAAGACTCGTCATCTAAGGGAATCATCATTGTGTAGGAAGGGCAAGGGTAGATAATGGAGGATCGTTACCTTTTCAGTGCGGTGACCAAGTGCTACGGTGTAGAGTCTGGGGTTCTTTGCATGACGATCAGCCTCAGGCCATACATCAATGTTGATGTCAAATCATGTGTTGAGCGAGTATCTCAGTGGGCGAGGTTTTCTAGGCCTGCCGCAAAAAAAGGCATATCCATCAAGACCGGACGCTATGTCTTAACGCCGTCGGAGCCCAGTGCCGTTTCATCTTCGAAGGTCGCATGTGAACAGGCAATAGAAAAGTGGATAGCTTACCCTCTCAGCTGTACATAAATGCTGTTGCTAGACGTGTCGATACCTGTCATACCTTCTCAACTGTTAGTGAATGTCAAATATTTTTGTCAAGCTCGAACAGCGAAAGGCAGTGTAAATTGAATCAGATTTAGCCATTTGATATCGTCGACGGCCCGAAGGCCTCAGTCGGTAATTTCCAGCGTATATAAACGTTTGAAGCATCATATAAAAGGAACATAATGAAAAAAAAAAAAAGGTCGAGGAAATCACACATACCATTAGTGTGGGTGATGCAGGCAATTCTTGTCGACGATGAATTCAAGCTAGAGGGGTCAGTTTTCTGCAGGCTGGTTAGCACCCTGCCAATGGCTTTGAATGTGTGAAGAAACATGTTCAAGTCCTTCGCAAAAGCATCAGACTGACGTGCAAACAAGTGAGTTTTCATTCCCCGGATGGGTCAAAGACTCTAGTTTGAAATGTGGTTGTAGGTATCATCATAGAAGGATGACGGCAGGTGAGACAAAGGAGGGGGGTGTTGGCAGCAGCACTTACCAGAAGATCCTGTTCAGCGAAGAACCAGTTCTGTCAGTCCAAGAATATGCATGATGAGCAAATCAAGAGAGACTCTTGAGTTCTACAAGCTGTGTTACGTCTTGAAGCCACGTTCATGATAGGCAGACAGACATTGCAACAGAGAATGTTGTTGTGTGGAAGAAAGCTAAAAGAAAAGGCGTGTCGAACTTTTTTTTAAAGCTCTCCCACTCGGAGCCAATTTTTACCGAGGAGCTAGCCTGCAAGCAGTTAGTGCTGGGAAGCGAGGGAGCTTTGCGGATGATGAGGTAAGCTGACGCTTTCTGTCGGTTTAGTCCCTAAATGGCAGGCGGAAGCCCGGGCGGTATGAAGGGACAGAATTGATCGAATGCAAAAGAGTCGAAGAAATGGAAAGATAGCCGAGCGTCATCCGACTTCCCATCGAAGGGGCGAGACTCGAATAGTCTCAAGTAGTTCGGAATAGTTCGACGCGGCTGATCAATCTCCGCCTGTCTGCTGACCTTCCCCAACGCCCACAAACCCACTTTCTTCCAGATCAATGGTTTCACTAAATGCGAGGATGCAATATTTTTTCCTTCCACATGGACATGTTCTTTCGTGAAACACTGATTGGCGTCGAACCATTCATGCACCGGATTGACCGAACTGCTGGTTCTTCCCGAGGGTATCTCCCGGAAGACAAGAGAGAGTCTGTCAATCGCGATGACCATGGGACTCGATTGCGGTCAGTCAATTGCAATGGGAGCTTTTCGAGATCTAGAGTCTAGTCTAGAAGCTGAGGTTCTCGAGTCTGGAGTCTCGCCATGTTATACCTACTTAGTACATACGCCTCCTTCAATCTATGAACCATTGGACATACTATCTATCGTCTCGGTGACGCGGGGAAAGTCGGGGCGCAATTCGGGCAGCCGGACAGGGACTGAAGAGAGAAACAGAATGGATTCAAGGGAAAGAATCGGGCTCAGACCGAAAGCGGAGAAGAGACGGGGAAATGACGAAAACTATCCCCATTCAGTCATTGCGTCAATTGAGAGTCCCTCCATCCTGTTTGTAAGTCCCTGCTGTGAGTGACGTTAACCCGAACCCCCGGCAAAAGATTGCTCCTTTTAAAGTCCGGTTCATGATCCTCCTCCTCGACATGTTCTTCACTATCTTCTTTTCTTTCGGTCTGATCAATTCCTCTCTACTTGCTCTGCAGAAGAACAATTGCCACTTCTCTCTCTACTACCTATTCCCTCGGAAAACCCCCACTTGAATACATACAAATCACCCCTCCTTCTGCGCAACCCCCCTCCGCCACGACCACCTCCGTATCTTCCTGCTTTCTCCGTTGAACCGAGGTAGCAGTTTCTTTAAAATCAATCCTATTTCCCTCGTCGCCGGAATTGGAAATTCATACTTGTGCAGCTCTCCTGCTCAGAAACATCCCTCATCCACCCCACCACCACCACTCACCCACATATACACATCATGGCTTCCGGCGGTAGCGCTCCTCCTGTTGGACAGGAAAACATCAACACCGACATCGTCACTCTCACCCGATTCCTCACGGAAGAGCAGGCCAAGGTGCCCGAGGCCACCGGAGACTTCACGTGAGTTTGTCCCCTTCCCCTCTCCCTTCTCATCTCCCCCTCAGGCACGTGCGCATGAACCACCAAATCACTAAACACACGAAACCTCGCTCCAACAGACTTCTCTGTCACGCCCTGCAATTCGCCTTCAAGTCCATTGCCTACTACATCCGTCGGGCCTCGTTGATCAACCTGACGGGTCTGGCGGGGTCGTCCAACACCACGGGCGACGATCAGAAGAAGCTTGACGTCATCGGCAATGACATCTTCATCGCGGCGATGAAGGGGTCGGGCAAGTGCCGGATCCTGGTGTCCGAGGAAGAAGAGGAGACGATCGTCTTCGACGAGCACCCGGATGCGCGCTACGCGGTGGTGTGCGACCCGATTGACGGATCTTCCAACCTGGACGCCGGCGTCTCGGTGGGAACCATCTTCGGCATCTTCAGACTGCCCGACGAGATCCTGGGCGCCGGCAAGAAGGTGACGGCCGACGACCTCCTGCGGCCTGGTACCGAGATGGTGGCCTCGGGCTTCACCATGTACGGCGCCTCGGCGCAGCTGGTCATTACCATGCGCAACGGTAGCGTCAACGGCTTCACCATGGAGAACTCCCTGGGCGAGTTCATCCTCACCCACCCCAACATGCAGCTGCCCGCCAAGCGCGCCATCTACTCCGTCAACGAGGGTAACAGCATGTACTGGGACGAGTGGTGCAATGCCTACTTCCACTCGCTCAAGTTCCCCGGCGAAGGTCAGAAGCCCTACAGTGCCCGCTACATCGGCTCCATGGTCGCCGACGCCTACCGCACCCTCCTGTACGGCGGCGTCTTCGCCTACCCCGCCGACAAGAAGAGCCCCAAGGGCAAGCTCCGCATTCTGTACGAGTGCGCCCCCATGGCCATGCTGTTCGAGAACGCCGGCGGCCTGGCCGTCAACTCGCGCATGGAGCGCCTCCTCGAGGTCGTCCCCGAGCACATCCACGACCGCAGCGGAGTCTTCCTCGGCTCCAAGGACGAGGTCCAGAAGATCATCGACACCTACAACCAGCACAAGAAATAGATTCCCCAAACCACACACTCACACACAAACACTCACATATAAAAACACAAAGGATGGATTACGGTGCTCGGGCTGGACCTCAGGGAGTTCTCTGTTTTTACTCTTGCGGTTTTCATCACCAATTGATACTTAATGCATGCTCTTCAGGTGACACGACAGCAGCATATTAACGAGTTACGTTGTACTTAACCGATACGCTCCATAATCCGCAAACCAAATCAAACAAAAAAATGTAAAATAAAAACAAAACAAAATAACCAAAACACAAACAATTCTTCCATCTTTTCTAGAATGTCTTAGATTCCTTCGTAAGGGTGGCTGGTATTCACAGCTTCCATTCCGCTTCCGTCCCTCCTTCGCTGTTATATATTTCCACCAATGCGGGCTCGTTCTCGGAACGGTCACACCACACATACTTAGTATTAATTCGTACTACCTACGGCTAACCTCCTCATTTCATTCTAAATATTTCAGGTACACTTCTGTACTCTTCCGCGGGTTGAAGAGATATACGCGTTATCTCGCAGATGCGATCATGGATGCGACCGTTGCTTCCAGGGTTGGTTAACCGGTCAGACCGACGATCGGCGGACGAGATCAGAATGATGTCACTTGTTCCAATTTTTTTTTTTTGGAAACAACAATTGTCAAGTAAGTAGTAACATCATAGATGTCCGGGTCAGAAGCTACGCACAGCGCATCAACACAGGCAGGACAGTAAACGTCCGGGATAAGGTGCTTGCAATAGTTCCTACGATCTCAATTGCAGGGAATAAGCTCTAGTACGGAATCGAACTAGAACGGTCTAATCCAAGATGCTAGCTAGCTAGAAGAAAAACGAGGAACGATCACAACACACGAAAAAAGGAATGTACAGTACAATCTGGGTGCAAACAAAACAACTAATCCACCGGATCCTCCTCGAGGAGGGTCTTGAAGCTGAAAGGCATGAAGGGCAAACCCTCACCCATGAAGTGCTTGCTCATGGCTTCGACCCAGTGCAGACGGAGGGAGTGAAGCATGGCGCTGGTGCCCTCCATGACGCAGAGAATGGCGATGGTCAGGGTGAACCACAGGTAGAAGGTGACGACGATCATGAGGACGCGCATGGTGGAAGACTCCTGCTTGAAGGCGCCGCCGATGGTCATGTCCCACAGGACGATGGACAGCTGCTGGTGGGCCAGGGAGAGCGCCCACAGACGCAGGTACGAGGCAGTGTGCGAGATGCAGTTCAGGCAGAACTCGATCGTGTGGATGACCTGGTGGATCATGATCTCTCCGAAATCGAACTCCTCATGCTCCTCCTCGCCGAGGTCTTGGGCGATCATCGCCACGCCCTCCCCGTCGCTGGCCATGCTGTCGCGGCCGCCGGAGGCCCGGCCGTCCAGATCACCATCATCTTCCAGCGCGCTGACGCGGGACTGTTCGCCAAGACCCCGGTACCCGAGAGCGCGAGCGCGGTTGTGCTCCCATCGGAGGTAGAAGGGCTTGAAGAAGAGCATGATCGGCACCTGGACCACCGCGAGAAGCAAAAGAACGATCTGAACACCGGACTGACCAGGGTACAGCTGCTCGTCGACGGTTCCGGGGCTGAGGAACATGAAGATAAGCATATTCAGAAGACCCGGAGGAGACTGTCCGCGAGCGTTCCAGTCCACAGACCACTTGTAGAGAATGGTAAGGACGAGATAACCGAAGATAGACTGGAAGAAGATCATTCCCGGAATGAAGTTACCGATGATATCGACCTTGGACTTGAAATGACGGGCATTGACGTATTGCAGGCACAGAGCGTAAGTCATCTGCGATGAACAGTCAGTACAAACAGACTCGGAAGGTTAATGGAAGCACCGGCACTTACATGCGACCAACCAAGAACAATACTCATCTTCATCTTCAAACTGTTGGTGAACAGCAGAGAGTTCTCGGCTCCGTGCCAGTTCCAGTCGAGTCCAAATGGATAGCGGTAGCTGCCCTTCAACGCTGCGTTCACAGTCTGCCCTTGTTGGATGTCCTCAGGCCACTTCCAAGCACTGGAAAAGATCGTGAACGACTTGGAGAAGATATCATTGTAGATCAGACCCGTGTACATCGAGAAGATACCCATCATCAACATAATGTAACGACCATAGAATGCCATGTACGTCAGTTCATCCAACTTTGTCTTCTGCAACTTGCGTTCCCAGAAGATCATAGCCGAGGCCGCCACAAACATCAAAGTACCATGACCGAAGTCACCGAACATGACAGCGAACAGGAAGGGAAACGTGACGACGGTGTACAGACCGGGGTTGGCTTCGGAGTACTTGGGAATACCGTAGGCATTGACGATAGTCTGGAAGGCCTCCGTGAACTTGTTGGTGCGCACATAGGTGGGAGGAGTCTTGTTGGTTCGGATTTGGTTGACAATAGTAGGCACGCTCAATCCAGCACGGTCGTTGACATCCTGCAAGGTCGACTTGATCAGAGCCAGCGAGTTGGTCGGACACCACGCCTCAGCAATGAGCGTCTTCCGAGCCTGATCGTAAGAAAACTTATTGAGAGTATCATAAACAGCCTTCTCCTTCTTGACGATGATCATCCAAGCCGCGAGCGAGCGAGCAATCTGTGTAAGCTCTGCGTCAAGTGTGTTCTTGGTGTTACGGAGAACATTCCCAACATCGCCCAGACGGGTGTTGACCTCGTGGATTTGATCGCGTCTCAGCTCACTGTTCTCATCGACGTTGTACAACGAGGCACCGAGGGACTCGGAGATCTTCCTGATCTTGGCAATAATACTCTTTCCGTGAGCAAAGATGACGAACACGTTCTTGTGAGTCTCCTCGTTGGTCGAAGGGTCGATGATAGCCTCGGGGATCTCAGACTGATTCATGTAAAGGTTACCACGCAGCGTACGCCACAGAATCCGCTCAAAGGCCCCGATCCGATCCCGGGGAATCACACCTGCCACGAAGCCGATGTTCATCTCCAGGAAAGACTGCTGACCCTGCGCATCATCGTTGGTACCTTGGTGTTCAACATCACGGAGAAGCGGAGCCTCGTCATTGTCGAAGGACTGGCGGATTTCCTCGGTGTGGCTGTGGGCGCGATCGAAGAAACCGCCAGCCTCCCTGAGAACCCAACGCCACTCCGTCAATTCCACCTCACGCTTCTTCAACGTTTCGTAGCTATCATTTAGAGAGGCAATCCGCTGTTCGAGACTTTCGCTCCGTTCCGCCAATTCGTCGATCTCCGAGGCCAGGGGTGCTGCCAGTGTGTCCGAGAACTCAGATGAGGATCGCATGGGGATGCTCGCCTTATCCATCTGACCGTGGAAGTAACCTGCCGGAAATTAGGTTAGTTCAAATGCCGCCTCGGGGTTTCGTTCCCAGCTTCAATGTACCACATACGCAGCTGTCTCTCCACATTGTCCAATCGGCGGATCTCCTTGGTAAAGGTACGCTGGAAAGCATTGGTGTCGGGGTTGAGCTAGCGAGGGGCGGATGGTCAGTTCATTGTGATATCCTAGGACATGGAAAGATATGACTTGGACTCACATCTCTGAATTCAACTTGACCGAGTTCACCAAGAGCACTGACAACCTCTCTACCGATCTCGTTGGCGATATAGAGCTGGGTCAAGCTCATATCCGACGAGCGGAAGAAGGTGTCCCTTGGAGCCATGGTGACGGACAGGCTGCCTGCAGCAGTTCCTATTCACGGCAAGGACTCAAGGGCGCGGTAGCACTGATATCAGGGAGTGTATACAATAGAGTAACGATATAAGATTTCGCGTGAGAACGAAATAGCTCTGAGCTAATGGAATGAGCCCCGATGCCTGCGTTGGGAATTGGCTCGATGATGCACATCGAGCCCCGTTCGGAGAGCCGCGTGGCTGCTTCAGGTCACATGATCTTTATCACGCTTGCTTACTCAGAGATGACTTAATCAAGTGCCAGTAACTAAAGGAATTCGAATTCAAGCACCACGAGTTCTTGATTGATAGTATTAATAATTAATAGTCTCAGTTCAGCACCCACGCGGTCTTTCATCAGAGTCAAAAGATCTACTGTTACAACTACCTAAGCATAACCCCCAAAGCCTTCAGCCGAGCGTTACCAAAACAACACATCAAATTGTCATATATTCGTTCACTCCGTAAGTAACAGAGGAATCACGCAAAGTAGCTCTTCCAAAGCACTCCAGAGAGATCTTCAAGCTGGTCCGATGTAAATGCCTGTTGACAAGATAATTAGGGAAGGAAATTGCAAGTGAGGGTTGGCAGTAACTTACCTTCGCGTCAATGTGCCAGGTATCTTGTCTAGTCTTCTTGAACTCGCTGATAATGGACTTGACACTGGATCCGACAATGCCAGGATCGCTTGCCGCTCGAACACTTAGCGTAGTCAGAGCATCAGGCATCCATCTGGGTGGTGGACTGTTGTAGGGGAAGGCTTGAATGAGCGCTCCAAGTCCTAGGACTGCGCCATGTCTGGAGATAATGAGCCGGGTGTGTTCCGGAGTCGGGGTACCAGCTCCAGAGGAGACTGGGGTTGAGATGCCCGAGCGAAGTGCCTTGGGTTTCTTCGGAAGAGGATTTTCAACCAAGACTTTAGTGAATCGTTTCTTGAGTCGGGCGACCATCTCTTCCCGGAGCGAGATAGGGGAGCAACGGATCATTCCAGACAAAGTGGCAGATGCTCCCACTCTCACTTCATGCTGTGGGTCCTCCAGCATGCTAGCCACGCACTCAAAGAGCTTGTCACGGTCGCCCACAGAGAGCAAGAAAAGACGACGGAAGTAAATGATCTGAATGTTAATCATGACTCGCAGACGTTGGTGCCACGATGGAGACGTCTGCCCAATATGAATGAGCGTCTTGATAAACTCGGAGTTGTGCTCGGCAGGATACGGGATGTTAGGCAGGTGACGGAAGACATGGTAAGCCAACGACTGGAGCTCTGGATCTTCCTTGACATCCATCATATGCAGAAGCTGTCCCGTGAACAGATCGGGGAAGAACGACACCAACTGTGTACATTCATGGGACGAAAGGGTTGAGTCAAGCCACAGCAGAACCGTCTTACATCCGGAAGTATAGGATGATGGCGTTTGTTGACCGGGTGTGCGGGCCTGGCGCCAAGTCTCAATGCGGCTGAAGACTTCATGAATCATCTTGATGAAGTCTTCTGTGGGGCGATATGGATAGGTACCAACCGGAGATGCAGACTTCTGTGCATCGAGAAGGCGTTTAAGGTCAGGATACGATTCATGATACCTGGTGCGAAAGATCGTTGCCAGGGTTTGTCCCATGGCTTCTCGAACACCTTTGTATGGGTGATCCAGATGTGCAAGGAAATCTTCGACAATTGGTGTTTCCATTTGGAAGTGCCACCCTGCGTCAATGATTGACTGATGCAGGAGATTGATTTTTGAGCTCTCCTTGAATGCTGCATTGGTGCCCATATCCAGCCGGAAGCTTGCAAGCCAGTCAACCAAAGGCCACGCTCTGCGTGGATCTCGGCACTGGAGGATCATATGCAAGAACGTCGTCCAGTAGCCGGAGTTCTCGGGGGTCAACCCATCTGTGAAGATTCTTTGGACAATGGGGAAAGCATATTCCCAAACCAGTGTCCGCTTCTCCACACTGGTGTCTGCCACAGAGCTCACCAGAGCCCCGAGGATCTCAGCAGTAGCGCGGTGTTGATGTTTATCAGTCCCATCCTCAAAGACAGCTTCGATTTCTTCCTGAATGTCTTTGAAGGTAGCAGCTGTGAGCTCGTCACGAAGCATCAGTTCGAAGGCGTAGAGAAGCATCATCGCGCAGGGCATGCGGAACTTATCAGCCGAAGGGTCCCGTGGTTCCTGCTTCAGATACATGAAGAACTTGGAAAACCATGCCCTGTCAAACAATTTACCCATATGCGCTCGAACTTTCCATTCTACCTCATCATACTCGATGTCACGCTTCACGTTCGACTTGTAGGCGGGCATGCTGTCCGCCCAGACAAGCCAGCCAGGGAAGTCATGATCAACGTAGTACTCCGCTTCTGGGTTAGCAAAGCTGGCTAGGTACTCTTTCGTCCAGCCTTCTTCGTAGCGCTTAGTGGCAACCTTGAGTTTCGAGGGGAAATGCTGGTGGCCCAGGATGTAATTTTTGTAATCGTGGCTGCAAATTGCCCGCACGTCTATCATCGTAAAAAGGGCAATAAGTGCCTGTGAGTACATGCCGCGCAGTCCCGGATGGTCGTCGATTGAGCCGTGGGTCACGAGCTCAACTAGGTTTCCGCTTGCGATGTAGTCGAACCGAAGTCCCATAGTGATCACGATCGTGGCTGCCCGACTGGCAACTTTCCAGTGTGACACTCTGGCAAGGTTCACCAATTCTTCGGCCAAATCTGCCTTCTTCTTCTCGATAAGAACGCGCTTCTTGTTGATGGCATTGCGTTTCTGTTCAATCTCACCCTGGACATCTTGTCCAGGAGCGATCTTTTCGATAATGTCCCGGTCAAGAACTGCCATCCTTTCCATAGCACGTCCGTATTCCATGATCTGGTAAACGGCACTTGAGCAAATCCTCTGCACAGATGGTTTATCGACAGCGCTAGCGTCGATGAATGTTCGAATGAGAACAGGAGCATATTTCCAATGACGTCCAACAGTTTTAGCAACACTGCCTAAAAGTAGAGAGAACAAAGCACCCTTGATACGAGCATGGTCGTTTTCTCTTATGCCTTTCTGAAGAGCCTTCAATAGAGGAGGAATCACTAGGAGGCGAGATCCCCAGACAGCTTTCAGAGCCGACTCACCCGCGCTCTGGGCGTTGCGTCTAGTTTCAGTATAGAGAGAGACGCAAGACTCGGCAATGTCTAGAAGTAGAATTTCATCGAGTTTGGAACGACGGCGGGGTGCTGCATTGTGTCGAAGTCGTTGCAAGTGGTATACATTTGCTCTTCGTACGAGCAATGGACGAGGATAATCCTTTCGGAGACCGCTCATCTTGTAAGGATGAATGTCGGCCGCAAGGAGTCGAGTGACTCTGTCTAGAACATGGGCGGAACGTTCAATGCCAACGTCAACGAACCAGGAGCGGTACGCCGAATAGAGCGCTGCAAAGCATGGCACATCGTCCTCCTGCTTATCAGACAGGAATCTATGCACATCGTGCAAGACCCATCCTGCCCGTTCTCTGATATCATGAATGGCCGTGTACAATTTATCGTTCTCCGTGAGCGGATACCCAGTAGGGTAGGTGAAAGTCTCCCTTACTGCGGAATCATCAGAGCTATCAAGTGCTGAATCCGGGTCATCGTCATCGCTTGGCGCTCCCTCTGCGTCCATCATCTTCACATCAGTTGCCCCGTCGGAAAGCCCAGCTGAGGTCGTTGTAGATGCGGCACTGGGGTCGAAAAGCACCGAGATCCCGGAAAGGATGAGACGCAGCAGAACCAGATTCCTCGTCACTTCATCCGACCACTCTTTACCGCTGCCATCGCGCTTCACGTTGGAAGTTTCGTTGGTCAATGCTTTTAGCTGCTTTAAAGCAGACTCAGCCTGGTTCTGGAAGAGCTCCACGGCAAATTCAAGTTCCTCGCGTTTAGGCACATGCCATTTTACACTCAATTTACAGGGATCTTGTTGGTAGCCCCAGTGTTCAGGCTGTATGCCTTGCGCCACGACCTCAGGCTCGTAAAGCGAGTAGTCAGATGTGTAAGTACCCGTGAGGTTGAGAAGAAGGTGGTGTATGAAGTTGGAGATATGTACTGTGGGTATTCCTCGGCACTTCTGTTGCATATAGACGGCTGTATCGAAGAGCTCCTTTTTGTGAGCCAGCACGGCATCTCCGACATGAACGACGCACATGCTCAGCATGCTGACATTCCAAACCAGGCCACGGTCTCGAGGCAAAACGTCTGTTCCCGTAGTTCTGGTTGAACCGGCTCCATTGTCGTCAATCTCGGTACGGATAGCCTGCGTCAAAACGGGGATGAACCGTTTCAAAGCCTTTGCAGGGTTCACCTTGCAAACTGAGTTACAGATGAAGGCCATTGCATCCCGAGCTTGATGGATCACGTGGTTGGAGACGAAATCGACCACCTTGGACAAGGCAATGTCATAGTATTCAGGGGAGAGGGACGACAGCAGTGGCATGAACGTTGCCGGCAGGGTGTTCACAATATTTTCTTCGGGCGATCCGGTCCGAACTCTACTCACGTCCGGCAAATTCTCCAAGAGCGTGAAGACACGACCTAAGAACGACACAATAAAGTCTCCAAAGCCGCAAGTGGATGAGCGGAGGATCATCTCCTCGGTTTCATCGTCCAACTCGGTATCATAGTTCAGTTGGATATCGACACCCTCTTCCTCCATGCGTTCCATCTCGCCGGTAATCCATTGCATTGCGAGCATGTTACAGTTTACGTCCTCTCTCCCTTTGGTCAAATCGGCCATGGGTATATTGTAGCAAGCGGCCTGGATGAATGATAAGGAGTGTAATGACTTCTCCAGGTCGTTGGCGTCAATTCCTGGTAGCGCGAGTCCAAGAAGAGTTGTCATGTGGCAGCGATACCCTTTGGTTTTGGAGATGATCCGTGATAGAACCTGAAGAGCACGGAGCGAGGATGTAGTCCGATGAACTTCCACGAGTCCCTGTAATGACGGGTAAATGCGTTGCAAGGCACCGGGAAGGATGAGATGTGGTTCTAAGAAAGCCAGGTTCTGCAGCGTAGACAATGAGAAGCTCATGGCCGTACCACTCTTGGCATAGATTCCCATGAAAATCACGTCGCGCAGGCAAAGCACGAAGCGTCGTTTTAGGGGCTCGGTCAACCGACGCTCTGCTGGAATTTCCATTTCGCCACTTTGCTCTCGGTTCCACCGCATCACAAAGAAATCTGCCAGGTAGTACACCAACTGCGACAATGTCTTTGTCCAGCCACCGGAATTGGATGGGTGGAAGAAGGTCTCTACTGCCTGAATAAGACCCTCGAGCTGAGTGAGTATTGACTCCTGAGCATCGAGACATGCGGGTGACAGCGACATCACAATCCACCTGGCGATATGATGCGCGACCGGATGCTTCCGTGTGTCCCGATCGAGCATGATACCCAGACCCGAAGAGATGTCAACAAGAGCACTGTAGGGCGAAGTTGACTGTCCCACGGGGATTTCCAGCAGTCTCAAAATCGCCGTGAATATGAGCGATGACTGGTCGGGAGTAAAAATACCATACTCCGAGAACGGTATATGGCCGGCGGGCAGAGAATCCCGAGCTAGTCGAGAAAGGTAGTCCAAGAAAGTGATATCGAAAGTCTTTGACCGACTAACTAACGACCACAGGTGGAAGTAGGTCGGCATATAGTGCTGCGGGAGCAGATCCTCCCTGGACTCGGGTGGGGGAGACGTAGGCAACATCAGATTGATCAATCCGACGACAACGAAAGCACCCTCTGAGAAGGAAGTCGAATAATGTGGAAGGAATTCCTCTAGCATCGCCGGCAGTTCACGGGGATCAATGTACAATTGAATGAAAGCGCAGAGCTTGGTCAGGGTCTTGATGTTGCGTTTGAGATTGGTGGAATGGACCAAGCCCGACTCGGTGGGTAGAACAAAAGATTTCAGCTCCCTGTACAAAGGCCTCCAGTCCAGCGTCAGATCCTTGACGGGCCGAAGATAATGCTTACGCCTGCGAAGATCATTAGTGACGCGCAAGGTGGCAGTTGGGGATAAGAATGCATACTTGGTGAGCAGCATGAACATGCTCGCAAATCGTTCTGCTACATTGGGATCGATTCCGGGGGCAAGTGAGAGTTCGTAGTACAGTTTGACGAGATTGATCCGTTGCGTCCGAGTAGGATCGAATTTGAGTGATAGCCACCCTCTGAGCTCCCGGGTCCAATGCACAGCGCCAGGACTGAAGTCTCCAGCTTCCACCGCAATGTAGAGTTGTCGTAGGATCTCCCGGAAGTTTTTATCCCTCTCTGGCTCATCCTCGAGTGAATATGGTAGGTACTTGAAGTACGGATATGTGCGTGGGCGAACGCGCGCCTTGGGGTCGCCGTCTCCATTCATGACCGCAGGCTCACCTCCTGGAGAGGTGGCTCGAGAAAACTCATGTGTATTATGGAAATTTTCGGAAGTCAGGATGGACCGTGGGCCTGAGTGGTCCATAGCTATACAGTCCGTGAAGCGATTATTGTTTTGTGGAGGATGATGTAAAACGAAGATGGTTCAGAGCGGATCGGATTCTAGGGATTCGAGTTGTCAGCCAGACTCGACCTAAATGTTCGGGTATGAAGGACGCGGAAAAGAATGCAATATTCGCACATCACACATGGAGATCGTAGCCAGATACTCAGCTGCAGAAGTCGATGCCCAAATAGCGATCTGCTGTTGGTTCGTTTCGCATATGCGATTCAGTTGTACTCCGCTAGTAAGGCGATCGGAAACCAAGAGCTTGAGAAGGAAACAGATAAAGAGCTCAGATAGATGGGAGGTGAAAGAGGAAAAGACCCTGAAGCCCAAGGATCGTGAGCACGAGATTTGCGTGCGATTTTGCGATCCAGGGATGGGTAAAGATGGTCAGGTAGTAAGGTGGTTAGGTTGGTGGGATATCTTGAGCTCACGCGTTAGCAGACCGAAGTTGGAGGTATCATTGATTGAGTCCGTTCGTTGGGTCTGGGTCGGTTTTGTCAGATCGGTGATGACATAATTCCACGTAACGGCCGGGAGCCTAACGATGGGTCCGACTCCAGATTCGACCACCAAAAAACCGATCAAGTGCCACTTCTCACTGAGCAAAGTAAGAAAGAATCTGTGCACCGCTGCTCACCCAGGATCAGTGAACTCAAACAAAGGTTTAAAAAGGGTGTTAGGTGAAAAGCGGGGGAATGTAGGGTGGCAAGCAACCAGAATCGATGTGTCGGACACCTTTCCCTGCCCAAGGACTTTCTCAAACTCCATTCATTACATTTACGAAGAGCTATCAGTCTCAAATCCTTCTATTTCTAATCATTGCACTCCCATTTGTACTTTTATGTTCACACATTTTACAATTATGCGCAACTGAAATGTATTGTTTCGAACGGTTCCCGATCGCTGAAAAAATTATTTTTCTCTGCTTGAATCTACCTCAAGCGGGTGGTAGAAAAGACCCAAATAATGTGGCTTGCACTAAAGCATATGCCACCATGCCCTGCACTGCTCGTGTAAAAGTACGGCTGTGTTGGATTGAAGGCGGGATTTGACCCCAATTCCCTGAAACCAGGTACACAAGGTACCAATACCACAGTGGGTATCCCGAAGCTATTCGATTGATGATTTGGACATGATAGCTGGTCAGAGCCAGCAATGCCAGGATTCCCTGAGGCGCAGCCAGTCGTAGAAGCAGCGAAGCTGTGGTAGCGGAAGAAGACGCGTGATCGATCCCACTCAATGCTCTCGGGTATATGAAAGGGACTGCCATGTCAAGTGCCCAAAAAGACGAGCGGCAGAGTATAGCCAGCATCGGCATCGCCAGAACAAATAATGGGAGGTTTGAAATGCTCCAATATCGAAGGAAACCCACGTTCCTGTTCCATCCATTAGCGCCACTGCTGCAGCTCACTGCTTGGAATATCACGTACCAATAATGACTCTGGACCCAGCCATAAATACTGGGGACAAACCATTGACACCATTGTCGCGGGATGGCCTCTGCACAATACGCTGTATGGGCGATATATTGGGGAAGGACAAGTCCAAGCGCGATGATACAGCCGCTCACGATGGCGACAAGCAAGTGAGCACAGGCGTTCCATGACAGACTCTGGGACACAACTCGTCGAAGCTGGAGGAAAGCGTCATAGGCGAATAAGATCCCACTTAAGATCCCATTGCTGCGAACAGTAGTAGCTGCAGAGAACAGAACAGCGGAGAGGATCGATTTCAAATCGCCGGACAAACGCTTGCCTTTCTTGTTGTCCAGGTAAGCAGAAGAGTAGAGATAGAAGCCTGTGATGTTCAGGAAAGAGAACAGTGATTCTCCATAGGGTGCGGAGAGAAATGCCCCGGCAGGGCAAATGATATGTAAGGCCGAGGAAAGGAGACAGATGAGTCGTTGCGTGGTGGTGTCGTTTCCAAACACATTGACGGAAAGCTTATATAGCGCTAGAACGGAGAGATAGTGGGCAATGTGGGAGAGTAAGATTGCCTCAATCGCGACAAATACCGCTCCTCCTAAGCCAGTGAAATGTTGGAAAACTACAATCACGATTAGTGGCTACCACAGGCTTGTTAAAAGAAGAGAAGCCTTTACCGGTAGTAAGGTAAGCTAAAGCCTGAGTGTACCCATAGCCAAATGCCCACTCTTGCTCGAAGACGTAACCTTTCTGAGCTATATGCAAGAAGTATATCGAGTCCCACCTAACGAACTTCCGGGGAACCGTGAGAAGGAGATGTTCGATGTCCTCTGAGATGACATCAGAGCTGTTGATACCGTGATAAAGATGGCTTGTCGAAGTATCGTAGCCCAGTCCTGGGCAGGAGACTATGACCAGGAATACCAGAGCTTTCCAGATGCAGAAAGCAATTGTCAAGCCCCTGATAGGACGGGCGGGATCCAGGATGCTGGGGCGATCCGCCGCTCGCAAGCCCGTGTAAGTTGACGAACTCATGTCCGCAGGCATCAGCATGTCCAAACTATGCACCCTTGATCTTCTACCCATGCGCATCCAAGGGCCTCTAGATGGCTATCATTGTGGCCTCAGTCAGGATCAATGGATAACGTGTGATAGCCTAACGCTGCGATTCACACCACCCTTCTAATCATGGGGTGACGGGGCAGAGCAACCGAGGTAAGTGGAGGTGGGATGAAGGAAGAGGATGGGATGATTAAGGATGCGTTAACCCAAGCCAAGCGGTGGCTGATCGGAGAGTTCGGCAAGCATCGCCGCGTATTATTCAGCATATGGCGGTGCACAAATCCTACGTAATGCATTGCATCCTTCCGCGAAATGGCGTTTTTTCATCAAGATTTCACCCTTGACAGTGATTCGAGTAGTAAAAGTATGTACTAGGTACTGCAGTGTCGTCCGTTACACTGTACTTTGGCTCGTCCATTACACAGTATGTACTTTAGACAAGCAGACAGGTGAGGATGGAATTCTTCTAAAATTACCTGGCTAGTACTCATATGATAAGTACGTGCGTGTATCCAGTGATGATGATGTCAGAGGACAAGAGAGCTTTTCCACCGACCGGAAGTTCTGGAAGTGAGAGTAACTTTGATCATCCCCCCGGACATGTCAGCCCTACCGAATTGACTGGGTCAAGCTCAGCTTCAGTGATTTGCTGGTCTCCGGTCACGCAAAGAGCACGTCAAAAGGGCATCCCTTGCTACTAAATAAGAAGGTAAACGGTCATACTCCCACAGAGGTTTCAGATCGACATGACTTTCTTGGACTGGCACTTGTCACTGAATCAGATGAGGAGTTTTTTTGGGATTGAATGTAGGCTCGTACGTGTCAAAGTTTCGTCTATGCCTTTCTACTGAATATACCTCAATTGCTGTAGGGTATGATTATGTTCTGCTATGCAATGTTCAAGGATCTGAGCTAGCGCCCCACTGCGTGATCACGCGGAGGGTGCTTGTTGCACCGAAGTCTCCGAAGAGTGGCCACCTCAACCCACTATCGATAAGTATGAGTAACTGACCATCCAAGATCGAAGGGATACTCAGGTACTGGCCAGTCAGTTTCTTCGACAGACCGACTTCCCGGCATGATTCCCAGAGACTGGCCCCGCAATGAGTAAAATTCATGCGAACTACAGAAATTTGCCGTCGAGTCTCCGCACTAGATCCTCATTTTGGTCGAGTGTAATGCCAAGCAAAACCAAGAGAGTGAACTCGGTTAAGAGTTGGTAGTTGACGACTCGTATATGAGTAATTTTCTCTCGAGGTAGTTAGTTATCGAGGGATGGAATATGAAGATGACTAACTGGATGACGAAATCAATCCTTGGGGCAGTCAGTCAGTCAGTCAGTCAGTCAGTCAATCAGTCCGTATGGGCTTGTCATGCTCAGAATTGATGATCTCTCAAAGGAAGAGGAGTGTACAGTACCTATGGTATCGTCTAGGTGATTCCTGGCCTGATCTGTCAGCCGGGCTCATCGTCGACACCGACAAACCAAACCTGGACCCGGCATATTCAGCCTTATGCGTTTCTGGGACCAGCAGAGCAAAATTCTGTCATGGACCATGGAAGGCGTGAGGCCGAGACACCGAAAGGATGACGGTTGGTCGGCGTTTCCGGCATCCGTGACGGAGAAGGTCTTGCCAAAATCCGTTCTTCCGGCCAGAGTCACGGACGCAGCGGGCACAGCAACAGTGCAGCTCCTCAATCTCCGAATGCTTGCGGAGTTACTCACTGCTGCTGCTGCTGCTACTGCTGTTGCTTCTCGTTGCTTCTCGGTCATGCACTTCAACATATCCACCTCATGCAGGAGGGCAGTGACTAACCTATGGTGTACTGTAAATCGTAATATACCTTCTTGAATCTTCTCCTCTCTTGTGTATTCCTCTCATGCATAACTCACCTTATGCCCCATAGCCAGAGCTCTGGTACGACCACCGGAAGGGCTCCGTAATGACCAGAAAATGATACGAAGTGGTGCCGAAGATCGCCGTCTAGCCTGGTCGCTTCACAGCTTTGGATGCGACGCTGCAGATTGATTCGTTCCTTGAACCTAAAAACCATCAGGAAATCAGTGATAGTTCGGCAACTGAATAATTCCAGTCGCCTGGATCCATTCATGATTTGATTTCCCTCCCGTTCATCGTTGATTAATGATCACTTTGAGTTGACACCAAAACTTGATGGCTGTTGGCCCATCACCGGCATTTCTTCTATTCTTCTTTTTTTTTTCGTTTTTTTTTTCTCTTTCTTTTTTTAACGATCTCTACTACTACTCTTGCTCATGATACTTATATTATATTAACCACCCGATGACACTGACCTTTTCCTTGACCTCCGGTGCTTCATCCCTGACCGCCATCAATTTTCTCTCCCTGCCCCCACTTCCATCCATTGATCCACGATCCCTTTGTCTGACATGCAGTCATCCAGGTGGACAAACCTAGTGGGATCGTCTTCCCTCCTCTTCTAGTTATTAAGGCGACTGCTCATTGCCTAGACCAAACGGAAGGCTGAAAGCAAAAAGGCTGAAGCTTCTTTTCCGAACACCACGCAGCACTACGACTATCCTACGTATACTTCAGGATCCTCATCACAACTGACTGCTTTACCCACCTTTTTTTGGCTCCTCCTCCTTACCCCTACTACTACTACTACTACTACTACTACTACTACTACAACTACTCCACTTCCACTTTGCCTCCTTCGTCCCACGATCTATATCTCCACGTTTGTCCGACGTAAAACTTTCCCGACCTTTCCTTTCTCCTCTCGTCTTTATTTTCCCTACTTTCCTCCCCTCTTGCGCTGACCTCAGTCCTCTCCTTCCCCCTTTCCCCACCTCGTTTTCACAGCCTCCGCCTCAGCCTCGCTTGCTAGAGAGTTCATTGTCGTGCAGGTCACGGCCATTCTTATACTTCTTTACCCTTCCCAAGCCCTTGAGCTTACGCACCCTCCTTTCTCCAATTTTCATTTAAACCGACTTCGACCTTTGTTTTCTCGAAGCACCGACATCCGCTCCATTGCACCAAAAACAGCTCTCTGCGATCCCCAAACTATAGCTCGGCGCGCCTCCACCGTTGTCAATGGTGGCCTGGGAGAACCGGGAGGCGTTGTCGAAGCCCAGAAAATAATGTTATTCAACCTTGGTTTGACCGCAGATGCAGCAGCCGCTCACGACAGCGACGTTCTTGGTCCCCAGTCCGATCCCCAGATTCCGTCGCGGCATTCTTCGCCGCCCGTTTCTTTTGCGACACTGCCATCCTGGGGCCTGGGAAGCTTGTACAGCCGGCGCAAAGTGACGGAAACAGAAAAGCCGCCGCTGCAAGAACAACCACGTGCAATGTCGAGGCAACCTGCAGTGGACCAAATATTACTGTCGAGCGATGACGAGCATTCGACCGTCGGGCCGACTCTAGCTTCATCCAGGATCGCCCGCTCATATTCAGTTCGGAAACAATCATCGCGACGTAAAACGTCATACCAATTAGCGCATCCCGCATCCCACGCACGTCACAGGCGACTGAAACTCCGCCCCAAGCTCCTCTTGCAACTCCAGCAGGTGTCCCAAACCCCGCGTCCTTTACCCGTTTTGGACGTACTTCCATCAAGTGTGTTTCTGCCTAGACTGGCCCGCAAATTTCCGACCATCTTCCGCGGTAAGAAGGGACTAGGCCCCAACGACCTTATTGTTGTCACCAGCGATCTTTATGAACAGAGCCATGGCGATTTTGCAGACAAACACTTGAGCTCCGATGAAGAAAATGGAGAGCACCGCGAAGTCGTCGCAACAATATGTCAACTTTTACGAGATGATGCTTTATCCAAAGGCAAGGCTGAAATTTGTCTCAGTTGTGGACCGGTATGGGAGGCGACCCCTCTGGCCAATGGCTCGTACGAGTTCGTGGCCCATACAGATGAAGGGATTCAGGTTCTGCGCTGGGTGCTGCGAGGAGGAAAGAACCGTCGCGTGTCAGCGCCCCCTGATTTTACCAACCAGGAAGACAGCAAGCGATTTACATTCAGCGTGATTAACCCCAACACCCGCCGTCACCCTGTCCTCGCCACAATGACTCGTAACCACCTGGAGGTTTTCAACGAGTACTCAATGCCGACCACCTCGGGGATTGCTTCCCCAACCTCGGCCATGTCTGTCATCAGCGATCTCTCAGAGATGGACGAACCATTGGGCCGAAGGATGGTTGTCGACGACAACTTACGCATGCTGATCATCATCACCAGCTTCTGGGTAGCTTTCCGCGAAGGCTGGTCGCATAACTTCAGCTACAATGACGCAGCCTCTACGCTTAACCCCAAATCTCGCTGTCCGTCGCGACAAAGCTCCCCCACAGCCGTTAGGGCTGAAGCAGACCGGTCCATGGAAGAAGAGGCCAACAACCCGACCGGCCCCTCCACGAACCGCAGACATCGCATGTCAACATCCAGCTGCATGTCCTCTCCTCCCAACACAATTGGCGACCGATCAACGGTGGGGCGTCAGTCCAAGCGCTCCAACTCAACCGGAGCAGCCTTCATTGAGCGGACCAACCGACGTGCTTCTGGCACCCTCGGCCGTCTTAACCGACACAGCACGCTTTCCAGCACCCGCGAAACCCGGCATGATACGGACGCCAACGCCACCCCGGCCCCTGCGCGGCAAGATTCAAAGAGTCGCAAGCGATGGTCTCATCAACGGAAACCCGAAGCGCCAGACCCAAAACAAGGCCCCGATAAGGACCTTGGCCGGTCGCGAGGCATCGACAGCCCTCTGCCGCAACAACAACAGTCGGACAAATCAAACGGCAAGTCGTCCAACAACAAATCCGCCGAACCGACTCCATCCAAGGGCAAACTTCGACATCGACTGAGCAGCCTATTCGACTTCATCATCCGCAAAAGCACCCATTCACATTGAAGCATACCCCGAAAGAAACAGAAAGAAGCCTGGTGCTTTCCCACGACCTCATTGACACAACTCCACTTACATCTGCCGCTGGCCGAAACCCCAACGCAGCGCGCCGTTTAATTCATACTTTTCCAAACTCCCTCTTGTAGAGGTTGAGACAATACCCCATTTTCCTTGATCTTTGTTTCTCTTCACATCATCAATCATTGCACATATTGTCTTCGTATCACAAGAGCCAGAGCTGGAGGTTTACATACGATGCATAATTGGTGGGGAATTTCCCCATTGCAATTGTCTGATATTTTTTTTTCTTTGTGTGATGACGGACTGGCCGTCTGAAATCTATCTCAGCTCATATCTTAGCCCTCGTGCTTATGAATACCCCGAATATCAATGGCATAACTCTATTTTAAAGCATGTTCTTGCTTTCCTTGTATGGAGACTATTCGTAGTGACTTCCATAATCGCGTCGGGGATCTACGTGTGTATCCACGGTATGACACCGTAGCCTAGCCTGTTGGTCTTGCGCTATTTTACTATTAGCTGTATATCCTTAAATTTTTGCATGAATGTGACTCTAGGATGGTTTGATTCTATGATTATCGACCAGAGTCTCTTCAACAACATAAACTACCTTAGAACATAGCGCCTGAAATCACCGCTCCAGACTGGTAATGGCCTTGGGGATATAGGGCTCCTCCAAGTACTTAATCTCCTCGGCACTCAGCTCCACCTTGATGGCGGCGACAGCCTCGTCGATGCGCTCCTTGCTGCCGAGCCCGAGGATGGGGTTCTCGTTGGAATGGCTCAGGGACCATGCGATGGCGACCTGCGCCATGGTGATGCCCTTCTTCTTGGCGATCTCCTCCACGCGGTCGACGATGGCCTTGTCGGCCTCCGTCTCGCGGCTGCGGATCAGCATCTTGAGGGCGCCGTCCGTCGACTCGCGGACCGTCGAGCGCGAGCCCCACGGTCGCGCCAGCACGCCGCGCGCCATGGGCGACCAGGGAATCAGTCCCACGCCCGAGTCCTGGCAGTAGGGGATCATCTCGCGCTCTTCCTCGCGGGCTAGCAGGTTGTGGTAGTTCTGCATCGAGATGAACTGGTGCCAGCCGTTGCGGGCGGCGATGTTCTGCAGGGTCTGGAACTCCCAGGCGGCCATCTTGGAAAGAGAAAAAGGTTAGTGGACCGGCGTGGTGGATCTGGGGCTGGCTAAGTGTGCGCCTGCGTGCTTACCGTGCTGGCTCCAATGTATCGCACTTTCCCGCTCTCAATCACATCGTTGAGTGCCCGCATGATCTCCTCACGAGGCGTATCGCGGTCCAAGCGGTGGATCTGCAGCACGTCGATGTAGGTGCCCAGTCTTTTGACGCTGGCATCGACGGCGTCGAAGATGTGCTTGCGAGACAGGCCGACGCGGTTGACGAAGTCTCCGTCGTTACGGCCGGAGGTTGAGATCGGGGGCATGCCGCCCTCGTCGTCCACGCCGAAGAAGCACTTGGTCAAGATCACGACCCGGTTGCGCGGGATGTTGAATTGCTTCAGCGCCTTGCCAATGATCTCTTCTGAGCGACCGTGGGAATAGACGTCGGCCTGGTTATGGGTATTAGTACTGTGCGGTGGAAGAGTTGGATCGATATGTGGGCAGCGCACCGTGTCCCAGGTGTTGATTCCGCGCTTGTAGGCGTGCTCAATCAAGGGGAGGGCTTCCTCCTCGTCTAACACCCAGTCTTGCCACTGCTTGGTGCCGTAAGACATGGCACCGAGGATGATCTTAGAGATCTTCAGGCCGGAGTTGCCCAGGCTATGGTGTCAGGGTCATTAGCCATCGAACTGGATTCAGACATGGAGTCTATGTTGCGGCATACCGGACGTATTCCATATCGGAAGCCATGATGTAATCGTAGTTATGGAGTTGAAATTCTGGAGAGTGCGATTAGCACCGTCAAAGGCAGCTGGGATGAACAATAAAGCAGCATGGACACTCACACAATTGACCAGCGTAATTCCTGCGGGCGGGGATCTCTTGAAGTTCAAAAGATACGAGACAGTGAAACTGGATATGAATCATAGTGGGGACCGAGGGGAGTTGCTAATCAATCGGGCATAGTACAGAGCAGTTGAGCTCTCCACTCCGATCTGCCGAAAGCATGAAGCGGCGATGTTCTTCAGCCGACTTATTGCCGGCGACTCCCTCGGGCTTGGCAAGGGGTTGGGCATATCGGAATTGCATCTCGGGATGTGCCTGTGATTGTGATGATTGAGTGCACAGTAAAGCAAGAAGAAAAATAGAGACGGCTAAGAAAAAGAGGGGAGGGGAAAAGAAACAGAAAAGCCAGGTGGAGGTCCCGTGACCTCGTTCTCCTCCTTCCATTTCAATTTCAGTCTCAGCTTGCCTCTTCTTCCTCACTGACATGCAGGCTTGTCCTTGACCTTCTCCTCGGAGTTGTCATGTTTGTGTCTGCACATCAAATCTCTTCATACAATAACATAGTCCATCTTCACACCAGCAAGCTTGACTGTTTGCCAACGGTTTCCTTGACCAAATTCAGAAAAAGCAATGAACCGCCACGAGCGGTTGGCGCTGATGACGTGGACGCTTATTACGGGAACTAACTCTTACAGCCTGGAGAAGAACCTACCCCAGACGTTGGATTTACATCGTTCTCCGAGTGGCTAGCGGGCAAGGCCAGTAAACGGCAGTCCCGAAAACCATGTTTACGATGTTGTGCATCCCCCCGCACGTGGAGTCTGGTGTGACAGAGCCCACTGCACAATATTCTGGACGAGAAGAATAAATCAGCGCCCGGGATGGCTAAGGGGCTGGCTGAAATGCAAGACATCGATGCCAGCTGTCACTGGAACAAGAGAAAAACTCTGGATGTCACGCTGCGGCGGCAGGGCCGAGACGATGAACCGTTCGCCCTGAGTGAACCCGGATGATACGCAAGCTGGGCCCGAATCATGCATATTCGACCGCTGATTAGTTGACCTTACTGGCTCTCCGCCAGCTTCTGCAAACCCTCCTGTAGGGAATGAACGCTTCGACCCATGTTCTGTGGCGCCTATCTCCACTTGGCTTCGGTCACTGCTCCGGAGACTGCGAACTGCAGCCTGACCCCCGACTGTCGAAGACTAGCAGTTCACCATGTGTTTCTTGAAGCTGAGAAGCCATAGTAATTGCCTAGCTCATATCAATATGGACATACTTTGCTTGGAAGTACCATCGGCCATTTGAGATTGTCTCCTCGCCCTATTGGATGTTTCTAGCCAGTTACCTGCGGATAATCCCAATGTACATATAGCTATGTATATGGTGTCGATGTCTCATTTCGTGGGAAACCTCTACTGGAAGTATGCTTTGATCACATCAAGAATAGCGGTGGGAGAATCCACTTGGCATAAACCTCGTACCGCAGGCCGTTGCGCATCTCTGCCTTATTGCTATACTTTCTCATGTTCTGAACCATGCGCTCATAGTCTAGACTCGTGCTGATCGTAGGTGTCAAACAAATCAGGGCCTTGTCTAGTCAGCAGTTGCAGCTTTTCTGAACGTCGAGTGCATACCGCTTTCGTATGCAAACCGAGGCTGCTCGCGAATGGCGTTCAAGACCAGTATGCAATCGGACAGGTGGTCGGCCTTCAGACGAATCGTCAAAATTCCCTATGTCTATCGGCTTGCCATATGCATTAGCTTCTACATGATTGGCCGCGCTTGAACTATGTTCTATGCCTGGTCTTCGTTGTGGCTAGCTGGTGAACGTGCGATGTAAAGCTATCATGCTTCAAGAAGTATGCTTTCATGGAGGGTGAATTTGTGAATTTGTGCCTAACCTAGCGGCTCGGGGCTGGGAAACTTGAAGCTGAAGTCTGATTGCCCAGTGCTGAAGCTGAAGTGCGAAATCTGTGCAGATAGCAGTTTGTAGCGAGTGGCCACTGTCGCTTCCACTGAACTCAACATATCATTCGTCTCCAAGTCAACATCAACTTGCCAATTATCGATCTTCCACTCTTTCCGGAGTTAATCAGAGCTTGAGAGCTGAATCCAGGACTCTACTCAATTTGATATCTATAAAAGAGACGACATCACCCTCTCTGGAAATCTTTCTTCGGCATCATCATCACCATCCATCGTCCAGAACAACAAGCATCTTCCGAATACCCAGTACTCTCACAACAGGCACCTCCAGCTACTCCTTACTCTCAAATCTATATCCTCTCTTCACAATGTCTACCACTGTGGTCAGCCCTACTCCCGCTGCAACAATGGCTCTCCAAGCCCCCCAGGTTGGTCTCGCCGACGACGAGCTCCTGGCCCTCTTTCGGCGCGTCACCATCAGCGGGTCGGCCGGCCACGATGTCTCCGAGACGCAGATCAAGAAAGCATTCAAGCAGGAGATCAGCCGGCCGCTGGGACGCCAGGTGCTGGAGGCCTCGCTGAGGGAAGCGCACGAGTGCTCCTGCTACCACTGGAACTACCATGACACCATCAGGGGCAAAGTCGACATCAGCCGCGTCGACCTGACTTTCGACCTGACCTCCCAGAGCATGGGACAGTCCGTCCGCGGCGAGGCGGCCGGGTTCTTCAGGGTGAACCATGCCTTCATTAAGTAAGCATCTTATCTGTGCTATACCATGATCCCGTCTGACAATGACCAGCGCAACCGTCTACTACGACGACCAGCAAGCCCTCCAAGGCAACCAGAGCATCAGGGTGTACATGGACGAGACCGTGAGTGGCCTGTCTTAATTATCAGATCCCCATAGCCAAAACATCCGAGAGTCATGGCAACTGACATGCCCTCCGCACGCAGTCTTTCAAGATCGACTTCTACACCACCGACCAGTCCGAAAAACCCATTGCCCGCATCGTCCAGAAGAACTCCTCCTTCACCTTCCAGGGAACCGACACCGGCGACGCCACCTGGTATACCAGCTAGACTGCGCTCTGGCGTAAATGAGACGGCCATGACGCAGTGGCCATGGTGAAGGCAGCGTGCGGATCAAGATGAAAGAGTTCTCGGGTATACTTGCGTCTTTTTGTCATTCGCATTCTTCGCTTGCTTGTGCTTTGCTCGTAACTAGGTAGCTTGTTTTTGATTGAATGCACGGTTTATGATCCGCACTATAACTTAATATGCAAGAGGGACTCCACCGTACTCTATAATCACGAAGCGCTTTTCCAACGTAATATCAAATCGAAACCTATGTCCGTAACAAAGAATCATTTGCCCAAACGCCAAACGCTGAAACAGAATATCAGATCTAAGAGCTACAACCAACCCGCAATAACTTCAGCTCATCCACTCTTCGCAAGAGGGAATCCAACTGCAGCGTTCCGGGGGAGAACCCCCGGACCCCCCTTTCCTTTTCTTTCAACTTCCTGGTCCGCCTCAATCTCAAGACAAGTATAAAGCGTTCGTCCCGGGGGAGAACCCCCGGACCCCCCTTTCCTTCAGCTTCCCAGACCCTTCCTTTCAACCTTCGAGCAAATCAACCTTGCCCCCCTCAGAGTCATCAACCAACTGCGTCTGCCAAAGCATATAATACCGGCCCCGCCTCGCCAACAACTCCGAATGCGTCCCCCGCTCCACGATCCGGCCCTCATGCAACACAAGAATCTGGTCCGCGCGCACAACAGTCGAGAGCCGATGCGCAATGACAAACGTAGTGCGCTTGGTGGTCAGCCGCGCAAGGGCAGCCTGGATCTTAGCCTCGGTTTCGGAGTCAACGGCGCTGGTCGCCTCGTCGAGCACAAGCACGGGCGCGTCTCTCAAGAACGCGCGCGCAATCGCCAGCCGCTGCACCTCGCCGCCAGACAGCTTGACGCCCTGCTCGCCGACGCGCGTGTGGTAGCCGCGCGGGAACGACACAATGCGGTCGTGGATGGCGGCCGCGCGACACGCCGCGTGCACCTGCTCGTCGCTCGCAGCCTGGTTGGCGTAGCGCAGGTTCTCGAGGATCGACGCGTTGAACAGCACCGGCGCCTGCGGCACCGCGCACACCGCCGCCCCCCGCAGCGACGCCTGCGTGATATCCCGCACGTCCCGCCCGTCGATCGTGATGCGGCCCCCGCTGACGTCGTATTGTCGGAGTAGGAGCTTCGTCAGTGAGGATTTGCCCGCGCCGGTTGCGCCTACCAGCGCGGTGGTTGAGCCGGCGGGTGCGGTGTACGTGATGTCGTGGATCGTGGCGCGGGGCTGCTGCGGGTACGAGAAACTGACTTGCTCGAAGGCGACAGTCCCTGAGACCGCGGGCCCCAGGGCCTCTGCGTCCGGCTTGTCGGTTACCGTGGGCTTCGTGAGGAGGAGGTCCAGCAGTCGCTCCGCGCCTACGAGTTCGGAGACCAGCCATCGGTAGTCTTTCGAGAGGTACTTGATCGGCCAGATCAGCTGCTCCCAGAGGAGGACCAGGAATACAAAGTCGCCGGGCGAGGCGCGTCCGGCTTGGATTTCGCGCGCGACCACCAGGGCCAGGATGGCGAACGTCACGGGGAAGAACGCCTCCGTGAGGCCGGTCGTGTAGGCGTCGCGCTTCGATCACGCCAGCGTGGCATCCAGGTGCCCGTCGACGGCCTGCGCGAACCGCGCCCGTTCGTACGGGAACATGTTGAACAGAAACACCGTCGGCCAGCCCTGGATGGCTTGGTGCATGACGCGGGCCTCGGCGCGCTCGGCCTTGGTCTGTTGGCGGCGGTTGCCCACGTTCCAGTCGGCCGTGACCACTTCGACGGCCGTGAAGGCCAGCGTGGCGACCAGCATGCACAGCGCCGCCGAGGAGTTGAAGGTGCGGTACAGGAAGACGAAGGCGACGAACATGTCGATGATGGCCGGGGCGATGTACAACATCGCCACCTCCAGGAGGTTGGTCAGCGACTCGCCCTGCTCCAGCGCCTTCATCACCTCGGCCGAGTCGCGGTCCGAGTGGAAGTCCATCCCCAGGTTCAGCACGTGGTTGAACGCCGCGTTCGTGAGCTGCCGGTACGAGAACTGCTTGAGCGGGATCTTCGCCAGCGAGACGATCATTTCCAGCCCCGATTGGTTATGCAGGAGATTGAGCGCCAGGTAGATTCCCAGGTCCGCGTACGGTAGCTCCCGCGCGAAGAGCTTGTCCGCGATGACGCCCAGCTGGCGGGGCACCACGATGTTTAGCACGCGGTCCGCGACCAGACAGAGGATGCACACCAGTAGGCATGCTTGCACCTTGTAGTCGCGCCGTGAAATGAGGAATGGAAGGAAGACCTTGAAGTCCTGGATGTATGCCATCCAGCCATCGGTCTTACGAATGTTACTGGTGTGGGCGCCTTCGTCTTCGGATTCATCGTCGGAAGAATCCGAATCGCAGTCATCTTCTTCGTGGAGGGCCGATTCGCTGCCGTCGGCCGACTGGCATGCCGAGGGGATAGTGCCATATGCGACCTGACTGGGTGCGGATTGTCCATTGGCTTCATCTGGACAGGGGATCAGATCCTCCTCTTCCTCCAGCTTAGACGTCTTCCGTTGAGACAGTGAGCGAAACAGACAGTCCAGTAACACGCCGACAACAAATAGCACCCGGACAGACTCTATGGTAAGCAGCAATTTGCGCGCTGCAATCTGCCCTGGATGCAGTGCATCGAGGATCAACCCAGGAATGCCGAAGAGGAGTGAGATCAGGCTGAGACCGAGCGCCTCTGAAACGAGGATCTCTCTGCGGAGGCAGGTAACTGTCCAGGCCAATGCCAGTGTGGTAGCTGCGAATATATGGTCTGGAGGTTGTTCAGGTCCATGACGCTGTTGGAAGAGGATGATTGCCTCGGGGATGTACGATGCCGATATGCACTGAACCAGTATCACTCGGAAAACCGTCTTCCGTAGCACTGAAGCTTTAAGATGCGTTTTTGACTTGTAATGCACGAGAAAAGATCCGAAGACGAAGAGCAAGGTGACCACCGTGGCCACCAGGTGCAGCAGTTGCGCGGCTCCCGCGAGTGTCATTTTGTCTTCGGATGGAATGTAGGGCCAAGCAATGCCAAAAACGTGCGGCTCAACCGAGCCTTAAAACCCGGCAGGTCCAGGGGCTGGACCCTTCCGACTCATCATGATTCCTGACTCACATCAGATGAGTACAACAGTCTCAGCCTTGTGCCACAAGGTTCACGGTGGCGGCTGACTTTCGCTGCTGCCTACGGGAGACGGGGAGTGTCGGGGACTACAGGAGTAATTCTCATGGTGCATAAACCAATCACTCGGGATTATCTATATAATGCCAAGAAAAGAATGGCCCTGATCTGCACAAATCATATCTAATTTTTAGAATACCTCGGCACATTGTGTCATGCGATACATATATCGTTGCCATAGATCCATGAAAACTTTTGAAAACTCCCCCCGAATATACAAAACGCTAACATACAAGACAAACCAAGTAATCTTTTTTATGAAGCACCACCACGGCCACCGACACTCGCCAACGCCTTCTTCTGATCCTCCGTCAACTGGGCAGTTGGCAGAGGGCGAGCGCCGGCAGCTGTAGGAGGAGGCAGGAATCCGGTAGCAACGAGGTACGACGCGTACAGACCGACCAATTCCTCGGTGACACCCGCTCCGGCAGAGGTATCGATGCCGGACCAGGCGGCGTCGGCGCGCAAGGAGGCAGCGGCATTGACGTCGTCAAGTTCAGGAGCCTTGGTGTTGGAGGGAAGGTCGGAAGTGACAAAGTGATAGAGGGGCATCCTGTGTTAGAAGTCATTAGTTTCTGATGTGGCTCGAAAGAGAGATAAATTGGACTTACAAGGCGTGCTGAGACTCGGGGTCATCGTGCTGGCCATCGTTGACGTATTGCTCCAAGGCCTTAGACCAGGGGACGTAATCGATCTGAGGCACTTCATAGCCGTAAAGCTGCAGAGCACCCAGGAACTGGTTGAAGCGGAGGCGGGGGTGACCGGTGACTTGCGCCACGCCGATGGGTGTGCAAGGGGGCTGGAAGGCGGCGGCGATGACAACGCGGGCGACGTGGTCGACGGGGACCATGTTGACGGTGTTGTTGATGTTAGGGCGGGCGGAGAGCTGGATACAGCCCTTGAGCATGCGAATGAGGAAGTCGTCGGTGTTGGTGGTTCCGGTCTGAGAATCACCGAGGACGTATCCGGGGCGCACGACGGTACCCTTGAGACCGCGGCGGCCGGCTTCCCGCACAAGGTATTCACCCGCCCACTTGCTCTGGCCGTAACCAGTTCCAAGGCCGACGCTGCTGCCCTCGAGGTCGTCTGCCTCGCTGATACCGGCTCCACCCTCCGCGACGATCCGCTCGGATTCCAGGACGTAGTGGTCGCTGTCGAGAGTGCTGGTCGAACTGACGAAGGAGAATTGCTTGGGTTTGCCACTAGCACAGAGCTTCAGAGCGTCAATGGTACCCAGCACGTTGGCAGGCTTGAGGGTCGAGTAGGGGTACACCCAGTGGACCAGAGCACCGTTGTGAATGACGGCATCCACACGCTTGGTCAAGTCATCCCAGAGAGCATCGGAGAAACCGAAGCGAGGCTCGCCGAGGTTACCGCACACGCACTGCAGCCGGCTGGTCCAGGCCTCATCCCAGAAACCGTAGGCCTGGCAGGTAGAGCGAATACGGCCAAGCGCCTGCTCGTCGGTTTTGCCGCGCACCAGGGCCACGACCTTCGCCTGAGGGGACTTGCGGGTTAGGAGATCGCGAAGGATATGGGCACCCAAGAAACCGGTGGCACCGGTAAGGAAGATGGTGGGCTCAGACGCAAGAATGGGCTCGGTGCGGGTGGGGAACGAAGCAGGCAGCGTCTCTGCCAACTTGCGGGCATCCTTCGAGTATTCGTCATCGAGTTCAGCAGGGGCCGCAGGCTCTGCAGCGGCGGTCTTACGGTCATCGTTGCTAGCAAACGACTCGAGGTTCAGTAGACGGTCAATCTCAGCAGCGAAACCCCGGAGGGTAGGGCTGCGGAAGATGGAGTTCATGCTGACGTCGATCTCGCGCCACTTGCGGCGGATGTCGAAGAACATCTGCTGAGCCAGGATACTGTGGCCACCTAGATCGAAGAAAGAGTCGTCGGGACCAATCATACGAGCGGTCAAGTTGGGAATGCGCTGAGCCCAAATGGCAGCCAGAGCTTGTTCCGTCTCGCTGAGGGCTTGTGCCACAGAAGACCTGCGCCGAGGAGCGGCAGCACTGAGCTCCGCAGTATCAGGGAAGGGCAGTGCAGGCTTGTCGATCTTGCCGTTGGGGTTCAGCGGCATGCGCTTAAGAGGGATGAAGACAGTCGGCACAGCGTAGCTGGCGAGTTTGCTGCGCAGGTGCTCCCGAATGTCGTCGCGAAGAGGGCGGAATCGCCTGAGCATGCCAACCATTCCCTCAGCAGAGTCATCGTCTTCGAGACCCTTCTCCTGCAGCCATGAGGCCCACTTGCTCATATCTGGCACGAAATAGCTGACCAGTGTGCGCTCCTCGAACTTGTCACGACGAACCAGAGTGACATTTTCTCTAACCAGCGGGTGACGAGAGAGGTGGGTGTCAATTTCTCCCAGTTCGATACGGAAGCCGCGAATCTTGACCTGATCGTCTGCACGGCCAGAGCATTCGACTTCACCAGTGGGAGTGTATCGGCCAAGATCTCCACTACGATAAAGGCGATCTCTCGGCCCAAAGTAGAACTCCCTCCAAGGCTCATTTGAGCCCTGTGACTCGGCCTTGTCCTTCTCAGTCCAGGTTTGAGGGTCAACGAACCAGTTGGTCAAGAACTTCTTCTCGTTCAATTCGGGGGAACCGAGATAGCCCTCCGCAAGGCCACCAGCACGGACATAGATCTCACCCACTTCACCAATCGCGCAAATGCGATTGGGCTCGAAGCGGTTGACAACCAACATCTGCACGTCGAGCATACCCCGTCCGGCTGGGATGACATCCTTCATGGTATCCAGGTAGCCCTCGTCGCTGGAGTAGCTGGGGATTTCAAAGTAACTGACGGCACGTTGCGTCTCGGTCGTGCCGTACATGTTGACAATGTTGACGTTGGGAGCCAACCCTTGAAGAGAGCGACAGTCTCTCTTGATGAGAATATCACCCACAAAGAAAGCATGGTGAAGCTTGGGGAATTGGGCCGATGCACCACCAACCAGAATCTGACCCATGGCGGGGGTAAGGTGAGTGACAGTAGCGCCGTGCTCGCGCATCCATTCGGCGAGCTTCTCGTTCTGAATGTCTTCCCGAGCAGGGACCAGAAGTTGAGCACCCAGGAAGAGAGGGGTGAAGATATCTCTCTGGATCGGATCGTGAGCAATACCACTCAGCATGGTGAAACGATCATCGGGGTTGAGCTTGAAAGTCTCAGACATCCATGGGAAGTAGTATGCCAGGGAGAAATGACGACCTCTGACACCCTTGGGCCTGCCCTCGGAGCCGGAGGTGAACGACAAAGTGGGGGTAGAATCGGGACCGACCACGACGCCGACAGATTGAGCCTTCAGAGGCACCTGGTTGGCCAGAACATCCTGTCCGTTGACCAACCCGCCTTCAAGGGTGCCATCATCGCGAAGTGCGAGCGCGGGAACCTCAGTACGAAGCTGCAAATTCTTGTCGATGAATGAGCGGACTTCGTCAGACAGCTCACCGGCATCCTTCGTAGCCTTTTCGATATTGATCAATGCGCGCGGGCGAGCAACATCCAGGTAGATGCACTGTCTTTCCGGAGGATATGCTGGATCAATAACGGAGAAGGTTGCACCAGCCTTGAGAATACCCATCACTGCAACCACCAAGTCGACACCACGGTAAGCGTAGACCATGACAACCTCGCCTCTCTCAACACCAGACTGAACCAAGTGATGACCCAGGATGTTGGACGCCTCATTGATCTGTCGGTACGTGAATTCCCGGTGAGAAGAGCGCTCCGACTTGGTCTCTACCACACAAAGCTTTTCGGGATGCTTCTCAGCATTGGCGGCGAAGATCTCGTGGATCGCACCACGGAACTTGGACCAATGCAAATCAGCCTTGGGATCAGGGAGCAGTGCCTGCTGGTCCTCGGTCATGAAATCGATACGGCCGATGGACTGTTCCGGGTTGCTGGTTGCATTCTCCACAAGCTTGGCCAGCTGCTTCAATATAATAGAGATTCTCGCACTCGAAAACAGCCTTTGGTTGTAGTATGCTCCCAGCTCGGCCTGTGGCGTCGAACCATCCGATGCATTAACTGGGGCGATGTTGACAACTAGGTCGGTCGTCTCGAAGGTATTGGCGGGATAATCTTGGGAGGCAGCAGGGGCATCATAGGCAGCGAAACGAAAGAGGATAGGAGCGCGCTCAGAGCCAGACTTTTTCTGGATATGGTCTCTTAAACTGCCCAAAGGTACGATCTCGGAAGCTCCTTCTTCGAAAGCCTATATAGAAAACCATGATGAGAGGGGTATCGAGATGGAGTTCATGATAGAGGACTCTACCTTCTTGACCTTGGCATATAGTTGGAGAAAGGTCTCTGAGGCTCCAATTGGGACTCTGAGGACGAAAGGGCGGCCATCGTCATTGGAACTGGTACCGATGGCAATGTCCTCGTCACCAGTCAAACGCGCAACGAGAACAACGAAAGCAGTGAGGAAGACAGTGAAGCTCGAGGAGGATCCAGAGATCTTCTCTAAGGCTGATTGGGTCCCTTGAGAGAGCTTGATTGACTCAAAGGCTTCAATTGCTCTCTTGGGAAGCTCTTGCTTGTGATTGTCGGGGTAATCTCTTGTGAGGGGAGAGACAGTAAGATTTTGTAGTCTTTGAGCCCATCGCTCAAGACGCTCCTGTAAGGAGACTGATTCAGCACCCATGATTGCAGTTAGAGGGAACAATTGCAGTCAGGATGGCGGGGGAGGGGAGAGAGAAATGAGTTTATCGAAGGAAGTAGTCATAGGGACTAACTAAGGCGTATGAGTCAAGAGGGGCAAGCGAAAGTGCCGATGTCGGCAGCTCTGGTTGGTCGTTCCCCACAATAATGCTGGCCTGAGGCAGTTATCAGTGAATCAGTATTTCTCACCGCCTTTCTCTTGCCCAGCCACTTCATCCATGATTCAATGGCTTACCACGGAGTACTACGGAGTACTCAGCCACAAAAGGGGTTCATCTTCTTTTCCCCCCGGGAGCGGACCCGGGTCCTGAACACTGCGGGCACTGAACTGTCTTACCGCATGCAGCGTAGTTCTCCAGAGCTGGTTGAACCGTGCCCCGGTTTGCAGTCTTCCTTGCCCAAACTCCTGCGCTGCATTGGCCTCATTTCTCCTCTGGAATCTCGACTGCGCTCAGGTACCACCCTGCCTACGACATACATTAATTACGACCCTGTCCGGCGCCTGTCTTCCTGTCATGACTTCGTTGACCATGGCGTGAAATCTGACTGTGTTGTCGTGACGTCTTCCTCCGATCCAACCTAATTGACCCCCTAAAAAAGTGTTGCTCTGTTCGTATTCGCATAGAGAGATAGGCAGAAGACCGCGCCTCTCCTCCGCTTTCTCACCTCCTATACTTGAACAACCTCTGCCGTCCTCAACGTTTGGTCCGACACGAGCATATCCCTATGTCAACATGATCCCCCATCGGAGCACAGCTCTGTTGACCATTATTGTTTTTGTCGCTCTCTTATTGATAATCTTTTCCTCTTCCCCGGCTTCCGACTCTTCGACCGGTGCAGCAGTCTCCGGCCCGGCCAGATTTGTGCCTCACCCAAAGCTTCCCTCCTTCAACGACCTGCGCTTACCATCCTTCCGTCCCACCGTCCACACTCCTCCCGAACCTCAGCCGAATAGCACCAGTGGAGAGACTAGCTGGTTCAGCGATTGGTCATGGATCAATCCTTTTTCGTCCTCCATCACCCTGGACGAGAATCGATCCGTCCTGCCCCCTTTGAAGGACAGACCGTTTATCTACACATATTACGAGCCAAATAAGGGTAATGACGCGGACGAGAACAATGCTGATGCTCAGCTTCTTCTCGCATGGCGCAGGGCCTGGTATGCTCAAGGATTCCGGCCAGTCATTCTTGGTCGGGGAGAAGCCATGAACAACCAGTTCTACGAGCTTGTCCAGCGTGTGAAGTTCAAGCCCGAATTCGAGGGCGAGATCTTCCGATGGCTTGCTTGGGGGCACATGGGTGATGGCTTGCTTGCGGATTGGCATTGTTTCCCCATGGCGAGGTATGACGACGCGCTCCTGTCGTCGTTGCGCCGTGGCTCCGACCCAGCCTTCATCACTCGCTTTGATCGACTAGGGAGCGCTCTGTTTTCTGGAGAGAAGTCACACATCAACGCGGTAATCAAGCAAGCTCTGAACAAGGTGGATGAGACGTCTACCTCCCTGGTGGATCTGGTCCCGACCGAGCTTGTTAAGGTAGAGGGGACCGATTCGTTGGCGTTGTACGACTCTGCGGCAATTACTAGCCATTATCCAACCATCGCAGAGAAGATGGTGTCTTCTCCGACCGCAGGGCGACTGGCTTTGGCTGAATTGATCAACTCACATCTACACAACACTTTTCAGAATGCCTTCCCAGCAGGCATTGCCGTCTTGAAGCCGTTTCCCCAGCACACGACCGCGCTAGTCGAGCCTGCTTTGCGTCTCGCGAAGGCTCTCGTTCAGTGCTCGAACTCTCCAGTGCCACAATCATGCCCACCCAACCTACCCAAATGTCACCCGTGTGATGCAGCGAAGCCTATGCAAGTGAGCCAGCCGGCTACCTACAAGAACACGACGCGGGTTTTCACCATTGGGACGCTGCCTCATCCTTTCACTTTGATCAGTCTGCAACAGGATTCTACCGATGTGAGCATCCGCCACATTCGGCGCGAAACGGATCGTGATGGATGGCTGACGGAAGTCACCAAAGACCAATTAGGCCTTGAGATTGGCGGGTTACCCAGATCTACGGTCTTTAAGAGAGCTGTCGCAGATGACGCCGTCGTCGGCACATCATTGTGGATGACCGTCGAATCCCTACCCTCACAGGCGGGCCAATCCCTCCCAACCGAGCTTCTGGATGAATTTGAGTGGCAGTTTGGCTTCAAAATTCCTCGAGACGGCAAGGTGGATGCCAAGAATGAAGACGACAAAAAGGAATCTGTGCAACATGCCACTCCAAGTGAGCAAGGAGTTCCGAGGGAGTATGAGATCATTCAACAAGCTCGCGATATCATCAAGGCTCAAAAGCCCAACAACGGGCCCAACCCCAAGGCGGCTGCAGAAGCTTGGAACCTGGCCGACTCGGAAGTCTGGCGGTTCGTAAGAGCATACCGGTAAGTTTTGCCCTTGAAACTTTCGAAATAAAAGATCACAAGCTGATACTGCGTCATTGTACAGGGCTCGCAGCGTGGTTGAACGCAAGAAGTGGGAGGAAGACGAGAAGGACTTTGTTGGCGCGCAGGTAAAACATTAGGATGAGTCGGAGCCCTGACTGATATCCAATAATATATGCATCACAATAGATGTTTGTATGCTGTTTCTTTCCGTCCATGTATCTTGTTTTCATTCCTCTTTCAATTCGTGCATTGCCGGTGGCGTTAATCATTGTTTTGAGATACCTCCCCCGAATACTGCCGAGGGTTGCCGCCCATCGGACAATGGCGATCGCCGCCGGGGGAAAAGCAGCGGTGGGAAAGCGGGAGTTGTCAGTCATGGGAATCCCCTGCGATAACCGAGTGGGGAAATTCGCCCCTTCCCCGATAAGATCCCATGACCATTCCATACAACCTCATCGATTACTACACCTCCTACCATTAGTTCTGATGCCTTCTGAACGCTGAAGAACCCCTCCTTCCACTATCTATATCCCACCTGTCTTCTTAAGTCTCTCTTCCACCTTGGAACTCTCAACCGATTATCTACATGTCAGCGTGGATTTACCCCGCATCGACGCTGGTCTCGAGTGGCGGCCTCTCCACACTATAGAGTAATCGTCCCAAAGTTGGAATTGAACACAGCAACATGGCCCCTGGAATCCTCAGCTCGTCACCACCCGCAGTGCCGTCTAAGGCTGTTTCTTTGGCCCAGCTCACTGAAGAATGGGACGACACTATTCGGTTCTACCTCAACGGCACGAAAGTAATCCTCGACTCCATCAATCCCGAGACCACGTTATTGGAGTACCTCAGAGGAATCGGTTTGACAGGAACAAAGCTGGGTTGTGCTGAAGGAGGCTGTGGTGCTTGCACTGTCGTATGTTTTATCCCATGTTGTCAAGCCTGGTCAGTCGCTAATCTGATTCGGATCTGAAATAGGTGGTTTCCCATATCAACCCGACTACGAAGAAGCTGTATCATGCGTCGGTAAATGCTTGCCTTGCGCCACTCATCAGCGTGGACGGGAAGCATGTCGTTACTGTGGAGGGAATCGGGGATGTGAAGAACCCCCATGCGATTCAACAACGGCTCGCACTCGGTAATGGTAGCCAGTGTGGTTTTTGCACGCCGGGCATCGTGATGGTAGGATCCTCAAATACTATTTCTGCTGGACACAATCTGAACCACTGAGTATAGAGTCTCTACGCCCTCCTGCGCAACAACCCAGAACCATCTGAACATGACGTGGAAGAGGCATTTGATGGGAACTTGTGTCGTTGCACAGGGTATAGACCTATCTTGGATGCAGCCCAAAGCTTCTCTGCACCGAAAGGTTGCGGGATGTCTTCAGCAAACGGAGGGTCAGGGTGTTGCATGGAGAAGAAAGGTGGCTCGGGAGGCTGTTGCAAGCAAAACTCGGCCGACCCCATCAAGGACGACAACACACAGAAGTTCACCCCCCCTGAGTTCATTGATTACAGGCCAGACACTGAACTCATCTTCCCACCTTCTCTTCGGAAGCATCAATTTCGGGCTTTGGCTCTGGGAAACAAGAAGAAGAAGTGGTACCGACCAGTGACTTTGGAGCAGCTCTTGGAGATCAAGGCTGTGCACCCTGACGCTAAGATCATTGGCGGCAGTACGGAGACGCAAATTGAAGTCAAATTCAAAGCTATGAAATATAGTGCCTCCGTATATGTTGGCGACATCCAGGAACTGCGTCAATATACGCTGCGGGACAACTATCTGGAACTCGGGGCCAACGTGTCTTTGACCGACCTTGAGAGAGTTTGTGACGAAGCAATCGATCGATATGGGCCTGCGCGCGGACAGGCATTCAATGCCATCAAGAAGCAGCTCCTATATTTTGCCGGAAGACAGATTAGAAACGTTGCCTCTCCTGCGGGCAATTTGGCTACCGCTTCGCCAATCTCTGATCTCAACCCAGTGTTCGTCGCCACGAGGTCAACCCTTGTAGCGAAATCGCTTGGACAGACTATTGAGATACCAATGGATCAGTTCTTCAAAGGTTACCGAACTACAGCTCTCCCTCAAGATGCCATCATCGCTAGTTTGCGAATCCCAATTGCGGATAAGGAGGGCGAATACATAAGAGCTTATAAACAGTCCAAGCGGAAGGACGATGATATTGCCATTGTCAATGCAGCTCTACGCGTGTCTCTCTCGGAATCGCACATTGTCAAGAATGTGAACCTTGTCTTCGGTGGCCTCGCACCCATGACTGTGTCCGCACGAAACGCAGAGGCATTCTTGGTGGGCAAGAAATTCACAAGCCCCGCAACCCTTGAAGGTACTATGGCTGCCCTGGAACAGGACTTTGATTTGAAGTTTGGAGTTCCTGGTGGAATGGCGACTTACCGCAAGTCTCTTGCTCTGGGTTTCTTCTATCGATTTTACCACGACATCTTGTCTAAGATCGAAGTCAAGAATGCGGACATTGACGAGGATGTCATTGCAGAGATTGAACGGGCGATCTCTACTGGAGAAAAGGATCACGAGGCCTCTGCGGCGTATCAACAAAAGATTCTAGGAAGAGCCGGCCCGCATTTCTCCGCCCTGAAGCAAGCCACGGGGGAGGCTCAATATACCGATGACATGCCCACATATCAGAACGAATTGTATGGCTGCATGGTGCTGTCGACCAAGGCGCATGCCAAACTTCTCAATGTTGATCCTACCGATGCTCTGGATATCCCTGGGGTTATTGACTACGTGGACCACACGGATCTTCCAAATCCAGGAGCTAATTATTGGGGAGCACCAAACGCTGACGAGCTTTTCTTTGCTGTGGACGAGGTTACCACTGCTGGTCAGCCTATCGGTATGGTTCTGGCGACTTCGGCCAAGATCGCTGAGGAAGCTGCTCGGGTTGTCAAGGTGGAATACGAGGACCTGCCGGTCATTCTCTCGATTGAAGAGGCCATACAGGCAGAATCGTTCTTCGAACATTACCGTTACATCCAGTGCGGCGATGTCGAAAAGGCATTTGATGAAGCAGCTCACGTCTTCACTGGAGAATCGAAAATGGGCGGTCAGGAGCATTTTTACCTTGAGACGCAGGCGTGTGTCGTCATACCCAAGAACGAAGATGGCGAGATGGAGGTCTGGAGTGGCACGCAGAATCCTACAGAAACGTGAGTAATGCGCCCCCTTATACTCGACCTAGGACTGATAATGTTACAGGCAAACATATGTCGCTCAGGTTTCTGGTGTAGCAGCCAACAAGATTGTTTCCCGGGTAAAACGGCTCGGTGGTGGTTTTGGTGGGAAGGAAACTCGATCGGTTCAGCTGGCCGGTATCTGCGCGACAGCTGCGGCGAAGCTGAAGCGCCCAGTTCGGTGCATGCTTGATCGCGACGAAGACATTGTCACCTCAGGCCAGCGTCATCCCTTTTATTGTCGTTGGAAGGTCGCAGTGACCAAAGAGGGCAAATTGCTTGCACTTGACGCCGATGTCTATGCCAATGGCGGCCACACACAAGATCTCTCTGGCGCGGTTGTGGAGAGAAGTTTGTCACATATCGACGGTGTATACCGCTTTCCGAATGTCTACGTTCGTGGCCGCATCTGCAAGACGAACACTGTTTCCAATACGGCCTTCCGCGGGTTCGGCGGTCCGCAGGGAATGTTCTTTGCAGAGAGCATCATGGAAGAGGTTGCGGATTACTTGAACGTTCCTGTTGAAGAGTTTCGACTTCAAAACATGTACAAGCCCGGTGACAAGACGCACTATAACCAGGAACTCAAAGACTGGCATGTGCCGTTGATGTATAACCAGGTTTTGGAGGAGAGCTCTTATGCAGAACGTCGCAAGGCGGTGACTGAATACAACAAAAAACACAAATGGTCGAAACGCGGAATGGCCATCATCCCAACCAAGTTTGGTATCTCTTTCACGGCGCTATTTCTGAACCAAGCTGGCGCTCTGGTACACATCTACCACGACGGGAGTGTGCTTGTCGCCCATGGCGGAGTGGAGATGGGCCAGGGTCTGCACACGAAGATGACGATGATCGCCGCCGAAGCACTAGGTGTACCTCAATCCAATGTCTTCATCTCCGAGACCTCCACCAACACGGTGGCCAACACGTCCTCTACTGCTGCCTCCGCCAGCTCGGACCTGAACGGCTACGCTATCTTCAATGCATGCGAGCAGCTCAACGAGCGGCTTAAGCCTTACCGAGAGAACATGCCCGGAGCGACCATGAAAGAGCTCGCGCACGCCGCGTACTTTGACCGGGTCAATCTCTCCGCACAGGGTTACTACCGCACCCCGGACATCGGGTACGTCTGGGGCCAGAACACGGGCCAGATGTTCTTCTACTTCACGCAGGGTGTCACCGCCGCAGAGGTGCAGCTCGACACTTTGACGGGGGATTGGACCCCGCTCCGCGCCGATATCAAAATGGACGTCGGTCGCACCATCAACCCAGCCATCGACTACGGCCAGATCGAGGGCGCCTTCATCCAGGGCCAGGGCCTCTTCACGACTGAGGAGAGCTTGTGGCACCGCGCCTCGGGCCAGATCTTCACCAAGGGCCCCGGCAACTACAAGATCCCGGGCTTCCGTGACATTCCGCAGGTATTTAACGTTAGCCTGCTCAAGGGCGTCGAGTGGGAAAACTTGCGCACCATTCAGCGCTCCCGGGGTGTCGGCGAGCCCCCGCTGTTCATGGGCAGCGCCGTCTTCTTTGCTATCCGTGATGCGCTCAAGGCCGCCCGCCGCCAGTGGAATGTGCACGAGGTGCTGCGGTTGGAGAGCCCGGCTACCCCCGAGCGGATCCGGGTGAGCTGTGCGGATCCCATTATTGAGAGGGTGCGCGTTGTGCCGCAGGAGGGCGAGAAGAGCTTCTTTGTTGCCATCTAATCGGGGATGTGGGGTTGAAGTCTTGCATATATCATGAATCTTATGACTCGCGCATTTAGGTTAAATACCAAACCTACCTACTACATTCATCATACGAAGCAGAAACCCTTCGAGGTAAAGATAGATCAAATGTATCGGTATCGTAGCCACGCGTTCTACGGGTATATCATGCAAGGCTCAACCCAGAAGTAATAGTCAGAACAGCCGCGCTAGGGAAAAAAACACCAAACCGCCGAAGGAAATGCGAAGACACGAATCAACTAGCTTTACCCATAAACCAAGGGTAGGATAGGTAAGTAGAGAGACAAGGCGGGGAGAACTCAATTTTTCTCCATCCCATACTCCACATAGCTACTGCCCCTCAAATCCGACACTCCGTCCACACGCAATGCGTTCCGCTGTCCCGCAAACCCGACCTTCTCATCCGGATACATGCCCAGCCCTTCGGAGGAAGTGGTCGTAGTAGTGGTCGTCATGATCGTGGTACTGGGGCCCGCGCGCTCGCGCCCGGCCTGCGTGGCGACCTCGTACCGCGGGGCCGCGGCGCCATGATCACCATCATTAACATCATTCGCATAGCCGAAATGCCGCTCCTGCTGTTGCTGTCGGGGCAGACTTGTCAAGGGCACGTCGATGAAACCGGCATTCGGGCCGAGGCCAGGACTGGGCGAGGAGGGGTGAGGTCTAGAGGAGACGGGGGCGGGCCCGCCCTCGCCGCGGGTTTTGTCCTTCTTCGCGAAGAGGATCAGGGCGCGGATCACGCCGAACAGGGCGTTGATCACCCAGACTAGGAGGATAAAGGAGGCGATGATGGTTTCCAGCCGGATGCCCTTCTCGAGGGCGGTGATCATCTTGTTGACGACCTCGGTGATCTTGTTAGAGGTGTTGTCGCCGGCTTCGGCGAGGAAGCTGTCTGAGGGGTTGTTGGTGTCGTTGAGAGAAGAGGTGGCGCCGCGGGAGAAGGTGTCGTTTGGGAAAAGCGGAAAGTCGACGTGGGCGTGGTCGTGGACCCAGGTGAGGCCCTTCTGGACGCTGGCGACCTTCAGGCCGATGAGACAGTTGAAGACTTCCAGGAGGGGGTCGTACAGGATGGTGTCGCCGAAGGTGCCGTTGAGGACGTCGATGGTCTTGTCGACGAAGGTGTTGAGGGTGTCGTTCAGGGCGGTGGTGCTGGTGTTCACCCAGCCCAGAACGTTGGTGTTGATCTGCGAGTCGACGTGCAGGATCGCCGTGTTGGTGTTGTTGGCCCATTCCGCTGAGCTGTTGGCCAGCGCGTCGACCACTTTGTCAGCAAATTCGCCGACTTCCTGGGAGAGCTCTGGGACGGTGCGTTTGACGGCAGAGAGGAGCAGGTATTGGCACAGGCAGGAGAGGAGGCCGGCAAGGGCCAGACATAGCACGAACAGTGCCGCGGGCGTCGTCGCGTAGGCAATCGTCCACCGGACCAGGATCTGGGCCCGGCTGTTGCTGAACCGGCTGGCGGCTTTGATCCCCGCGGCCGCTGTGTAGGGACGCGACACGATATAGACCACGTCCATCGGGTCGTGGGCTTCCTTGCGCACCAGCTGCGAGCGTTCCTTCATGTGCCGCCAACGCCGGATCTCCTGCCATGCCATGGGGACGCAGGCCAGGATGGCGGCGATTACGAGGATGGCGATGAATATCTTTCGCGCTGTGAGAGCGACATCGGTGGCTCCCGTGAAGAAGGAGTTAATTCCGTCGTTGGAGTCGCAGAAGGTAAGTTTCTTCTTTGCCGGCACGGAGAGCGCCGAGGTGTTGAAGTTGTATTCACCGAGGGAGCCATTGATCAGTTTCTTGACCTCCTCAAACGGGAACCGAAGCACGTTCTCGGTAAAGTTGCTGACTTCGTCGAAGGTGGGAATCGAGCTATTCAGTTTGTCGAGACTCTCGTCGATGGACGATGGAAGGTGGGCGTTTTCGAGGCTGTTGATGGAGTCGGTGAGATTGAGAGACGGGACGCTCGTGCCGACTGCACTGAGGACGGTGTTGACTTTCTTGAGGAAGCCGTTGAGCGTGTCTTCAAACGTGTCGACAGTCTTGCCGATATCTTCGCCGACGGTCTTGATGGTCGAGTTGAGGAAATCGGCGGCGTCTTCCAGGACGCTGACTCCGATCTCGACCGCGCCTCGCACGACCAGCGTGAAGAGGCAAAGGTAGGTCTGATACATGACCTTGATGAAGAAGACAACCAACTCTTCCACGGCCGTTAGAGAGAGCATCAGCACACTCTCGAGCCCGTTGATCGCCGCATTGACTGTCTTTACCGCCAGCTCGTTGGTCCCTTGTGCTAGATAGTGCGGCATGGAGGCCATTGTGCTGCCCATAGTTTCCACAGATGTACATGCCGATAATGCTTCACTCCTGGCTTTTCCCATGTCACTCTGTATGCTCGATACGGCCATGAGAACTCGAACCAGAACCAAGAGCAGCAAGATGGTCCATCGGTTGAGCCATGACTGTGACAGACGGGCTCGCAGGCCAAGGTAAGGTGTGATGCCGTCTGGGTTTTGTGGTATGATCCGACCAGAGACTCCGTTAGGGTCATGGGCGCCGTAAGGTGGCAGGAGAGGGAATATGGTCCGAGCAGGTCCGAAAATTCCCATGCTGGTGATTGATTGATTGATGTTGTCAGGAAGGTCTGCGTGTCTGACTGCCGATGCAGAATATGGTTGGGTGATCCAACAAAGAAGTCTAGTATTTGTCAAAAAGAGGGAGAGAATAAGTAAGAACAGTGATGATATGATAATGCTGGTCCCGCAGCAAATTATCTCAAAAGCCGATAAGCAGGTCTATAATGCAATGTGTATCATGTCGGAATGAGTCGCTGAACAAAGGAAGATATGCTATCATATAGGAGACGAAGAGAATGTACCATCAATAGGAGAAAGCGATTAACACAAGAGAAAGCCCATCATTCAAGAGTACGCCAAAAACAATGGACACCAAGACAGGGGGAACACTCATCGTATTATATATAGGCCCTCTCCCGGAAAACGCCTGCAGGACAATCCACATTCATGGCGCTGGCGAAAGCGAGACAGACAAAGATAGAATCTAGTAGTTGTCTTGGGCCCCATCGGCGCGGCAAAGGAAACCTACCACTCAAATCAAACAGCAGCGGGCAAATCATAACAAAGCCGCAGGGGGCTCAACCAGGATAGGCAGCTGCTTTCATCACAATAAACATTTTTCATTTGTAGCTTGGTTTCATCTGGCGCAGAGATACTTGTCCCGTGCAGAGAGAGGAGGGCAAGATCGATGATCGGATGGGTTTCTGCAGCACGGCCGGCCGAAGATAGTAACGGACGGCGCTTAGCTCTTCAAACCCCGGCACGCGCTCTTGTCCAGTCATTGCGATGGATCCTGCAGAATGTCAACCCCCGGAGCCCCACGGGCGATCGGGACACTAAATTAGCCATAGTATTGCGGGTGTATTTGTTGTTGAACCCAGACGGCGCTTCCTGGTCTGTGGACTTGCTGGGTGCTGCCAACGAGAGAGTTGTCTATCATTTGAGTGGTTCAAATGGCTGTCAGATAAAGGTCTGTAGGCATCGACGAATACTCAGGTGATTGGGAGGTTGCCTTTTTGTCAAAAGGTGGTTGTTGAGCAGCTGAGGTGAGGTTCAATGGTTGGGCTCAACTTGCGACAGAAAGAGAGACAAGACTGCTGGCACGTGATGGCGGACTGTCTCTCTTTCTGACTTGCGGCGTTGACTCCCTTCTCGCTTCAGACTGCATCAGGGGTCTGTCTGGTCTCAGTAACTGACGGCCAGAGATGGGGTTATCAGAAGAGGATCCATGTCTGGCTGCTGGAATGGAACCCTTAATCATAGCGACACCTTCAACGACATATCCAAAGTGATAGTACTCTCAATATGGGAACTACCACACTGAACAGGGATCTTATGTTATGAGTATTGCTTAGTCAAACTGTACTCTGAACTGAGACATTTTCGTATATGAAAAGCCATTCAGATATCAAGCTTAAGGCAGAGAGCCTAGGCATATTTTAATTATTCTCTATGGAGGTGAAGAAGCGCAAACAGACAGTGGGAGATTGCACAACAGCCCCGTATAGAAGACCCGCATGGTGTTGCATTCATCAAAGAGCTCCTCACAGAAACACATCTGCAATTTTGACTCTTATTTCTCCCATATGCCCAAACATCACAGTTGAGGGCAAATCAACCCTTCGATCACAAATTATGTTGGAACTGTTATCACGGTGTGATTATCTGAGGTAGCCGTGCAGGTATACAAACACCATAACTCATAACTTCATCTACAGTTGGTAGACTAACACTCCCTGTGAGAACTCAATCCACGAAGAACAGATCATAGAGACAGAGACAGAGAACGCACGCCCAGGGATATACAAGCAGTGTTCACCCAATCACCGTCACCTGCTCTTCCTATCTCTTCCAAATGTGATATCAAGATGGCGGGGAGTCTTCAAGGCCACAAACGAGAAGCAGGCGAGGAGGCCTCGAGCTTCCTGGCCTCGCTTGACCATGCACTGGAAAGTCGAGCAGTGAGTTGGTTACAGGCAGTGGAGTCTCTGACCGGAAATCAAAACACCGAATCTCCAGGTCACGGGGACAGCGAGTCCACCGAAGGGACGAACATTCACAATAACAGTACCCAGCAAAGTGAGCACAACACCGGAGATTGTGACGGGAACAACACTGCCGGTGACAGCCGATCCTTGGGCTCTGAAAAGGACTGTGTTGGTAAGAACTTCCTCTCCCCATCCTTCATCCCACATCCACCCTTGACCTTCCCTGATGGTTAGCGAGATGGGCCGTCTTCACCCAGCAATTCTATTAGCCCCTGGGGAGCCAGCTGCAGACGATTCAGAAGATGATGTCTCAGTTGACCAGGTAACTCGCACTGAGGCAATCAGTTTGATCCGCGAGAGAACCGCTACTCGTTCATCTCACACCCCAAGCCCAGCATTGACGCAGTCCCCTTCTACACCCGAACCTGCATCCTCTACTAATCCTCCTTGTGTTGTTGAAGCTGTGGACGTTACTACTCCAGCCGAGCTGAGCCCTTCGCCAGCGACAAAAGATCAATCATCGAAGCAGCCACAGAGCTCATCTGTCCATTCGTCACCCGGAGGAGATCAAGCTTCTGAGAAGCTTTCGTGCGCGCCTGTTCCTTCATCAAACCCAGAAGACCAATCCCCTGCACAGCCACAAAGCTCACCTACCCCATCGTCATCTGAAAACAGAAGTGCTGGGAATAAGTCTTCTGAGAAGCTCTCGAGCGTGCCTGTTGCTTCACTGAACCCAAAAGACCAATCCCCTGAGCAGCCTAAGAGCTCACTTATCCCAACTTCAACTGAAAGCAAACCTGCTGAAGCTCAGCCTTCCGAGCAGCACTCGAGCGTGCCTATTCTTTTATCACACCCAGAAGATCAATCCTCTCAGCAGGCACAGGGCCCAACTCTCCCAACACCAGCCGAAGATAAACCTGCTGAGGATAAACCTTCTGCACGACCTTCGACCTCACCTCATCCCCTTTCGCCTCCAAAATGCCAATCCCCTGAGCAGCCAGAAAGCCTAGCTGCCACTTCACCAGCCAAAGACAAGCCTGCTGAGAATCATTTGGCACAGTCATCAAGCCAGTCTGAACCTCCTTCGACGCCCAAGAACCAGTCCTCTGAGCAGCCACAGATCTCACCTATCCCAGCACCAGTCGAAGGCAAGCCAGCCGAAGACAAGCCAGCTGAGGATCAAGCTTCTGCACAACCTTCAAGCCCACCCCAACCTCCATCCACCGCGGAAGACCAATCCCCCAGTGAGCCAGAGAAGCCAGCGGCCCCAAAGATGAATCCCGCGCAGGCGTCCAAGAAGAGCAAGAAGAAGAAGAAGGGCAAGAAGAAGAACCAAAGAAAGAGGGCGAGCGCAGCGGCAGCGGAGGCAAAAGCCACCACTGAATCCGCGAATCTCTCCACCAGCGGACAGAGTAAGACCCCAGACACCAAACCAGCGCCGGCCAAATCTGAGACAACTCATGTATCGACAAAGAAAGGAGGTGAGAGCTCGAGTAGCAGCAGTGGACACGAGGGGAAAGCCTTGCCTTCGGCATCGTCGTCGACGACAACTGCCAAAGTGTCTACCGCAAGCAACAGTAACAACAGCAAGCCAGACAGTAAGGTCGCTGGTGCCAAGAGCGCTGCTGATGCTGAAGCCGCGGATAGACAGGCGAAGCTCCTGGCGATCCAGGCGGCCATCGATAGACTGAATACCCAGGATATATCCCATTTTGATCCATTCAGAGGTCGGGGTCCATTCGGTACGTCTCAGCCTTCTTCCAACAGTTCCCTCTCGTATGCGAGAGCCTTGGCAGGGGGTACAGTGAAGGTCAGCGAACTTAGCGGGATACCTTCTGGTGCGAGCGAGTCTGCAAAAGCAGAGGCTGCAACTGAGAAAGGCCCAACCCAGACATCCGACGAGAAGCCAAGCGGTTGTCCACCGAGCCACGCCGAGCCAAGCACGCCCCAAAGCGCCATATCAAGCAGATCCAAACTCTCGCCCATCCAGGAGGCCACCGCCGAAGCGCACCAGCCGGACACCAAGCCCGCCACCGACGCGGAAGGGGATGCGCACAATCTGACCCCGAAGTCGACCAGCACGACATCCACGGCGTGGACGATCAGCCAGACACCGCAGACAGCCGTGACCTCGGAGCCATCGACCACGAAGACGACGGACACGCGCCCGAAGCACAGCAGCGGAAGCACCACCGGCGCCAGACTACCACCATCATCGTCGTCCTCCCATGCCCAGGTAACCAGCAGCCACGCGCACCCGTCGCCGCCCCCAAGCACCAGCAGCAGCAGCAGTGTCACCACCACCACTACAAGCCGTGCACAGCCCGCCGCATCAACCTCCACAACCCCCTCGCAATACCAGCAACAGATCTCCAACGCGCGCGGCGGGAGGCTCTCGACACAGAAACCGGGGGGCTTCTTCTGGCAGCTAGACAGCCACGGGTTCCCGTGCGCGAAGCGCGGCTGCTCGAAGCGCTGCAACTCGTGGGACGGCGTGACGGTCATCTGCCCCGGGTGCGGACCCTTCTCGGAGATCCGGTACTGTCGGCGCGAGCACCTGCTGCAGGACATCAAGGCACACTGGCCCACATGCGGCGAGCATGTCTTCGTGCACCCGTGCCGTGAGAGCACGATCCCGCGCGACGTGCGTGAAGGCCCGCCTATGATCCCGTGTCTGCACAATTACGATATGCCCGAGCGTCACCGTCAGGCCGTCCACCTCGCCATGAATGCGCGCCAGGGCGATTACTTCATCTTCTCCGACTGGGCGGACTACGTGCGCGCCGGGTTTCCCGAGAATATGACTGCCATACGCTGCTCGAACCGGATCGTGTATACCGTGCGTTTTGATGATGCTGAGGAGAAGGATCGCTTTCGCCGCGTGTTGGCTATTTGTTTGTTTGGTACGTATCTTACATCCCCTGTTGTCACGATGAGCTTCGAGAACCGGGATCCCACTAACATATATACTTTGTTGGCGCAACAGCAACCTTGGAGGTTCACGGTCTAGTGGACTACATGTACCGTCTTATCCGTGACAAGCTCCGTGCGGCGAACACGTCCAACTTGAAGCAGCTCGAGGCCGCCCTCCGGTACCAGGTCCATGCGGAGACGAGCGTGACCATCCAGCAGCACATCACCGGCGAGCGTCACGCGTGTGAGACCGATTGGGACGGCCGCAACCGCCGCAACTGCCCCGATGCCGTGTGTCGCGCCGAGTACCGTCGTCTGCTGGGTTCGTTGGGCGGAGGCGGTCTAAAGGAGACGGTGAGAAATCTGGAGTCGACTTACTGGATCCTGCGCGCGGCCCGCACGACTCATCCGACGGTTCACGATCCGCAGAAGCGCATGCTCGGCGAGGGATTTGAGGGGGTGGCGGACGAGGACAAGAGGGTGTATCGGCGGGGTGATGGATGGGATGGCGCCGGCACCGGTTTCATGGAGATCGAAGGAATCAATGAAGGCCCTGAAGAAGCATGATTTAACTTCTCAAGAGAGCTTTGCTCGAATCACAAGATCCAGATCTCTTTGTTTTCGACACTTTGATATGTGCATTTGTTGCTGGGTTGTTAGCCTTTTCCTTTTCTATGTTTGCGGAGTGTGGTCGTATGGTTTGGGTGGGAATTGGGAAAAGGTCTGAGCGAGAGCGTTCTTTTTCTCAATCAGTTCTCCAGCTAATTGGAGGCAAGATCATGTAACAACAAAGATAGCAAATTGTAAATCTAATCAATTTTCCCCAGCCCAGTCTCCGAGATGTGAAGTCTATATAATCGTAAAATCGTTGTTGAAACCATTCAATTATCAGCTAGATCATGTACAACCACATGATCGAAGATCTAGCCACCTCAATTACTGCTTGATATACTTCTTCAAGCCCCGAAGTCTCTCCTTGGCGGTCTCGAGCACATCGTCGTTCTTGCAAACGGCAAAACGGAGGTAATCCTCGGCAATGTGAGCATTGGCATCGGTGTAGAATTCAGTGGGAGGAATGGCGGCAACGCCAACCTCGTGGATGAGGAACCAGCAGAGCTTGAAGTCGCGAGGTCGGCTGGCCACATGGGGAGGGAATGGGTAATCTTCGGGCAACTTCACGGAGGCCATGTTTGCGAGGACAAAGTATCCACCCTCAGGATCCGAGTACTACAACCATCAGCTGGCAAATCCTTCAAATGGTGCCGAGTATCGTCGCTTACAGGAATATTGAGTTCGTCGAAGACCTGACAGAAACGCTCCATCTTCGCCTTCATCTCGGTCCTGCTCTGATCCCAGAAACCAACCTTGTCTGCCTGTTCGAAAGCCACTGCAGCGGCTTCTTGCAGTGGCGACACACTGCTGTAGCAGATGCGGGTGTGAGCGCCGGACACATACTTGATTAGGTGCTCGGGTCCGATGAGGTAGCCCACACGCCAACCGGTGGCATAAAAGGCCTTACCAGCCGAGCCGACGGTAAGCGTGCGCTCGTAAAGCTCCGGGGACAAAGTAGCAATGCGGGTGAACGGAACGTAGTAAAGACGGTCGTAGACTTCGTCCGACAGGATGATCAGGTTGTGTTTCACACACAGCTCACCAATGCGCTCGAGTTCGGCGCGTGAGAAGACTTTGCCGACAGGATTGTGACTGAGGAAATTCAGCTCAATTCAATTTATGTCAGCCAGAAAACGTTTACTTACGGCGAGTTCAGAACCTAGCAAGCCAGAGTTAGAGGGGTCTGATGCGCAGAACGGGGTAGGTCTCTTACAATCATCTTCGTCTTCGAGTTGATAGTATTCTCCAGCTCTTCAAAATCGATAGTCCACTCCGCGGCAGAGGAAGTGCGTGTAGCACCATCCTTGGGGGGATGGAGTGGGACATAGCGGATGGTACCACCGGGCATTTCAATGTTGCTGATGTATCTTGGGGCGGCGTCAGACACATAGGAGAAAGGCGGGAGACCGTAAAACTTACTGATCGAAGAATGGCTCGAAGACGATAACCTCGTCGCCAGGCTCGATAAAGCCCATGAAGGCGCTTAGCATACCTGCTTTCCCTTAGCTAGGATCATCCCTTTCCTTGCCCGAAGTGATCCCACCTTCATTTGCTCCTGTAGTGACGACGACCTCGGTGTCAGGGTTGAGAGTACGGCCGAAGGAGGGGGAGTAGGCATCTGCAAGGGCTTGCTTGAGACGAGGGCGTCCCTGGCAGAGTGTGAGTCCATGCGCGATGGTCTCCCGGTGAGATAATGTACCTTGGTCGGAGAATATTGGTTGCATTCAACGCGATCGAGAGCTTCCTTGGCCGCATCGAGAGCAAACTTGGGAGGGTTGTAGCCACTGGCGGAGGACGTTACAATTAGTTATCGCTCTCAGGTTTCAATGATCAAGTCACTCACAAGAACCCCTGGCCCATGTTCACGATGGGCTGAACGGGGGAAGCGGCTGCGGCCTCATTGACAATGGACCTGCGCGCCAGTCAGCGATCAACTCCCCGGCAACGCAGGAACACCAGATGCCTCATACCAGACATCTTGCTTCTGGCCGGCGACCCTCTTGGCCGGGCGGAACGGGTCAGGACGAGCCGCAGTGGCCGACATTGATCGTGTGGAAGCTGGAAGGCGGGGGGGAGCGGAGGGGAAGGAAGACGTGCGCAGGGATAATCTGGACGAGGCCTGGACCTGAGCGAGAATAGTGGTGGACAGGATGTGTGGCCCACGGTACATAGAAGGCAAGCTTTAAGTAGAGGACTGTCAAGAGCGGAGAGAAATGGAAAGAGAGAAAGAGAGAGACAGAGTCCGGGGATGGGAAAGCGATGGTGGGGAAAGCAAGTCAAGCTAGAAACCTTCCGCTTTGGGTCGAACCGGAGGTTATTGCGTGCTTGGCCTTGGCAAGCATTGATCGCTCCGATAAGGAGTCCAGATAAATCTTGATCTATAGCAACCGATCAAGATCCTGGGGATTATTTGCCCTGCTTCCAATTCAATAATTGCGTGGTGGTGAGCATTGGCGGGCTGTTGCACAAAAGATAACCTCAGGCAACCAGGCCTCACTTATTTATCTAGACATGCTTAGTCAGCAGAGGCCTCCTATCGCCGCCGACGCGTGGGGAACGCGTTAAGCATCTTTTGAATGGCTGCAGGTCAATTCTCCGTAATCAATGGTTAGGTAGCTCTTACTAGTCTTCTCTATCCCAGATAGCTGGTCTATCCGATAGTACGCTGTCAATTCGGCTTAGCTCAGTACTAATCTCCATGTCCTGACCTGATTGTCCGTCAAAATGGTGTTCTGTCCCATTTGCAGCAAGTCCGTTTCAAGCTTAAAGATCAACGATCACATCGATTCCGACTGTCAGAACTTTATCGACGAGCCAACCTCAAGCGCAGAGACCCCCACTTCACAAAAAGCTGCAGTCCCGAGCTTCTTTCAGCCGGCTTCTGCGCGAAAGGCTTCTGCTCAAACCAATGGAACACGGGATATCGCTACGGATTCCTCCCCGCTCCGCAATGTCAACGGCAAGCGGACGGCTACGCCAGCGGCCGAGGTCCCTGCAGAGACACCAAGAAGTGATGACCTACCGTCGGAGCCGAAGCGTCCAAAGATGAACGCTTTCCAGAAGGCAGCACCGTTGCCGGAGCGGATGCGTCCGCGAACTCTGGACGAGGTCTGCGGCCAGGAACTCGTAGGCCCGACGGGAGTGCTGCGGGGGCTGATCGAGCAGGATCGCGTGCCCAGTATGGTCCTCTGGGGTGGTCCGGGCACAGGCAAGACCACCATTGCGCGAGTTATCGCAACCATGGTGGGCAGTCGATTCGTGGAGATCAACAGCACAAGCAGCGGGGTTGCCGAATGCAAGAAGATCTTCGCGGAGGCCAAAAGTGAGCTTGGTCTGACGGGTCGAAAGACCATCATTTTTTGCGACGAGATTCATCGATTCTCTAAGTCACAACAGGACGTCTTCCTGGGGCCAGTGGAAAGTGGACAAGTGACGCTCATCGGTGCGACCACCGAAAACCCCTCTTTCAAAGTACAGAGCGCATTGCTATCCCGATGTCGCACTTTTACCCTGTCCAAGCTCACGGATGAGGATATCCGAGCGATCCTCCAGCGAGCACTCCGAGTTGAAGGACCCAGCTACTCGCCTACTGAGTTGGTGGACGATGAATTAATCGACTACCTGGCACGATTCGCCGATGGGGATGCGCGCACATCGCTCAACCTTCTCGAGCTCGCCATGGATCTATCCAAGCGTCCGGGTATCACCAAGGATGAGATCAAGCGCTCCCTAACCAAGACGCTGGTCTATGACCGTGCGGGCGACCAGCATTACGATACTATCTCAGCGTTCCACAAAGCCATTCGAGGAAGCGATCCGGATGCGGCGCTTTACTATCTCGCGCGGATGATTCAGTCGGGCGAAGACCCTCTGTACATCGCGCGGCGTTTGATTGTGGTGGCATCGGAGGACATTGGTTTGGCCGACAACAGCATGCTCACCCTGGCTATCTCCACACATTCGGCCGTGGAGAAGATCGGACTTCCGGAGGCGCGGATTAACCTGGCGCATGCGGCAGTGGCAATGGCGCTATCGAAGAAGAGTACGCGTTCATACCGCGGACTCAATAATGCCTTTGCGGCCCTGGCAGAACCGGGCGTTGCTGGCCTGCCCGTCCCGATCCATTTGCGCAATGCCCCAACACGGTTGATGAAGGAGCTGGGGTATGGGAAAGAGTACAAGTACAATCCTAGTTATGTGGATGGTGAAGTGGTGCAGGACTACCTCCCGGAGCCGATCCAGGGACGGAAGTTCTTGGAAGACCTCGACTTGGGGACTAAGGTTGATCCAGACCTGATGAAGTGAAGATCCTTCGAAGGCAAGCAGCATTGGACATACTCGTTGGCTGCCGAGAAGCCTCAGTTGGATATTTGCAAGACTGGGCACTTTCGTTGCATAGAAGCTATCAGGAGATGAGTTTCGAAGATAGAACGAGGAATTGCATACGACTTCATGACAGTAAGAACACCACACCACCGATAGATCCAAGTTGCATGAACAGACCCAACAATTGAATCATAAGAACAGTAATCTTCATGATGTGAAGTAAATAAAGTAGAGTAGAGTAACTAAATGTAAAGTGTTTGTTCCCGTCTTGGCTGCGCGTCTCCAACGCCCGCGCGTTTTCTCCACCTCCGACTCCCATTCATTCTTGCGGCCTGAATCTTCTCCTGAACGGCATGCCCCTCGAAGAACAAGGACGACCATCACCACCGATATACCTTACATCGTGATCCGCGAAGGGTAGAACGGGTAATGAGGCTCGACCACCTCACCTGAAACAAGGCCCGAGCCGAGCAAACCAAACCACACCACATCCTCTCCTCCGTCCTCCTCAATCTCCGCCTCGACCCCCAAACAAAGCACCCGAACAACGACGCCTACCATGGCCTCGTCCAACCAACCGTTCGGCTCGCGCTCCTACGCCGCAGGCAAGCTACCAGACCGATCCCTGAACGCAAACACAATGCCTTTCAGCGCGTCGTCGTTCTCGCGGCACCGCGGGCTAGCCGGCGGCCTCCAAAGTGGCGCAGGGGAGTTCAGCAGCGAGGCCAACAAAAGCAGCCAGCAAGTGCTCGCAGGAGCAGGAGGAGCAGGAGCAGGAGTAGCGCCACCACCACCGATGCACTCGCAAGCCCACGGGCCAAGCTCCTCACAGGAATCGAACCCGTTAAGCCGATTAACAGAGGAACAACGCGAAGAGATCAATGAAGCCGTACGCTGTCTTCCCCCCCAAAAAACCAACCCTCCAAACCAACTCCCAAACCAACCTCCAAACTAACCACCCCCCGGCACCGGGACCTACTGAACAGTTCACACTCTTCGACCTCGACCGCGACCGCCACCTAGACTACCACGAGCTCCGCGTCGCGTTCCGGGCGCTGGGATTCTCGCTCCCGAAACAAGAACTAATCTCCCTACTGACGACGTACGGCGTGCCGCGGCCCCAAGTGCAACAGCAGCAGACCCAGCAACAACAACAAACCCCCCAACAGCAGCAACAACAGTCGCAGATCCTGCAGAAGTCCGGCGGGAACAGTAACAACCCGCAACATCCGTCCAACCTCCTCATGCCGCTGTCGTCGTTCCAGGCCGTCACGGCGCTCAAGATCCTGGAGCGGGATCCGCGGGACGAGATCCTGCGCGCGTTTGAGCTGTTCGACGAAGGTGGGAAGGGGTATATCGATCTGGAGGATCTGCGGCGCGTGGCGCGCGAGCTGGGCGAGACGGGACTCGAGGAGGAGGAGCTGCGCGCTATGATTGAGGAGTTTGATCTTGAGGGTGTTGGTGGTGTTACGAAGGAGGCGTTTGTCAGTATTTGTTGGCAGTGAACACTTCTCCCCCGAGAGAGAGTGTGTGTGTTTAAGTGATGCCAGAGGAAGGGTTCAGTGGAACAGAAGCGTAAGGCTTCGAGGTGTCCGGGGCTTTGGGTTTTTGTTTACTTTATTCCATTGGGTCATGCTTACTTGCTTGCTTGTTGGGATATATCCGCATTTACCTACTAGGCCCGGGTAGTATTCTACCTACTTATCATGCGGTTGTTGTGGGCCAGGAACAACTTGGCTAGTTGATGTTGTACTTTTTTTGAGTGTCGTTTTCGTGTTTGTGTACATTTTGGGCATTGGGCGGGCGCCAATTTGACTCTACTGTTCTCTCTAGTGATATCTTGTATTGTTCTGTTGCGGTTTCTTCTTCCCCATTTGGCTACTTGTCTGAAAGATATCCTTCCACTAAACCGCAGAACTGTATGAACTCAACAGCGCTTACATAGTATACTAGTATGTGTGGAAACAATTCCCTAGCTTCGGCTGTATCACTCAGAGAAACTATCATATTTATTCACGAGAACCCAGCCACAAGATGCTGGAAGCAAGCCCGGTCTGGCTAGACATAAGTGTCCAAATATAATACCCAGAACATAAAATGCACCCCCAGTAAATACAACATGGAAATAGCCCCAGACCCAAGCAGCAGACAACGCGAACCCTAGCCAGATATTAGAAAGCAACAGATAGAATGCAAAACGTCAAATATATGAGTCTACAATGCTCGCAACGCCGCGTTTGTGTGAATGCACGTTCTACGTGCATGGCAGAAAAAGAGAATTAAATCATGCATAACGCCCTTGAGGCGGATATTGCGGGAATTGCGGTCCTCTGGCCGCATACGGAGGTGGAGGCTCGGACAAGCCCTGATATCCTTGAGCCGGAACATTGTTGGGCCACTGGTTCATCGGCGGCGGAGGCATGGGGCCATTCCAGGGCCCATAGGGGGGTCGAGGTGCAGGTCGAGCCATCGGGCGCGGCCGACGACAGCGGCGGAGCAGGCACGAAACCAGGGCGAGAAGCAACAAACCTCCCACCGCACAGGCGACACCGATCACTATAGCTTTGTGGTCGTTGATCCAAGATTTCACGTTTTGTCCCTTGCAGTCGCCGTTGCTGCAATAGCCGCCACTGCCACATGGGGTACCGTCTAGGAAATTTTGGTTGAAGCCCAAGCATTGACCCAGCAAAGAGGAGCTGCAAATCAACTCACACGAGGAGCTATATGCCGAGCAAGCGTACGTATTGTTCTCATGCAAGGCACTGCCCATGACGCTGCGACATTGATAATCGCGGCTGGTGCATTGGCCACTGGCACACTTCAGGCCGGATCCGTCACTACCACAATTTGTGCCATCATCTTTGTACGAGTCGGTTGGACACGAGCTGGAGTTGCCGCTGCATGTCTCGGCAACATCACATTCGCTCCGGCTGGCCCGGCAGACCGTTCCGGCGGAGGCATAGTGGCATGACGAGCAGCAGCTGTCGTTCGAATCATCACATACAGATCCGGACGTATATTTGCAAGTCTTAGGATTGCAGCACTTGTTATCGCCGCAGCCGGCCTCACCACCACAGTCACAGTCCTCGCCTTCCTCGACGATGCCGTTGCCGCACTGGCTGCCTGTATAGGTGGTGACGCCGCGGTTGGCCGAGAGACAGCTCGACTTGACGCTGTTACGACCGATGGCCGAGCAGATATTCCCAACCGTGCACTGTGAGAACGAGGTAATATCAGTCCCCGTCGTTGGGTTCATGATATACTTGCCGCTCGCATCACATGTAGAAGCGGTCAAGGGGCAGCATTTTGAGGAGGACTCGAGATTCTGCTGGCAGGTATCAGGATCGCAGTCATGCACCGCACCAAAGGTATGGCCGGATTCGTGGGCGAAAATCTGCCAACCACCGCCAGAGGAGCGAACGACCACATTAGCACCACTGACTTTGTTTTCGCCGCTGGTTGTCACGTCCGCATTGCACAGCTGGCCCAGCCAGGAGACACCCACTTCGCTGCCGGTCGGACAGTCGCTAAACAGTGTCCAGTATGCGTTGGAGTCACTGTGCTCGCCGCGCCACTCCGAAAATTTGTTCAAACGGGCGGTGAGGTTGCCGCTCGAACAGGGCATGTTCCATGCAGTCGCTGCGGGCGGCTTCTCGGGGCACGAACTCTCGGAAATGGTCAGATTCCGCAGGCCGATTGAGATGTTAAAGGCCTTTTCGTAGACACTAGAAGCGCTGTTGACGGTACTGATGACCCACTGTTTGGCCGCAGTGTCATTCTTGAAAGAGCCTGTGAATGAACAGTCCGTAGCTACACCAATCAATGCTACTTGCTTCGTATTGGGACAACCCGAGGTATCGCCGATTGTCGACGCCAGATTCACGGTCCCTGAGTTACCGGAAACACTTCCGGTATCCGATTGCCGCTTGCTCAGTCCAAATAAAGAGTTCACCGACATTGCCCCCCAGCGAGTTGTATCCGACTGGTATGAGGAGAGAACAGGGTGATCAGGGTTCATGTTAAAGTCCAATTGATCGGCTTGGCATGATGTTGATCCCAATACCGACCGCTTCAGCTCCGAGTGAACACGATACATGTCCGAGTCGCGATAGACGACCATATAGTCGCCTTTGGTATCGACAATATCGGCATCCTGATCGCGTTTCTTCTGCAGGTAGGTCGACTTCAGTTCAACGTGGTGGTTGTCCCCATGCACACTGAATACTCCTTCGAACAAGGGCTGTTCACCGTCATGCTTGATATAAACCCGAGCGGATCCGACGGGATCCCACATGCCCTGTCCTCGTCCGATTAGACTCCTTCCCTTGAATACTTTGTGGTCATGTCGTGAAATGGGCTCCGCTCGCCGAACATTCCCATCAGCGTCGAGGTATTGTACGTATGCATCATCCGCCAGGATGTCATGATTAGGTTCGAGTTCGAGCTTAACGCGCTGGTTTTTGTCACGAAGGTTAAATGTGATGTCAAAATGCGACAGATGGTCAACACGATTTGAGGGTGTTCTGATCGTCGGGTGGTCTAGTGTTGAGACGTGTTGAATAGCATTGGGCGATTGCGATCGAGCTGTATGATCCGGATCAGATAGGCACAATATGCAGGGAGAAATCGAAACCAACCTTGAACGTCCCAGACAAAAAGGGATATTGCGCTTGCAATGAGCGGGAGGGAGTATGAGAAGACCCTCATGGCCGCCAACCACTGGACTTCACGGCCAGCAGAACGAGGGGGGGTTTGATATGTGAACGAGTGAGTGGTGGCAACAACAATAACAGGTGACAGCAGCGGTAAGGAGAAGAAATCAGATCTACGAGTAATTTCCCCGGTGTCTTTCTAAGCAGAACATCAGGCAGCCGCCAAGGGTGAGACAGTGGTTTGGAAGATCACTGCGACCCGTTATTAAAGATGGGGGGGCGGGTTTCAAATCCACTCCTGTATCTATGCTGGAGAAGAGATCGGATCGATAACTGGCACAATTTGTGCTTGCAGATGCAGAATTGCAAAGAGCTGTGTGCAGCCGGTGCACAACGAGCGAGCGGATGAGCGTCTGATATGGTCTGTTACAAGACCCTGTGGCGGGAGAAAGACGATCAGGCTCTTTCTCTGACCCTGTCTCTCTGTCTCTCTCTCTCGCTTGGCCCGGAGAGGCGCAGCAGCCTTGGCGGGAGGTGGGAAGAAGGAGAAAAGAAGGAGACGAACAACAACAACAACAACAGCAACAACAGCAACAATTAAACGAATGAGATATATAACAGATCACGGTGGATGGGATCGGATGAAGACTCCCCCCAAGTTAGATCCCGCACTGGTAACAGACCTGACGAAGGTGAAATGGGCGACAAATAAACAGAGAAGAGAGGATGAGGAATGAAAGAATGAAAGCGGAAAAGGACAATGCCAAGCCCCGCCCCCTTCTTTACTTCTCGGTCTTAAGCGCCGGGATTCTCTCATAGGTTATCGTTCCATGACCCCATGACACGGACTTCCCTCGCCTACTCTTCTTGGCTGAGCTTCCCTTTTCCAATCACTTCCGATGGTAATGTACATCCATGTACTATTCAAGTGGTACTGAGGGAACGCTCGGACGACGTCTACCCTGAACGCCGGCCACCGCATCTGATGACGGCATCGTCTCCATGGCAATGATGTAGTGTACTTTCTCAACTTCCAACCGCAATTCATTTCAATCAGGAGCTGAATGGTATAATACATGCGCCTCTCGCGCAAAATAAGGAATCGAGGCTCCGCAGATGTCGCACGCTATACAAGACATGCCTTCCTCCCCATCACTATCTTGCCAACCAGCATCTTCCAAAACATAATCTACAATGTTTCCCAAAATCCTAGTTCCAGGAGGACTGACCGCCAAATGAGAGTCGGTACTGGTTTCCTTTGTTGCTGAGATAGGTGTTTTCATAACTCGTGCAGAAAAGAACTCCTTAGTCCCAGTTGCCTGGGTCTGGAACATTTTCCCAATGTCCCGTCCACTGCTGTCTTTCCGATCTCCAGCTCCTTCAATCATGTTCGTTACCGCGACATTCATCAATTGAAGGTCCCAGCCAGACTTCTCTGGGTGCAGCCTGCGAAACATGGACAGGATCGAATCGTGCACCAATCGTTCCGCTATGGCATCGATGCTCTCGTCCATGCTAAACACATACGCAGGGAGCGGCTCGGATCGCGAGGCCCGATTGACCGGCCGCCTACCCTCAGTGCCTGAAGGCCGAAGCCGAGTAGACAGTCGCAGGGTTCGAGGGCGAGCCCGCCATCGAGTCGGAAACTTCTCTTGGGCTCCCATGGTGCTGACGGGTTGATCGGACCCTGTGCCTATATCAAGATCCTCCTCGATCAGGTCAGTACGCATGCGGCGGAGGAGACTAGCCGTCAGAGTGATCAATTTCCTCCGAACAATCTCTAAGGTATCTAAACGCCCGTACGTGTCTTCGATACTGATCTGTGTTGGTATATCGCCCGCCGGGACGACCGGTGTAGGGTCAACACCGTTCAGTAGGCCCCAAACTCGGGCACCGATATCCCTTGGTGCACCTGGCCCGCCTAAAATACGGTCCAGCAAGGCTGGTCCCATACCAGAACACAGCCGCACATCTCGAACGGTCTTTGGACCACTGAGATCTTTGGCCAGATCAGATGTGGGAGGAGAGCCGACTTGCGCGTCAGCCTTGGTGAGATAAGCGATGATTTTCCGTGTTAGTTTGGAGCCTAGCCCGGGAATCTTTCGAATCTCGTGTGCATCCAGGAAGGCTGCCACATTACTCTCGAAAGCGCCCGGGTGTGCCAAATATGGCGGAAGAAGGATAGTCTGGTTGTTAGGTTTATGTGTGTTGCCTACCAACTTGGCCAGCAATTTAGAGGTAGAAATCCCCACTGTGGCCGTGTATCCCATGTGGAACTCGAGTTGGCCTCGCAAAAAGCCTGCCAAGTGCGAGGCCACGAGCAGCCGCGTGTAGAGCCCCGAAACGTCCCCGTTCGAGCTTATTTTTACATCCGTGGGATTCAGATCCGCAGGGTAGGTGGACCCGTGCACTTGGGTGGCATTGTAAGTGAAACCCACTGTGGGTTCCTGGCGGTCGAGATGAAAGAATGAGTGCTCCAGATCATGGCGGTTGAGCAGATCAACGTTGTAATCGATCATCTCGGTCACATCAAGAAACAACTACTCGTATGACCAGGTCAGAGAGCCACCTCGGCCGAGACGTAGTACTAAAGATAGTGCATGTACCTGCGGAGTCGGGGTTCACGCACCTCATCGAAACCGAGTCGTTCAACCTTGGCTCCCCAGACGAACGATCGCAGATAGAGAAAAAGCCGTTTGGAAGCATCGCGAAAGCGGGTCAGATCCTCGCCTAGAACAATGACGACGTCGGGACAGACCTGCTTGGCTTCCTTGATCAGTTGGAGCTTGCGCAGCCCCCTCCGTCGTGCCTCATAGTTACATGTTACCACGATCTGCTTCTGCTGCACTGCCAACGGCAGCGTCTTCAGCACTGGCTGCTCTACCTCGAAGACGGCGGCATAGAAGCAGTCATAGTCCTGCCATGCGAATTCAGGTTAGCCGGCCGGCTAAGTCTACTTCTTGTGGAGTCAAACGATTTTGAGACACGGGCATAAGTTGTACTAACAAAGTGTAGGATGACTCGTTGATCGTTTCTGGAGGGAGAGGGAGCTTTGGCCATGGACTAGATAAACACTGTAGTTCACGTCTGCAAGAACAGTTGACAATACTATATTGGTGGCAGGAAGCCAAGTCGACCACCAATGTGCTTGATTGATGTCTAGTATGCTGCGGTCTTCCAGTAGCGTGGTGAAGGAGGCTCCATCCGTTTGAGGTGCCAGTCTAAAAAGCTCCTAATCCTAAGAATAAATCAGACTGAAAGGAAGGACGAGATGGAAGCAAATGATATCACCGTAGACAATGGCAATGGACACAAAGAAAGCCTGACAGTTACAGATTTACAGTAAGTGATGGTCTGATTGGGTGGAGACGGAGGACGAGGAGGAGGCTGGGGGTTTGTGTGGCTGGCACTGCACTCGAGGTGGCTGGTGCGCGGGCAGTGGACCCTGACTGACTCAGCCCAGTAACAATTCTTCCCCGTGACAGCAGCACTAATCCTCTTTCAGTCTCCCCCACAGGTCTCAGTTCCACTAGTCCGCTTTCAGAATTCCCCGCTTAGCTAAGGTCATCGCAGACTGTGAGTGGGCAAGGCTGCAGTGCAGATGCGAAGAACTTGACTGAACAATCACTTGGCTTCCTTGTCCATTCATCCTCCCTCCACAATCTTCTCTCTTGCTCCAAGGATGTCAAGCCAAATGTGTGTCATCGAATCTAGTTGCAAAGTACTAAGTAATAAAAATCAGAGTCAGATTCATTCTTTTGGGTCTATCTCCACCCTCAAAGTGAACCCGCCGCGTGTCGTCCGCAGTCCGCACGCCCGACTGGACCCGGAACGGACTGGATGGGCCTGTGGGAAAACCGGGCCTGGCGTCAAATAGCTGGGTCCATGGCGTGGGATTGACTATATTTAGACTCTTCGATGGCACGATACCGCTCTGTGATAGGCAGACGCTGCTTCGCCGGCTCTGCTCTGGCTGCGTCTGGACTGTGATTAATTTCCACAGCGGCTAATCCTTTGCCATCATCGCCCTCTTCGGTCTCACTCGGTTTCCGGTTCAGTAAAAGGCTTTCTTCTCTCGACTGTTCAGTTGTCAGTCTCCCCATGATGCACAACAACAGAGGAAACTCTGGGTGATGAAGCTCATGCCTGTTGTCGGGAGTGGGATCATCAACAACTGTCCATTGAACTGTCTATCTATCAAGGGACGACGATTATGGGGGATCAGCATTATCATGACGAGCACGTCCTGCTTGATCGACGGTGTTCTTAAAATAGGGCCCGTCCAAGCGCCCACCACGTCCACAATCCACAGTCCACAGTCCAGTCACTCCAGTGTACAGTCTGAGTCCAGTCTACAGTCCAGTCCACAGTTCACTTCTTGATTGCTTTTCCTTCTCGTCGCTCCAGATCCGCCACTGCCTTTTCGACAGTGACATTCCTGCAAAATTAAGATGGGTCTGATGTCGACTACAGGTTACTATTTTTCTCTTTTGCTACTCATGTGTTAACGCTAAATACAAGAAATGGCAACGCAAAAATAATAATAATAATAATAAATAATGCTACCCTGCATATAGTCATCCCCACTAGAAGTCGGTCTGCAGCGCCGCTCATTCATCGTTCTTCTCTCTTGCGGGGCGACTTCGCACTCCATTCTCTCCTCTTTCTCTTTCCCTCTTCTTCTCCCTCATTTCCTTCTTTTGACCAGCCTTTCCCTCTTCTTCAACCTCATTTTACATGACCCAAAGTCTTCTACCTCCCTTCTCGTGCATATTCTGCTACTACTTCGCGCAGAGGGGCTCTTGTCGACCATGCTCGCAACCTCCATGACCCCGCAACAGCCTTCCACCAACATGGCCTGCAGTTTGGCCCCAACGACTAACAACCGGCCGACCATCACTTCCCGACCGAAACTCACCCTTCAGACATCATCCCTGCCTTTGACCTTTGGCACTTCCTCCACGGGCCTGTCCCTCTCGCTGGTGGCCGGCTCGACTGCGTCGCCCACCGTCCGCAACACGTTCAAGAATGCCTACGATGTGACTGCGCCCGTCTCGGCCACTTCCTCCCCCTCTTCGAAATATCCTAGTCATCGGTTCAGCAAGCCTTCCTCGCCTTACACCACTCACAACCCATATCAACTACCTATGGGAGTGCGCAGCATCCTGCGCAACTCGCCGCTAGAGCCAAGCTGCCGTCGCAGATCCACCCCTGCGGCTACCAACGGGTCGAACGGCGCTCCAGCCACGCGCCGGGTGTTCTTTCCGGCCAAAAAGCAAGTCAGCTACCGCTATCCGCTCGAAGAGGAAATTCAGAACGTTCATTACACTGCGCGCCACTCAGATCTTCATGAAATGAACGAAGAGCACCCGAAACAAAGCACATCGAGCGAGGAGTCCGATTCCGCCTCAAGCAACTCATCATCATCATCATCCGACACAAACTCCTCCGATGAGGAGCCCCAGACCAGGTCCAAGCAAGACCTACTGTCGCCTGTGGAACGAAAGAAGAGAAAGCATCAAAAAGCCGAGCGGCAGGTCCGCGCGGTCGCATTGCGAGAGAAACTGGAGGACATGACACCGCAGACGCCGGTCCGCAAACGTGCCAAGCGGCGTTGCGAATGGCGCTGGACCTTGGGCCCGTTGCAGAACCGGGACGGTCTATTACCTCCGGTCCAGGAAGAGCGGACAACATCATCGGGATCTGACTCAAGTTCCTCCGACCGTGAATCCCAAACGTCCTCCGCGGGTTCATCCCCACTGCTCAGTGCCACCCCCTCGCACGCCCAATCCAGTCCCAGCTCGTCTGTCGCATTTGAGCTGGAAACGAACGAGTCCATGAAGAACACGACGCACGAAACGCAACGCCCGAATCCCGAATTCTCACGATAACCCCATGGTGATGAACCACGACTACTACCTTGATGACTTGCGCTTTCATTCACGACTCATGCATATAGACGGCAGACGAACCTATTCATCTCATTTGCATCAGGCCTCTCCAAACAGAGGCTATTTTTTTTTTCTTATTCAACCATGGAAGATGGAGATCATTGTCTCACCTTGGATTGTCTGAGACATTCCAGGCGTAGCGGCGATGATGTCATCCTCAGACCGCCATCTTTTATGACTTTCTATATATATAATTTTCTATCTATTTCTAATACATACGAGCATCCACACATCCACACATGCATGCATGCCATGCCATGCCATGCCTATGCAGAATTATTGAACCACTCTACGTTCCCTTTTCCTCCTTTTATTTCCTACAAAGATGACAGCAGGCTTCCGCACATTCAGGATCCGATCGAAAGACGGACCTTTCCTCAGATATTAATATAGCAACACAAGTGGAGCCAACACATCTATCCCGTCGCAACGACGATCTCCAATAAATATAGATTCATGCATGTGGCCCTGCACGTCTTTACTGTACACTGGACACCACCAAATGACGCTATCCTGCAGGCAGCACCATTTTTTTTTTTTTTTTTTTTTCAAACTGACCCTTACTGCGGCTCAACTGACTAAATATATATTCCCATGCGGAATTAATAAACATAAGAATACGACGATACGATCTGACACCACCACTCCATGTGCGCGCAAATAGAAAGAGAAGAAAAAAAAAATTCGCCGCCAGGAGGTCAAAGCAGCCCGCATGGTGCAGTGGCATAGTTTATCCGCCCGATTAGGTAAAATAGCCTCGTATCGATGACTGTGTATGATCGCTTCTGGAAGTGTTCTACTGTCTTCTCTCTGGAGAGACAAGACACGACACTTTTCTTTGTGATTGAGTTCTGCGATTTCTTGCACGTTCTTTTGCATATATTGTGCTCGGATTCTGCTTTCGTCTGCCGGTCTCGCGACGGGCTCTGGCTCTATAAATAGATCCAAGTAAATGGGTTCGGCTGGGTATTTGTGCACTAGATCCGTAGGGAGTGTATCTATCGATACATCTGTGAGAATACTAGGGTCGTCTTTCCACTGCGTCGTCGGCAATAGTAGCGAAGAGAAGAGATGATCTAAGCTATTCGGCATTTTAAGTTGAATGGATAATAGTTAACGAAGTCCGTACCACACTTTCATCTCGGGAAACAGTCGGTGCTCGATCCTCTGTCAGAGAGACCTGGCAAGGTTCAATAGTGTATCTTCCCTGATTATGACACGGTGAGAACAGTGGCAGGTTTGATGTTGACGTCGAGGTGTGGGAAGAGGTAGCGTTGGTGGTGCTGTAAGGGATGAGTGACTACTACTGACCAAGATATTTATAGAATCGGCGGGGGTTTTTTGGAGGGTCTGATATACACCGTACCGTGTGCACTTTGGGTGCTGGGTGCTAGGTATAATGTACATGGGGCTATTTGTGGAAGAGTAGGGTTTTCCCTCAACTGCTGCAGCGCGAGATAGCATTGTCGTGATTTGCAAACTCACACATCATGATCGGCTTACGGGCAACCAGACTTAGAATCATAGGCTCATTCATTAGTATACTCATAACTCCAGACTGTAGTGTACACAATTGAATCGAACTAGAAGAACCCGAAAAGAACGAGAACAAATCATGGTAGGTATTTCAAACTCAAGTCCCCGTCTCGGTCTCGATATCTGGCTCCCGACCCGACAGATTCCCTGTGAATTTCATCTTCATCTTACGGAGCGCGTACTTGGTCTCGTCGCGCGCGAACACCGCGTTCCGCACAGGGCGCCACTGCATCATCCCCCGCTGCTGGCGTTGTTCGCTGCGCTGTTCGGCCTTCTTTTGGACCTCGTTGGTGCTGGAGCGGCTGGGTCCGCTGCTGGCGCTGGCAGTTGTAGTGGTGTTGGTGCCTGTCTCCGAGGAGCGGCGGAGGTTGCTGTTGACGTCGAAGTCGTCGTTGTCAGCTAGGGTTCGCTGCTGCTGAGGTTGCAAGGAGTTGTTGATCTCGTGATCGTGATCGTCATCGTCGTCGGATTCACTAGACGAGGAGCTGTCTGGGTGGGCTTTTGTTTTCTCCTCCGCGTGCATGGTACCGTAGGCTGTGGCCTCGGTACGTGGGGGGTTGTACGGGTTATGCGGCGGAGATTCTCTGCCCGGTTCTGCGACTTGCTTGCCGTGCTCGTCAAGATAGGCGCTGGGGTCGTGGCCGAAGGCGCCGCTCCAGTCGTAGCCTTGCTTGTCGAGCCAGCGTTTGCGTTCGCGTGGGTCAGCGTGCTTGAGAATGTCGCGGCCGTCGATGAGTGATTTCTCGTGCAGCTCTTCGACTTCCTCTGGGACGGAAGCAGACATGTGCTGGGAGCGCACGCCCTCCGCGACGCAGGCCTCCCAGGTCTCGAAGGTCTCGCGCGAGTTGCTGTCTACTACGAACCGTTCGTGCGAGTCGTCGATGCCTGGGCTGAAGCGGCCGCTGAAGCGGAGGCGGCCTATCTCGCGAAGGTCTTCCAGCCCGGGGGACTTCTTTGACTCCCAGTTTTGCTCCGTGATGTAGTTCTGCGTGAGGCGTTTGCCGTTCTTGGTGTGCCAGATGGGAATGTCAATCTCCGTGGTTTCGTTGTCAACCAGGTGCTGGAGCCAGAAGACGGCATATGCGGACGGGTGATGTTTCTTGTGGGTATGGAATTCGAAGACGACAGGGGAACGATAGCGGTGCTTGATGGGGAGCCGGAGGCTACGGCGATATGTCTCGTCTGAAAGGTCGAAGGTGAGGTTATTGTTCTCGTCGACGGAGCAGACGTGCTTGGTGATCTTGCCGCTGCTGCCACCGGTGCGGAGCTTGATCTTGCAGCGTTGATTGAAGTTCACAGTGGTGAGTTTCTCGGAGACAAACTCAAAGGTGCCAACGTCCCAGCCTAACATGTTGGGTGGGAGGCGAGTCTCAATGGACCGGAACAGAATAGAGATGCGGATGCGTCCGAATCCAATTCCACCATCAAGAGGATACCATCTGGTGACTTGGGAGCTGGTTTGCAAGAGGTCTGAGATCTTCAGAGGCACGACCCCCAGAATTGGGTCGTGCTGGCGGTAACGCTGGTCGCGCACTCCGATAGTCACAAAGGCGGATCGCCAGTCACGAATGAATCGTTCCGTTCCGGCGTTGAAGATGGGCTTGGAGCTCAAGGCCTTGGCGCGTGTGCGGTAGATCTGATTGTTTCTTAGCTTTGTGTTATAGAGTAGATCTGTGCAAAACTTACCAGCTCGTCGTTGAGGATAATCTTGCAGTAACTTGTGGGAAGATGGCTGCCTTCTTCCTCTGTGTTGTCGCCATACGGTTTGGCTGGCTCGTATTCGCGTCCCTTGCGGTTTCCTTCACTACCCTTGACATTGTTGATCTCCAGGTTGACAATCTGATGGATCACGATGCTAAGAATACCGCTGGGCCACAAGGGATCTGGAGGCGTATGGGTGATGGCATCCTCCTCCTCGTTGCTAATGACACCCTTCTCGTCTTGGAACTCCTGGACGTCTCTAAATTGCTCGGGTAGATCTTTCTTCTTGCCATCGGTTCGCAACTCTGCCCTGAGCTTCGGTTTGCCAAAGAAGCCCACTTCCCAATGCAGCTCTCCTGGCATCTCGCTGCCTTCGTTGAGGCCTTGTAGTTTTGACACCTGCGCATACATCTTGCCAGGGTGCTGGATCATCTTCCGAATAGGTAACTCTACCTTGCCGACGATGTCATCAGCAGTCGTGCGGTCCGAGTCCCAGAGTTCGACGCTCAGGGCTTCATCCGCCTTGATGAGCTCGGGTGTGACTAGCAAGGCGGCGGTTTCCTCCCAAACCGGGTTCAAGTCGTCTGTAATCACACGAGTACAGTACATGGGCTTTCCATACTTGGAGAACGACAGGTTGATATACGGATCGCTGCCCCCACCGTAGCTGCCGCGCCGATCCTGTTTGCTAAGGCCAATTGCACGGTGGATACGCACCCACATCACGCCCAGAGCCTGGGTTTCCTTGACGATATCGTCGCCCTTGAGCAACATGCTAAGGTCCATTGTCATGGACTTGGGTGCTGCAAACAAACCAGCCGCTGTGGCAATGGCATAGTTGACGAAGTTTGAGATTAAGGGCAGATTGAGGATGTTAACTCCCCCTTTGACCATAGGCATACATCCGGCCTTGACGTGGGGAAGGCCAACTAGACTGAACGTCACGTCCTTCACAAAAGGAGCCTCGGGCATCATCTGGAACCTTGCTCGCACGGTGCCTACCAATTCCGTTAATTCTACAAAGACAGGAAATGGTACTCCAAAAAGGCCTTTGGCGCCCAGATAGAACACAATCTGCATATGCATGTTGCGCGCCTTGGACGAAGTTGTTTGACCGCTCGGTTTTGCGTGGTAGGCAAAGGATGCTTCAATATTGTAATAATCGCCGCCTTCCTCGGCAGCCGCAGCCTCCTGAGGGTCCTTGTTCTTGACGTTCTCTTCGTGAACCTGATCCTTGAGCTGCTTCACATGGTCATCTGGCAATGCGCGCAGGCTCAGAATCCGGATAGGGTTGTTTCCCTGGTCAATTTCCGCGATGCGCACGTTTTCAACCACACCCGGCGCCGAAGCTTGCATGATGTCTTCGATGGTGTCGGCGACGGGAGATAACATCTCAGGATTGATCAGGCCCCAAAACACACCAAGAAACGAATTCATCCATTCGACGGATTCCGGAAGTAGGTTGGCGGTGGCCTGGGTAACTCAAATCAGTATGAACTCTATCTGTTGCTGAAGCTTGGAGGTTCTCGTACCATTTGACCCCGGATCTGTTCACTGCTCCATTCCATTTCCCGGCCACTGCGGATGACTTCTTGCACCCACAGCCAAACACCACTTGCAATACAGAAACTGAGCGGAAGCAGGCCCCATAGCGATCCATTGAACATGCGGCCCAGGAAGACAATTCCCGCAACTATACCCAAGCATAGACCAATTCCTCGTCTTTCCAATTGATCAAACATCGGCTTATAGGTGACTGTCGGGGTGGGGTGGAATAGAACATTTGTTTTCTCGCCGTGGATAGGGACATCTGAAGTGGTGCCCTCTGCGATCGGATCGGGCGGTGCCGTAATGTCCTGATTCTCCTTATATTGCGAAAGGCTTTGGTCTGGCGCTGTTTTGACCTCCTGCATCCTCATCAGTATCTGCTTCATCCATTGCGATGTGATCGTAACTCACCGTTGGTTTTCCAAGATTGGCATTGGGGACTACCAACTGTACCGATCGTTAGCGAGAACATTTGCTGCCCTTGCCGATACACAAGGACGACATACCCTGGGGTCTTTCACAGCATCCATCGAGTCTTCATCCAAGTCTTCCACCTCAATTTCCTTGCCCGTAGTGGGATCGGTTACCATGCGCGTCTTGCCGGTGGTCTCCCGAGGCTTATGAGGCATCTCCTGGTTCTGGGCCTGTTGCTCCCGCTTTCTGGCCGCCAGCGTCTCTTCATGGGCCTTTCGCTCCTGCTTGTCATGCTCCAGACGATCCATGAAGTGGCTGATGGTTGGAACAGGATTGCCACCGCTCCAATGCTCGCCCATTCTATGGGTTTTGGGAGATTCTCTCCCACCTGTAGCCTGTGCCATTGTCGCGTGCCTTCCTTCTTCGCTCGTGTATGGGTATGGTGTGAGCTCGCGGGTCAATCGGGGAATGTAGACAAGATGAGGGAGGAATTGTTTCGAGCTTTCATCCCCTAGCTTGGACAAGCTAGGACCTCCGGAATCTCTGGTTCAGAAGTAAAATCAGTCTGACAATACAATCTTGAAAGAAAACGAAGTAAAATCAACGAAGCAAGCAGTCAGCAGTCTTGGGAGGTGAAGTCACCTTCGAGCTGCACTACGTCATAGTGGCGAGGAGCAGCCAAGCCGATCAGCCAATGATTGCAAGACGCGTCCGACATATGCTGGATGTTTGGGGAACAGGCTAGCCCGGCCTTACTGTCCACCTTCCTAGAGATCCAGATCAATCTCCAGTCACTGCGTTGGTGATGATCGACAGATCTCTAACTTGGTTGTTGTTTACTTGGATTCTCTTCCTTCCGTTATGTTTCTGGGCGGAAAGCTTGACTTGGCGCGCGCGGATAGCCTCCGGCCGAGTGGGAGAGAGAGGCATTGACGGGCAGTTTGGGTGAGGGTCATCTTCCTACGTGATTGAGAGCGCACTCTGCATCTCATACACTCACCTGGTGCGATAAGGTGTATAGAGCGTAGAGGGATGGCAGGAACGACCGGGATGCCTCAGCTCGTGCATTGTTCAGACGAGATGATGTCACCTCCCGCTTGCTGTGTCCCTGTGCTGACATCGGTTCAGCATCATTTCCACCTTACTTGAGTCGGCTTCCCTCTGAGTGCACGGCTCGGGTCGCTTGACTGTAGTGTCCAGGTCTGAGCATCGCTCTCAACGGTCAACGGGTGGGTGCATGCTGACCTCGATATGGACAACGGATGGGAATCGACTAGTTCGCAACACCGAATTCTACCTAAGGCATGGCATTTGCTTTAGTCAAGCCCTTGGTTAACTAATTACTGTCGACGGTAACCAGAGAGTCGATGGTGCTATTGCATTGCATTCCAGAACAAGTAGTAAAAGATACTATGCACGTGCTGTCCGATTGGCCATGGTTACAGATCTTTCTGGTTCCATAATTCGAACGGCATATTTCGATGTCAACTCAATCCCCGATCTCGTAGCGCCAGCTGTAGGCTATTCCCGTATTGTTTTGGCTGAGGTACAGTACATGCTCTGGTCGAGACCGGGAAAGGCAGGCGAAGACGGAGTGACGCCGGCGGTTGAGTGAGTTGACCGCCCGCCAATGAGCCTGTCGCTTCTGCGGCGCCGACGTGACCTCTCGGCATCGTCGTCACGACCTTAAACCTCGTCCGACAGCCATCTGGCGATTTCAACTCGTCCTCCATCCTACAGTCTAGCTCAGATCATTTATCCTTACGACTGTACACGAATTGAGACGCTACGACGCACTCTCTACCAACCCAACGGGTAACTACTGTTAAGAGGAACAGCAACCGCTCAGCCATCACCCACAGACACAACACCTGCCATTTGCCGTGTTTCAGCGACTCTCAATATGTCCTCTCCAGCCGAAGAATCCCCGGCTCAGCGAGCAGCGCGTCTCCGTCGTGAGCGCCGCGAAGCGAAGATCAAGGAAGGAGGTGCAGCTCGTCTCGACAAGATCACCAGTTTGAGTGGACGAACCCCTGCCAGCCGTATGTAGCTATCCATGAACACCACCCACCTTTCCCCACAGGTCTATACAGAGCAAACGACTAACCCTCATCAGTTCACGAAGAGACCTCCTCACCATCGCCCAGCCCGCAGCCCGAATCCCGGCCACAACAGCCAGCACCACCAGCACCAGCACCACCAGCGTTTCCGACCACAGCACCAGCACCAACCCCAGTCCAACCCCAGACCAACCCACCAACTTTCCCCGACCGATCCCAACCGGAACCCGAACTCGACCCCGAAACCCTCCAAGCCCAACAGGAACTCTTCCGCGCCCTCCTCCGCCAGCCGGCCCCTTCCCCTAACCCACAACAACGACAGCTCCCCGACAGCGCCGCCGCCCCCAACCCGGCGGGCGACTTACTCGGTCTCGACGCCCGAGACCCGACCCTCAAGATCCTCAACTCCCTCATGTCCTCCAGTGCCGGCGGCGGCGGCAGCGGCAACCCCCTCGAGAACATCAACCTCGCAGACCTGGGCCTCGGCGACGGGAAAGAGTCCTCCACGGATCTCCTGACCAACCTCGGTCTGCCCCCGTTCCTGGCCAACCTGATCGGCGACGCCATGCGCCAGAAGACCGACGCCGAGAAGCGCGAGATCATGGTCTGGAAGATCGTGCACCTGGTCTTTGCCATTGTCGCGGGGATGTACCTGCTCTTCGTGCTGGGGTCGTCCGTGAGCGTCTACGGACGGGCGCCGCCGGCGCCGGCGACGGCGCGGGATCCGTTCACGGTGTTCATGACGGGGGAGGTGGTGCTGAGTGGAGCCCGGGCGTTGTTGCGGTCGAGGGGGAAGGGGTTTGGCTTGGGGTTGGGGGTGCAGTTAGTGCGCGATGTTATCCGGGATGGCAGCCTGATGGTGTTTTTGTTTGGGATGGCGACGTGGTGGCTTGGGGACAGATTGGTCTAAACTACGGGGACTTCTGTCTGGAGCGATGGGGCTTTCGGGCAAAGTAGGCTGAGATGGTTGTAAATTGTCCGCATTCCTATACATGTTTTATTAAATCATGATTTATGTCTGTTTATTATCTTAGGCCTGCATAGCAACTGCCGCACACTCGTGACTATCACAGGACAAGGAATGGCACACCGAGGTAGCTTCAAACCAGTCTTGCAAATGCTACGTGGTGGCTAGTCTACTCTCGCTGCTCGCCCTAGACGAAGTCTCCCAGACTAGCCGGATGAATAGTGGCCACGGATTCCCACCCCGGTGTAATAACCCGGTTGTAATACAACCGTTCTGCGCTGGACTCCAACGGTCCACACCACCCCCAGCCTATCTGCCCGTCTAACCCAGCTACATAGACCACATCCTGCCCCCTTGCCCTCTTCCCGCATGCGCAAATCAAACGCATATTGATCCCTCGGCCGGAACCTGAATTTGTACCGTACTTATTTCTTACATCCCTGCAACCCAGCTAGTGAGAGCACGCACTCACCAGGTACTAATAAACCCCCGGCACAGACTGTAAACAGTCAATATACACGCAGGTACTAGAGAGGCCCGACTATCTACCTAGTCTAGCCTTCCCCACCCGCAGGAGTTTTAAGCCGTCAATAGAAGGCGCATATTACTCTGTCGCCCCTCGAACTAAACTAGACTCCTCAATCCAGAATGAGCCGGCGCGCTGTATATTGGGAAATGGAGATAGATACCCAAACAAGCAAGATCGGCTCACAGGCTGGTGTGCGCATCCGATAACGACCCGGTTGGTTAGAATGCCAGTGCCACTCGATGGAGGGGGTGGAACGATTTGGTTGAGACGGTTTAGTGTTGTCTTGGTGCCTGCGACTGCGCCAGCCGGACACTGGGATCTGCTGAACTAGTCTAGACTAGGTGACAAGGTCAAGAGATGGAAACGGATGGTGGAGGCGCGCTGCGGAGCCAACGCTATACTTGTAGGTGTTATATCTGGTGCTAGCTTTTATATGGGTTTCGAAAAACGCTTATTAGGGTCGGGGTCTTAAGTTCTTAATATCCCGGTTTGGAAATTGGAGGGGAAACTAAGGTTTTGGACGTGGCCTGGTGGCAGACAGGCTTGATTATCAGTTCTGTCAAATTGTCAAGCAATTGTGGGAGTCCATGCTAAAGGGAAGGGGGTGGCAATCACTCCCATCCGGCGCTGCTCTCAATGCTCCTTTCTAGTTTAAGAGTGCACAGAGTACAGACTGATTGAACTGCTTTCATGTCTCGGTAGGCACTTCGGGTCACGCACTGGTTACTCACTGGACACGCACCAACTGCTTCTCGGGCGGGTTCAGTGAAGTAGACCGGGGCGACCATAGAGGCTTGCATAGCTCGCTCTTTGAAGGCCTAATGTCGTAGTGTCTTGGGGAGTCTTGACTAGCCAGTAAGCATAGCATAGCGATAGCCCCTCTGCGTAGGCTCGAGGGGATGCAGTACCTAAGCCATCATATTCGAAAGACCAAACAAACCTGCATTGACCCTTGCACCTACTGACCTACCTGCCCGTGCAGATGCGCGAGTGTTCGAAATGATGTGTATATAACGAGAATTCTCTGCATTGAGGGTGGAAGAGCCAGGGGAGTACATGGTATCCCGGGCCCGGGTATCCATGATCCATTTTTGTATACAGCTTCATGGTTAAGGTAAAGAGATCCCGGGCCCCGCCCGGCCTGGCGGGAGCCTTGCCTATGAGAATTTTAGCCGTGGCAGCCTTAAGCTGAGCCATAGCAACACTTCTCCAGGGTCACGGGTACAAACAACTATTACCTTGAGAATCCGAAGTCCGCGTCAAGCTTCTTATACACGCTCAATCAATCCAGATAGTCATCCGTCTTTTTGACCATATCCTCACCCTTTCTTGATCTGCGAGGCAAGGCAATCTCCCAGGAGCCGCTTTTCAGAAGTGGAGGCTCAGCAGTAGTCCTGCTTAAAGATGGGGTTGCGATCGGGAGTCCATTACGATACATTTGGAGCACGGATTACGAGTTCCAAATGAACCTCGAAAGCTTGAGACGCGAGCAAGACGTCCATCGTCGCTTGCAAAGCGTTGAAGACGACCGTACTGAACGGATAGTCCGCTGCGTCGGGTACTCAACTGAAGCTTAGTACACACCTAGCTTACATGGCCAATGGCGATCTCCGGGCGTATCTTGCTAAATCCCGGCCGTCCCATGGGCTTCAATTCAAGAGGCTTTCGAGAGATATCTCGCACACTTGACTATATTCATGACCGACGGGTGCTTGTCGCAGACATTGCCAGTCGGAACTTTCTTTTGAACTCAGATCTATCTCTCAAGATTTGCGATTTTTCGAAGGCGTCGCTTCTTCCATTGGACTCCGACATGGAGGCTGCGGACGATCATGGGCACAATATCCAAATTGACATTGACCTGCTTAGAGCCGTGATCTATGAAGTCGTAACCGGCAACAAGTGTGAGATCGACCTCTTCAAGGATAGCTCTCCAACCGACGGCTGAGCACATTTGCCGGAGAGAAAATATCTTCCAAGTACTCAGGGTATGTGGCTAGGCCAGATCATTGAAGGCTGCTGGAATGGGGAGTTCCGCAGTGCCCACTGTCTGTCGGAAGCATTGAAATTCGTCCATCTGCGCTGCCCTTCTCCAATGGCTCACTCGCACAGTCTCAACTTCCTGGATTATGTCAAGGTGTCCATCAAAGAACGGTCGGCTACGACTATTGTGAGTGCTTTAGGCTTGACGATTGTTATTCTGATTGTCGGAGGGAGAGGGTTTCTGAAGCTTCGGGACTTCTATCAGTCCTCATAGATCTCTTCGGTGTTTTCCTTGGATTCGATTCACTTTCATACCTGCCTTCACATCTTACATACTCTGATGCAGTCTGTATGTTCTCGGCTTAGTAATAATACCTGCGCTAGAATCATCTGAGTTGAAGATTCTTTCTTTGTGACGGGTGACTTTGAGAATGAGCGCTGAGGTTGTGGGAAACTCGTCCGGGTGATTGCTCAAGTGCGCACGCACCTGGGCCGCTCACTCCACGATTAGATCAGTGAGCAAGCAGCGGCGGCACGTCAGGCCGAATCCGGAAAGAGAAGGCGCCCGCCACGCCCGGTGCGGTCCGGCAGAAATGTTCAGTAATGCTGCTGTTTGTATTCGTTCTTGTCGTTGGTGGTGATGGTATGTCCTAGTTCTGACTGTTTTTCCCCCGTCGACCATTGACAGATACTTTGAGTAGCTGAGAGTGCTGATTCATTGTGGTACTGTGACACCCGCTGGACCCCAGTGGAGTGGGTAGGAGGAGACGACGAAGTAGCATAAACTGTGGGTAATCTAGCGGCCGCCGGAGCCATTGTAAGGCCAAACCCATTCATGCTCATCCGCAACCGGCCTAGAACACAGCGTCGATGTCGATGAGCAAAGACGCAGCCGAAGGATCCGTGATTAGTTGTCGAAAGAAGGAAAGAAGAAGAAGAAAAGAAGGATCTATTTTATGATGATCAACGGCCGCTGGCCAAGCATGAGCTGAGCGCGGGTTGAGGAAGTGAAGTTGATGGCTAGTGAGTGTTGATCAGGAGAGCCGGAAGCAGAACAGCAAGAGTGACCGACCTCAGAGTCGCATTCCTAATTCGCACTGCGGTTCCTGGAAATCACCCTTCACTGCCAAACAGAGTCGTCCGGTCATACTATGATTAGAACCCCCATTCTGGAAGAGAAGCAAGGCCCCGGTTATTCGGTTGAGAAATCTCCTGTTCTCCGCCCGAAGGTACCTTGACAGTATCCCAGGGCCACGGAGACAAGGAGCGCCCCATAAAATAGCCGAACCGAAAGGCAATGGCCGCGATCGACCCGAGAATGTTATCTATGGTGTGGCAGAAATCAACGTGATCGACAAGTGAAATCAGTGCGCCTGAAGGCCATTGTTATGATTATCGGGCACTGTCCAAGGGAACCACGGTGAACTGCCTCGGCAAGTGGACAGAGTTGTTGGCATGGTTCCTCTCCCCGCAAGAAGCTCTCTGTGTGACATGCTATACAGATTATGCTGGGATCGGCCAGCCTCAAAGCGCACGTGTAATGAACGGACATGTGCCTTACATCCTCCCGCTCAATCCGTCGACCCTTTACAGTCAATAGAGTTAGACTTACGCCGATTATCTACTTAGTTGTATCTGCCTCGTGCTTATTCGGATTATCCGGGGCGGTAGCATTTCCTAATTAGTCTGATGATACCCCAGGCAAAGCTCCTTGTCTGCAAACAGAGATCTCGGAGGATGTCACCAAACGCTACCGGTGGGCGCAGCGGCGGTCCCCAACAAACTAAAAGACGCTCCAGTAAACTTGGGAAACTTCAGTAAGGTTTTTGAGTTTCGAATCCCCCGCACGGCACAAACGAGCCATGTTAGTCATTTGCGAATCACCCTCCAATCGCGGCCGCGGTGGCGGTTCTTGTGATGTTACCTCCCCGCGCTTTTTCTCGCTGACGGGCTGTCTCTGGTTCTTGTGCTGCTCAAATGGGCGTTGGGATTGCTCATGCCCTTCGTGTTCCGGGGGATTGGACTAGTTATAGTGGAGGGAATGGGACCCTGGAAGGAAGCGAGCATCCAGAATCCATCACCATTGGACAAGAGTTCATACTACCCGCGTGGTCTGCAGCCGACTACAGTAAGAAAAGCAGCTAGTGGGAAAGAATAGATTGAGATGGAAGCGGCGCAATCGACTAGTCTATGCATCTCTGAGCATGGGATTGCGACTTGAGTCCTGGACTCCTGACAGTCAGATCGTCGCTTGCCTTTCCCCGGAGCAACGGAAACCAGAGGCTGTCAAGCCCCGCATGGCCGAGCCCAACCTTTCTCTGGCGGCGTGACCAGACTAGCCAGGCTATTCCCTAGTGTCCAAAGCGAGTCAGACCTAAGGAGAACTCATTTTCTAATTTGAATTAGGAAATCTGATTGAAGTTGGGATTCAATTGGGGGTGGACATGGGCGGGAAAAGACTGTGCCTGTTCAGGGCTTGCTTATCAGGGGCCCGCATTGGTGTGTTTGTTGGAGGAGCCTGTTCTAGGGTATCAGATGCCGGGGTGTAGTACAGTCAGTAGTACACACAAGACATAGTAGAAGTTCTCCATTGAAGAGGGAGGGGTATAGAACCCTATGGTTGAAGGAACAGGATAATTCATGATGCACGAGGTCAATGGCATCACCAATGGCAGGAGGACCGTCGGGTAGGAGGAAAGGAACTCGGGTCTTGCTCAGAGCTCATGTTTGGGGTCAGCAACCACCACTTACTACTAGGTATCAGTTCCATGGACCAGATTGACTTTACGGGGACGGATGGAGGGACGGAGGGGGAGGAAAGGAGGGAAAAGAGGGAATAGGGAAAGGGAAAGAGGAAAGAGGGAAACCGAACAATTACACCGGAGTGACAGTACGGTAACTCTGTTTGTCTTCCTCTCTTGCTCTCTCTCCACTCTGTGGGCGCGACACCGGGGGAGCGGGACTGACTCTCTCAACAATAATCATTAAAATAATACTACCATCAAAAAAAGCACTTGAACGGACACTCTTAAATATCGACGCCTCAATCCCTCTTCCCCAGTAGCTTTTCTTCTTTTTTTTCTCCTTTTCTCTTTTAATTACTACTATTCAACTTTCTTCTTCTTCTTCTTCTTCCTCCTTCCTTCCCTCTCCTCTCTTCTCTTGTGAATTCCCTCGTAACGAAACTAACTCCCCTCTTCCACCCTCACTCCCCCTCCCTTCCTCCTTCAACCCACTACCGACCAACCAGTGCTGGTGCATATCAGTGAGTCGCCCGCGCAATCTCCGTCTCACGTGCTTGAGTCGGTCCCCTTCAGTATTGCGCCGGAGACTGCAGTGACTGACTCTGTCCGTTTTCAACTCTCCACAGAAAGCCCAGCTTCACTCTGCCCGAATTTCCCAGTTGAACTTCCGTTGGGACACACATAACCAATCATAATCATGGCGGACGGCAGTATCATGCCTCCCAAGCCTGCCGTGGTAAGAAAAGCCCGCGCCTTACTTAGGGCCGAGAAATCTCCGGGTCTCCATTCCGCTAATTCCTCTACCATTGGGTGTGCAGGTGCTTGAGGCCCACGATGTTGATACTTTCCATGTTCCCCAAGCTTTCCACGAGAAACACCCCTCCGGTCCCCACTTGAAAGATCTCGACGAATACAAGAAGCTCTATGAGGAGTCGATCCGCAGCCCCAACACTTTCTGGGCTCGCATGGCCCGCGAGCTCCTCACCTTCGAGAGAGATTTCCAGACCGTCCACACCGGTTCTCTAGAGAACGGTGACAGTGCCTGGTTCGTCGAGGGTCGCCTCAATGCCTCCTTCAACTGTGTCGATCGCCATGCCATCAAGAACCCTAACAAGGTTGCCATTATCTACGAAGCCGATGAGCCCAGTGAGGGCCGTACCATCACCTATGGCGAATTGCTGCGGGAAGTCTCCCGGGTCGCCTGGGTCCTGAAGCAGCAGGGCGTCAAGAAGGGTGACACGGTCGCCATTTATCTCCCCATGATCCCCGAAGCTCTCATTGCCTTCCTCGCCTGTGCTCGTATCGGTGCCGTTCATTCCGTTGTTTTCGCCGGTTTCTCCTCCGACTCCCTGCGGGATCGTGTCCTTGACGCCGGTTCTAAGGTCGTCATCACTACCGATGAGGGCAAGCGCGGAGGCAAGGTCATCGGTACTAAGCGCATTGTCGATGAGGCGCTGAAGCAGTGCCCCGATGTGACCGGCGTTCTGGTTTACAAGCGCACCGGTGCTGAGGTCCCCTGGACCAAGGGCCGGGACGTCTGGTGGCATGAGGAGGTGGAGAAGTACCCTAACTACTTTGCTCCCGAGTCCGTGAGCTCCGAGGACCCCCTTTTCTTGCTGTATACCTCCGGCTCCACTGGCAAGCCCAAGGGTGTCATGCACACGACTGCTGGTTACCTGCTTGGCGCGGCCATGACGGGCAAATATGTCTTCGACATCCATGATGACGACCGTTACTTCTGCGGCGGGGACGTTGGTTGGATTACTGGCCACACGTACGTTGTGTACGCGCCTCTGTTGCTGGGTTGCTCGACTGTCGTCTTCGAGAGTACTCCGGCCTACCCCAACTTCTCCCGTTACTGGGATGTGATTGAGAAGCACAAGGTCACCCAATTCTATGTGGCCCCGACCGCCCTGCGCCTGCTGAAGCGTGCTGGTGATGAGCACATTCACCACAAGATGGCCCACCTGCGTATCTTGGGATCCGTCGGGGAGCCTATCGCCGCCGAGGTCTGGAAGTGGTACTTTGAGGTTGTTGGCAAGGAGGAAGCCCATATCTGTGATGTATGTGAATAACTCGATCTAAGGTTTGAGGGTACCTTCGCTAATATGTGTCGATGTGACAGACTTACTGGCAAACCGAAACCGGTTCGAACGTGATCACTCCTTTGGGTGGCATTACGCCGACCAAGCCGGGTAGCGCGTCGCTTCCCTTCTTTGGTATTGAGCCCGCCATCATCGACCCTGTTTCTGGAGAGGAGATTTCGGGCAATGATGTCGAGGGTGTCCTTGCTTTCAAGCAGCCCTGGCCCAGCATGGCTCGGACCGTGTGGGGTGCCCACAAGCGCTACATGGATACCTACTTGAATGTCTACAAGGGCTACTACGTGAGTACCTGCCATTCCTGAGTTTTTGCATCTTGCTTGACAGCTTGGCTGACTTGTGCTTGACCAGTTCACGGGAGATGGTGCTGGTCGTGACCACGACGGTTACTACTGGATCCGGGGTCGTGTGGATGATGTTGTCAATGTCTCTGGACACCGTTTGTCTACTGCCGAAATCGAGGCTGCCTTGCTCGAGCACCGTAAGTTATTCAAGTCCCGATCAATGACAGACACTAACTCTTGCATAGACATGGTGGCCGAAGCTGCTGTTGTCGGTATTGCCGACGAGCTGACTGGCCAAGCCGTCAACGCATTCGTGGCTCTCAAGGAGGGCAACGAGACCACCGATCAGGTTCGCAAGGATCTGATTATGCAGGTCCGCCGCTCTATCGGACCCTTTGCTGCCCCTAAAGCCGTCTATGTGGTGGAAGACCTTCCCAAGACCCGCAGTGGCAAGATTATGCGCCGCATTCTGCGCAAGATTCTGAGCGGCGAGGAGGATAGCCTTGGTGATACTTCCACTGTAAGTCTTCTATTCCCTCAGTTTTCCCCACTAGCGCTAACGCAAAGGCAGCTCTCCGACCCCTCAGTGGTTGACAAGATCATCGCCACGGTGCACGCTTCCCGCGGCAAATAAGTGTCTGTCTTTTGTGAATGATGTTAATGAAAGCGAAAGTTGGGAGGAAATACGACGCTGTCGCCCGGATCGACGTGGCTTGCGTCTGTGCAGTTGAGCTTTATATTGTCTGAAGACGGAGTTTTTCTTTTTCTCTTGTTGTGATTCCCATTATGGTCAGAAACGGGTGACATTCTGATGAGCTGTTAATTTTTTCAACGTATATACCAATGCTGAAAGAAGTCTTTCTCGGGTCTAGTGGATGTACACGGTCTCTTTATTGTCTATTGGAATGCGGGCGGCCAAATCGCGTGCATAGAGATACAGTAATATAGAAAACCACCTACGTATTTTGTCGACCTGAATGGTGGCTGTAATACTATGGCCCGACACCTACTCCTCAAGCACTGGGAATGATCGCGTGAACTGCTAGTTTCTGGCTGAGTCCAGGCCATGCCCAGTTCATAACACCAGGGGCGAATACAACACCTTACCACCACCAGATTTCTGTTTCCGAGCCAATCATACCTATGCTACGCTAACCCCTCTGGTAGTTACTGAAATTCAATCCGTATTACTCATAGTTAAGATCCCGTGGCGAGACCACGGTCAGGGTCAGTCTGCTTAGACGATGAGACAAGTGGACTGACTGCCAATAGTGAGTGTCATGGAGTGGTAACGGTCTTATCAGCGAATCTCAGCTGGCAGATTCACCAGAATATACACCCTTGGTCCGAATGCGTTATCTCAAACAACATTCAAACTGCTGTTCAAAAACTGCGTTTTGAGTGTGTCAGGCTTCATATCGAACACTAAACCCTCATATATGAGTTATGATAGCCTCACGTAAACAGTTTTACCAACCCCCCTCCGTTAGCATTCACAAGCGAAAGGTCATCCTCAGGCATCAACAGATATCTCCAGCGAAAGCTTCAGGCAGCAGAAGCACCACGTGAGCATTTGGTAACGGACCGTATTGGAGTGCAATATTACCAGTTTCCTCTGCCTGAACGTACCCGATCTGCCGGCGGAGCGTTCTGTACCGGGCGCGTAAGCGAGTGAGACACCGCCCGAGAGCCTCGCCGCCTCTTCCCTTTTGCAAGCAGCCTCTTTCCCTTCCCTTCGAACTTCCTCTCCGTCGCGCGTCCTCGTCTTCCCTTCGACCATCCCTCTGGCCTTTTTCTCTTCGCCGCCTCCCAGCTTCAGGACGTTGACTTGCATCTTCGCTCCCGAGGGTGACGCCTCGTCTGTAGCAGGCGAGACATCCTTAATCTGCTCTTCTCCCCCCTCCCACAAAACACCTTTCCTCTTGGGCGCGTCGAGAATCTCGGCTTTCCCAACCCCAACACTCAAGCTCCTCACTTCGCACGCTAAATAGAGCGTTGTGATCGACACTCTCGCATACGCTACCGCCTGTCCCCGGGAATTAAAACCGCATATAGGCGTTGACGTGGACGAGCGCTCGACCTCTCAGTTAGAGAACGCTTCGGAACGGATGAACTCATAAGTCGCAAGAACTCGATCTGCAACATGTTCGGTGGAGGATTCGGTCAGAACAACCAGCAGAGCTCCGGCTTTGGCTCGGGCAATGCCTTTGGTGGAAGCGCAAATACTGGTGGAGGTAGGTACTGACCTGACCGCGAGCTTCGTCACTATTGACTCCCACTTCCCTCATTCCCTGTTCCTGCCCTTCCCTGAGATTTTCTTGGTTCTTTCGAACACTCGCCTGGTACTTCCCAAACGACCCACAGCAAAGGAATCCAGTCTGGCTCGTGCCTTGGACGTCATCTCACGACGGCCTCAACTTGCAAATCACCAGATTCTCACCGCCGGGCGGGGACGTTTTCCTATTTGTTATGTCGAATAACACAGCAGCACTGCAAGAGAAGGGATCGCAGCTTCAGTACAGTCTCTGACAGCATCTCCCCCGTCATCTAGGCTTTGGAACCACATCGTCCCCATTTGGGGGTGGTAACACGTCAGGCGGTGGTCTGTTTGGAAATACTTCCAGTAGCTTCGGTTCCGGCGGAGGTACGTGCTCGACGGCTATATCTCCCATGGGCTTGGCGATCCTTTCTCTTCCATCTGTACCTTGCGGCAGACCCGCGGTTTTCTACATATCAACTACCAAGCTGGACTGTAATCACTGCCGCTCTGGGACCGTGGACAACTGGCCTTGCGTCGCGACCCGGATGATTTCACCCAGAACCGGGATGTCTCGAAATCAAACCGCCTTCTGCCCGCCAAGGACTTTTGGAGTTTATTCCGTCATGATCTGGCATTCCAAGCTTTGTACCACGTTGCAGCATAGCTAACTTTACCTCTCTTCTCCTAGGATTTGGCACCAATAACCAGACACAGGGGAACTCCTTGTTCGGCACGTCGAAACCCAGCGGCTTTGGCACTACACAACCTAGCGGCACCGGCAGTTTATTTGGATCCAACGCCACCTCGACTGCAGGTAACAGTGGCTTCGGCGGCTTTGGCTCCCCTGCGAACACCGGCAGCAGCGGCTTCGGCGGCAGTACTGGTGGTGGACTCTTCGGCGCCAACAAAACTACCGGCGGATTCGGCAACACAACTGGTACTACTGGCTTCGGTACAAGCGGTGGCAGCACCGGCGGGTTTGGAGGCGGAGTCGCACCGGCCTTCGGGGGCGGCAGCGGTACGGCTTTCGGCCAAGCCGTTCCTCCCTCCGACGGTACTGGCAGCACCCCGTTCAGTCCCTTCACCGAGAAGGACGCCGCTAGCAGTGTGACAAATCACTACCAGAGCATCACTTTCATGCAGCCATATAGCAAGTATTCTTTCGAGGAGCTTCGGCTAGGCGATTACAACGGAGGCCGTCGATTCGGAAACGGTAGTGGACAAGCGGGCGCCTTCGGCGCTCCCGCCTTTGGCGGCTCAGGCTTTGGAACCCAGCAATCCACTGGTTTCGGATCAGGCGCGAACACCTCTTCGCCATTTGGCGCAAACACCAGTGCCCCCTCCGCCTTTGGCAGCACAACCCAAACCACAGGTGGGTTTGGCGGTACCACTTCCAACCCGTTGTTCGGAGCCCAGAAGCCGGCCAACACCCTCTTTGGCGGCGGATCGACAGCCGCTACTACTACCCAGTCGAGTTTATTCGGTGGTAACACGGCAACCTCGGGTGGCTTTGGAAACACTACTGGAAGCACTGGCTTTGGAGCTGGAACGGGTACCGGGGGACTGTTCGGCAGCAGCGCCAGCAACAACCAGCAACAGAGCAAACCTCTCTTCGGCGGAGGCAATACCTCGACTGGTGGGAGCGCATTTGGTGGCTTCGGCACGCAGAACACGAGCACTGCCTCCCCCTTTGGCGGCACCACAGCTACGTCTTCTCCGTTTGGAGGTCAACAGCAGCAGCAGCAGCAGTCGGGCAGTGGTTTGTTTGGCGGTACCGGCTTTGGCCAGCAGAATCAAGCTCAGAATCAGGCACAGACCCCGAATAAAGGGCTATTTGGTGGATTTGGCGCTAACTCACAGCAGCAGCAACAGACGAGTACTCCGAGTCTTTTCGGTAGCAACACCGGCACCGGCACCGGCACGACCGGCTCCTCCCTCTTCGGTCAGAACCAGCAGACCCAGCAACCGGCGGGCGGCGGTCTATTCGGAAGCTCCAGCAATACCCAGCCAGCCCAATCGAACTCCCTGTTCGGCGGAGCGCAGCAAGGCCAGAAGAGTCTGTTCGGAGGAGGCACCACAGGCACTGGCACCGGCGCGAGTCCATTTGGAGGGTTCGGTAATACACAGAACCAGCAGACTGGTGGCGGCTCGAGTCTCTTCGGCGGCGGTGCGGCCCAGCAACAGCAGAAGCCCAGTCTATTTGGTGGAGCTGGAGCCTCGGGCGGTGGTTCCCTCTTTGGAGGAGGCGCAAGTACCACGACGCCGGCTGCCGGCGGATCCCTCTTTGGCGGCGCCACGAGCCAGAATCAACCGACGGCTACTCTGGGCACCTCCAGCCTCTTTGGCGGCAGCCAGTCTCAGTCTACCCCACAGCTGGGCCAGCAGCCCGCCCCTGGTAGCTTGCAGGCATCTCTGCTCGAAGGAAACCCATATGGGAACCAGTCCATCTTCTCTGGTCTGCCAGCCCCCAGTGCTGCAAGCCCGGGCCCCTTGGCCACCCCACTTTCTTCCGCCAGCAAGCAGAAGCAACGAACCCCTCTTCCCGTTTACAAAATCACGCCCACTGCCGCCAACCGTCTCCTGACTCCGCCCAAACGTGGCTATGGGTTCTCGTACTCCACATATGGGTCTCCCTCAAGCACCATCAACACTCCGGGTGGACTCGGTGGTAGCGTTCTCGGTGGCTCCGTCATGCGCAGCAGCTTCAACTCTAGCAGTTTAGGCCGCACCAGCTTCAGCAAGAGTCTTTCCACCAGCAGCCTGCGGAAGACATTCGATCCCGAAGCTGATAGTGTTCTTTCCCCCGGTGCTCTCTCTTCCGGTGGCTCCCGTCTCTCCAGCGGAGGCCTGAAGCGTCTCACTATCGATCGGAGCTTGCGGAACGACCTGTTCACACGCTCCACCAGTACACCCCCTGCTGCCATCACCAACGGAGATGAGGCTGCCTCGCCTATGGACAAAGGGAAGAAGAAGGTTAGCTTCGAGTCTTCATCTGAATTGGCACACACCGGCGGTGAGATTGTGCCTGTCGATACTCAAAGCCCTGAGCCAACCCCGGAGGAGCTAGGTTTCCTGCGTTCTGTGCGCAAGAGTGGCACCATCAACGGCATCAATGGAACCAAGTCCCCGGAGACTGTCGCTCGTTCTGAGATGGAATCCGTCCGTAACAACGAGTCGCCCGCTGTTCCGGAGCGTGCGGAACAGACTGCCACCGGCACTGCTCCCAAGCGACTTTCCTTCATTCCTGGCGGAGACCCGCAGCCGGGCGACTACTTTATGAAGCCTACCCGCGCAGAGCTTAGCAAGATGAGTCGGGAGCAATTGAAGAAGGTTGTGGGTTTCACTGTGGGACGCGAGCACTGCGGTCAGGTTACTTTCGATGAGCCTGTCGATCTGACTACCATCGACCTGGACAAGGTCTGTGGCGGATTTGTCGACATCGGAGTGCGCAAAATCACCGTGTATCCCGACGAAACCATAAAACCACCCCGCGGTAAGGGCTTGAACGTGCCGTCGATCCTTCGTATTGAAAACTCCTGGCCCCGTGGCCGCGATAAGAAGTCGCCTTCGCCCCTGACGAGCGGGCCGTTGTTCGACAAGCATGTCGACCGGTTGCTCAAGGTGCACAACACCGAGTTTATCGACTATGAAGTGGAAACCGGCACATGGGTTTTCAAGGTTCCTCATTTCACCACCTATGGTCTTGATTATGATAGTGATGAGGAAGAAGAAGGTGAGAGCCTAAACCAAAGCACTTTGAGTGCTGCTCCTGACACTCCGACTCCGAAGGCCCAAACCCCTGCCAATCCCGACAACACCGTGGGTTCGGAGCACCTGTCGGCCTTCTCCACTGACGACTCCTTCCTCGGTTCCGTGGCTGGCGTCGATGACGACACCTTTGATTTCAAAAAGCGTAAGATAGTCCCCGGAGCGTTTGGCCAACAGGCGACGGAGACGATGGATGACGAGCATTCGGGCTCGGAGGAGGAAGAAGACGAGTCTTTTTTAGAGGACGGCTCCACGGGTTCGACTATTGAGCAGGACGGCGACGACATTACCGAAAGTCTGCAGTCTGGCGAGTCTGAAGTCGAATTGGATAAGAGTGAGGAAATGGATATGGCGGGTACATTTCCGAACCTTCATCATACCGTGGAGCGTGACGACACCGAAAGCACCGACACATACATGGAAGACCCTCGGCTGTTGCTGAAGCCTTGGAATACGCCGGCGAAGCCTCGTCTGGATCTGACTGGTGATTGGGCCGAACAGTTGCAGCGTACTATTAGCCCCCGGAAGCAGAACCGCGATGCCCTACGTGAGATTCAGGCGAATGCTTTCAATGACCGGTCTTTGCATGAGGAGACCCCGAAGCAGTCTACCAGCGAGACAAAGCAGAAGGGGTTTGCAACCAGTATTGATCTAATGAATTCCTTATTCCAGCAACCTCGGAAACAACAGGCCGCATCTCCTTTGAAAGCACAGAGTGCACGGCCCAAAGGCCCGGAGGTATGATTTCTCTTTCTAATTTTACATGACTGAATTCTTCCTTTCAACCCCATTCTTGAAGGGGCACATCGCCGTTAGCACATTGTCACCCAATAATTGGAAAGCACGGTTCTGACTTTTGTATCTCTAGTGGCCCTACCACAAGCAACCCAAGACTTATGCCGGCGAGTCCAACGAACTGAGCGCTGATGATCTTGCCTTCCATCACTCCTTTAAACCACGCTGGGGACCCGCAAACTCACTGCTCTGCGTACGTAACAACATCGGTCCTATCGAAGTTGGGTTGAATCGCTGGGAACACAGACTCTCCGTAACCAGCGAAGGACGCGATGTTTCCCTTCTATCGTATCAGAAGGCCACTGAGCCGACTGTGATGCTCGAAGCCCAGCGTGAACAAACAATCATCAAGCCCGTGGATGGGGTAGTGCCGTTCGCTCGCCTGGCCCGAGCCGACTTCCAGAAGTTGTCCGCCACAGCATCGAGCAGTACAGGCGTGACCGACCAAGAACGTTTGCTCTGGCAGCTAGCTAATATCTTGTTCAACGACGAGCTTGAGGATGATATTTCTGCAGGCGTGCCCCAGGAGGTCCGGTCGCAATTTTCCCACCGCATCAAGAAAGATCGTCTTACCCGGTTGTTGGAAGGAATCATTCGTCAGAAGCAAGCTCAAAAATTGGGCAAGGTGGGATCGGCTGAGGAACGAGCTGTCCATCTCCTTTGCGCCCACCGGGTCGAGGAAGCCTGCAGTGTCCTGCTCTCAGGCCAAAACCCCCATCTTGCCACTCTCGTTTCGCAGATTGGTCGCGATACCACTGTCCGGGAGGACTTGGCCAAGCAAGTTGATATGTGGCGTCAGAGCAATGCGTACTCGGAAATGACCGAGCCTGTGCGCGCTTTGTACGAACTGCTCGCAGGCAATGCCCTCCGCAGCGAAGGAAAGTCCACTGGGGCGCTTGAGGATCGGATATCCGCGTTCACATTCTCGGAGCGGTTCGACTTGGACTGGTTCCAAGCTTTTGGTCTGCGCCTTTGGTATGGGATCAGTGACGAGGAGCCGCTTGAAACTGCGGTCTGCCAATTCGTCAACGACCTGCGCAGTGGTGTCGAAACCGCGCTTCCCTTGCCACTTCCCTCCGAATTCCATGAATTCAACGCTTCGCAGGATCGAGAATCTCCGCTGTGGGTGCTGCTGAAGGTGTATGCCGCGACCACTGATTTCGCTAAAGATACCCAGTTCGAGGGACTGGAATTCCCGGCCGCCCTGCTTCCCGAGTCGTTGACAGGTGACAGGCTGACCAACCGCTTGTCCTTCCAGTTGTGTCAGCTCCTCACGGCGGCGGTTGGGCACAACGATCGTTTCCAGCTCAACGTGGCTCAGATGGATCAGCTTACCTGGGATTACGCATGGGAACTCTGCAGTTCTGGTGCCCTTGCACGGAGCATTTTTGTTCTGCTTCACCTCTCTCGCGCTTCCGATCGGGAACGAGCTATCAAGGACATGCTGGCTCGATTCGCGCCGCTGCTTCCACAACCGACTAAAGAGGACGGATCACCGGACAAGATGTGGACGTACCTAGTCCGAGATACACAGGTGCCGGAGAACTGGATCTGGGTGGCAAAGGCACTTTATGCGCGGGACACCGGGGATGCTGCCCACGAAGTGGATTACTTGGTGCGGGCCAAAAACTGGAACGATGCACATGCCACCTTCTGTCGCGTTGTCGGACCGTCGGCAGTCATTGAAGGCGACTATGCTACGCTAGAAATGCTGGTGTCGGGCTTTGGCGCCGAGCCGGAGCGCAAAGTGCGTGGCTGGGCTCGAGGCGGCGGCATCTACGACGATTTCCTGCATCTGGCCACGGCCAGAGCTGGCAGACGTGACTCGACGCGACTGTACCGACTGGTACAAGCATTGGTTCAGCTGGGGGATCAGATCCGACAGGGCTCGGGCGTGGAAGGCCTGGAGGAACGCGTTGCATTCCGGGAAATGAGTCGAGCCGTGGCGCGCTGGACGTCACACGAAGACAGCCAGGTAAGGGGGCTTGGGGTATACGTGATGATTAATGATACTAATTCTGTTTATAGGCCAACGATCTGTCGAGTGTGCTAAGTCTGCCGCTAACGGGCGATGCGCGCCTCACGCAGACGGCAGAAATGAGTCGACGTTACTACGGGGTTATTATGGCTGGAGGGTATTAATTGGATGGCTGGATGAAGGCACGAATGGCACAATTCAGTTGTCGGGGAAGTCATTGGATCTAATCAAACATGTCGTCTGGTCGTTTTTGGATGACCCTTGGTGAAGGGGCGTCTTTTTCTACTTTTCTTTCGCATTCTGTTATTCTCGTCCCCATCTCCCTCCCTGTTCTCACTTTCCCTCCGCCTCTATCTTACTTCTATCTGTATCAAAAGGTTGACATCATCGATGTGCAGCTCCTTATGTATCCTAGCTGTGATTCGTTTGTTCCTCTTCTACTGCATGTATTTCTGTGTTTCTTCTATTTTCTCTTCAGTGATTGCCTTCTTCATCTTGGTTTGCTTTCCCTATCGATTTCGAGGTTATGGATGTCTCTAGGTCTTTTAAGCCAAAGCGAATGAAAATTCAATCCCGGTTCAAATTGTTTTCCCCCCTCAAGACTACTAAGCTCTGGCAACCTGTTACCGGAATCTCTGTGCCGATGTGTTTGGGCCGGTTGATGTCCCATCCCCGTTCATCATTAGTGTTGCAGCCCGGGGCACTTTCTCAGCTCTCGGGTGGTACTGGTGACGCAGCCATGCAGCCATACATGTATGTGTATGTACTGGTTGATGTATCTAGCTATAGTGGCTGGCTCCCTATGTCATAGGTAACAGCATAGAGCAGTGGGTAGTTAACCAGGATTGATGCTCAATACATCAAATAACATTTACTAATCATATTTCGCGGAAACTCGCGCGCAAAGCTGCATTCTAGTGAGCTTACTTCACTGTTATACTGGGTCAGAACGCCTGATCTAGATCTTTTAGTCTTGTAGGTACTGATGGGAACAGGGTAGATAATGCAAGCGAAGAGATTGGTTTTGTGGAGTCGTATAAAGGAAGGGACAGGATCAGATACGGAAGACACCCAGACACCCCCCCCTTCAACCTAACTATGGGGTCTATCTAAATGGCACAGTACTTTACTAAGAACCCTGCTCCAGGTTCTGCTCGTGTGCTGGTTGCGGCAGTACGAGTAGGTTGCTCGAGTTGTCTGGGGAATACAGCTCTAAATGGGTAGTAAATTTCATCTGAAGCTAAATACTAGCCGGAGACTGATAGTGTATAAGTAGAACTATTAAAAGATAAGAAGTACTTTGAAAAGAGAGTTCAACAGTGTATAAATAAAATTATTAAAAAGGAAGTACTTATAACTAGACCTACTTTTAGAATTCAGTTAAGTATTTATACTAGTATACGTTTCTATAGGCCGGCTAATATCAGTATTCGATAATACGGTTAGTAAGATGCTGAAAATTGGTCTTATTAAATTCTTTATTTACTACTTTTTACTCTTCGATCAAAGTGTTGAACACTATTTTAGGACTAGCATTGATGTGAACTGGGGCTTCACTAACGCTAACACAATGAACACTTTCCCAACCTTAATAGGAATATTGGACATATATTATAAGGTTATTCAGGGGGTGTAATTGAGGGAATTAGGAACAAGAGCCATAGAAGAAGCGATCCAAATTCTAACAGCACAGAAGATCCGCGAGTTACTGATACTCTGCGGAATCGGTAATCATAGTGACAAGCCGATGAAGCAACATATCCTTGGCATTTTTAATTTCAGTGAGTACTCGGCCGCTCTTGGGAAGGGTCGCAGGTGTGCTGACGTATATTCTGGGGCTGGGAGCTGTTTGCGGACACCCAGTGGGAGTCTTGATGTCAGCATGAAGGTAGGAAAGCAAAGGCGGGAACTGGGCTGTCGATTATGACTACCTTATATATCCGCCATGTCGCCAGACTCCTCTACGATTTTACATTTTCTTCTTCTAAAGAGAACTTGGCTTTATTACTGGCACTGGTAATTTATTCATCGGAAATAAGCACGATCTGAAGGTCACAAAATGGTATGTTGATGCCTGTATAGTAGAACTACAACGTGTTCTAAACCAGTTAATAGCCTCGTTACACACGCCAAGAGATCAACAAATGGAAGGAGGTGTTCTCGCGGATTGTAAGGCCAAGCGCACCCCTAGATGAGTTATACTAATACTGAGGGAAAACAGAACACTAATGGCGATCGTATGTCCGCATCCTGACTGATTGCTCAAGCTGCTTATGCATTCGATAAGGTTTCATTGAGCCCTATGAGCTTATTGCAGCAGCCAAGGAAGATGGGCTAGAAATGAGTGACGAGGAGGCCAGGGAATGGCTTAAAGACCTCGACTGCAATGATAACGGCAAGGTTGAATTCAGCGGTATGTCAATTCAGTATGTCATTCTGGACCGTCCATACAGCTAATTATGTGGTACTACCCGAGTGACAGAGTTCATCAAGAGATTCGGAGAGAGAACTTAAGAGCTGCAGGCCCGCTACGAAAGTCAAACTAAACTGTGCCAATTCTATGTGCTATCTTTCATATAAGTAATTCGGTCGGCGACATAGCGGATATATTACGAAGGAATTCTATAATTACCAAGGCCTCTTCAGCAAAGCTGTGCTGAGGTTTGCAAAGCTTGTGAAATCTGGGGTCTGTGGAATTTGACTTGAAATCCCTTTAAGGATTAATCTGTAATGAAATGCTCACTATATCTGTAACGGAATGACCATTTGATCCTGGCCACGCCACTTGTCTCTGATTTGCTTGGCTAGCTCTAACCAGCGCCAAGTTGACCTTGTCTTCACCTCAGTGGGATATCGATCGCTGGAGATTTCATAGGGGACACTGCCCCTGTAATGCGCTTACTAGAAGACCCAAGAACCATGGAACTGATGGGATTCATAGGCTGTGGGGAAAGGACAAGCCCAACAGTAAACTGCTCTGGAACGCTCTTAGGGCAGATTCTTTGGGCATGGATACCTTAAGAGGATCGCCATTGGAAAGGGTAGCAGAGTTGGGCAGTCTGCTACTGTACAGATGACACCCGTATGCCAGGAACCGAGGAAGTGGAAAAGGGGTCTTTGCATTTGCAGTATGATAGAGGAAATATCTCGAGATGATAAAAACCTGCACCAAGACACCCTGACACCTAATCTACTCATAGTACACTGCTTCTATAGTCATTCTGCGGTCGTAGCCGCTTTTGGCCGCTGAATAGCCGTTTCATCGTTATATGTATTTTGAATAGCTGGTCAAGACCTCTGGAATATAGTACAATACCCCTCCCCCCAGGATATCTTATAACTAGAGATATAATACAGCCAGCCTAGATTAAGATATATATTTCAGCATAAATACCTGTATGATAGTCATAAGCAACCTATCTTGAAATATAGACTAAGGAGTCTAGTATCTAGTATATAAGTATACAGGTATTGAACCTATATATATATTAAAGATACACAGAGGTAGGAATTCTTTTACAGGATATACTATTACTTACTGATCCTGATATCATCAGATAGATTTAATTGAGAATATAGTTATGGAGACCTGAAAAACAACAAATTACATTCAGATAAAGTAAAGCTAGAGGAAACTCTAGTAGGGACTCGCAGCAGTGTTAACGAACGTATAAATTGATCATCAAAGCTGGGTGTAGGGGTGAAAAACTAATTAAACCATCCAGTAGCTGGTTCCTGCCGAAGTTTCCCTCAGGATAGCAGATCCTTGAAGTGGTGCTAAGTATGCTGTCACAACCACCAGAACAGGGACGACCAGCGGATCCGATCTGGCATTTGGGGCACCAGACCGGGCTTATGAACTTGAGCATGGAATACAGATCTTTAAAAAGACATAGCCGAACAGTCACATACACACGACTAAGCCTTCAAGAAATTGTAACACAATCACATACACCCATCCAAGCCCTCGAAAATCAAAACGATTGTGGTATATATACAATGCCTTCTCAACATCTCCACATTCCCCTAACCACACACTACCCTCTCACCCACCATCCACACAACCACACCCCAAGTCCCAGCGATACTAAACCCCCTAAGCAACCGCCCTCCCATCAACCTGCACCCTATTCTCCCGATCAATCTGCATAGTCCCATGGGGCAGGGTATGCGCCAGCGCAGGCGCCACAGGCCGCTTGACTACCTTGGGCGCCCTACCCACTAACTCCTGCAGCACCTCCTCCACAGCCTGATGGAGATCATCGTTGAACTCCCGGAACTCGGCGTCCCAGGTCGTCTCGCGCGTGTCCGGGATGCTCATGTACCCGTGCATGTCGGTCAGCCCGGCGGCGCGCACCATCTGGTCGAACTCGACTCACTGCCTCTCCATTCCCGTCTGCGCCGCCACCAGGTGCATCAGGAACCGCTCGTTCTTGCTGCCGTCCGCCTGCGTGCCTGTCCCCCCGATGCCCAGGCACGTCACCAGTCCGTACGTCCGCAGGCCCATTGGGTCGCGCTCGCCCTTTTGCTTTCCCATCTCTACCGACGTGAAGCCTGCGGGGGGTTGGGGGGGCCAGGTGTTTGTTCGGAGTTTGAAGTTTGCGTTGTTGTTAATGGTGGTGGTGAGCGATTCGTCGGGGCTGGGGGCGAGTGAGTCGTAATCGTCGTAGAGGTAGTACTCGCCGTCGAACTCGTCCAGCTCACGTTTGTGGCTGCCTTGTTTACAAAGCTTGGCTGCTTTAGCCCATGTGGCTTTCGAGGCTTTGATTTTCGCGAACGGGTTCGTGTTCTTGGTTGACCGGTCTGCTAGCGAAAGGTCGTGGTGCTCATCGACTGAGGCCGGGGCAATGGCCGCAGCTGAGGTGAGGGCTGTGCTCGCGAGGAGGGCGATCAGGGTATGGCCAAAGAGCATGGTTGTTATTTATATTGGGCGTTCGGGCTTGGTTCCAAACGAATGAGTTGAGATTCGATCTCCAGAGGAAGGACTGACTGTGGCGAGTTGGTGTAGCCATCACAGTTGCATACTGATTGCGCTTCATCTCGGTTCCCCTGTTCGAACTGCGTACTGTCCAACATCGTCCTCAGGGCCAAGTTACCTGAAGCTTCAATGTGCATCTTGTTCTCAAACTTATCCAACCTCTCTTCTGCTTTGTGAAATAGAGGGTATTCTGGCCCCTAGGCCCAACAGGTCGACCCCCAACGACACCGTATGTGGTGCATTTGTAGTGTTAAATGTAACGTTAGAAGAAACTGGGCTCCCTGTGCGCTGATTCACTGCAAGCCTTCCGGCTGTTAGTCTGACAGCCGGACAGCCACGGAGCATGGCCCTGAGTATGGAATATGTGGTCCCTTGCAGGATGATTGATGCACATGAATCAGGCACCAGTCAAATCCGGGGGCCGTATGCGCGTTTTATGCTCCGTTAGGCGTAGTATTGTCCTGGTGAATCACTTTTGGGGGAGATCTTATGTCCGATTTGCGAACCGAGATTGACGGGGGTTCATGGGATCACACCGGAAGTGACCGGGAAGGATGGGGCCGTTTCTTGGCTGGTAGGGCTGGTTTGGATCCAGGGTCCTTGAGTTGGTGTCAGATAGACTGGTGGCATTATGGTGCTGCGGAAGGAAGATGGAGGGCCGCCTCTGTAGCTTCAACGGTTAGCGGCTGAGGCGCAAACGTGAAGTAACTTGATTTGCTCTCTCGAACCCAAGCCTGTTCTGAAACTACTTAAAAGCTCTATGGTAACTATGGATGTCCACATTGGCTTTGGAGAATAATCTCAATAACGTTTGTAGACCGGTTAAAAGTGACAGACCGAGTCACGGAACAACTACACGCGCTGGTAGGAGATTGGCCCAAAGGACTTAGATTGCCATGAACGAGCCAAAAAAAAAAGGATCAAGGCAGGCCCAACAAAGCCAACTCCGGCCAGTGTCCTGTCAGATCCAACAGCTGCTTGGCTTTCCATTGCCATCCCTCTGGCTGGATGAAGCCGCCTCCTTCCTTGTAAGAGTCCAGTGAGACCCCCAGTGCTTCCAGGGGAAAGAGCCAGAATCCGAACGCCGGCCGAACGGCATTCTCCAGGTCCTCGTTTCGATATTTCTCATGCTTGGCCCCAACGGGCCACCTATGCTTCCACCTTCGCAGAAACTGACCGAGCGGGCCGGGATCCTCCTGTGCTTCTTCGTCTCTCTCCTCCGTCGAACGGTCGTCGTGAGGTTCTCCCTTCCAGATGCGATCCTCCTTGAGCAGCCACTTCTCCGCACTAACACGATCATGAACTTGTCCATTGGTCGGCTCAAACGAAAGAAGAAACCGATACTGGACATGAGAGGGCGACACGCCCCACCGCAGCAGCAGCCGACCCCAGAAATCGAACATTACGCGCGGATCCATGCAGCCCACAAAGACACGCTTCAGATCCTCAGCGATATCACGCGGGTCCCGGGGGAGACGATCAAAGGTTGTCGTCGTGACCATGATGGGGAACGAGCGGTTGAAGAACGTCTCGGGGGTGTCAAGCCCACTATACCAGCCGAGAACCTGGCGGCCAAACCGCGCGACCTCCATGAAAAAGACCTCACGCAGCTGCGTCAGAGTCTCAACAAACGCGGTCCGCGCGCGAAGGCTTACGTCGGCCGAATCCAACGAGCCGAGGTCATGCGCTTCTAGGTCATTGAGATTCAGGGCGAGCTTGAGAAGGCCGACCCCGCGGCGGTCGTAGGTGTTCTTCACATCATCCAAGAACGCAAGGAGCGTCGCCTTGACTGGGTACCTGGCGTGGAGCTGCAGAATGTCGTACTCGGGGTTGAAGTGGAACGCCCCCCCGGCTTTGGGCGGCGTATGGTCGTCGTGGGCTCGGAAGTCACAGGGAATGTGCACGCGGTAGAAGCGTAGGGCGGCCTCCCGCGCCTCGCAGTTGACGCGCAGCAGTTTGCTCAGTGATGATGTGCTGCTGACCACCACGCGATAGCTTTTCGCGGGAGGTTCATCGGGTGCATCTGTGTCTGTCGCTGGCATGAGCCCTATTTGGATGAGACGCGGACGTTGCAGCGAGTACTGCCATATCTTCAGCCGAAGCTCGGTAGGCAGGAGAGGGAAGGGCTGGAAGGTGAGTTCCTCGGTGTCCGAGGCAATGTAGTTATAGATCTGTAATTGTGGTTGAGGCGACATCTGGAGCGCTGGTGGGTTGAGATTGGATTCTTTAGTTCAAGATGAGAGAGTTTCAGGAAAGCATCCGTCTATGGATGTTATCGAGCCAGCAACAGACCATCCTGTCTGTTGAGGTAGACCAGACCAGGCCCTGTCAGCTGAGTCAGATTCAGTAGCTGCTGCTAAACATGTACAGCCTTTATCGATCCATCCAAGGGGTTCAACAAGTGCCACTTCCTCCCGGAATCGGCCCCCGAAGATAGAAATGTCAGAAAACTGAAAGAGGATGAGGTTCAAGTTACATTAACAGGCAGTACAAAGTAAAAGGACAACATGATCACGTGATTGTCATATCCATCTCAGTTCTATCCAAGACAATATGTATCTCAGGGACGCCGACTTCCCGTGCAGATCAAAAGCATCCACCTGGTAGTTCTCCGTGGGCAACCACGTCAGTATCATGCTCGAGCCGACGATGACTGTACCGATCAGGGGGCCGATTCAGTGGGGGTGGTAGTGCGCAGACCAGCCGTAGAGAAGCAGGCCAAAGGAGAGCATGGCTCAGGTAGGCATTGTGACCGACAGACGATGCATGGGCACAGACTGGCTATAGAATTGCTAATGATATCCAGCTTAGCTTTAGGATAAGCCAACTGTTGCCCTCCCCTATGCTTGTCTCGAATACAACTAACAAACAGAAATCAGGCAAGATGCAACCTCACGTACCTCCCAAACTGTGCTCGGCATGCATCTCCAAGAGTGGAACCATCAATTACCATCAGCACTATGCCCAGACCCCTGTAAGGCTTACTCAGACGGAGTTCCGGGCGTAAGCAGCCTAGAACCAAGTCAAACTCGAACTAGTTTACCAAGTCTAGTCCAGTGGACGCTTCGCCACGACGACCACCCGCGGAATCGACAGCGCAGCTCCGTAGACACACTCCCGATACCCAGTCTGAATCAACTGCAAGAACTGAGCAGCGGCCTCCAATCTGCCCTGGCCCGCCAATCGCGCGGCAAACTCCTCCATGGTCAGCAGATGCTGGTCGTTGAATGCGCGAATCAACTCTGGGGGCTCATCGTAGTAGTCGAGCTTCGTCTCGACAAACCTGGCCTCCGTCAGCAGCTTTGGCAGTTCCAGGACTCAGTCATGCCGGCCCCCGGCGTAGCAGGCCTCGCGGATCTCTTCCAACGCCGGCGCCCCGGTGGACGGGTCGACCTTCTTGACGCACATGTTGACGCAGTCCAACTCGTCCCATTGCAGATAGCCTCCCGGCTTGACTAGCTGGAAGAGATGGCGGAGGACCGGCTTGGGGCCCACGCCCGAGAGCACGAGGACGAGGAGTCGGACGTGGAAGCCCAACACTTGGCGCCAGAGGAAGTGCTGCAGGTTCAGTCGAATCACTGACCGGTGGTCTTGTTGCAATGCATATTCCAGCCCGTATGCCAGACGGAAGCTGGCTTGAGAGGAGAAATTTAAAAAAGCTATCGTTATCTGACTAGTGTGACAGTATACATTGAACATTGATGATGAAGCACCGGTGTACCGGTAAGATGGGCTCGACTATATAGTGCTGTGAGTAGTAGTAGAAGTGATACTAAGCATTCGGAAGCTTCAGCCATGGTTACATCGCGTTGTGGGGGCGTAAGCAATGGCGCAAAGGCCTATTGCTCCCATCTCATTCCTTGGTGGAATAATGGCTGGTCTTCGGAGCAAGGCCAAGCTGAGCGTGCTTAGATACGACCGCTGAGAAGGTGGTAGATAAAGCTTTGTGCAGTCGAACTCGAGCATACCCCATTCAATACAGAAGGATAATTAGTCTACTCATATAGAATATGATGCAATGAAAACATCTTGGTCTCTGCAATTTGGCCACGTGGTATATCTGTGTAGAACTAATGCTTATTCCACTATAGTAGGCTATTAAACACGTGTAGACCTTACTAGGTATTAAATTCACTAGAATCCGCACTCGCAGATCGCTTGGACCCAGTTCCGCTAGTAGGATCGGTATGGGTTTTGTCCCGAGGAGGGTCTGTATAAGAAGATAAGTGAGAAGTTGTTAACGAAGTGCAATAAAAGGAGGAAATTTCAGGATAACAGATCGATCGATTACTACAGGACGTTCGAGCTGGTGAAGCTCTGGTGACATACCGATATACATCACCGGCTACTCATATCTTCTTCCAACCTACACCTCCCAAGCTCACAAAAGAGACAATCCAACTAAACAAGAGTACCAACCCAATGCCCACCCACAACCCAAACTCCACAAAACAGAGTCGAATCCCCATCAAAATCAACAGCATCAGCTTAGCATCAGCAGCCTCAGCAGCCTCCTCCAACTCCCGCATCAACTGCCCCTCCGCCAACGCATCCCACATCTCTTCCTCCTCCTCCTCCTCCTCCTCCCTCATAACACCCCTTGCCTCCTCGACACGAGCCTCAAACGCCCCCTCCCCCCCCTACAATCTGATTGTACCACCAGTAATTCACAGCCCAATCGCCGGAGAGACCACATTTGATCACGCGGCCGCAGAAGGAATCGACGTACTCTGTCGTGACGGCCGCGGCGGCCGCCTGCTCATCGAAGGTCTGCTGCTCGATTGGCGAGAGCACTGTGGGTGAGTGCTGGTGGAGTAGTCGTGAGAGGAGGACTTTGTCGATCTCCTTGATGTCAAGGCCGACGTCTTCTTCGTGTTCTTGGTCTTGTCGTTGGGGATGATGTCTGGGGTTTGGGCTTAGGTTTGGGCTTGCGCGGGGGAGGGTGGGGATTGGGCTTTGCTGCTGTTAGTCAGTTAGTGGGTAAGTTGCATGTTAGTTGGGGATGGATGGGTTGATGGTTTGGTGATGCTTGGTACTATTAAGGATCGGGTTATATCTATAGTTGCGCGTTGGGCGTTAATTTTCGTTGTGCTATGCATTTTAAGGTAGATATCTCGCAAATGGTCATCTCTAGCTGGAAATTACCTGGGATCGGTGATATCTTCCTCTATCTGGCTTTGTTTTCGGAAAGCTCTACAGTCATCTTTCCCTTCGTCGAACAGAGGGTCGCCGGAATATAACCGGTGAATATCTGCCAGGGTGGTGAGCTGTAAGTCAGGGCAAAAAGGATAGATAGGGCAGGATGCTCGATTGCGCTTGTTGCTGTCTATATACGAAGGGAATAGAGAACGAAATTAGACACGAAATATATACAACAGCATGCATAACAGCTAACATGTCACCAGACCATCTCCTCTGGCGCGGATTTGCGTCTTAAGATTGCCATAGCTAAGTATACAGTGCAACCACTACTGAACCGCTCCCCATAGAAGGGTTCACCCTACAACCATCCAAACTCTCACGATAACAAAGAAAAGATATGAATTGCTACCAGGACTGTACATGATTGAACAAGACGTGAAAAAAATAGAAAGTTTAGAAACACCCCACAGAGACATACACTCCTCGCCCTGCTCTAAGAATCAAGAAAGAAGAAAAGAAAAATTGGATTTAACTTTCTTGTACTTTTTCTTCCCCTTGACTCCCCGTCGTTACCACTCTCAAAGGAATTACTGGCCGGGGGCGATCAATTTGCCCTCATTCCGGCTGTTAGGGTGCCATCCACCGGCATAGGGGGACTGGCCACCGAGCTGCTCGGAGTGCTCGCGGATCCGGGCCTCCAGCTCGGGGCGGAAGTGACGGATCAGACCCTGGATGGGCCAGGCGAAGGCCTCACCCAAAGCGCAGATGGTGTGGCCCTCCACCTGCTTGGTCAGCTCCTGGAGCATGTCGATCTCACGCTCGCGGGCCTGGCCGGTCTCCATGCGCTGCATCATCTGCATGGTCCACTTGCTGCCCTCACGGCAGGGCGTGCACTGACCGCAGCTCTCGTGCTTGTAGAAGGTCGACAGGCGGGAGATGGCGCGGACAATGTCGGTCGACTTGTCCATGACGATGACGGCGGCGGTACCGAGACCGGACTGCGAGTCCTTGAGGGCGTCGAAGTCCATGAGCTGGTCGTCGCAGATGTCCTTGGGGAGGACAGGGGTCGAAGATCCACCGGGGATGACGGCCTTGAGGTTGTCCCAGCCACCACGGACACCACCGCAGTGACGCTCGATCAGCTCGCGGAGGGAGATGGACATCTCCTCCTCGACGGTGACGGGGTTGTTGACGTGGCCGGAGATACAGAACAGCTTGGTACCAGCGTTGCGCTCACGACCGAAGGAGGAGAACCAGCTACCGCCACGGCGCATAATGGTGGGGACCACCGCCACGGTCTCGACGTTGGTGACCGTGCTGGGACAACCGAACAGACCGACCGCGGCAGGGAATGGGGGCTTGAGACGGGGCTTGCCGGCCTTACCCTCGATCGACTCAATCAGAGAAGTCTCCTCACCACAGATATAAGCACCCATTCCACGGTGGATGTAGACGTCGAAGTCGTAGCCCGTGCCGCAGGCGTTCTTGCCGATAAGGCCGGCCTCGTAGGCCTCGTTGATGGCGCGCTGCAGGACGGTGGCTTCGTGGTAGAATTCACCACGAATGTAGATGTAGGCGGCGTTGGCGTTCATGGCACGGCCGACAACCAAGCAACCCTCGATGAGCTTCTGGGGGTCCTTGCGCATGATTTCACGGTCCTTGCAGGTTCCGGGCTCACCCTCATCGGCGTTGACGACCAGGTAACGGGGGCGGGGATCCTTGTCCCAGTCCTTGAAGTTCATGAAGGACTAGATGCCAGAACCGGTCAACTCCGAATCGGCCAATCGACGGTCTCCGCAGAGAGGGGAAGACTTACGTATTTCAATCCGGAGGGGAAACCGGCACCACCACGGCCACGAAGACCGGAAGCCTTGATCTCAGAAATAAGCTGTCCACCAAGTAAAGATAATCAGCATTGAACCATTCCCGGTGTTCCATAACTATCCACGTGTCGGAGGGGGGTTGAATGAGTTGTGTTGGGGCCAGCGTACCCAATCGTGGCCCTTGAGCACGATGTCCTTGGTGCGGTGCCAGTCACCAAACTTCATGGCCGACTTGAGATCGGCTCCATGGTGTCCGTAAAGGTTGGTGAAGATGCGATCCTGGTCCTTCAGACCGCCATAGTGTCGTACGGGGGGAGCGTTGTCCTGGACAGTCGCGAAAGAACGGGCAGCCGGGGCCTGGGCTCGGAGGGAGCGGGAGGAGAGGTTGGCGATGGAGGAAGACGAGGGAGCCGCCGCTCGGGATATCATGGTGAATGCTGGCCCAGTGGCTGCGCGAAGAGACTGGGAGAGAGGGGTCAATTGGGGGAGGAGGCGGAGGGGGTTCGAGATGATGAAGGCGTTCAGTAGTTGAGCTTCCACCCTTCCGGCGCGGCAATTCCTGCGCCTGCTGAATATCCGCCTTTCCCCGCCCGCTGATTGGTCCCTCACAGATCACATGATGTATAATGTGTCAGCCATCTAATGCTGCTTATTATGCATTTTGTATCTGTTCATCATTCAATTCGTCTTATCTCATCTACTCTTCTTGGGGAATATACAAGTACGATCCTGTCGACAACATGACCTGCCCATCACTGGCAAGCAGACTCAGCGGATCTTCGGGCATATGCACACACTCCTGCTCTCCTAGCATCCATGCCCAGCGTATCCAGTTCGGCGATAGCCACCAGTCGTCCTTCTGCCATGCACCTGTATACGCTTCCAAGCCGGAGAACACACCGGAGTTCTGTGATCTCATCTTCTCCAGAGCCTCATCAAATTGGCTCACCAGATACTCATCATCCTCGTCCTCGAGTGCCCAAGCCACATCATTCGGCGGCGGCGGGTAGTTCTCGAGCAGGAAGTTCGCCCATCGAGATAGTCTAGGCGACAACTGCGCCTTTGCAAAGCCTGCCGCCGTCCCATTTATATGGACCGCCACAACCAGGCACACGAAAATGGGGAAGGCGAAGGGAGACGTCTCCGAGCTGCCTTTGAGCACTGGGATAGCATTCTCCGCAGTGCCTAGGATACCCTGGATGCATGCCTTGCAAGGCTGTTGCATCTCCGTCGGCAACAGGTCCGGCAGCTCAGTCAAGGTGAAAAGCTCTCCGTTCTTGGTGAGGAGTGACTTTCTCTCCAAGATGCGCACCTGCAGCCGGGACAAAATCCCCTCCGGAAATTTGCCGGCAGGTATACGAGCCATATGGGCCCCAAGGATCTGTTTAGTCTCCTCCCAGCTACCAGTGAAGTTGTGTTGCCGCGCGCGATTCAGCGTCCACGCCGCGATCACGAGAGCGGTTTCGGACAGCATGATCTGGCTTTCACGGTACATTTTCGCATGGGTCTGTTTCAGGTTCTCCGGATTCTGTAGATCCTGACCGGAAGCTCTCAGCTTCACGGCATGGGTGATCAGCTCGATCACAATCTGGCTCATTGCAGCCAGCAGCGCGCGTGAGTTCCCGTAGGCGCTGGGGATTTTGATGTCCTGGTCCGTGATTTCGAGGGTCTCCAACTCCCGGTTGTTGGCCGCCAGGACAGAGACGGCGTTCAGCAGAGCAGGCGAGAAGATCGAATGCTCCATTGCAGTATCCGGCGCCAGCAGCGGATAGAAGATATTGAACACGTAGTAGTGATCTTCCGTGTCCGCAGCCAATTCCGGGTACATCTGGAGCTGGTGGGCTCGCGCCTGCTGGAGAGGGCTTCCAGGTGGTGCACGCAGACTGACGATGCGATAGTCACAGGGGTTGCCGGGCAGACAGAACCCGTAGTTCATCATCACTGCCCAACGTCAGTGAGTAAGGCCATAAACCAGTTTCAGAAAGTCCCAGTTACAACTCACACTGTTCATTGTTCCGCGGTCCGTAGTTATTGGAGATCTCCTGCCCAGCACCGACATTCTCCAGAACCACAAACCTGACTTCATCCTTCTCCGCGCGCCACTCCACCTTCGCCAGTGGCCGATGATTCGCGACATCGAAGAAGGGCAACAACACCGATACATTCTCCTCAGACAACTGATCCTTAGAAATCACGCCAGACAGCACCTTGGCCGAGAACGCGCGCGAGAAGAAAATCGTCGAAGCCCACAGATAGAGATCCCTGTAAACACACAAGATTAGATCAACACCCGAAAACCCCCTCTCTTCTCGCCCCCTTTCCCCCACCCCCAGAAACAAAGAGAAAGAGAAAGGAGAGTGAAAAAAACGTACCAAGTATACCTCTCCCACCCCAGAAACCCCGCCTCCCTCAACGCCCGAACCGCAACCTCATACTTCCCCCTCAACTGCTCCCCCCGCTGCTCCCTAGCAGCCATCAAACTCGTCCCAGCCAACCACGCGACATCCTCCCCCTCGTAACTCAACGGCGTAGTCAACGTGTCCGGCTGCGGCAACGTCCGGAGATAAGGGTACCAAAAGCCTTGCGGTCCACGCAGGTACTGACCGACCAAGAAAAAAACGGTCGCCTCTTTGGACCCGACTGCGTCGACAAACGCTGGCGGGAAGTCCAAGCCATGGGACTTGAACTCAACGATTGGAGAAGACCCGGACCCGGCTGCACTGTCGTCGGGTAGAGAGGACGAAGGCGGAGGAGACCGGTACCCGATGACGTTGAAGTACGAGAGCGTGGTCGTCAAGGGCGTCTGGATGATGTGCGTGTCTACGCCCAGGCCGCTGCCGCTGCCCCCGGACCAGTCACCGCGGACCTGGAGGTGCACGCCGCGCTGGTCGTCGCGGGCAACTTGTACTGCGTCGTGCAGGTGGCCGCCGTGCTGGGTCATCCATTTTTGCAGGTCGGCGTAGATCTCTAGCCCGTCGCTTTGGGTGGTGGTGTCGTTGGGGGATCTGAGATGTGGATTAGCTTTTAATTCTTGGTATATCACATAGTGGTAAAGGAGAGAGATAGAGAGAAAGGAAGAAATTATTTGCGCACATATGTCTCGTTTCATATAGCTCAGCTTGTGGCTAGCTATGCTATCTGAGACGGACGTCATACTTGGGATCCGGCCAGCGGTTCAAGAACTTGAAGGGAAAGACAGAGCCTTACTTACCCGGATGACCCCGCGGTCGTGCTCGCGGCCATAGTATGGGAAGAACCGTCACTGACACAATGCAGTCCAATTGAGAATTACCTCTAGCCGGATGATCGTGTGTATTCCTCTCACACTCCTCGAGGGTTGACAAGAAAGTGTCGAGAGCTCAACGAAGCGGGTCGTGATTTTCTATTCCCAAATCGGAAACTGTCCCACTTTTCAACTAGCAAACCTCCAAAATCGCAGAATGGAGTAAGTGCAGTATGCACGAACTACGAGTCTATTCCTTTCACTGTCACTTGGACATAGCTGAACTTGAACAGAATCCTTCCTCTTCCAGTACTACAATACAAAACCCCAGCAGTACGACAGTTAAAAGACTCAAGATCTTCCAAAATGCATCATCAAGCGTTCATTAAAGTTCCATCACTTCACGTAGAATTCAAAGGCTGGATACCTTGGAAAGAGAGGTAAACACATAAGGCGAAAAAGTATCCTGATGCATACTCCTTTCAAGACCATGCCATGCTACTTTGACTGACACTCCTGGCCAGCACCATCCCAGATCCATGCTCAATTCCACCTCATCATCGCAGAAGAAGCAGACGCGAATGCCATGCAGTCAAATAGTGTACATATGATGGCCCTTACCGGCCCCATCAGGCCAAATCATCATCAAACGGCCACCCAAGACGTAATAAACTAAGATTTCACAATAACAGAAAAAAGGGAATCCGCGGGAGAGAAAACTGAAGGTACGTAGGATATCAAGTAAATAAGACAAAAGGATGAAGATCAGTGCGTGGAAGATGTCGAAGACTTCCTGCCTGGCACCAGGATCTCAACTAGCCCGTCATCCTCACCGTCGCTACTGTCGTTGTCATCGTCCCCACCGAATGGAGAGGCCCCCATGCGAGATCGAGAAAAGCCCATGTAGCGTCCGGGACCAAGGTCCGGATAGCCAAGCGACTCATTCATAATGGCCTCATCCTCTTCGTCTGAGTCCATCATGCGGGGATCAGCAGAGGGTCCCACCATCTCCCCCATGTCATCGTCGTCGTCCTCAACCTCAAGCGGGACACGTTCCGTGCGTCGCATGCCTTCAGTTCGACCTTCTCCGTCATCATCGGACGAATTGGTCGAGAACGAGTCAGGCGGGCTAAAACCGGACTCCGGAAAGGTGGGCGAGGAGAACGGCTCGTCTTTGTGATTAGGAGGGAAATCGGTGGACGGGAACGCCGCATTTGCTGGAGAGTTGTTACCTTCCGCGTCTTCATCCAGGCCAGCAATCACAAACGGATTGGTAGGCCACTGAGACTCGGAGGTTTCATGCTCGTTGGTAAAGTTCCGCTCCTCGCCCCCTTCGGAACCATCATTGGCCTGCTGCTTCTGAGCTGCGAGCCGAGCGGCCAATTGCCGCCGTGCACGGGACGGTCCTTGGCTCATAGGCGCAGGGGGTGGGGGAAGAATCGGTATCGGCTGGCTGGTGGAGTTGGCAGATCCCTGAAAGTAGAGCGAGGTTAGCATATCTGATGGCAAAGTGACTTTGAGATGCTTGATGTCTCGTGTGTATGGCCGAGGAATAGAACGAATGGAGCTTCAAATATGACATAAGAATGGGTTCAACCCCAACAGAGATTCAAAGGACTACTGGTATGGCGGATGAAACATTGCTTGGCTGTGAGGAGTCGTCGCCACATGATATCGGGGAGTAGTACTGTTCTGAATGACTTCATACATATTGAGAAGCGCTGCCAGTCCAACACTCTGTGCAAAGCCCTTCACGACCCGTACCACTCCCGTCATCCATCATGCGTCTAACCTTTCAGCGGTCCGATCGAGAGTGAAACAGTTAAGGATACGGGCAGGCAGCGTTCTGAGCAAGCAGAGTATATGTGGAGCGGACGGCTAGGGTTGAATAGGGATGGCTCGGCCATATAATGATTGACGTCAAGCATCGTGCATGTCAATGTCTGTGAAATCGTGATCACCCACATTCTCTGAGCCGCCTTCGGCGGATTGATCGGCCAGGTGTCTGTCGTCCTGGTCTTCCATTTCCTCGTCTTCGTCATCGCTCGAGCTGGCGAAACCGCTGAGAAGAGAATTTCCACCAAGTCCGAAAGCTCCGCCCGATACGCTTCCTTGATTCATCATGTCGAATCCCTGGAAGCCAGAGTTCCCGGTAGAGCCATTCAAGCCTGCATCTGCGAGAGCAGAAGAAGCATTCGCGCTCTGTCCTGAGTTGAGCATTCCTTGGCGGTGCCCGATGGACATGTCCGGTCGTACGCCACCAAGGATGGCATTGTCACGTTCTCGTGTCTCGGAGAGTGTCTGCTCGACATAGTCGATCCACTCAGGATTGAGGACGCTTTCCATGACAGTCGGTGAAAGCAGCTCCGGGGGATGGCGTTCGCTGAACTTTACAACTTCTTCGGCAATCAGCGTAAGATGGCCCATGTAGCCCAGCCGAATCCGTTTCGTACGCTGGGTTTCGTCACTTCTTTTCTGTCCCTCGAAAATGCTCTGCGTTATGCGGCCCGTCTCGAACACATCAACAGCCAGCATTCGATTGTAGCCACGCTCCATCGGGCCATTGAAAACCTGTTGTACTACATCGTAGACAACATTATGGAGGAAGTTGTTCCATGGAAATCGGAAGAAGAAATCCTGTCATGCCGTTAGTTTCAAAGCCGCATCATCAAGAACAGGAGGAGAGACAGACCAGGATCGTGGGGACAACCCGATTTTCTACAAACATTATCTTGAGATAGTCGCCAACCACAGGATGCCCATTAGAGTCAACCTGAATGTCAGGATGCAGGTGCTGCTGTGAAGGGGAAGCATCGCCGACCTGGCCAGCAGTATCAGGCGAGGAAGAGCTGGGTGGCTGGTCCTGTTGATCGAGGTCAGGCACCGCATCATGGGAAGACTGCGTCTGGTGGGCTGGCTCGAGGGGAGTCTCAGCAGACGGCTCGTCCGGCTTGGTAGTCTGGCTACCGTCAAGGCTGACCTCTTCAATTTGCGCTGCTAAACCGGAGGTAGTATCGGAGACTGTGGCAGGCGCCTCTGTAGAATCTGCCGTCTTGCTTTCTGGCGCCTCGGTAGCAGTCTGGTCTGACGCGTCGGCGGATTTAGAGCTTTGCGTAACAGGTTCAGGCTCAGACTTAGGGCCCGGGTGATTCACATCTCTGACTTCTGCATCCTTCTCCTTGTCGATGAGAACACCGGATGCGCTGACGTCCTCGAAGCTCTCCTCGCCAGTGTTTGCTACTTCGAGAACCCTCGAGCCTTCTGGAGACCCGTACCCGATAACAGACCCATTTACAAAGTCCACGGTGGAGTCATTGCCGTCGAAGGCGGAGGTCTCTTCTCTGTGTGCGTTGAAGGCCCCCTCACGCATCAGTCTTTCGCGCTCTGCATCGCGCTGTTGCACATACTGGTCACTTCCCGGCTCATTCAAAAGACCCATGTTACTGCAGTGCAGCAATTCCGCCATCAATTCGCAGGTCTTGAAGCGATCGAAGCCCAAGGGCTCGATTTTGGCGCCCCATGCCGAGCTGAGCTTTCCTCTTTCAACGGTTTTCACCTTACCACCGTCATTGATAGTGTGCTTGGAGCTCTTGATCAATGCCATGAAATCCGGGATGTGTTTGGCGAAGAGGCGGAGAAGGTTGCCAAGGTAGATAGGGTCATATGTGGTTGGCGGCGAGTCCGGACCATTGACGTTCTCCGGGTCATAGTCGGAATTGTTCTTTCGGATGACTTCGATAACGATACCGACGCCGACGGTCAAGGGGTTTCCACCCTTTAGCATGAAATTGATCAATGTCTCAATGCATGTGGCGGAGACTAATTGCCGGGTAAGGCTGTTGGGGCCAATACAAGACTGATCATTCTGTGTTGCGTTGGCGGAAATGGTGATGATTGCTTTCAAAAAGTCACCCGCCGAGGTCTGAACAGAGGCAGGGTAATCTGGTGATAAGAACGACAGCAAGGTTGGTATCAGATTTTGAGACCTCAGCCACTAATAGACTCGTTAGCTTGCGCAATAGACAACAAGTTCCACGGCTCTATCGACTCACATCAACGATGCCTTGGCCACCTTCGACCTTCTCCAAGCTGATAATCTTCAACAAGAGATCCATGACCATCGGGTTATCAACATGTTGGAGAATTGCTGAAACCACGCCGTCCATAGATTTCAGCAGGTCCAGCATCTCTGTCGTCTTCTTGTCAAATAACGTCTCGTTCACTTTCGTGAAGTAGCTCGCCTGGACGGAATCCAAAGGCGAGGGACGTTTCAAAAATCCCCAGAAGTGCTTCAGATGATCGGGGTTGAGCATGATCGACTCCACGATCGACCAGATCTCGGATGACAGGATTTCACATGCGACATAGGCCCGCTTCAATCGATCCTTCTCGGCCCGCTCCAAGTCCTCAGGATCCAGCATATCTCGAAGCGGGTCTGTCCGTTTCGTCTCCTGCGCCGACGCATCGTTGTTCGACTCTGTGGCATTGCCGTCATTGGCCTCATCGTCTTCGTCATCATCATTGACTAGCGAAGGTGCGATCACATAGTCCATAAGCCGTTTCAAGACATTATCTTCTCGTAAGAATTCTATGAGCTTCGTATTATTTTGCTTGAGTTCCTGGATCAGCTCCGACTCGTCCAATAGCTCCTCCAGGCTGACATCAGGCTTGTCTAGCAGGGTATCGATGCTGGAGATACTTGCATAACCTCCGAAACGCCAAAACATGATGATTTGTGGAACCGGACGGACCGAGTCATGGAAAGAGGAACCGGTAATATGCACTGTTTCTAGCGGCCGTAGTCCTTCGTCGGAAACGTTGCGACTGAGACCTGTTTATGTTACAAGAGCCGTGAGAGCAAGTCCGAAGCGTCTAGCCAATGGACCGACCCATGCAATGTGTTCAAGTGTCGTAAGAATGTGATTGAAGGCGAGACTGAGAGCGTGAGAGTCGTTATTTTCACGTCGTTCCACGAATAGAAAATGAATTCGGGAATTTTGTAAGCCGATAGGAATCTGGTCGGAGCGTCCAAGCGCTAGATGCGCCGAGTATCCCAGTTAGCAAAACTCCTCGCGCGTCAAGCATTATAGAGGGGGGAGAAATAGTGATGGTGAGGGTCGGGAACATTAGGGGTGGTTTTCCCCGAGGATCGGAGAATAGCAGGGACGAGTTCAGGCAGGCAACAATGGCTGGGTCAGGCATTGCGGCCGCGACTGCAGAATTCACCAGATCGCAGGCCTGAAGACCCAGCAAACGGAAAGAGATAGTCTAGAAAAGGAAGCGCACGTACCTTTCAAACGACCTGAGGGAGTGACAAAGGCAGAGAAGAGGTGTTAGAATCCTCGGGAGAGGGGGGAAAGAATCAGTTTCGTCAGCCTTGCGCTGCACGGGACGAAACGAGTCAGTCAGATGAAGGAGGAATGGTGTGTCATTGGGGAAGGAAGGATGATGAAGAGCGAGTTAGGTAAGGCAGTTATGGTATTGGCAGTGACTGAGAATAGGTGGTACAGTACCTCAAGAGTCAAGTCAAGGATGGGCGGGCTGACATCCGCAGTTGACTGTGCTGCGCTGGCTGGCTGTGTCTGGATCGGTCGGTAACTAACGGACTCTGATCCCTGGAAGTGACGATGAATGCGCAGTGATCCAGGCGGAAATACCCAACACGCCCGAGCGACGGCGGGGGAGGGGGGAAAGGGACTTTGGGACCAGAGATACGCGAGAGATGAGGAATAAGACTAAGAGAGGGAGGGGGAGGAGACGTCGGAAAGTGGGATACTGTGGAAATGATTAAGAATTGCAGTGATGAGTTTCACGGGTCTTGAAACCAATTAGTGGGTTTGAATTCAACCCGGATGATTAATCAGAAGGGCACAAGCTGAAGAGTTCTTCTTTTCTTCTTGTCTTTGCTGGATTAAATGTGGTATTTTTCTTGTTAATTTCTCAAGTGAGAACGACGACAGCGACCGGACTTGAGATTGGATCAAGAACGGTGCTGTAACAATCGGGGTCTTCAGGCTGGCTGCACGAGATGGGTTCCAGTTGGTATTGCTTGCTTCCTTGCATGGCCGGTGCTGGGAGGTCGGGCCTACGTATCAGGTACCGCACTGACCATACCCGCTCGTGTGTGGGCGCAAGTACCGGGTACATCATCACGGAATGCTGATTGCGTCGGAGCCTGCGAACCACATGTGTGTATTATCCTAAACAGGCCAACCTGGGCTGGGGCAGTTCGCGGGGTTGGGGAGCAAACCTGTCATAGACCAGTACTCTATCAAGATTCTGTTCATCTGGCCCGGTCAGATGATTATCTGGGGAAACCCCCCCAAATTTGGGGCGAACAACCATTTCATTTGTTCAGCCTGATCATATCTTACCGTACAGACGACCCTAAGCTTCCGAAGACAGACGTCGGGATAGGCCGTCAACCTGGTATTTAGACTAGACTGGAGGGGCGAACAAAACTGTTGCCTGGATTAGATATTCTAGGAGTCATGGAGAGGTTGATAAAGTGGTGTCCACTTCGTCACTCACTGGAAGTAAGCGTTGCTCGATATACACTTCTAGTACTTGCTGGACGGTAGGCGGCGAGACTATTTACTGCCTGACGGTGCTGTTTCCCGCCCTTCAACCCAAACCAACTAAACCAAACCACTCCAGCTCGCCACAACAACAACAACAACAGCACAAACCACTCTCCTTGATAATTTCTCTCAGAACCCACGATGAACCGGTTATTCGGTAGCAAGAACACGGCTCCCAAGCCGACATTGGACGGGGCGATCAGCAATGTAAGTTCCAACCCACGCTGTCCTGTCTCTCCCCTATCGCTCTCCGCCCCTCCCGCAATGAAACCCCGCATGAACAGAGCGATTGAACTTACCATCCACTCTCCCGGGGGGGACAGGTCGAAAACCGCATCTCCAGCATCGACGTCAAGCTGGCGGCGCTGAACTCGGAGCTCTCGACCTACCAGACCAAGATCGCCAAGATGCGCGACGGGCCCGGCAAGACCGCGCTGCGGCAGAAGGCGCTCAAGGTGCTGCAGCGGCGGAAGCAGTACGAGGCGCAGCGCGACCAGCTGTCGCAGCAGTCGTGGAACATGGAGCAGGCGGGCATGATGCAGGACAACCTGAAGAACGTGATGACGACGGTGGACGCGATGAAGACGACGACCAAGACGCTGAAGAAGCAGTACGGGCAGATCGACATTGACAAGATCGAGCGCATGCAGGACGAGATGGCCGACTTGATGGACATCGGCAACGAGATCCAGGAGAGCATCTCGCGCGCCTACGATGTGCCGGAGGACGTCGACGAGGCGGAGCTCGACGCCGAACTCGAGGCACTCGGCGAGGAGACCATGATGGAGGGCGCCATGGCCGACAGCGCCATGCCCAGTTTCCTACAGGACGAGGTCGCGCCGCCGCAATTCATCGATGAGCCGCCGGAGCAGAACAAGATCAAGGAGCCTGCGGGCGGGCTTAGCTGAATTGGCGGGACGGGTGCAACCAGGGTCTGTGAGTCTAGGTGTTTTAACTATGGAGACATTCGGAGTCGGGTCATGTGTATTTCTCCTTTTCAACATTTTTTTCATTTGAGGCATTCATTTCCTGGTTTCAAAATCTATGTACGAGCACCTCGCCGCGCAACGGATCCAGGCGAAACTCCATAATAGCCGTTGTAGAAGTTATGGATCTTCCCGGCTCAAGCTTCAAGCCTTGCCAAGGCCAAGAAGAACAAGAAGCGCGACATTCATCACCACAATGATCAGCCAGACGATAACAGCGATGATGGTCACAAAGAGGTTATTTTTAAGCTTGACTCCTCCGGGTGCCGAGTCTCCGCCTTCGAAGACCCGGTCCGTTGGGACGGTCATGAAACGATTGCGACATGTGAAGTAGATGAGGGGAGCGCTGACAAAGGGAAGGATGACACTTAGAACCACTTGGCTGGCATTGAGGGTCTTGTTCAGACCCTCCTTACCGACAGCTGCTGCGATTATTATGCTAGGGATAATGCTGATCGATCGAGTAATCAATCGACGGAGCCAAGGCCTAATAGTCCAGTTCAACATCCCCTCGCTTACCATCTGTCCCGCCATGGTACAGACAATTCCCGCAGAGATGCCAGAAAGGAGGAGGGCTAATCCGAAGACTAGGCCCGCCGCAGGAGCAATCGAGCTTGAAAGCAAATCGTATATCCCCCAGAGGTCTGCATTATCTGCCCCAGGAGTGCCATAAAGGGAAGCACCTGCGACGATGAGAATGGCGCTGTTCACGAACAGAGCAAATGTAAAGAGCGACAACGAAAGCTCAATGATAGAATACTTCATGCAGCCTCGAATGGCATGGATCGAGGGTCTATACTCGACCTCACCACCGGTGCTTCCGATGCAAACGGATGGATCCACGTAGCCTTGAGTAACATCGAATTCTTTCAGCCGGGATTGAACCACCCCGCTGCCCAAGAACATCGAGTGAGGCATCACTGTTGCGCCAAGAATACCGCAGCTCTGATACAGACTGCCAGTAACCTTGTCAGAACCATGCAAAAGCGCGTCAAATGATTAGCAGGTTCACGTACCCTTCTGATTGAACGACGGCCGATGAGGGGAGGTAGCCGCGGAATACATCGCCAACGGATTGCTCCTTGATCAATGAGAGCTGGATGCAAAAGCAAACCACCACCCCCAATACAAGCAGCATGACGAAAAATTCGAACAGACGCAACCCCCACATTGCCCCGTTTGGTCTGTAGAAGATGAGGATAAAGAGAACGTCGGCTAAAGTGATTGCACATCCCGCGACCAAAGGGATTTTAAGTAGAAGATTGAGCGCGATTGCCGATCCCACTACCTGCAAGAACGATTAGCTACACATTCTGCGGGGTGGTATTGCACATTGGAGGCGGTCGACCTACTTCTGCTATATCAGTCGCGACAATGGCAGCTTCCGACAAAACGTATAGAATAATTGTGAGCCATCTCGGAAGGTGTTCTCTACAGTTTTCTGCAAGGTTAAGCCCAGTCACTGTGCCAAGCTTAATGCACAGGGACTGGAGAAAAATAGCAAAGAGGTTGGAGACGAGCACGATGAACAAAAGAGCATAACGGTATTCTGCACCTGCTGCAACATCGGTGGAATAATTTCCGGGGTCAATGTAGGCTACTGCGATCAGAAAGCCGGGGCCTATGAACCGGCCAAACTTGACCAGACTTTGCGCTATATGCGCAGGATATGAACGGAGGGTGGATTTGAGAGAACGGCAGGGCGATCCGCTGTTTCCCCCGGGGATATGATCCCCAGGAGTGACAGAGACCACCCCGCCGGGGCACTTCTCCTCGACCTCGGTCTCGTTCCCGTCTAGACTATGCGGTCGATGATCCATTGCCGAAATGCCTTCCTCGATAGCGCCTCCCATCCCTGACGCGTGCCGCCTATGGACCTTGGAATTGGCGAGCCCGTTGAAATCACTTCGAGTAGTGACGTCCGCGTTCAAGGCCGAAGGGTTCTGATTCCAGTCGGGATGCTCGAGAGTATCGTCGGTGCGCGAAGGGCAATTCATGGGGGGCGGTTTGCTTTTATGTGCTGGCACGAGCGTGAAAAAATGAAGAATCGGGTCTCCTGGGATCGTTGAGTAATGCAGCACCAGGTGGATTAAGTGGACAGGGATTGCCACGAGGTTCGGGATAATTATGAAGCCAGACTACGTCGGAATCCCACCCGGTCGATCAAGTAGTACCCTGCGGGGAGGACTGCCCGAAACTGCCCGAATGCGGTTATCACCAGTGTGGCACGAGAACGACAAAACAAGACAGATCAGTACTTCTGTGCGTCGGAAGTATAACGCTGGCAGGACAGCAGAATGTGCGTTGGTAGATTTATTTCTGCAACCAGCTGTTCAAAGTCTAGCTAAAGCCATTAGGAGGACAAAAGTGATGGCGGGAGAGAGAGGGAGAAAAGAAAAGAGAAGAAGATTTTGGAGACATGACGGCATGCGGGATCCCACCAGAGGGATCCCACCAGCGGAGGCTGTTCGCGGTGCAGTCGTGGCCAAGCCTTCGCTTCTGACTAAATGCGATTCTAGGCACAATTTAATCTGGCTTGGCTTAATAGCATGTTAGGTAATACGACAATGGGAAAGAACAGTACTTTGGTGGGAATGTGTTGGTTGCGCGATCAAGACTATAAGCGGAGGGGTGGGAAGGATTCAGTTCTTAAGGTGGTTGACGTGAGAGCCTTTGTTTGTCTTGATTGTCTTGATTGTCTTGTCATAATAGAGGATCTCCCTTTCCAGCGGCTGTTCCCTTGCAGCCTTCCCGCCTCAGGCGCCGCCGGTCTTTCCAGTTCCAATCCCCGCGATGATTGCCTCAGTGATTGGGTCATGCGCCCCGGTAGCCCAGTAGTAGTTGTTAACCTTAGTACAATAGGTTAGTTGGTTGGTTATGAGACAGTGAGTCGGCGACTTTTGGAATACATACTTTCCAGGTTGTCTGTTTGGCTGTCATCATTGAGGAGTTTCTAGTCACAATTAGTCTAGCCACCTTAATTCTACGCCGTTATTAATCTATTTTCTGGAGTCTCAGATAGAATGTCTATATTCTTTCCTCCAAGTCCCGAGACCCATTGAACCGGTCCCCAATGTGGCAAACAACCCATAGTACCTTACCTTAGGTTAGTTCAGTATCATACCTAGCTGAGTTAGCTATCATAACTACGAAGTATCCTCTCCAGCCCCCTTTAATATCACATCATGGACTTCCTTGATCAGGGCAAACTGGCAGATCAGCCGTCTGAGAATTATGACAGATGCCATCACTTCCTCCACTATGACATCGTTAAGATAGGTCTCAGCTGAGAAAACTAGCCATCATGACGAAGGGTCGGGCAGCATCCTCTGCAGACGATCATGTTGATGATGTTGATGATGTTGATAGTCAATCAAACTATCTATCGCATCCATCAGCTTCCGACGGCGCGACCGGCCGAAAACAGGCTGGTTGCCCCTAACAACCCCGCCGCCCGCAGTAATGTTTACACCCTCCGCTTCCAGGCGGCGCAGTCCATCTCCAGCCGTTTGGCAATGGCGTAGGGTCTCGTATGCCGATTAGGTTAGACAGTGGAGGAAGCATGCTCGTCCTTCTTGTCTTCTTCCCGAGCCTTGGAACTCTTCAAATGCCCGGCCCACCCACCTGAGTGAGGTTGGTTCCCTCCGGTGTGTGTCCCGTCTGTCTGTCTGTCTGTCTGTCTGTCTGTCTGTCTGTCTGTCTGTCTGTCTGTTTGCTGTCGCGCCTACTACTACTATAGTGGTTCGGGTGGTTCCTCACGCGTTTCTTTCTTCCTCTCCCTTCTCTTCTTTGGTTAGATCTTCGTTTCCGTCGCCTGGATAGTTTGGTTGTCTCATATCCTCCGTTCTTCAATGTCTGTTGTTCCCTTAGGCTGCATGTCGCTAGTGCTTGGTTTCGCATAAGACTTTCTTCTCCTCTTCGTCATCGCCGTCGTTCCGCGTCGCTGGTAATCATTTGTCTCGTGGTGCTGGGGCAACTTGACCGTGAGTGATCTATGCCTACGCGTCCTTGTTCGTCGTCATGCTCCACACCAATACTAATCATAACCACCAATTTTTTAGTTACCTCCAGGTAAAAAGGCCAATCTTTCGAAATGGCTCCCAATGTGGAATCCCCCAGCATCTTCGATGACGCTACCCGGAGTCCATCCAAGCCCTCGGGTCTTCGAGCATTCTTGTCCCCAAAATCTCACAAACGGAACTCCTCTGCGGATGATGCCTTCCCCTCCAAGACGGTTCATCGCAGCCAGCCGTCCGACGGCTCTAGTACATCCCCGGGAGATGGAGCCGATGCATCGCTCACCCAACAACCACTCACAGAAATTGCCCCGAACCGGGACTCCGCAGACAGTGGCTCGGGCCAGAGATCGCCGGGGAAGCAAGGGAAGAACACACTGCACAAAAAGACAAAGAGTGCGGTCTCTCTAAAGTCCCTCAAGAGCTATATGGAACGCAAAGACTCCAAACCAGAGGAGGCTCCAGACGTCGACGCGGAAAACCTAAGGCCGAAGAAGGCGAAATCGGCCAACAGCTTATCGGCGATCTTGAGGAGATCACAGCGCGGGAACAAGACGGAGGATTCAAAGAACGCGAAGGACAAGGAGAATCGAAGCCCGTCGGATCTAGTCAACGGCATGCCCTCCCCCCCCTGGGATCAGTTTGCGCCTCCCCCGAACTTCAACCATGCCGGACCTTCTCCGTCTCAGAACATGCGTAGAACAATGCAAGAGGAAACATCTCCATGTACACCCAGAGCATACGGACCGACACACCAGCGTAGTTTCTGGGACTACGATCAACAACCATCTCTCACCCCCCGCACATTACGAGCCGAACCAAAGCCGCGTCCAAAATCAGACTATCTTGCTGGAAGCCGCAGAGTGAAGGAAGTCCTAGCCCCCTTACACATTATGTCCTCAGACAAGACGGTCGCGGCTGACGCGCCAGTGGCTTCTTCAAACAAGCTGTTTGGAAGACCTCGAGCATTATCACGCCCAGAAAAAGGCGAGAAGGCTGATGGGGCGCGAGAGCAAAGCGCCAAGGTCTCCCGCGTCCAGGCCGCTATTTCCGCGCTGAATGCTAAGGAACAGGAGGCCGAACTGCGGAAACGTCTTAATCCCAAGGAACTTGACTCCGAATTCGAGAAACTACTAGTAAGTGTTAACATAGCGGATCTCGACAACAAAGAGGCAGCGCTAAACAAGGAGGCAGGATGCGCGAAACATCCCCCACAACATGAGAGACAAGATGCGATCACTTGATACCAATATCAAGGCTGATTTCATCTTGAAAGATCGAACCGAGAACACGACGCCACACAGTGCCAGCGGCAATGGGAACGATAGTACCGGCCGTCGCGGACGCAGGAAAGAACCCAAGGAAGAGCGACAGAACTACGATAGCAAAGGGTCACGATCTCGATCTCGGAGTCGTGGATTCACCTTTTCTAAGGGTAGTTCGTCACCCAAGAAGCGCCCGGACAGCGGCAGCTTCTATCGACGCCCCAAATCCGTTGACTACTCCTTGCCCACGGGCTTCTCTAAAATTCTCACACCTAACGCTTCTACCACTTCGCTATCCGCGACGGCACGCGACACAGCAACCGACCCTTCAGACTTTGTCCACTATTTGAGGGAAATTCAGAAGCCTGAAATGGTGGAGATCGGAAAAGTGCACAAGCTTCGAATCTTATTGCGGAATGAAACTGTCAGCTGGGTTGACACATTTATCGCAGATGGTGGTATGGACGAGATAGTCCAGTTACTTTATCGCATCATGAAAGTTGAATGGAGGTAAGCATCCCCAAATGTGTGATGAATCATACAAGGCCCCATTGCTCATGCATTCACAGAGAGGAACATGAGGACAACTTGCTTCACGAGACTCTGCTATGTCTCAAGGCTCTTTGCACTACCTCTGTCGCTCTCGAGCATCTCTCCCAGATTGAAGGAGAAGTGTTTCCAGCTTTGCTCAAGATGCTGTTTGGGGAGGATAAGAAAGGACCCAGTGAATTTACCACCCGTGGCATCATCATCAACTTGATCTTCACCCAGCTTTCAGCCGTCTCTTCGGATGAGATGGCAGCGAACCGTGCCTTGCAGATTCTATCATACATGCGCGACCCTTCGCCGCCCGAAGAAAACCAGCCGCTGACGTTCATCGCGAACATTTACCAGTCACGTCCTTACCGGGTTTGGTGTAAGGAAGTGACTAATGTGACTAAAGAGGTTTTCTGGATTTTCCTACATCATTTGAATGTGATTCCGACCCCGAAGGATGAAACACCTTCTTCAGCAACATACCGAGAGCGTCATTTCCCAGTCCCTCGGCCTCCGGTGCCTGCTGCTCCGTATGTTGGCGGCGTCGAGTGGGATGCTACCAATTACTTGGCAGCTCACCTGGACCTTTTGAATGGAATCGTGGCATGTTTGCCAACTAGAGAAGAGCGCAACAGCTTGCGTGCTGAGCTGCGGGCTTCTGGATTTGAAAAGGTCATGGGCGGTACACTGAGAACCTGTAAGGAGAAGTTCTATTCCTCCGTGCACGACTGCCTGCGTACATGGGTTGCCGCGGCTATCGACGATGAGTGGCCACACCTGGCTGTTCGCGAAGGCCCTCCTCGCCCGGAGATTCGGTCGCCTTCCAAGTCCCCTGTCAAGGCAGCAGCAGGTGGGAGTCCTAAGAAGGGCCTGCTGGACGAACAGCCGCCCAAGCTTGAACTGGCGCTGGACGTTTCTGTCAGTGCCGGAGCACCCCAGAGTAATGACATCGGCAACTGGTTGTAGAAGGTACCATGATCCGATTGTTGTTCGGAGGCCCACTCTGACCAGTCACGGCACCTTTACTCAGACACCTCAACCCTAACACGGCCTATTCATGCAATGCTTGCCGGAAGGTTCTGCATTGCTTTGGTTTGATTATCTTTCTTGTCCCATTTTTGTGTCTGACGATTTCGGAGTATGTGGTATTGGAAGGCGTTGGCATTTTCGACGGTGTTTATGGGTGCATTTGCCCGTTCCATGACGGCTACGGCGAAATGAATTGACGACGGCAACAGGGCCACAGACCTGACTGGGAAATCATTTTACATTCTTTTTATTATTGTTGTTTTATGCCGGCATAGTCAGGCAGATCATTCGCTTCCACCTGTTTGGACCAACGCGCTCTAGCTTAGCACCTGTTTTCCGCGACCAACAGTCTAGTACTTGGTCTTCTTGGATGTCTTTATTCTACCATCTTTCTTGTACATGCACTAGGTAATATACAGTATGCGGGGGTTCTTTTCCGGCCTCTTCTCCGGCATCCATCTTTGATTTCCTCTCCCTTGTAAACAGGAATATTGACCCCCTCACTCACTCCCGACCCTTCTCCTCGCCAGCCTCCCGAACCGGCCTGGGCGGCGCAGGCGTCGAAAACGCCCCCTTCACCCCTCCAAAGACAGCCTTCCGAATCTGGTGACCATATCAGCCACGACCCAATCCCCTCACACACATGACAAAAGAAAGAGAACATACCTCATCAAACGGACTCCCCCTCTCATCCCACTCCATAAACAACATCGCATAGATCAAAACAACTAACAATCAACCCGAATTAGCCTAAACCCTATCCACTATAGCACTCCCAACACTCCCACCCGAATCCACCTTTAGAAAGAGAGGGGGGAGGGAAACTTACACCCAATACTAAACCATTGCACCAACTTCGTAGCCTTACTCCACTTGGGCCGAGCGTACTTCAGCGCCGCGCGCCGCCGGTATTTCCTTTCCAGCCGGAATTGGTGCTTCGGCGACAGCTTCGACATGTCGGGTGGCCATTGCCGCTTGGGCTTGTAGAGGCTGTAGCGGGTGTTTATCTCTGCGTGAGGGTCGGTTTCGGCGTGGGATTCGGCGTCGTTGGTGTTGGGATTCGGCGTGCTGGTTAGGCGGAAGGGGGAGGGTGAGGGGCGGGTTGTTGTTGTTGTGAATTGGCGCGTGAGATTGAGGGTCTGGTTTGGGGTTAGTTCTGGGTCCTTTAGTGGTGTGGGCGCTGAGCTCGGAGTGAGATGGGAGCTGGCAGCTGGGTTGGACGTACTTGCTGCTGGTGCTGCTGCTGGCGGTTGGTTTTCGGGTTATGCGTGAGGTTAAGGCATTGTGTGCGCAGGGGCCGAGCTGGACCCCCGGCTTTGCTGAGGGTTGAGGGGGTGAGTCGGCGGAGGAGCATTGGTGTGTTGTTCTGGTTTACGCGTGGGGTTTGAATCTAGGAAAGGCGTCGGGGATGGTGTGAGGGTGAAGCTTTTGCGATTTGGGGCTTGTTATCGGAGATCGGCCGGCAGAAAAGATGGATTCGCGGGCGGAGGCCGAGGGTTACCGCCTTTCATCTTGCTTATACATACTCCGTACACTATGTAGGTCGGGAGGGTTGTTATACTCCAGCAATATTTCCATTATTCATTGAATTTGTTATGGAAGGATGTTGATGGTTAAATTTAGTTCAAGGACTAGCAGTCGATGTACTTCGTAGTAAGCTTAGGTAAGTATTTAATCTAATTTGGCATATAATGTATCTGGGGAGTATAAGCATAAGTTTATGCCGGACGATAAATGATCCCAGGTAGCCATATACACGCTGACTCTATCACATGTAAAGCAACTCTTCTTTTCCTGCTGATCGCATGACGACAGGGCAGTAATCAACTCGATCATCTGCCAGACAAGAATCAGAAACATCTTCACATGAAACCCCATGCTTTCGGCGATCCCGTGACCCTTTCCCCGGAATAACTATAATGCGGCCGAGCCTCGGTACTTTCACAGGATGATTATTCAAAGGACCAACCAGTCGATTAGGCCGGGGGTTAACAGGAGAGACGCCTTCTCCACGCTGTCTCTTCCCCGGATTCCCGTGTCTTATAAGAGCCAAAAGGAGACCGGCTACTTCTTCTTTTTGATTTTTTTGTGAAACTCCCCCTCCCCTTTTTCTTGCCGGACATTCTTAACCTCCCCCATTCTGTCCATACTTCGATTGACGTCATCATGTCCTCTGGTACGTTATCAGCCCCTCCTCCACAGCAAACACCCAGACGAAAAAAGCTAACAGTGATTTTCTAGCCCAACAACGTCTCAGCCAGGTGGCTTCTCACTTCAGTCCCGGTGGCAAGAAAGGAGCCGCGGCTCTCACGGAAAAGCACCCCGATGATATTGTCGTGACGTGTGCGCTGCGGACGGCCCTCACCAAGGGTGGGAAGGGCGGCTTCAAGGATACCGCCGCCGCCGACCTGCTGGCCGGGGTGTTCAAGGCGGTGATTGACCGCAGCAACATCGACCCCAAGCTGGTTGATGACATCGCCGTGGGCTCGGTCCTGCCCCCCGGTGGCGGTGCCACCGAGTTCCGTGCGGCTGCGCTCGTCGCCGGGTTCCCCGAGTCGACCGCCGTTAAGAGCTTGAACCGTCAGTGCTCCAGTGGTCTGCAGGCCATCGTTGACATTGCCAACGCTCTGCGTTCCGGCATGATTGATGTCGGTATCGGTGCTGGTGTCGAGAGCATGTCGTCTCAATACGGGTAAGTTGTTGTTGCCTCCACCCCCTTTGGAACTAAAGCTGACACGAAATGCTACCAAACTAGCCCCGGCGCCGTGACCGAGTTCTCTGAGCTGCTGGAGAGTCACCCCGAATCGGCCAACTGCAAGGTACCGATGGGAGTGCTGTCGGAGCAGATGGCCAAGGACCGGGGGATCTCGCGGGCGGCGCAGGACGCGTTCGCGGCGTCCTCATACCAAAAGGCCGTCAAGGCGCAGCAGGCGGGGCTCTTCAACGAGGAGATCGTGCCGCTGCAGGTGAAGTGGACGGACCCCAAGACCAACGAGGAGAAGACGATCACGGTCAAGGCGGACGACGGGATCCGTGACGGCATCACGGCGGAGTCGCTGGGCAAGATCCGGCCGGCGTTCGCCAAGGACGGGTCCATCCACGCCGGCAACGCCTCGCAGATCTCCGACGGCGCCGCCGCCGTGCTGCTGATGAAGCGGTCCACCGCCGAGCGCCTCGGCCAGAAGATCCTCGGCAAGTACGTCGCCGGCAGCGTCGTCGGCGTCAAGCCGCTGCTCATGGGCATCGGCCCCTGGAAGGCCATCCCCGTCGCCCTCGAGAAGGCCGGCATCACCAAGGACGACGTCGACATCTACGAGATCAACGAGGCCTTCGCTTCGCAGTGCGTCTGGTGCGTCAATGAGCTGGGCCTGCCCCAGGAGAAGATCAACCCCAAGGGCGGCGCCATCGCTTTCGGTCACCCCCTCGGCTGCACCGGCTCCCGACAGGTCAGCACCCTCCTGACCGAGCTGAAGCGCACCAACAAGAAGATCGGTGTCACCAGTATGTGTGTCGGCACGGGTATGGGTATGGCTGCCGTCTGGGTAGCTGAGTAGAGGGAGAAAACGCGGGAAAATCTAGAATGAGCTGGCTTCATAGGAACGTCTTTTCTCTCTCTTTTGCCTTTTGTCATAAGTAAATAAATAGCGAGTTTTCTCTGTGCTTTGTGCTTTGTGCTTTGACCATTGTCTTTTCTGGATAACAGGGCTGCGTTAGGTGTAAGACCAATGAAGTTTTGATATGCTTCTATCCTCACCCTTCAGAAAACATATAGTTATCGAGCTTCGCAGACATAGAACCTCAGCCAGCTCAACCTAGTAGTACCCACAGAGCCGAAACTATACATCCGAGCCACCCACCCACCAAAATCTCAAACAAAAAGAAGAGATAGCTAAATCTTTGTCCGAAACTGCTTAAACGCCTCGAACACAGACATCCCCCGCGACACGGCCTCCTTAACGCGATCATCCATCGCCACCAACTTCGGCATCGTCTCAAGCACCGCATCAAGCAGATCCCGCGGAATAGCCACCACGCCTTCCACCGGATCGCAAACAATGATATCTCCCTGCAGCAGCAAACCGTCAGAGCATTAGCAAACGAGTCCCCCCCCCCCCAGCCCCAACCCTTCCATTTATCTTCCCCTCCCCTGCCCGCATCACACCAGAAAGGAACTGAAGGATAACATACCGGAGAAACCACCACCCCCCCAACATCAACCGGCACATTCCTCGCCACAGCCTTCGCCTCGGCACCACTGCCCACAGTGGACGTGCCACGCGCCCAAACGGGCAGCTCACAGTCCGCGAACTCGGCGAGATCACGCACCCGGCCGTTCACCACTGCGCCGCGCACGCCCAGCCTCTTCATTCGCTGCGCCATGATCCCGCCTACCACTGCGCAGTGTTGGTCCGCGGGTTGGTCGACGACGACGATTGTGTCACTCTCGACGTTGTCGACCCAGTGTGTATTTGGTGGGAAGGTGTGGGCTGGGTCGTCCTGGGTGGTGGGGGGTTCGTGCTTGGAGGTGAATTTTATGGTTGAGGCTGGGGCAATGATTTTCTTGGGTGCGGTGGTGTTGGGGGGTGGGAGGGGGTTTGCTTTGGTTTTATTGTTAGTTTGATTGGGAGTATTTTGCTTTGGGGATTGGTTTTCTGCTTTGGGATTTGGATGGAGGGGACCTATGAGGTAATGGGATGATGTGATGCTGGCTTGCCTGCTTACTTAGGTCGGCGAGATAGCCGGCGCGGGCTGGTGTGCCCTGCGCTGGAGTCTGGAGTTTGAGGAGTGCATCAGAGACCTGAGGTTAAACTTGTGTCAGTCTGGATGCGGGGGAGGGGTCACATGGTATATCTTGTGTGTAAGGGGGAAGACGGGGGTGAGTGCTTACGTCGCAGGCGGAGTAGTTGTGCAGGATGCGTAGCTTTTCCTCGAGAGTAGTCGCCATGGTGTTGAGGTGTTGGTGTCTCTTTTTGGGGAGTGCGAGTGAGGGTTGACGATGGAGGCGCACGAGTAGCTGATGCGGGGTGAAGCCGGGGGAATGGAAGAGGCGACAGAGGATCATGGGGGAGAGTTCAGCGTGAGAGAGGAGGCTGCAAAGGGTGGTTTCACTGGAGTGTTGAAGATTATGCTGCGGAGAGGATGGCGGTAGGTCTATGTATCGGACTCAATGGCACCTTTGTCTCTGTGCTTCAGCTGCTGATTGTCGTCGCGCATGTGGAATAACCGAGGATCGGAGGATTGACATCATGACCAGATGCAGACTGGTAGAGGTACCATTGCAGAGTCGGACCAAAGGGAGACCGAAAGAGACATAGTGCGATGGAATTGATGTACTGCTTACGGTCAAATTGAATTGCACATGCTTGGGTATGGCATATCGAAGCAGCAGACGATTTAGGTGGTGGATCTGATCTATAGAAACACCGACGCCTGACAGCCTGCCGACGCAGCCGAACACTTACAAGCTCTGACTCGGCCCCAACTCTCCTTCCGCCGTCTCGCGATTCGACCTCAACTCAATCCAGCGACGAACCATGGCTGCAGAATCTTATACTTCCGATCAGCTTGAACTCTACCTTGCGCGCATTGGATTCGCCGAGTCCACCACTCTCGGCAGTCGACTGGAACATGCCCGCCAACACATGCACTGCAGCCCGCTGGCCACTCTGGCTGAGCTGCAACGAAGACACATCACCTCAATCCCCTGGGGTAACTCGGGGCTCCACTACTCAGCACATCATTCCATCTCCATTCGTCCAGCATGTGTCTTTGAGAAATTAGTTTCGCGTCGCTTGGACGGATACTGCATGGAGAACACCATGCTGTTCTACCATGTCCTCCGATTCCTGGGATACACCATCTACCCAACTGGAGGCCGAGTGAACGTTGCGGCCGCCAATGCCCCGATCGAGAGCCACAACTGGTTCTATGTAGGCTTGTAAGTGGCGCCCTTCCCGTGCAGGGTTGCGATCCCGCCGGTATCTAGTTATACTCATGCAGTATGTTTGTTACACAACAGGGGACACATGGTATTGATCGTGACGATTGGCGGCGAAAAATATGCGGTAAGCTTGCCCGATCTAGTGCCAATCGGGAAACATTCTTCGACCAGTCATGTCCGTTCATATTGCTTACATTGTATCTTGACAGGTGGACGTCGGGTTCGGCAACAACGGGCCCACCAGTCCCTTGCTACTTAAGCACGATGCCCCGTCGGTGTGCGTCGCTCCGTCGGAGATGCGGCTCATCTACGATACTATACCCGAGTTCGTGGACCGGACGCAGAAGGTTTGGATCTACCAGATCCGGCATTCTCCGGACAGCATCTGGATGCCCATGTACTCGTTCTCCGAGGTGGAGTTCCTCCCGCAGGACTTCGAAGTCATGAACTTCGCCACCAGTCAGCGCCGAACAAGCTGGTTCACGCAGACGCTGGTTTGTACACGAATGCTGCTAGACGAATCCGGAACCGCGGTCAAAGGCGTCTGTGTCCTGGCCGGGAATGAAGTGAAAGTGAGGGCAGACGGACACTCGGAGGTTGTAGAATCCTTGAAAAGCGATAACGACCGTGTCAAGGCGTTGGCTAAGTGGTTCGACATGCATCTTCAAGAGCATGAGATTGAAGGTATTCGCGGTTTGGTATCTCAGATCAAATAGGATCTTTTTGAGCATTTTAGAACTCTACCGTAATAACGGGACTATCCCGCTGCCTCAGCAACAACTGTACAGAACAAAGAGGTTATTTCTCTCTAACCCCGTGCGTGGATATTTCTCTCAAAGCTAATGCAGACGAACAAGTGAGGCACAAATAGGAAATAGTAGACATGGCGGCGATTGCCTTAATAGATACGTTTCTCGAGCTGCAGCACAGGTCAGACAGTTGCTCGCGAAGGAAGCGCACAACAAAAAAGGACCGTGCAAGTGGGGTACTGTACCTTCCAGGGGTTATTGACTTCGAAACCCTTGGGGGCTTCATGGTTGGACGATTGAGCTCGGAATTTTCCAGTCATTCTGCGGTCTCTCTCCATCACTGCAAGTGAGGTCAATGGTCAGCTTCGTATGTTCTCTTAAGATTCTAGATTGTGCGGGAATGAGCCGTGCGATATGTAGGTCCGTTCGTCATAGGCCGGGGTAGGGTCGTCGAGGATGGATCACATACTTTGCTGCTCTGCTGTTAGCTCGCTACTCGTGCGATTGCAAAGAAAGGGGATGACTTACCCTATCCCAAAGATCCAGGTTCCAACGCGCCGTCTTTCCGTCATTCATAAACCACTTGCAAGCCCAGATACCACCAGCACCGGCAGAGAGGGACTGTCACGTCATGATCAGTCAAGGCCGAGCGCGAGGACAAAAGGCAGGAAAGGGACTGGTAGGACCTACACCGATGATGATTCCAAAAGGAAGCAAGGCCTCGAAGGGGACACCCATAATGTGTTGGTAGTGAAGCGACGGACGCAACGGATATACGCGGGGGGAACTGAAGATCTGGAGGGATTGACTGTGAAGTTGAAGCCGCGGGAGGTTCGAATGGAGAGTCTGGCGGATGGCCCAAAGCGGTTTAGGCGGGGCGGTGACCCGGCCGCTGGATGAGTCAGCAGCGGCACTCAACCTCACAGGCACAGGAGAAGCAGAAGGGGCGAGTGCGTAGATTCCGGGCAAGTTGCCTGTAGACGGCCTTTTCAGCTGCGGAGATTCTTTTGCTACGGACCTTGCCTTTAATTTAGGACCCTTCTGCTGTGCTTGTGGGAGAGGTATGTTCTCCGTATTTGATAGCCGGACGCGTTCCATCCGCCATTGTCCCCATCCCGCTCCTCTGCCATCATTCCCTCTCCCACTGACCGTTGTTTTGATTTGCGCTTTGCGCTTAAGGTGCTGACTTCGGGTTTCTTCCGGCGCAGCTTTCTTTATTCGCTGGTCTCGACGTCGCATTTGCTGGCGCCTCAGGGCTTTCTTGTTCTATGATTCCCGATGCCCATTTCCTGCGGCGCCAGATGACTGTCTACTCTTGCGGGGAGCCTGTATAGTTGCAACTGCTTGGCTGCCTTTTATCTACGTACGAACTCTTGATATCCGATCCGAGGCTCCCGAGGCGATTCGATAATCGTTCATTCTGGCGACCGTTGTAACACACACCATGCCGGCAACAGTGCCGCCGGTCAATGACGACCGCGACAAGAAGGCGCCCGCGGATCCGGTGGACAGTGACCGGGATGCGGAGGGGGAGGAGGAAACCGACCTGTATCAGATGGAAATGGACCAGCAGCTCCAGGATGCTGTGCACCGTGCTCTTTTGGGTGACCCGGTCGAAAACGCTGCGGCAACCGACTCCGGAGACGATCAGGATGCGGAAGGAGAACCAGACCCCGAGATAGATGTGAATGGTGCTCTGCTTGATGCTGACCCAGTTGGCGCCGTGAAAATCCCCAAGCAAGCCCCTGCGGTGGACGATGACGATGCGGTTTCTGGTCCAGCAGATGCAGACGCAGACGCAGATGAAGAACCGGGGTCGGAGAATCACAGCGACAGCGAACAAGACCAAGATGCATCGAGTTCGTCGCCAGGCAGCAGCCAGGAATCGGATGACGAGTGGGAAGGCGAAAGCAATGACCACGAGGATGCGGAGGCGGAGAACACGGTCCGCGGCAACTGCATGTGAGTCTAGAACCTGAACTGGGTTGCCCGTGCCCCTTTGACTGCCGGTCTGGGGCCATATGGGCGCCAAGCATAAATGGATCACGGCACTAATCTCAGCTGCAATAGATTCTGTGGGCAGGACGAAGACAATGACCCGAGTGATGAGTATGAGGAGTATTTGACCTGCGGAGTCTGTGGCGATCACTGTACGTCGGTTCTGCGACCCCATTATCCCCCCAATCCCGAATGCTGGACGATCCCTACTGACTCGGCAACCCGACAGCTCATCGGCAATGCGCCCGGGAACAGAGTGCATTGGACGATGCAGAAGGTAACTTCTATGCCCGTTCTGCGAAAGCATAATTCATGTACTGACCGCCGTTAGAACCGATTTTATGGCGATGTCCAACCTGTGTCCAAGAGAAGCTGAGACCTAGCCCCAACGAGAGGGCAGCGGTTCCAAGGAAGAATCGAGCTAAGAACATGCGCAAGGAACTACTGCCTGCCCATACGGGCGAAGAAGGCTCTGATTTCCATTCCATCTTCAATACAGTGACGGTCAACGATGACCTCTTAAATAGCAAGCGGTCGCTGCGGAAAAGGAAGGACGGTTCAGTGTCAGCAGAGGCTGACGAGCATGCGCCTGTCCTCCGTAAAAGGCCACGGCAGGCCTCACTGCGTTCTGACCGGGCAATATCGCGGGAAGGGCTAGAGGTGGTCGATGGGATGTCACCTGTTCGAACACGTTCTCGGCGCACGCGCAAGAGCGAGCAGGACAACTGTCGCGTGGTGCTGAAGCAGTATGGACGTCTCGTAATGGCGTTCCGTCTCGATGAGTCCCGACTTTCCAGAATCTTCAACTCTCGCAGCGGATCCCAAACGCGAAGCCATCGGACTCCCAAGCCACCGCCCGTCGTCGCTGAGCCTCAGGCTCATTTCGCCCCTATCACTCCTGCCTCCTACTACACCCCTTTCTATTCTTTCAACGACCGCGAGATGGACGAGTCCAAGTCCAAACCTTACGGTGGTATTCTTTCCGAAGTCGATGCGGATACCTCAAAAACGCTACCGACAAACCTAGACCGCGACAAATTCGAGATCGCCCGCCACAGAGCAGAGGAGGAATGGCAAAAAAGAGTCAGGGAAACCGAAACCAGCGGTGAGACCGTACAGCATGCGTCACAAAAAGTTTCAGGGCCTCCATCCAGGATCAAGTACATCAATTTTGGTGGCTATGAGATCGAGACCTGGTATGCTGCTCCCTACCCGGAGGAGTATAGCCGTAACCGCGTCCTTTACATCTGTGAATTCTGCTTAAAGTACATGAACTCCGACTACGTCGCGTGGCGACACAAGCTCAAATGCCCGGCAAAGCATCCTCCTGGCGATGAAATCTACAGGGAAGGATCAATTTCGATATTCGAAGTGGATGGGAGGAAGAACCCCGTGTACTGCCAGAATTTGTGCCTTCTCGCCAAGCTGTTTCTGGGTTCCAAGACTCTTTACTACGATGTAGAGCCTTTCCTCTTTTATGTCATGACTGAGTACGACGATCTGGGCTGCCATTTCGTTGGTTACTTTAGCAAGGAAAAACGCCCAAGCTCAGCTAACAATGTCTCGTGCATCTTGACGCTACCTATTCACCAACGAAAAGGTTATGGGAACTTACTCATCGACTTCTCATATCTGCTCACTCGGATTGAGGGGAAGACAGGGTCGCCAGAAAAGCCGTTATCGGATATGGGGTTAGTTTCCTATCGGAACTACTGGCGTCTCATTCTTTCCTACCAATTACGAAATCAAAAGACCCCTCTCAGCATCGCGGAAATCTCGGAGCGCACGGGTATGACAGCGGACGATATCGTGTCAGGCTTGGAAGCATTGCGTGCCCTCGTGAGAGACCCTGTGACCAAAACTTATGCTTTGCGCCTCGATTACAAATACTTTGAAGAGTGCATTGGAAGCTGGGAGAGCAAGGGATATGTTCAACTCAACCCGGACGCGCTCGTCTGGACACCATACATAATGGGCCGAAGCAACCAATCGCAGTTCGATCGAGCTCCATTGCATGCTGTGGCGCCTCGCGAAGGATTGGAAGATGAAGAAAGTGAGGACGTGAAGGATTCAGGGAACGAGGAAGAGCAGCCACTGTCAGCCGATGCCGATTTGCCGAAAGAAGATAGCACAGATCCCTCGGTTGTGAATGGGATTGTTGACACCGAAGCCAAGCAAATCCCGCCTGAGCCGGCTGGACCTCCTTCCACAGAAGCACTGATTGCCAACAACTGCTTCCGTCATTCTGCTACCACGCCTGCAGACTCCAGCACTCCGGCTGAAGCCAATCCTGCCGATGGCATCCCTGCTTGGAGATTTGAAATCTGGCCTCCTGTCCAGGCACCATCCTATAAACGGCGCCCTGGCCGACCGTGGGGAAGTCGGACACACCCAAAGATGGCCTTGACCCCGACTACCGTTCGAACTAGTGGTCGGAACACCCCTCGCAGATCATCGGTGCTGGCATCCATGACTCCTAGTGCGAATCAGATCAGTGTCCGCCGCGGCCGGAGCGCCAAACTTATGGAGTCTCCTGCTGCTGATTCTGGCAGTCTGGAGCCGAACGGCACTGAAAACGAACAAGGCAAAGACATCGAGAACATGACAGGCGGCCACCTGGAAGATTTGTCACCCACAGCCATGCCCTTGGATACTGAAGACCAACTGAACCACACTGCTGACGAGGATGTAACGCCTACCTTAAACGGTGGCCGAGAGTCCGAGAATGGTGCGGACAACGACAACGGTGGTGATCCCATGACCGAAGCCCCTGTGACAGTCAATGGTAAAAGCACTGAAAAGAGAACCAAGGTCTCCAAGTCGGTGAATCGGAAAACGGTGGTTGAGCAGCTTGAAATGGTCATTCCGGCCGATGACGAGCGTGTCAAACTCCATGAGAACGGCATACCAGAGCAAGCAGTCAGCAATAGAACTGATGCGGACGGTGATGTTGTGATGGAGACCTGATGCTCTTTTTTGATAAATGATCAAAAAGTGAACTGCATGCTATCATGGGTTGACTTCAGAGCATTTTCCTCAGCAAGGGGAACACTTCGGAGGCGTTCAGCATTGCTCTTATTTGTTTGTCGTGTCTTCATGGGGGAGTACGTTTCATGACCAGGATCTGTTGGCTTTCTTTCCTGCTATTGTTGTATCTTGCAAGCACGGAGTAGGCTGGAAACCCGGAGTTTTTGGATCTTTACTTGATAGTGCGCGTTGCACGAAGAGACGTTCCCTCTTCCGAGTTATCTCTTAGCTTTCTAGCGATTGACTCTTCCCTTTGAGCCTGAGCATTGATTTGTTTCCCATGATTGGTTGGTCGTCCGTCATCTGAGCGATTGGCCTCTTCTATTCTTTTACTTCTTTCCGCAGATACATCGCTGATCTTGGTTCCACGGAATCGTTTCAGGCTGGAATGTTTTTGTCAGCTTTTTCTCCTGGTTGAGTTCTATTTATCATGTAATGTAGTGCCATGAGATATTAGACAATGTGACGCTTGTAAGCAGCTATATCGGCTACTCTTCCTACAGCATCGAAACAGAATCTAAGAATAGGCTATTCTGTGTGCATCCAGGATATCCACAAATGCAAAACTGCGCTCAAATTCTATAAGACATATATAGGTAGACTGATAAGATAAAAGCGACGCGATAAGCGCAGCGCCAAGCCCCAACTTTCTTCCTCCGCGCAGCACCGCAACATCCTCAACTCCTCTCCACTCCACACCACCGAACGAACCCAAGCCCAAACCCCAACACCCACAGCCCCCGAACAGTCAAACCAGTCCAGAAACAAATCCCCCAAGAAACAAGACAAAAGAAGGAGGGAAAATGTCCCTCCCGTCCAAAACCATCAGCATACTGATGCAACCGGCGCCGCGCACGCTGTCAGAAAGCAAAGTCGTGCTCTCGGCGCTGCAGAAATTCGGCGAGGTCGTAACATTCCGGAACCTGAAGGTGATTTTTTCCCATATTCTCACTCAAGCGCACTATCTCCTCGGGACTGTATTGGAATTTTGTTACTGATAGAGAGAGAGAGGCAAACAGTACGATGTAACCAACAAATCCAAAACCACGCGCCCTATTATCGCCATCTTCGAGTCCACCGCCGCCGCCTCCGCTGCCCTCGCTGCCTCGCCGCTTTGTATTCCTCTTCCTGGTCAGCAGCAGCAGCAGCAGCAGCAATTGCCAGGGGGCGTGGCCCAGCAACAGCCAGAGAGCTCAGCTCAATCTCAGCATGAAAGCGCAACCGCAACCGCAACCGAACAAGAAAACCTAACCCCCACCACCACCTCACAAGAAACACCTCAACCCCAATCTACATCTACACCTACAATCCACCCGTCTGCCCGCATCCGAACCGGAAACCCCACCCCGACCCCACCCCCAGGCCATATCATGTGCAGCCTTCTCTCCGCACGGCACAACCACGATTTGGCGGTGCGCCGGAACCCATGGCAGGGGGGGTTCGCGCTGGAGCGGACGACGCACCCGCACATGTACGACGACCTGGTGCGGACGGGGATTCCCCTAGCGGAGTTGGCGGATGGGCCGGCGGGGCGGAAGGGGTCTCCGTCGCCGTTGGGGCCGTTCCAGGTGGCGCGGGACAATCAGCGGTGGGGGGCTGTTTCGTTGATGGAGTTGGCGGAACGGGGGAGGAAGTGGGCGGAGGAGGTGGGTTCTTATGCATCGTCTCCGGTTATGGTCCTGGACGAGATGGAAATAAAGAAGAAAAAAGTGGAGAAGGAGAGGGTGAGGCCTTGGGCGTCTAGGCCTCAGAAGGGAACTTCTTATTATTATATGAGGACGGATTCTGGGGATGCTTCTTTTGATGCTTGATTTGGATTTTATTGGGGGG